AGAATACAAAAGTTGTTGTTGCTGTAAGTTGTGGAATTGAAGTAGTTAGTCGTTTTGTGCTGGTTGATTTTGTTTTTGCAGTGAAATCTGGGCAACTTATACCTATAACTACATGATTAGTTGCTCGTGCTCTGCAGATGACGGTAAGAGGATAAATGAGTCTAGCTCTAGGATGACGCAAAGTTTGGTGAATGAGTGTAGCTCTGCGATGACAGAAAAGGTGACGCAAAGAGGTATCAGTGTGATATTGGTGGAAGAATACGCCAGCAATGTCATAGAGCGTTCAGTCAAACAGGTACTCACAGTATCAGTGTCATAAATCGTCGAATCAAGGGAGCTCTCGAGACAGAAATGACACAAAGCATTTAACAAGACGAGTAATCAAACAGAAAATGTCATAAAATGTGAGTCTTCGTCCAAGTTTAATGCCCAAGCTTGCAAGCCTATTGTACGATGCAGCATGACTCCCCACCCTATGAGTATAGCGACAAGCATGTAATCTTCTATATGATACAAGATCTAATCATTCACAGCCGTATAACGAATCATAGCACAGTTTGAAAGTCATAAGCCCGAGCAAGATGTTACCGATGTTACCCACCATCATTACACTAACACCGCCATATTTTATCTTTTCTGTCATTACAGCTCTAGACTCATTTGATAGGCAACAGTCATCTGCAGAGGACGTGCAGAGGACGGGAAAATTTCAATCTAATTGTAGGTATAAATTGCTTGAAAATCACTGCAAAAACTAACTCAACCAGCACTCTTCTGCCTTCCACGAAACGACCGGATCACTTCAGCTCTACAACTTACCGAACCAACAACAACATCAGATCTCGAATTGGAACTTCACTCACGATGAGCGGATCATCGGACCCACAGCCAGGAGAACAGGTATGAATGACAATCTCTTCTTGTTTGAACTTCGACTTACAGTAGCAACAAAAGACATTTGAGCAAGAAATTGGCCTTATGCAACATATAGCAAAGGATCGTCTTGTTGCGGTGAAGCAGTTACACCTCGAATTGCCTCAAGCAGTCCGAGAGCGTATGACCGATCTTGTCGATGCCCTTGATGAAATCGAGAAGCTCTTGGTAGGATCCCAAAATCAGAGCACGCCTTGAACAAAACTAATGTTACAGAATGAGATTATTACAATGGGCGAATCTTCCAACAAGACTATGGACCATGCCCAGGAAATCCAGACAAAGGGCCTAAGACTCAATAACAATATTGTGGCAACGAAGACCCTGATGAATCAAAGCGGGCTCGAATTTACAGACTTCTCCGCTGTAAGCCCTTTTAGAATTAACTTCATTCCATTCTGACTGCTCTCTCGTCAAGAGCACAAAGAACACAACCACGAAGGGATAGATATACTTATTTGGATCGGGAATCTATACAGGTCTTTCAATTGTTGTATACTTAAGTCAAAGATAGAATACAATGCAGCTGCTGCACTCGTTTGACTGCGCACTGTATAGTGTCATTGCTTGAAGACTCATCCCGCTAAACACTGTGTATCTTCTCCTCGAGTGAAGTAATATTTGAAGATGTGGTCACAGTCATCATTCATTGTAATGTGCTGAAAGCACCCTTCAACGAGTTACTTAATTACACTATTATCCTATATGATCACTGAATTCAGGTATCGATCTCCGCACCTATTAACAGTCGTAGAATCTAATGCATCGATGCACAATAGGAAAAGAACAGCATTTGCTGCGACCTACAGGTGCAGACGAATTGGCGCTGTAGCTGATACCGCAGACATTTGCATGGATTTTCTAGGTAACGGATCCGATCACGCGGGAAGCCATGACCACGTACTGTGTGTGGAAACCTTTCATGCAAACAGTCGGTGGGGCTTGATAGATGAGTGGCCATGAACGTGAGTCAAGAAGAAGGATGGGAGGAAGAGACCAGTGTGTCTCCAGAAAGTCAGTCTTCACATCACCATTCTACGACCATTTGAGCATTTCTACGTCGTGTAATTCAAGTCCGCGGAAAAATCAACAGTTCGAAAAGGACGATTGTGGAAAGTGCGAACGAAGGATGATTGTGGAAAGTGCGAAGCCCACTTCGACTGCCTACAACTGCTTTGTGGTACGAAAGACCTTTCGCATATTACTGTACCTATAGGATCTATTGATTGGACTTCTTATTGATATCACTCCAACTAAAGGATCACTTAGCCAGAAATCTGTCTTTAATAATAGAAACTGTATACAAACTACGTTCTACCTACGTAAGTTATATTGTTGTCTCGAGGCTGAAGAGGTATGATGTGGTTATTGCTCGGCTGTACTTGCCACGAGCAGTCTAGCTCACCCGAAGCCCTTCTAGAAAGGGTAGTTGAATGCAACATAGTGAATAGTACTTAGACGAAACTAGTAACTATTAACGCGCCAAACCTCGAGGGGTGCTACGAGTATAAAGTTGCACGAAGTGGCGTTTCTCAGTGGCGCAAATTCAACTTGAAAAATCCAATCTACAAGAAAGCAACGAAGCTGTCTCTGACATGGCAGGGCCTTCCGAAAGACGGGGGCACATGACCATCATTGGTGCGGGCATGGCTGGTCTGAGGGCTGCGGACGTTCTCTTAGACCACGGCTTTGAGGTTACTTTACTCGAGGCGCGACAACGCCTTGGAGGACGCATACTCACTGACCGATCAGGTGGCACGCCTGTCGACATGGGTAACTTCTAAGTAACAGAATTTGGAATGAACCGCCGAACTGATTCGTGCCTAGGTGCTGCATGGATGCATGGCACCGCTTACAATCCTCTTGTGAAGCTTATTCGAGCGCTTCACATTCAGTACTACTACGACGATGGCACACCGCTCTACTACACCGAATTCGGGCCTTCTGGATCCCAATTCAAAGCTCGAAATGTGGTAGACGAGTTCATTGACTACATTGAACATGTATACGATACGGCTCCCGATGCAGACGACCGGTCAGCGCTGGATTTCATGCGCGAATTCCTCCAGAATCACGAACTCATCACGGATGACGAACGTATGTGGGCTCCAGAAGCTTTTCGCGAGATGGAGAATACCCTAGGCTTGAGAATGGAGGAGGCATCTTCGAAATTCTTCAAGTACGCGCTCCCACCCCAACGCGACTTGTATGTGAAAGGGGGATACGACACGATCGTGCAGTGGACCGAGGACAAGATCAAGTCCAAAGGAGGTATCATTAAGTTGGCCCACAACGTGGATCGCATAACCCACCACGAGCACCAGCCAGTTACAATCTTTGGTCAAGCGGACAACACAGCTTTCTCCCTTACAGCTGACGCGGTCGTCGTCACCATTCCTCTAGCATGTCTGCAGAGCGAGAACATTGTTTTCGAGCCCTCTCTGTCTCGAGAGCTAGAAAAAGGCTTTGAGAGTCTCAGCTATGGTGCTCTGGGTAAAGTTGTGTTGGAATTTGAGGATGTTTTCTGGTCTCGGCAGAACGATCAACTTCTCTATTGTCCCACACCACCGCAGCTCGGGGAAGACTCTGAGCTGAGTGAGTGGCCTGTGCTAGGTCACGCCTTCGACGTCATCAACTTGCACATCTTCGACGGATCGAAGAAATTATGCGTTCTAATTAGTCCACCTCTCGTTCAAGAGCTTGAGGCAATGCAGGATGAGAAGTGGAAGATATACGAGTACCTGGAACCCCTTCTAGAGCTCTTTCGGACCGAGCCCTACAAAGCATTGCCAAAAATGGTGGACCTGAAGATAACCAGCTGGACTCAGGACCCGCTAGCTGGCTATGGTGCGTACTCAACCATGAAGGTCGGAGACAATCCCCGGGTGCTAGAGGCGGCTCTCAAAGCGAACAAGAAGCATAGAGTACAATTCGCTGGCGAGCATTGTTCACTCACGGAAATGGGATGCGTGCATGGAGCATACATTACTGGCGAGATTGCGGCGCAAAATATCGTTCAGCTGCTCAAATCGGAAGCAACCGGGCTTGGGAATGTAGAGTAGCAGGGCGGGAGGAACAGGGGCAATCAGCACATGCATATCTAGCTAACCGGATGATGTACGTTATTGAAAGTACGATGAGGGCTAACTTTGAGGAGTGCCCAACAATGCCAACAGTGGTGCATGTCTTCTAGGCACCGTAATCTTCACCAAAGCAACAGTGTGATTGGAGGGCGCGGAAGATATGTCCTGGTAGCAAATAGAGAGACGATGACATCAATGAACGATATGGCAAAAGCGAAGGGATTCGCAGAGGAACCGAACTTTATAGCTCTGATACAGGCTTTCTTTCCTGAAGGTTTGGCCCTCCATCCTCTACAAATGACATGATATTCGCTTGGCGTATCAGGCGATAGAAGTATGTAACCCGCTCGTTGTTCACCTGTGCTCGTCACTTACCCAAAGCGCAGCCTTCACGTACGCGTACTCCAAAATGCCAAGAAGCAATCTTCCATTGTTCCTACGAATATTGGCTGAGGCAATCGAGAGAAGCAATTTGGTTCTAGGCGAGATAGAGCGAGGAAACAAGGAGACGAGTACTACGACTGTGCTCATACACGCCGGCGATGTAGACTGCGCTTGTTCTATTACAGTCAGTCGGCTAGTCATAACCGAGGCGTTGGAGCAGCTTGGTTTTACCAGATAAATGTACGCGACGGTGGAAGTGCGTCTATTTATGGTCGTAACCCTAATCTAAACATGCACAGATAGAATCCTACCATCACCACACAGAGAGCGCTGATTATGGAGACAATGAAATGCTAGGAGCTAAGCCAATTAACTGGCCATAACACCAAACTCCAAATGCCCTTGCGCGAACGTGCCAACATGACTGAATGTAAGATCGCTACCCGGAGAGCACATAAAACTACCTCGTATGAAAATCTTTGTGAACCCGAGTCTATTCTAATTGGCCTCGCCATCCACCGGTGCTGCTTGCACAGTGATTGGAAAGTACCCTCATGCTTACTGCCCCAAATATTTCGGATTATAATACAGCCGAACCTGTAATCGTCCTTAAAGAATTCTCCGAGGCTTCTTAATTACTGCATAGTCACGTCCCCACAACTCAGCAATGGTCCTTCTCCAGGGGTCTGCGAAGCAAGCGTGAAACTCCCGCTTCCGTCCTACCGAGATCTGTTTCGTTTTATTTCGTTTCAGCCTCCCGAAGCGCGAAGCGGGTCATCTTCGTCGATCATACCGAACCTAGAAGTCCGTTTCCCAAAGAGGAAATGCGAAGACCACCCCCATCGACTCTCAGCATAAGCATGCTGATTTGTTTGTGCCTCTTCACTTTTTATTGAATCAAAACAATCGGACTATAATGTTTGAGATCGACCGATGTTTGGGATGCGCGGATGTTTGCACTGTAGTACCACGCAAAACACAGTGTTCTCCACAGAATGGCTGCAAATCGCACACCTTGGTATAGCAGTCATGGGTGGCATTGTGGGAATTGAGAATGACGTACTCCTCTCCATACGATATGAGTATGATGAAGCAGTATGGTATTTAAAGACTTATACGACTCCCACTTCTTCCAGAGTTCAGATCAGACATTTAGTTCATCAATCTTAGTCTCCATTGTCGAAACACCATATCAACTAGACTCTCCTTGAATAAATCGCTTACCAATTCCTCAATCTTCGCAAAACAAATCCACATTCAAAATGAAGACCTTTGCCGTTCTTACTGTTCTCCTCTCTGTCGCCGCAGCTCTCAACCCTCTCGCACAACGTCAAGCGCAATGCGCATGCGACGTCTCCAAATGCCCTCCCGCTGGCACTGAAAAGCACTGCCAATGTGTTGTTAGCCTCACAGACAACTGCTACGTCGAGCAAACCAACGCCGGCGTTGACTGCGGTCTTCCCACCTACCCCGTAAGCCCATCGTCCCCTCTCACATTCTAAACCATCCCATTAACATTATTTGCACAGGACGGCTGCCAATCTACCGGCGAGACTGGCATTCCCGAACAAGCCTGTGGTGGATCGACGAACCAGACCTGCGGCGCAGGTGACATGTGCTACTTCCCAGACAAGTCCTGCGACCCCCAAACCACCGCCTGCACCGGCCTCTGTGCATCCGACTTCTGCGGCGGAAACTTCGACAAGCCTTGCCCTGATGCCCGGTGGAGCTGCGTCCTCGAGGATGCTTGTGTGAGGGCCGGAAACACTGATTGCGATGGCAAGTGTGAGCTCAACTAGATGCACTACATGTCATATGAGATTGTTGAGATAGTGCTGCTTTCATCGTTGCAGCCGAGTTTGGATGCTCCCTGATACCTTTCCAGTCCTTCCTTTCGGTACATATTTGCTTGTTTTATTACCCCCCTTTATTTCCCTATTCCTCTTTGCCCCCTTTCTTACCTTGTTTCATTCTTCCTGTATATTACAGATATATGGAGTGGACACGAAAGTCAAACATATTAGACTTGTTGAACCGTATATAGAACCTAAATGATTTCTTTCATACTTTCCCGCCTTGCCTTTTTTACTTAGGATCTACGTTTTGCTTGTGCGTTTCCTCTTTCAACTGACCCCCAAATACCTTCACCTGTCCTGCTACACTACAATACTTCGACACGATAGGCATCGCCTTCGTCCCTCGCGACATGCTTTAAATCTCCGATGTTCTCAACAAGGACGGCAAACTTCACTTCTGGGGTCAATCGTATAGCATTGTTCTTGGCAGCCTCAATAATGGCACAATTAATCCGAAGCAGTCTGAAGCGAAAGATCAAGACAACATACAAAGGTAGCCGGGACTACGTGATAATAATGTCAACAACCGGTCCACGAAATTCTGGAGATGCCTTTCGCGATAATACCACCGCTGATACTGAGGAATCGTCTGGGTCTGGAGAGACTATAACGACGACGTTATGTCGTTATCAAGCTAGTCAGGAAAGAATCGCCCAGCTCAGGCGTAAAACGAATCGTCATCATTTCTGCTGTTAGCACCAGTGGCAGCCTCGGAGCTTTTTGACTTCATTGTCACTCCGGAGCATCTTCCCCCAGCCTCTGTTCATCTATCCGACAACCCCGTCGGCCAGATCATCTTCCTCATGATGGTAGGGAAGATTGAGGCAAAACAAGTAGGTGAACGTTGGCCAGCCGACTTCAACCGCGAGGGTCGCGTGTTGCCATACCGTCGCCCACTCGGTCGACCATACATCATCGACGGAAAAGTCGCACTATGCAACAACGGCGCTCAACTGTTGTGTGGCGCCTCGAGCGAGCGGCCATTGACATAGACTTCTCTTCGTTATCATTCCCGGTGTTGGCTTGACTAGATCTAGCTGCGTTGATTTCGTTCTCTTTACAGTTGCTGGTGCTGGCTTCAGCAAGGCGGAACCCAACTGGACAGTCTTTTTTCTTTTCATCGTTGTTGGGCAAAGATAAGAGTTTCTTTCAATCGGTATTTCAGGTCTGGAGCCGTAAACTTGTGCTAGTCTACGCGCGTTATGAGCATCATCTCACTGTACAACTAGCGCAAAACAATTACGATAGATGTTGTTTTATTCTCACCAATGACACAATATTTAACTACTTAAGACTACGAAATTACTTTTTCCTCCTTGTCTTGGTTTTACCTTCGCAATGACTGATTATCTTGCTTCTTGAATTGATGCTGTTCGTTTGAAAAGAAACCCGTGTGACACTTGTCCTCTCTTGTACTGCATGACTTGCCGTAGCGCATTGATTCGACGACAGATGAGTATCGTGAGTGTGAATTGATCCATAGCAAGAAGACCGCTACTCGATTACTGTGCATCGAAGGGATAGATAAATAGGAGACACAAAAGTAGTTGAAGGCATTCAAAACCAGCCGTATTGTCTCCTTTCTATTCATCTTTGTCGGTGGGCAAGGCCAGATCGTCTGTAACGGGTCCCCAGTTTCAAAACCGAGATCATTTCTTGAATTCTCCATGCACCTTTCGTGGTGAATTGTATCTAGGTGATCCTTTTTAGGTACATCAAATAATCGTCCGTGGAGACTACAACGTATCTTGATGATATAATTTTTCTTTAAGATACAGGTTTCACAAGACATCTAGTGTGTGCACCTTCAAACGATACAAGTCAGTGTGGCTTCAATGTGGCACAACATGATTGGGGGAGAATGTTCGGAAGCTACGTGCATCAGGGACATCTAAACTAACGACAATACTGTCTTTTGGGGATTTCTACATTTTGATTCGTTTCATGTACCCTTGGTCCATCAATGTTTGTCAAGAAGCAAAGGAGTGATATTAAAATTAAACACTAAGAAGAAGATAATACCAACTAAGCGCAAGCGGCAGGAGGGACAGACCCAACAGCGCACACATTCTTCTGCAAGGTATTGACACCAGTTGAGTTATCATAGATGTCAAAGTCATTGCCAACCAACTTATTCTCCGTGACAATATTCCCAGTCGCCACCTCACCGGAGTATCCGTTCGTCAAAAAGATGCCAACACCCAAGCCATCGTTCTTGAACTTCTCGATATAATTCTTCTTGACGACGGTCTCGACCGCGCCGAAGACGACGACACCAGCCCCGTAGATCTTCTCGCAGCCCGTTCGTCGCGTGCTGAAGAAGTTGTCAATGATCTTCGCGCCCTTGATACCTGGGTCCGCGGCGCTGCCAACACACACGTTGGTGACCGTGTTCTTAGTGTACACACCGCCAGGTGTTTGCGCGCAGAGACCCGTGAAGTATCCGTCGACCTTGTTCTCTGAGAAGACGGCGTCACTGTAGTCGTCCATGCACATGGCGATGAAGTTGATGTCGACGGTCGAGATGTCGTTGGCCCATGCTCGGCTGCCCTTGCCGGCAACAGAAAGGAATCCATATCGTCCGCCGTTGACCAGCTTGTTCTGGAAGACCTTGACGTTCTCGGTTCCGACGGCCGCTATATTCTCGCCGTCGAAGCCAATGATCGTGAAGCCACTGACGCTGACGTTCTTGACGGGCTTGCCAACAGATTCGATCTTGCGGTGCTCGAAGACGTAGGGTAGGAGCTTGATGTCCTTGCCGTGAATACAGATGCCCGCTTCGGTTGACTTGCCGTCGAGGGTCTGTGCAAGACCTGAGCAGACGTTGCTTTTGGCCTTGGTGGGAGGCTTCAGTGTTGCACCCTTCTTGCCGACGAGCTGGATGCCGTCGGTGGTGATGGTGAGGCGTTCATAGTAGGTTCCGCCTTCGACCTCGATGCGATCACCAGGTTTGGCACGATCAATTGCTTTCTGAATGGACTGGCCGGGGTAGACACGGTTGCATGGCTGTTTATTGGACGGTGCTGCGAATGCGAAGGTGAAGAGAAGGGCTACGAGGATGAGCAAGGTTTGACTTCTGGATTGGAACATCTTGAATGAAGATATTGCCTGGTAGTTGAGATACTCTTAGCAGTGAATAAAGAGGAGCATACTAGAGAAGAGTGCACCATTCGATGTCCACGCCCTCCTACTTATAGCCTCAGACCGCAAAGGGTTTGATTGCGCTTTCAGCCCCAGGGAGCTTCATCGTAGACACGGCGATCGCAGATGGGACTATCATTTTCTGGTAGGGGTTTCCCATCGTGGTTTTCTAAAGTGGCATTTTTTAGTTTGGAGGATGCTGTCAGCTCAAGCCTAGTTCAAGCCTCATGTACGACCTTGAGACCAATGGCCTACTACAAGGCGTCACGCGGCGCGACGATTCTTTTTTGCAGCCAGTACTTCAATTTCAATTTCAGGGCGGTGGAAATGTCCATTTCAGCAATGTGGAATTTAAGACGTTGCAGATTGGTATTGTGCACTTCTTGGGAACGAATAATACTGGAAACGTGAAGGACTAGACATATAAAAGTCCAGATGGGAGTACATGCAGTACTACAATAATTACTAGCTAATGATCCTTTCTCACAGTTGTACTTACATTATCTCCGCAGAGCTTGAAAATGCTCCCTTACATTTCATTACCTACCAACAACAAAGAAGCACCAACCCACCAAAAGCCACCATCTGGGCCCCAAATCGAGAGGTCCAGCCAGTGCCTCTTCAAGCCTCATAGCTTCGAGCCCCTGCCAAGAGCGAAATAGAATGGATGGTCGTTGATCCGTGTATCCTATCAGCCGTCGCCAAGTTCGCTTCCTGATCCCGCCGTGTCTGCTAATCATCTCGTTGATCGGCGCTGTGGCACTCCGCCCATCTCTTGGCGGGAGCTCAGCTGAAAAAGAAAATACCCCGCCTTTCGCTTCTCTATGTTGAATACGAGATAGCTTTTTGCAGTATGAGTAGTAATCAAGTGGAGGGGAGGAAAGGCGCGAAGGTCTGGAATTGGTGGGGGAGGGCAAGATTGGTAGGGCTATTTGCGTTTCGGTAGTCCGTACCAGATTTTCTGATAGGATAATGCTTGCTCTATTCCTCATGCGGCCACTTTCGCTTTAATACTCCAGATCAAGCAATATGGGATCTCGACGGGCTCACCAGAGAATAAGAATATGCGTATGCCAAGGCAAATTCGTTCTGTAGAGAAGCAGATGCTTTTTTTTTGCAGTCATATTGAGAAACCGAAGGCAGAAATCGCGTTTGCAACAAGGGGAATGCGATCAGAAAACAGGAGAATCAATTGCCAGAACAACTGTTACAATAACTTCAATATGATTTTAAACCAGAAGCCCCATGCCTGGACTGCGATTTATACTAACGCTTTCCGTCATCGCCGTTGACGAAGCCTTAAAGTGTTAAGCAACGGTGGTACTGTTATGTAAGGTCGTCCTTAGAGTCGATCATCATCAGTACTTCCCCCATTTCATAAGTAGAGATAGGGGTAGGTATCTAGATCGAGAATTAGCCTTTCGATAATAATCGTAAGGTTTCTTTTTGGATGAGAAGTCAACTACTTGCGACCCGCCCCTTAGTGTCTATCATTCACGCGACCTCCGAATAGCCTTAGTCCACTATACTGCACCAGAATCGGATACGCCGCATTTGAGCAGAGTAAAATAGGCAAGGGAGAAATTTCGAATCATCAAAGTGCAAGATTCACACCGTGGTTCTTTTCAACCTGGCAGTATCGGGAATTAGATTCAGGAAGAGAACAACTTGCACATATAAATCACTGCACACTGACTTGTCAAAGCATATCTATAATGTATTCACGAAGCATGTACCTTTCAATATGATGAGGAGTCTTTGATTTCATATAGCCTTCCATTGGCCGATCCTGATAAACCGCTTCACAAAGGTCTTCACAAGCTTTCACTGACCCAAAAATTGCTCCGTAGAGTTTGTTAAGAAGCCGGGCATGCGAGCCAACCCAGCACCTGCTCAACTGAAACACCCTACATCAGTGGGAATCCGTTGCGATCCTTACTATTTCGTTACGGGATCGAGGTACCGGATAATGCCTTGAGTGACTACCTAATGTGATGTTTAGAGCTACCTCAATTGACCTCGCTTGAGAGAATCTATACCAACGTTACAAAAACCCCATTGCCCTCCGATAATTCCATCGCGTTAAAGGAACCCTATCGTAGTAGGACTGATATTGCCTTGAGAGTAACGGCATTGCTTTGAGAGAATTAACATTACCCTGAGAGAACCGAGCTCGAGTTTACTCCAACAGGAGACTGACTCATCACTACGACCAACTGAGAATCCTTCCATGTGTCTGTTCGATTGAGTCGACGTCGTTCTAGCGAGAGAGCACGGACCTCGCCGTTGTTATATGTATGCATTCAACGACGCTCCCAACCTTCTTTCTCCAGCGTCTCCAACAACCAACTCTGATACCGACTGGTAGCGTTCACGATAAGTTATGGCACCATCATGGTCCAGCCAACACATGTAGAGTTGATGACTAGCCAAGTCCCACATCGCACTCTTAATGTCACGAAGTTCGACATGGCGTGCCCGATATACCTGATCCATCTCGATACAAACCCATCCACTGTCGCATTCTCGGTACATCTCAGATGGACCATGCCATGCCATACAGCAATCAATTCCAGTATCACCACATCGAGCAAACCATTTCGAACTTCTCCTCTAGCCCCACGTTGTCAACGCAAGTCTGGTCGTTTGCGTTGATCAAGGGCGTGATAGAGTAAAGGAAGCTACCTGACATACCATACATTTGTCTACCAGCCCCTCCCACAAGCTTTCTGTCGCCGACCATGCGAGCGACTTCCTGCGATAGCAGAAGACTAAAACTCATCTACCGGATGGTCATTTATCTTGGTAGAGCGGGTGTAGTCGACTGCGCCTTGGCGCTTTCGAATGACGCCTTTACCTCCACCTTCACTGTTTCTCCCTCGCCGCACCATACTTGAACCCAACTCAACGCCCTCTTCCCTTGCGCACACAATACTCAAAAATCTCCTGTAACCACAAAAACACCCAATCAAAACCTCACTTCCTTGTTACATCTTACTCTCGGCCACCAAGATGAACGACATTGGAAAGCAGCTCAATCGTGAAGGCGCTGCCCAATTCATTATTAGGCCTACGGAGTACAACAAAAGTGATAGGCGCGACTACACAGTGATGGCCACCTTCATCTCCGATCTTCCTGTCGACGGGGCGGAAACTATTCATCCGTTCGCGCTTTCAGATCCATTGATAGCTTTTGATAGCCACGAACAGTATGAGGCATACATGAAGGATCTGGCGACTTTGATACGTACAGAATTGTCCATGGTATTGGCATTCTTCAAGAGAGTCGTGCACAAGCCCCCAGGCAGCTCTACACAGGCAGTGGATTGTGTGTTCCAGTTCCCGGCACGTACGATAAGAAGCGGAAACTAACCATGGGATACTTTGTCAACGTATACCTCGATCGAGAATCGCTCAATGAGTGTGGCTTGACCCCTGGCGACCGCGTCGAGCTCCATTTTAGTACCAAAGTCAAACTGTTGACTCTTAACCCATGGCGAGGCACAGTTGTAAAACCAAATATTACAACCGCGAGAAATCAAATAACTGTAGCAATTCGCCGTCCCATTATCGACCAAGCCTGCCCCGATCTACAAGACCCATCGAGTGAAGCTTATCTAAATTGAATGGCCTTCAACCAGATGAAGTCCGCATCAATGCCGCTTATCTCTGGTCAATGTTCGCGTATCAATACGACGCAAAGTATATTTTCATTGGCGACACGAAACAGTTAGGGCCTATGGTGTTTGGTCCGCGGTCAGATAACCCATTCCAGGCTCAACTGAAATACTCCCTACTTTCAAGGCTACAGGCCACTGGATTCCCTGTCCCACAGCTTACGAAAACAAGCCGTTTCCGCAACAAGCAGACTCTCCAGCTTTGCCAAATCGCGAACCACTCAATGGAGCTCGAGGCAGTCAGTCAAAAAGCACATCCGATGACAACTGAAAGTGGCAAATTCAACATGTTGCTGTATCGGAAGCACGCAAATGTATTGTTCTTGAATGTAGCGGATAGTGCGATTGGCAAAGATTCCAGTGGGTCTGCGTTTAACAACGCCAACGTAGTAACCGTAATAAGGGACCTACTGTACCGAATCCGCAAGACAACCAACCACGGCATCACAATAATGACGCCGTACAACGCTCAAGCGTATCAATATACGTCACTCATCGCCTTCTCTATCGCCGAATGCCGTAAGCTGGGGTCGGATGCCTTAATTGCGCGGTTGCAGAGTGTCCACGTCACAACGGTTGATAGTTATATGGGTGAAGAGCGATCCCATGTTTACCTCGATATGGTGGGCCCGGGCTTCTTGAGTGACCTTCGTCGGACAGTCGTCGCCCTGACCCGTGCGAGGGACAGTTGCACGATAGTTGGTGACGCCATGAGTATCGGCTTGGACAAAACGACGAAAGGTCAACACCCGTTGAATATTCTCATCCACACTCTCGCTAAAGAAGGCCGTTTCGAATCAATCCCGAGGTCTCAGTGGTCGGGCTTCTATCATTTTCCCTCAGTTCTCAGCGGGTATGGACTTAGCACTTAGGGACTCAAAGATCAACCGCAAGCCGTCAAGTCGTATAGATTCGGGGCCTCAGTCGCCTCTCGTATCGGTGATATACATACCGTGCCGCTGGAACATTGTGCCTATGACGAGGATGCTATAGCGTTGAATGAACTCCTCGACGCCCGTCAAAGGCGTTGAGAAGCGGCAGATAATGATAATATACAAAGTAATGGTTTTCAGTTCACATCTTGTGCCGATTTGGTGAAATCTCCTATCTGATGTTTGCCCCGTGAACGATTGCCCAATGCCAGTTCTTTTGCCTACTAACATTTTTGTAACCTCTTGTATCACAGACATGACCTTCAATTCGTGCATAGTTAGGTCACTAGCAGATTCGCTATTGTCAACCAACCTGATAGGCCACGATGTGAGCAGAGAATGCCCCAACATCTCTCAATTACCCTGATATATCTATCTCTTGATCCTCCTGTGACTCTCGCTTATACACGCGACTTCTCGATAACTGCATGTTATCCTACACGATTCTTCCCGATCCGCACGATAGAGTGGAGACGTCGCTGTAGTAGGGCTCACCTTATGCAATACTTGAAATCAAAGATCGTTGATATGATTGTTCACAACTGTGCCTTGGAGTTTCTCTCTGGTTGGGTACTGAGGTGGTGCACATAAACCTTGCTGTACTGCAATTTATATTTCCGAGCAATCTAAGAACAGGATTTAAAATATAAGCTATGAAAAAGGCTACAGCAGAGCTTTAAGCAGTTGTTCGTTCCATGTTGATGAGCCATCTATCTGACCACACGCCACCTGTGGCCAGCCCAGGTAGGTCATTCTCTTCCGAAACCAATGTTTCTCCAGACTGCTTCTATTACCACTAGTCACGTAGTCTTTGAGTATCTTCGTCTGCATTCTGGACTGCAATATACACTCCCGAGCAAGTTGATATCATTTTCACATTCACCAATGGGCTGCAGCAAGGTTTTGTCAAGTTATTCATTCGACGTTCTTGAACTATCTATCTACCCAAAGACCACCTGTGCTAAGGGAACCACTTCACTTGAGACCGAGATTCTTTCTGACTGAGTGGAACTGTTCGAACCTTGTCTGCTTCCGTAGGGCCATTTGACGATGTGGCATTTCACGAAGCGCATGCCGAAGTGGGTGGGACATCCACAGTACTTTGGTGTTTATGATGTCTCGCAAATCTCCGAACAGAATGCAGCTGCAACCGTACCTTGCAGTAAACTGATATGTTAATGACTGAGATGTCTAGCAGGACAACATTGCTCTTTTCACCGTTGAGGCCATCGATTGTACTGAGCGTTACCTTCTCGAGCTTCTTGACCATAGAGTAATCTTGGGAGGATTTAGGTTTAGCGATGGTAGACGTTCGGAGAGCGAGAAGGAGGGATAGTTGGTCGATGTATGCAGTCAGGACTGTGATGTCTTTCCCATCGTAACTGTTGAGTCGATTCAACAAGTCGTCGAAGATGGCGATGGCGGCAGGTATCTGAAACTTGGAGCTTGAAACATCAGTCTGTGGCGCGGGTAATTGTTCCAGATCAACGAAGGCTACAGTACTGTTCTGCTGGCAGTAGGCCGCTGCAAGTCTGGTCGAAAGGTGCATGCTGGGGCAGTGAACTTTGCTTCATTTACATGCTCGAAAAGTCGCAGAACACCCTCATTGCTGAACCGATGCATTTCTATTATGCGTTGTACCGGAAACCGGGTCGATTCCAAACGTTCGAGGAGGGAGACCTTCATTTGCGCACGAGAAAAGTGACCACGTGTAGGACTTGTTCAGGCGGGAGGCTTCTCCATCAAGAACAGCATGCGACTATCAGTGATGCCCCGGTGCAGACCTTAGTATGCTTTGCGGTGATTGTCTAGAAGCATCTTGGCGAATTCGCTAGTATAGGATCGTGCATTTATGTATTACAGCTCTTGTGGACCAGATTTGGACTTTGAATCGGCCATTGTAGAGGATATCGTAGCGAACCGATGGAGTTTTTGGTTGATGGAAGATGCGGTAACATAGTAGGTATCAACGTGGTGGTAGCGGGAATAGGACGAGATTGGGGGTTTGCTTTGCTTGTCTCCGCTTTCGGTTTCTGCACCCAGTGTAGGGAAAAGGGTTAACATTGTCTACATTTGCGTCAACATAGACGATCCAATGGTGATTGTTGGCAAATTCGACATAGACTCATTTTTGTCCTCAGGCCTGTTTTTTTTTTCGGCTGAGTTGGTGTCTGCTTGGACAGGCGCATGGTTGTTTAAGCTACCCCTGTCGTCTTGAGTAACGACTTGTTCGGTGCTCTTCGGCTGAGGCATTGTGACTGTTCTTGAGAATTTGGAAAGATTGGAAATCACCCGTTAACGGCCTACTTTTACCACTGAGCTGGGCGGGCTGACTTGTGAATGGCCTGGCCCTTGTTACGAGAATAGCGAAGGCAAGTACATTACGCACAATCACTAGTGAAGTACATATTGTTCAAGGGCCTTATATTCAAGTCAAAAAGAAGGACGAGGAAGTAGATGACAAGAACGAGAGCTCTGCGCTTTATGGTGCAGGTTTTCACTCGTCCTGCAACTGTGAACGAGGGTCATCAGAGGACTCATCCGTACTTAGCATACTAGATCATGTGTCCATCTTTCGCTGCGCTAGTTTGGTCTCTGTTAAGCTCAGCACTGTATGCACGATCACGGTATGTATCACGGCGTGATTGATTAGATGGTTGGGATCCACGTTGGATACTGCTCAAACCATGCCATAACTCCCCGCCGATGGAATCAAGCCATAAGCAACGCTCCAATTTGAAAGTTTTCGTAGATTGATACTATATGACACTGTCTACATGAACAACAGCGCTTGGAGATCAGTAGAAATGGTCTATTGTAGCTCCAGCGCGATAGATACAGCCACTCAACTACCCATGCCGCTAGAGGTCATGCATTTCTTACAGGTTCTCCCTTCACCACAGATCTAGAAGTTTAGATTCAACAACAGAGAATTAAGTCAAAGCTCGTAGTACGTCGGTGGTTTGATCAAGTTTAGCTAACAACAGGACACAAATACCGATTTATCAATTCATTCTTTCGGGATTTTAAGCTCCACGCAATCGGTGATGCAGAAACCGGTAGCGAAGGACCATTGCAACCAAAACAGACATTCGGTTGGTAGTTCCGCATTGGATAAAGACTTAGATGCGATTAGCATTCTGTAAAGGTAGTTGACATAGAGATTGGCCACTGTTGTAGGTGTGTATTGAGAGTATATGAAGCTTCTCGTATCCATGAACGAGACGAGTATCTAAGATATAAAATCAGATTGTGTTGGCTTTAATATATTCCATTGTACACTGATGTCCAACATGGATCATTTGAATGTACCGCACAGTATTTAAACAATTACCTGAACCAGTAGACATAAGTCCGGTATTGGTATGGAGAGTGATGATGCCCCTCCATGCCCCTTTATCGATACACTCGCCCAGGCCCACTCGACTAGTTCCCAATCCCGCCTAAGTCAACCCCGGCTTTCCCTTGTGCCTGGCCTTATTTCCACTACATTAATTACTGCAACTCGCAACATCCCTGTCGCCGAAATTTCGACTCACCACCACCATCTTACCACGCCGCGGCGACCAATTTCAACGCGTTGGTCGCATACTCTCCCTTCCTCTCTTATACTGGTCGCATATCTACATTTATAGGTTTCGCATTGCGACATTGGAATATCCATTTGTTATTTCCAATTGAGAATAAAGCGTTCCGCAATCTCACCATGGCCACCAAAACCGCGACAGCCACTGCGCCCGCAGATACACCACCAACAGCCACCGCCGCAGAACCTGTAGTCCCCAAGAAGCGCGGACGCCCGAGGAAGGTCGTCGTCGAGGAACCTGCTGTGGTGGAGGAAGTGAAAAAGGCAACCACGAAGAAGATTCATACAAAGACAGCGAGCGCAAAGGCTACGAAAGCTACGAAGAGCGCAAAAGCGGAGACAGAGGAGGGGGTGGCCGAGGCTGTTACAAAGAAGACTACAAAGGCGGCGAAGAGCACTACTGCGACGGCAAAGAAGGCTGTGGCTGCTGTGAAGAAGACGGTTGCGAGTGCGACGGGGAGTAAGAAGGCTGCCAGTACGACATCAACACCTGCTGTGGATGAGAAAGAGGATGTGGGAGTAAAGACAGAGACGAAGGCGACACCAGCGACGCCGGTGACGCCGGAGACAAGCAAGATATTACAAGAGGTTGCTGCGAAAGGGACATTGAAGAGCGTATCTACATCTTCTACCACAACTACGACCATACCTCCGCCAACTCCTGCAACCACAAAGACTCCCGCCGCATCATCACCAGCAGCACAACCTCCAACACCCTCTCAACCACCAAAAGCAACATCTCCACCACCCTCGCAACCTTCAAAACCAATCTCACAACCCGCGCCCACTCCATCCGCCGCAAAACCACCACCACCGCAACCCACACGAACAACAACAATACCCCTCCCCGCAAAACCTCACCACCCACCACCACCCCGACCCTTCCAACCGTCACACCTCCGCACCCCAATTGACACCCCCTCCTCCTCTTCGACCACACGAGCAACCATCCAACAACACCCTCCGAACTCAAAGCCTCCACCTCACCCACAACCCCAAACAAACCCCGACGGGTCCCTACACAAGAAATACAAGCCCGCGGCGCGCAGAGTCACCGCAATCATGGTCGGCATACCAATCGTGGTCGTCACATCGTACGAACTGTACAGACGCTGTACGTTCCCCCTCTTACCCCATCCCTCCCAATATCTCCCCAATCCTTCTTAATCTCCCCTTGATGTCCCATACTAACAAAACACGCCAGTCTTCGGCGACAAAATAAACCTAAAATACGACTTCTCCTCCCCGATCTCCTCCTCTCAAGGAACGAAGGAGTTCCCGTCGAACATGATCGAGAAACCAGCTCCGCCACCTTCTCCGGAAGCTTCTTCTTCGTAGATATTGCATCGTAACGAATTGTGGCATAGCGTACCGCACAGCACACCGCACCGCATCGTCCCGCGATACACCGACATCAAACTGGTTTTCTAGTACTATATTCTTACCCATCATCCCCCCGCCGCTTGTGGGAGGAAATCACATCACACATACGCAACCGAATCGAATCCGGCCGGTTGCCATCCATCTATCCTCTTATAATGTATCTATCTGACGAGTTCAACACGAATTCAATATCTCATATTGGGGGGAGGCGGGTCTTTGGACAAAAACGAAATCTCGCTCTAACGTCATATCACGATAAGGCGGGGGAGGAATTGGATATAATGAAACGCCGTCGCATATACACGCCACACGCCACTCACATCAAATGTCACATGCTGATAGAAATGCTTTTAATGAAATAATATGTCATGGACGATTCTGTGTACTGTAACTTCTCTTTGTTTCATTTGATGTGATTTCATTTATTGATTGTTGATTTGATTTGGTTTGATTTATTCATGGAGTTCGCGTCTTCCCTTCTACGCGGGGCTATCATATCCCGCGCTCGTGAGCACTAACTACCCAGGTACCCGAACGTCTAAAAACGCCCTATCTAGCCTTCCTATTGTGCCGTCATCTACCACACTCCCTCTGTATGACAAAAGAAAAACCGTGTACCCGTAGTGTGTATCCTCGCGTAACGTTTAGTGGGAATTGAAAAGTTCGAAAGAATAGAAGAATATACATGACTTAAAAGAGTCTGAGAAGGAGGAACAAGGAGGTAAAGTAAGGTAGCAAAAGGGTGGAGGTCGAAGTATGTACGTCCAAAAACGTGGTATATTCACAAGGGAAAGAGAAAAGGTTCAGAAGCCGAGTTTGGGCTTGACAGGTAGGGAGCTGCTCGATCACTCGGGAGCCAAGCTGCCCCTCCTTGAGTTGGAGTCTTTCTTGCGGAGGAGCATGCCTCGGGTCCCTGAGATATCCAAGGGGAGGGCTGTTGGGATGTTGGCGTCAAGAGGGACGGTGGTGCTGCCTCGGCGGTGCCAACGGCGCTGTTGGAGGTCGTCGGGCGTAAGTTGGAATGTGATTTTCTCGGCGGCGAGGCGCGTGGCTTCGGTGCTTGGTGTGAGGGAAGGGAGGGTGGGTGGTTGTGGTTCGGGTAGCGAGTCAGTGTGGGGGATACTGATAGAGGGATTGAGTTGCGACTCTGGGAGAGACTCGGTTTGGGGTATGGCTGGGACGAGGCCGGATAGCGCTTGGGTGGATGTGGCGACGTCGCGTTGGACGTGGGGATGCACGGCTGTTGAGCGCATGGGTGTGTTTGCAGGAGAGTGGAAGAGGCGTCTATAGCGGAGCTCGGGTGAGCTTGGTCTGGTGGCTCCCCTTTCGTTTCCGGTATTTAGTCGACTGTCGAAGAGCGCGGCTGGGTGATATGGCGTATTCGGTTGCGAAGCCGACGGGAATAGTTGGTGGGTAGATGGCCAGAGCTGTGGGTGACCGGGAGGCGACGATGAGAAGGGATCAGGGGATGACAGTAAGTCAGATGCATCCGTATCGGGAGAGAGCTCGCCCTCATCCTCTCCAGTATCAGTGGTGGTTTCGTCCCCGCCAGTCGTAGATGACGATAAAGTTTCGAGAAACGCACCGCGCGAAAATGACCTCCCGGTTGGCTTCATCAGAGAGCTGATCGGGTGAGTGGGTAGATAAGGCTTTGAAGGGTGGCTTGAAGACATCATCAAATGCATCTTGTTATCACGCGGGGGTGACGGTGAGGGCGTTGGGGTTGTGATGACCTCTTGTTGAAAGCGAGTCGTCTTTACAAGAGGCTTACTCGTGTGAAGAGTCTCATTTCCTTGAGAGAGCGGACGGCTGGAATTGCTAATATTGCTATCCATCCGACGAGGGCTGAAAACAACGCGAGCACGCAGCTGCTGAATCGTCTCATCCAGAGCAAGCTCGATCGCAAGATGGTTTTGGATCTGAGATAGCTTGGGCCATGTGGCCTGTTCGCCTGCAAGCATGGCTTCAAGCATAAATTCCGTCGTCGGGTTGCTAAGAACCTTGGGGAAATTCGCATACGAGATTGCTGGGAGGATTGTGATGTCTCCAGAGTATCGCTGGTTGAGGACGGACCGTATTTTGGTGAGGTAGTTGGGAAAGATGCCCATTTCTGCAAGCACGTGTAAGCGATGCAGAGCTTCTCCCTTTGCCAGGTTTGCCATGTTATGGACCCAGGATGACCCCGCTGTTCCGGTGATGTCGCTTTGAATCTCTTTGGTAAGGCTCTCTTCTTCTTGGGCCAAGAATGGAACCACATGAGGATTCACCTGCGAGACGATGAAGTGGTTGACATTGAACATCTCGGCAAGCCTAGTCATCGGAAGATCGTTGTCCACAGAACCATCAATGAAGCCGGCATTTGGAGTAGGATTCCATGGGACCTCATCTCCAGTCTTCGGGTCCTTGGCGAGTAGGGATGCTGCAGAGAAAATCAAAGGGACTGAACAAGACGCGCATCTAGTGGTTTCATTAGCACAGCAACATTAGACTGCAACTCAGGGGAACTTACACTGCGGACCAGATCATAACGTTCGGAGCGGTGACGTAGTTCAATAGCCTTGGCAGCTCGTATACGCTTGCACTCGAAACGGTGATGTTCAGAATACGCCTTGTACGATTGTACGATTCTTGGAATGTAATGTTGCCCAGTAGGCTCCGCATCACATTCATCAAATGAGTAATGTCGAACAGCGATCCATATTTCAGGAATCGAGTGGCCTTCTTCATAAGTCCATCTTCTTCGCCTTCTCGCTCGAAGACAGCAAGGTCGCCATAGCAGAATTGATCGAGAACATTTGGTATTTCAGTATCGGTCTTGCTGCAAAGGACAGCGCACACAATGCTCCCGGCTGAGGCACCCGAAATGATGCGAGGCAGGAGTTTCGCCTGCCAGAGACTCTTCACGACTCCGATGTGGTTCATACCGAAGGTGCCCCCTCCCGAAAGAAGCAGAGCACTTCGACCAAAGGATTGACGGGCCAGTAATAGCTGCTCCATGAGTTGTCGAGGTTCGATGGGGCAATTGTCACCTTGTTTAGCGGAGACATCCAGTAGGACGGTCAGAGTTCTCTGTGCTGATTCGATGTACCTTTCGATCAGAGTTTTTGTCCCAACGTGAGAGTGTTTGTATAGTCGCAGGTCACCCATGCCACCCAATCCACGAGTCAAGGCAGTCCGTACGAGGAAGAGCATTTTCGGCACATCGCAGCTCAGCTGAGCTTCGTCAAGCTGTCGCAGGCGTGCAGCCACGAGCGCGGCGTCATATTCAAGGGATTCGTCCTCCGATTTCCAGGCATCGTTTCCCTCTAGTGTGTCGAGTTCCGTTGCGGCAGCCTTCCATTCCTCATAGGTTTCGGCCTAGAAACTAGTCAGTACGTCCCGCAATAGTTGTAGACACATCCAGACTAACATTGCGCAAATGCAGATTCAAAAGCTGCTTCCGTGCCTCAATCTCCCCAACTGGTTCGATTCCTTCAGGTATTTCCCCATGGCTTCCTACGAATCCGCTTAATGTCCCTACAGGATCTTTAACCAGGTGTATGAGCGGCGTGAAGAGACCAGAGTGGCTCTGTGCCTTTCTCAGCCTTTTTGGCGCATTTTTCCCTTTCCTATCTCCTTCATTGTGTAGTGTACTGCTACCGGGAAGTACGGTATGCGAAAGGAAAGACATGAGGGTGTGTATTCGCCATGCGCCTGTGTTGCGACGGCTGCGGAGGGCCTCGAGTGGGCGGTGGGAGAGTAAACGAATCCAGGAACGACAGCAACCGTAGGTTTCGAGGACTCGAAATAGGGTAGGAAACTCGTGTGGTTTAGGAGTGCGTTTCGCCTGGGGTAATTAGGTAGGTCAATAGTAGGACGACGGAGGGGATGTCTTCAATATTAAAAGTAGGAAACGCCGGACGGATAGCAGTACTGTCGGGTAGGTCACGCGCAAGTGGAAGACAGTTTAGCTGCGCGAAGTGCGGATGATCTAGTGCGAGATCGGGACCAGGGTTTCTTGTGGGGAAGCAGGAACGAAAGTGTTAGTGTATAATATGGAAGAAGAAATGGTAGCTACTTGTAGAAGTACTTTTCAGCTGTAAATAGTTGAGAGAAATAATCATCCCACTTGTAATACCAATCTTGGAATTGTAAGATGGGCTGAATGTGCTGTTCCTATCGCTGAGCAAGGGATAAAACATGAGCAACACTTTCAGCAGCCGAACGTCATCACATTAATGCATGGCTACTGGACAAGGAACATGAATGCAGGGGTGTAAATGCTTGCTATTCCCTTAAGAGTACAGTAACTGATACAAGTATTGCTACTCGTATCTACTGTTGTAGGTACATGTTCCGCGTTGTTTTTGACCGAACAGTCCAATCAGATCATATGCCTATTTCCGTCCTCAAGATCATCGGATACAAATGCACGTTGGCACATGGCCATCGTGGAATCGGCGATTTCCTGTCCCATGGTGTTGATTCAGCGTTTCCTAGAAGAGCCCAGCGTACCATTCAATCTTTGGTGGACTGACTCGCTCAAACACACAAAGGACGGCGTCGTAGTACCTGCTGTATTGATTTTCCTGGTCTGACATTCGTGCTCAGCATTACAGCTTGAGAGTCTGTCTGACGTACCAGTACGAGTACGGTGTACGCAACGCTTCCTGTGAACGAAGGCCACCCCCACGCCCGTCCAGCTCGTGGCCAGCAACGATTCGTTATGCAACTTATATGCAGGTCCATCCTTACTTGATGAGTCAAATGCTGGACTTCTCACATGAACATGTCATTTTTCAACGTGTGCCAAATGGTCGGGTAGAGCGATGGTCTTCGTCATCATGATTAGTACACTGGCATGACCTGTGTCGCTGCTGCTTTCACATGTCAGAGTGCGCTTAGACCAGTCATTCTCACATTTGAAGGGGGGAATGGCGCGGAAGACCATCACCCACTGTTTTAGAATCGAAAGGCAAGTCGCTCGAAACAGAATGGGTTGCACAGGGAATGTTTGCTCGGCTTTCTTGCTATGAGTAGTTTCATGTGATCTAATCTCCCTGGTGTTTGCTCTCTGCCTGCTGTGAGCCGGTCGCTTGAGAATCGGCGTGAAAGGTGGACTGATGATAAGACAGTTTGCAAGTTATTTTGGCCGGGAAAATAATTGAGGATCTTCATTCCGATCACGGCAGAACATGTCGGCGAATATCTTCTTGTTGCATAGTTGCGTTCCATGGTTCTTCAACGATCAAAGGTGGACGGCGAATTCCCCCGGAGTCGGCAGCGTCATTGACTTGGATGACTAAGTCCCGCCAAGACCAGACTTAGATCTAATCTAATATCCGAGATCAAAGATACCTCCGAACCATCTCCATAGCAAAGGACAGCTTACGTCTCACAGCCAGCTCCAGCATTGGCGTGAAGCTTCACGACCAACACAACACAATCACAACAATGAGGTTCCTAAGCACCACGATAACCTCTTTCCTGCTCTCGAGCGCATGCCTAGTGTCTGCCGCATCATCATGGGGATTTGAAGATGCCACATTGACTGTGCAGACCAAAGGTGCGGGCGTCGGCGCAGGCGTTAAGGAAAAGTGAGCATACATTCCCATACCCTATATTTATGCTCTCAACTTACAATCCCACCCTCAGGCTTAGCTCCAGTGCCCCTCTTGCGAAATCCGTAAAATTGGGCGCGACCGATACTTTGAAGCTCCTTATCACCACCACCGATGGCAAGAAAGCGAAGCAGCCTCACCAGGCATTCCTAACATTGACCGACCCCACAACCGGTGTTGAGGAGTCTTTCGTCTTCAGCGTCAAGGAGAGCGGGAAAGGCAAGGTCGATTTGGTATGTGACAATCTCAATGGCGATTTTGACATTAGATTGACTGACAATCATCGTAGACCCAGAAGGATCTCCCCTTCCAGTTCCTCACTTCCTCAAAGCCAATCCCCGCCTCCATCGTTATTGGCTCATTCGGCAGCTCAACTCCCTACCAAGCCAGAGTTTTCGATTTGAACATCGCTCGCGATCCTAACGTACCTCTTGCCGTCCCCGCCGCGCCTGAACGCTACACTGCGGAGAACGAGATCCACCACATCTTCCGCGATGATCCAAAATCTCCCCCCAAGATCATCACCTTGGTCTTCACTGCCGCCGTGCTCGCTGCTGTCCCCATTCTCCTCGGTGTATGGGCAACTCTCGGTGCCAATCTGAACCACCTCAGCAAGGCCTTCAGCAACGCTCCCATCTCCCACGCGCTATTCTTCGGCTCCATCCTCGCCATGGAGGGCATTTTCTTCTTGTACTATACCACTTGGAACCTCTTTCAGACCCTGCCCGCCGCAGGTGTCGTTGGGCTCGTCGCTTTCTTGAGCGGAAGCCGCGCTTTGACCGAGGTGCAGGAGCGTCGTTTGGCTGGACTGCGTTGAAGCGCGCGAGTCGATTTAGGAGAAGCAATGTCATGACAGAAGAAGCGTATGTGCATGTATATGTGAAGCATTAGTTGCCATATCAATGGACACATCCAAAAGTTCTTGCAAATCATGGTAGAGCGAAGCTGCGGTGTTGGAGGCCACGGGAAAGAATCCGAATGACTAGAGTCGTCATTCCACGAAGATATGTATTCATAGCAAAAACATGAGAGAAGAAAACTCGCGAGGCCGAGAAAGAAATATATACTCGATGTGACGCGAGACCTCGTTCCGCCAACATGCTGTGACTCTCCAATACATAATATCAAAATGACCCACATCCACCCCTCTACTCTTCCCATCCAGTTCTCCCATCATTTACCCCAAAAACCCAACCACCCCCTCCGCATCCTCCCTCCCAACAACTCCCTCCTCAACCATCTGCCCCAAAACCCCCACGACATTTCCCGCCCTCCCCTTCCAACCCGGATTCACCACCACCGCCTCCGCCCCTCCAGCACCAAACACCCCCTTCAACACCTCCGCAACCACCGCCTTCGCATCCGCCGTCCTCTGCACCTCCCCTCCCCCCGCCCTCCCAGCATACGCTCTCGCATTCCTATAAAACACCCCCGCGTTCCCCACCAACACGCCCCTACTCTGCGCCCACACCGGCTTCGCCGCCGCGATCCGGAAGCGAAACAACTCCGTGTCGCCGCGGGCAAGGAAGATGTCTGCGAGGCGGGAGGGTGAGAGCGGGGGTAGGCTAGGAGGGTTGGTAGGGGTGGTGAGTTTCGTGAGGATGGATTGCGCGAGGGTGAGGGATGTCCATTGGGTTTCTACTGCTTCGTGCTGCTCTTCGTTGGATGGGGATGGGGAGGAGGAAAGCATGTCGTGGACTGAAGACGCGAGGTCGATTAGTGCGTCCGCGTGTCCGGACAGCGCGTTGACGATGCCGATTTTGCTGGCTGGGTCGTTGGTGGTGTCTGCGGCCGGGGATTCAACGAGGGGCGCGAAGATCTGGGAGACTTGTGCGGCGTACTGCGGAGCCGTGCTTTGGTGGCTGCGGTACTGGAGCTCCGCGATGTTGGATTTGAAGTTCGCGGCTGCGAGGAGGGCGTCGTCGCGGGGGAGAGAGTCCGGTTCTTCTGCGTTGGCGGTCGAGCCGATAGAAAGGGTTGGGCCTGGGGCGGGGTCGTCGACGGGTTTGGTGAAGGGGGAGGTGGGGATTAGGGTTATGAGGGTTGGGATGCGGGTGTTTGCTGTTGAGAGGCCGGTTTGGGCGCGGAATTCTTGCGCGAGGAGGTCAGAGGGATCGTAGAGTCCTAGGAGGGTTGTCAGGGCTGCGAGTTGCGCAGTGCAGGTCTCGAGGATGGTCTCTGGGGTCAGAGGTTCGAGGACGGTGGCCCATTCTCCTTGTGCCGAGGATGAGGTGGAAGAGGCGGAGGACTCTCGTCTTGTCGGAGCAGGAGGTGCGGATGGAGCGGTGTTCTGGTCGTCTTGTGCTTCGCTGGCTTGGGCTATGTCGTGCTGAATCTGCTCATACTCGCGGACCTGGATATCGAGGCACTGGGTAAATATGTCTGTGGCTTCTTCGAGGAACTTCCTTGCGGGGATCTTTGCCTCATCATGAGAACCCTCCTCAAGTATTGCTTCTGCCAATGAGGCCAAAACCTGGCCGGTGTTGAATAGGACATCCGTGTTCTCGGAATTCAAAGACAGCGCGAAGCGATGAGATTGTAGCGTCTCCTCAAGGAGTCGTATCTTATTTCCAAGGATTGCAATGATTCGTTCATCCTCGCTCATTTTATATTCGAGATTTGCCCTAAGCACGTGAGCCAGCATGTTTTTTGAATCCAGTCGAGCCCAGATGGAACCTACTTGTTGTAGGCCAGATCAAAGGAATTCGGATACCGCGCGAGACCAGCATTGTAGAAGTCAATCGCACGATTGTAGAAGCGTGTCGCTTTTGCAGGATCGCCAGCTTTCCATTTTCCTGCGCCGGCTTCTTCTTCGTCTGCTGCTTCCAGGAAGTCGTTTTCGGTTTGTGGGTCGTTCGCCTGAAGTTGTTAGAGCGAGTGAATGAAATTCTATGATCATGAAAATACCTTGGGCTTTGCTTTGCCCTTGGGCTTTATGAAACCTTTCTTTTTGGGAGGCATCTTGGATGTTGAAGTGGGGGAGTTGAAGGTTTGAGGTCGCGGGAGAAATGCAAGGTAGCGACGATGTCATTGGTCGCTAAAAATCAATGGGCAGATTTCTCAGCAATGCGCGAAACGCAGTTGAGAGACACTCGTTTTTTTGGCAATGTGTATGATATTCATTATTCATTAGACGGATAATTTTGTACAGAGAAGACAACCATATTGTCAAAATGCAACCCGATCACAGCTTCTTCAGATTGAAATCATCCCACCACAGCGTCTTGTCTATCAGCATCCCGTTCTGATCGAACAACACGCCCTCCCCCTTCAATAACTCCAGTTTTGACGTCTGATTCTGCCCGCTTGGTACTTTCTCCCAGTCTCCCTTGAACCCGCCGATGAACTATCATCCCTTCATTTTAGTAATCGTACTGTGTGTCTGTCCTTTTATAGGAACACTTACGCCCGTACTCGCGATACAGCGATGACACGGAATCTCCGGAGCGAATGGATTATTCCTCAGCGCACCGCCGACTGCCCGTGGTGATGAATTCAACGCCTTCGACATGGCAGCATATGAAGTGATTCGTCCCTCCGGGATCTGCTGCAAGAGGGTATATACGCGGGTCTGGTATTCGGTCACTTTGGCCATTTTTGCGGTTCCTTTTTTGGTTTTCCACTAGAAGCTTGAGAATGAAGAAGAAGACGTATGTTGAGATTATGGATTTGATATTGGGGTGGAATGACGCGGGTTTATCAATGGATGGAGATGGGAAACGCGTGGTCACGGGCTCCGTGGAGAGGTGGCTTTGGAACTGACCTATCACATGCCGAGGAGCAGCTAGAATCCGTGCGGGAAGCACTTGAGAGGGCTATGACATTTGGCAGATTACTGATATAATTGCATTCATAAGATATGAATGACTCATTCTGTTCATGGAGGGATGCACAGCTGGGCGTAGGTTTGATGAGTCTTCAAACTGGGACCGTCGCGTCCAAGGGTACGCGACAAAGTCGTCCTACCGTTTTGCTATACTACTTGTACAGACGGTCCAGGCAGAACCCTAGAGCTTTTGTGTATAGGACGTATTCGGTATTCCAATAGCATTCAGTATTCCATCAAGCTTGGAGGGCTGTGCGCGGAGCGTCTTCCATTCCTCCTCATGTTTGACCATAAGAGTGCCTCCTATTGTGGTCCCATTCAGTGCGACAAACCCAGCCTCGGTCCCGTCATCTCGTCGGAGCATACCGCCCTCAGCGCGTCTAGGCAATATGACCATTCCAGATGTCGTGATACCGAGATTGTAACTTATTGGAAGGTCTCCTCCCTCCGTAGAGTGGAGTGCCAGTTTTGCAGGATCATTTTGTTCAAACGCTCGCACAGCCTTTTCCGCTGCGCGGTAGAGATCATGATACGCTTTCAAAAGCTGGCTCGGGGTGGGCTCATCAGGGAAACGGACGGCATAATGGGTAAAAGGCACGACCGCATTTTGAAGCAGGCCCTCTATTCACTTCTTCAGCTGCAAACTTCACTCACGGGCAATACACAATGGCGAATACCTTGGTCAGCTGGCTTTGCGTTGGCCAGAATATCATCGATTAGTAGCTCCCAATCATTGTTCTCATTATCCGCCTTCACATTCTCGACAGGCAGAAACTGGAGATGCCTATGCGGCTGGCTCGCTCCGCTATGTTCTCCGGAATTGAAGAAGGCAAACAGTCGTCGCTGTTGGCCATTCGCCAAGTCGCCTTGCCATGCTTTCAAGCAAACGTATGTGGCCTCCAAATCATCCTCCTCTAAGGCGTGTGTTTGCTGTTTGTAGCTCTTCGTGACAAGTATGAAGTGTTCTGGGATTATTGGGAACTTGTTGAGTACCAAGTAATGGGTAGGGTTCGAGCTGGGGATATCTGCAATGTGTAGTGCTGGGTCAGGGTTCTCGAAGGGGTTCGGCTTCTTCGTCTTGGGGGCTTTCTGTGCCAGAGGCTGGGGCTTCTTCGCAAGGGATGGGCAATATCTCAATTGAAACTACGCGGGCCGTCAGTGAAGTGCATGGAGGCGGTGGGGTAGCTCGTACGGGAAGGCCGTTTGGTGTGCGGAGTATTGCGAGCTCTGTGGGTGAAAATATCAGGCTCTGTGCACCCTTTGCTGCCTTGTATTTCGCTTCTACCAGACGAGGAAGCGTATCTGAAAGTCCTAACAACATCGTCAAATGCTATTGTTGTAAAGTTACGAGCGATGTTTCTAATTGCATTGCGTGGGGAACCCCAAGTATGAGATCAACACCGACGCGAGCTATGTACTTCGTGCACGTCCCATGTTTAAAGCAACGTCATAGTGAACTGCAGACACTTCTTTCACCATTCACGACTCCACGATAGAAATTAAGTCTGTAATAGTAATTTATTCGGACCTGGAATATCAATATCTGTTATATCCCGCCTCGTATACTTCCTTTGGTCGGCATCCATTGAAGTTGACATTATTCCAGTATTCTAAATCAACGAAAATGTGATAGATCCTAATACGAGATGAGAGAGAAAAATCGCATCAATGGTAAATATGCTGGAACCCCCCACGCCGATTACTCCCTTGAACAGATATGCCTATAGGAAAATGAATGAAGACCGACAGTATAATGGTACAGGCCATGGCTCGAACCACCAGGTCTTCACAATAAAGATGAGAGGTGCTCGATCTCGATCCACTTCTTCTTGCAGGTCGAATTGCCGAAATGGTACGAACCGCCATGGTCACTGATATGGTCGGCGATCTTCCTCCAGGATATCTTAGACAGCCTCTGCTCTCGGGTGGCATGCTGGTACACAGCGTCCAGCTTGTCGAGTTCGCGTTTGACCACTTCTGTCAGGAGCCGAATCTGATCAAAGGGTCAGTTGAGCACAACTCAGAGGCCAGGAAAACTTACATCTCTGTCAGTCCACTTTGGTTTACGAACACGCTCTGTCCTTGGCTTGATCAACGACCGAAAGCGCCCTCTCAAGGTTGATTCTGCCACATGCGTCCCTATTCTCATCTTGATCTCCTTGTATGTCAGACCGGCCTGCTTCAGCTCCAAGAGCTCTTGATCCTCGTAGCGACGACGTGCATCTATCCTGTCACCCGCCATGAATTCGCCCTGAGCATTTCCCATGCTGAATTCCTGATGCGTCTCGTATGGCGAGTTGACCTCGAGGGTGTCACGTAACGAGTCGTCTCGACTGGATGGTAGACTCTCGAAGGTTTCGACGGAAGGAATGACCTCGTAGTACTGCGGAAAGGTTGACTGTTGCTTGTCGGTTGGCGTGTTGGCGTAGTCGAAGAACAGAGGAGAAGACTGGTGGTAGACGTCATGCTGCACAGGTGCTTGACTACGGAGTGGCAGAGAGTTGGTATAGTGAGGCTCGGGATTCGCATTGAAGAACGTCTGACTCCCCAAGAGATTGGATGAAGGAATGGAGAACTTCGACATCGACGCGCTTGGCAGAACCAGCGATGCGTCATTGCCGCTCCAACATGGGGACGAACTCAGAAATCCCTCGGTGTTTGATTGACCATCGGAAGGTTCGCTGAGCATGCTGATGGGTGACTGTGATGTAAGGGCGTTTCCAGTATCCAACCTTCGATAACTTAAGAAGGAACTGTAGGATGCTTGTGGTACCTGCGAATTGGTGACAGGGACTTTCTCGGATTTGATTGAAGATACATCCCACTTAGTGTCTGTTTGCACCAAGGGACGCCAGTAGTCAAGAGAAGTCGGCATTGAGCTCCATGCTGGGTTGTTCTCCTCCATAAGTGCGTAGGATGACGAGGCTGGAGTATTAAACCCGAATGGTGCCTGATTCGATGTTGGTGTGGATGTCATGTTCTGCGCAGTTCCCTGTAAGATAATCAAATATCTGCACTCACGAACGAAGGGCGTCACCTACCACTGTGAGAAAAGCTGATCCAGAAATTGGAGACACAGCACGTTGACGTCTGTCTGCTGCTGTAGTGATCGAAGGTCGCGATTGCGGACGAACACAGAATGTCGAGGTTTGAGCGGGTTTCTGAAAGCGATGGGAGTTCTGCAGTGCTGCTGCCATAACAATCAGAAATGCTTGCGCAGGGCGCGACGACTTTGTGAGCTTAAGTAGTATGTCGGGTTCAGGTACGGATCATTCGCGGAAATGTACCTTTACCGCCATTCACACAGGTGATTAATAGTAGTGGACGATGCTCTCTTACGAACTGTCGGTGAATGGTGTGGGGGTGATGTCAAGTGATTCGATTTTCCGCATTCACAGTTTCGCGATGTGAAGTCCGTATCGAACAATAAAGGGTTCTCGGAGGAAAGCAATGGATCACAAGACTTAACAGTGATTAAAAGGCTTGCGTGTCAGAACTCATGAGTTATGAACCTTTCTTATGGTCTGCTATTGGACTGCAGCCAGTACGATGGAAATATCGTCGCGGCGTCGGGCTGGAGGTCTAGTATAGCCCTTTCTGGGTTACAGAAGTACATGAACAAATACAAACAACGCTATCCAGCTGTCAGTGATGTCGTTTCGTAGGCCAGGTGATCACCTACTACAGTTCAAAAATTACAAGCTCGATACAAGATAATACAAACCGCCCGTAGAACTACAGTCGTAGAGGAGTAACGAAGAGAACGTGAGATGTGAGTCTATCTTTATGTCTCAATTTACTCCCAGTGCCGCGTACCTGTAGGGCGGGTTACTTGAGCGGCCCATGCCTCTTTGTTGCTATCGTAGCCAGGGAGCGTATCCTAGCTATCCTTAAGGTACCTTCCCGCAGAGCACACAAAAGTTGACCATCGAGTCGTTACCAGCAACCATGAAGGCGAAGCAACCGTGCGGGGATCAACAAATGAGATCCATAATCTTCGAGAGAGATTCTAAGATAACGATGCCTATTGGCCACCCGCATGTTTAAGTTTACCCTCATGGCCCGTACGGTTTACCTATATGCTTCTCTGCGGGTAATAGTCTCCCGACAAAACCTTGCATATGCGCTGTTGACGATCTCATCATGAATGGATCCGTCCATTATCCTCAACGGAACTCTGATACGTCACTTGCAGTTGTAATTCACCTATATCAGATCAATGATATTCAGAGAGCAATCATGAATATTGCTATGGTAGGTCGCAAATTGCTCATTTGGTTTGGTCCCGCTGTCAGTTCGTCTTGATAGGGTGACGTGCATATGCGAACGGGAGTGCGCATGCGTAGCAAACCTTGGCATGACAGCTGCCAACTCCACATCGCTGGGACGTGGCGAACTGAACATTCACAGTATCCGTAGACAAATGACATGTAACTAATTCCTAGGCTACCTATGCTATGTGTCGAAAGTTGTAGAGGTTGCCGTCACCGAGTTATCAAGAATCAGACCATCGTACGCATACTCTTCGATTGTACACTGCGGTGAATTGCTATCGGTAATAACATGCTCATCGCAGAGCACGTTTAAAACAATCTCCCTATGATATGAGGATAATGATCAGTCACTCTTGTGATCGGTACTTTACATATCTGGCACTGGTCAGGTCCTGCGCGAATCCGGGCCGCACCCGTTACCACTTGGGCACAGTATGGAACCTTACTTTTGAATTCGTGATAGCAAGGCACGCTGAAACGTGGGGCATAGATTGTGAAAATATGTCGTAAAAGCAATCTGCGTCCACGGCTGGTAATGTCAATCTGACAGGTTGCAACCGGACGCCACCGTCATGTACGCGGGCGCAGCCACCCGTTCCGACAGAAGTCTGCACAGGCCATCGTCTCTTGTTACACAATGTATTTTGGCTTGGATACACAGGTATGATTGCATGAAGACAAGGTATTGAACATGTTGAGACAGCTGAGGTTTGTCTGATATCGTAAGCAAAGACGGCTTTGCGAATCGATTCTCAACTATTTTCATCGCATGGCGTATAGAGAGAGCACCAGTGACCTCACGAATGAGATGGTTCATCGCCTAGTTACACAGAAGATCGGAGAAGGCTAAAAACCTGAAGCTTGCCGAGATCCGCTATGCCACATTGCTTAAATCTTCGCCCTACCCCCTGGAAGTAGCTCCAACTCTCTAACGGGAAGGTCTAGGTACGACCACATGTAGTGAAACCTGCGTAGTCGATCTTTAGCCTTAGCTTTTTGGTCGTTGTTTGTCTCAAGGCGCATGCATCCGGCTGTTCGGCGGCCAATTTGATGTCCCACCCTTACCTGAGTAAGTAGAAGGGCGTGGGGAAGTTAGCTCACCTGTCACTTCCAAAGAATGGCTCCTCCTTGCCTTCGGAGTTTTTCACCCAGAACCACGGACAGCCGAATGCGCCTCGGTCCAGAGCTTGCTTTGTGTTGTCGTTCAATGCCTGCTTGTACTCGGGACTGTTTGCGCCCTTGATGATGTTTTCTACTTCGCTTTTGCTGAAGTGCTGGGAGAACGTCTTTGCAAGAAGTTCTGGCTTACTGACATCCACACCTTTCTCCCACATTTCAACAAAAAGGTCGCGGAATGCCTGAATGAAGAGGTCTGGATGTTGCGATTTGATGTAGATCAATGCCCGCTGTGGCAGCAAGGACAGGATAGGGAAGAAGTCAGGTGTCTTGACATTTGTGGCTCCAAAAAACTTTTTTGCCCGCTCGTTGTCATATTGGCTATACGAGGCTTTGGCGGGAAGTGTCCACGGGGGTTTATTTCCTGCGTCTCTTATTGGATTTCCAGACTGTGTATGTCTCAGATGGGTGATACAGTACCGCTACCCACGTTGATTCCACCAAGAAAAACGGGCACTATACTGTCTTTGTCTCAGCTTTGTTCGCAGGGATGAACCGGGTACAGATGAAGAAAAGTGGGCGGCTGTGATCAATCGAAGATTATCGATCGTAACAAAGCATATCAGATATGATTGGTCATTGGATTGTCGGGCGGCCGAGGGAAGAGAGGGAGAGGTCTCAATGGGGGACCAATGGCCACTTACTCAATATCTACTCCGTGTGATTTGAGAAGACCTCTATGTTTCTCAAGATAGATAAGAGCGAAATACGAATATGGCGATACTGCGAGTAGATTGGAGCTTGAGACCTAGGCATGTCAAAATAATTTGAGGTAATTGGAAGACCTACCACAATCAAGATAGCACGTTATTAGACCCCCCATATTCGCAATTTGTGATCAAGTAAATTTGGAAGTTCGAATGATGACAAAATAAGCTATACAGGCCATGCGGTGTTATAACAATAGTGTTGCGGGGTGACGCTGGGGTAAACCAAATCTGGCAGCCGAGGTTAAGCCACTTTGGGCTGGTCAGGGGCCGAAGATTAGTGAACATCCGCCTCAGTGAAGCTCTGCACTTCCAATCCATACCTAGGTACATAAATGAGAAACCGAGGCTCGGTATGGAGAGGAAAGTGTTGGTTGACTCCAATACAGCTCTGCAGAACGTTCCTCTTGCGGTGAAAGAATAACATCAATTTGAAACTGCTGGTCCAACATCCAGACGATGTCTACAAAGCACAATCGCGTCGCCCTTGTCGTAGGTGCATCAAGAGGCATCGGCAGGCAGATCGCCATCGATTTAGCACGTGATGGGTATCGAGGTAAGAACATTGCCTCTATACTTGACCTTGGCTGATGAAGTTGTGTAGTTGTCGTGGCCGCAAAGAGCGTCTCTGACGCGTCTAAAGTGGTGCCATTCCCACCAGATCCGAACTCACCTCAATCCACGATCAGTACGGTGGAGCGAGAGATACGTGAAGCTGGTGGCGAAGCGACTGCCATATCAGTCGACACCCGCGATCCTGAGAGTGTCAAGCAAATGGTAGATGCAACCAGTATCAAGTATGGTCGCATTGACGTAATCGTCTACAATTCTGGCGCGATATTCTGGGCGAGTGTCCAAAAGACCCCATTCAAGAGGTTTCAACTGATGCAGCGCGTCAATATTGAGGGACTCTACGCCACCGTCCAGGCTGTGCTTCCTGAGTTTGAGAAGAATGGATGGGAGGGTCGTATCATTGTTGTCAGCCCTCCCATATATTCACGCTTCTTTCGCGGGAAAACAGCGTACGCTATCGGCAAAACCGGTATGAGTGTATTAACAAAGGGACTGGCGATGGATTGGGAACGCGAGGGCAAAACCGGAATGTCAATAACCAGCATCTGGCCTGCGGCCGCCATCATATCTGCCGCCACCGAGACCCTCGGTCGAGATGACCATGAAGACTTGCGAAAGCCCATCATTTTCTCGGATGCCATTCTCGCTATTCTTCGCTCTCCAACCACGGAAGTGAATGGAAATTTAGAGCTCGATGAGGATTTTCTTCGCAGAACAGGGGTGACCGATTTCGATCAGTACAGCGTCGTGCCTGGAGCGAAGCCCCGCAGAATAATGCCCATGGAATTTCCCGATCTGACCGTGAGGGAGCAGGCAGACGAGGGGCGCCGCATTGATAGTACAAAGACGCGAGCAAAAATGTAATTTATCGTACATTTATCGATCAATTGGTGCCCTTGCCCGAGCGTTTACCAGCCTCTATTGGGTTGCCACACGCTTTTTGTGCAACACTGACGCGGACCCCTACCACTACCAAAGTAACCGCACTCTTAAGGTTTACCAAGGGACACTGACAATTCTAGTGCACAAATGTGGCCGCTTTGAGAGAGACCTTCAGGTGCTTCTACAGATTTTATGACAATTCATACGTGAGCCACAACAATTATACTCCTCGCACGCATCAAAATATTTCCTGAGCATTCAAGATGTATCTAAACTATTTCGACGTATCATCTCCTTTCCCAAAAACTCAGCATCTAGCCTTCGCCCTATCATGCGGCCCGCGGAATTTGCATTCCGGCCCGAGAGTACGCTTCGTAGCGAACCGCATGTCCACATTCCAATGGTGAACACGCTCGGGTCGCGACTTCTTCGTGGGGCGCGTAGTTCGCGTCATCAGTGAATGACTATCTAGGTTGCTCTGATCGGATGCTATTCGAATTTTGATTTTGTATGCCATCTAACACACTCATTAGGTTTCAGTCGTTACTGTCCAACCGACCGACATTCGTTTGTTTTGTCAAGTCACTCTTTTAGTCTTTGAGACTTTTTTTCTAAACTTCTAATCGTATTTAGATACATCAATTGGCTACAACAGTCTTTTCCCCGCCAGGCCGGGATTGGTAAGAATGGCTTGCTCACTGAGACAACGTGTCTCGCCGAGCAGTCTACGATTTGCCATAACATGGCTCCTGCTAATTCAATTTGTTTCTGCTAGACCCCAATTACTAGGTGGTGTAATAGGTGGTCTACTCGGTGGATCATCTCCAACTTGCTTGGATGCCGCTGGAACCTCATATACGAACGGCACCACGTATACGAGTGGTGCTCGTCAATTTCAGGTTCTTTGCAATACGAATATCATCGCATCAGAACTTACTGCAGTCAACACACCATTTCTGGCCATCTGTGGAGATCTTTGCGCCGGAAATCCATTTTGCTCGAACGCTGCTTATGACAGGACTCTGCAACGCTGTTCGCTCAAGGGAGTCTCAGGGGTGGCAGCAAGTGTTGGCGGAGTGGTCAACAGTATCGGGACTCTGGCAGTCGTGACAACAGCGATTGCATTGATTCCTTTGAACCGCCCGCCGTCGGTGATTTCATCAGTGAAACTTCCATCCTCGTCGATTGTGGTCCCACCGGTCTCAATTCCATCAGTGGCAGCTTCGGCGATTACTCTAACCGTCTCTGCGCCGGTTATTCCAACAGCGGCTGGCTCGCTGCTGCCACCGGTGCCTTCGAGTGCGTCTCTCGTTGCTATTCCGCCTGTTGCATCAGGACTCCTATCTGTGCCAGTGGTGTCTCTTCTGCCTACAACACTTATTGCTGTTCCTTCAGCAGCGCCATCACTTTCGCTTGGCCCATTGTCAGTGGCATCACTTCCATTAGCATCGCTGCCTCCACTATCGATCCCAGCTGCATCCCAGCCTCCGCTATCTGCACCGGCACCATCACCAGTATCAGTACCGTCTGTCATTCCAGCGGCATCTCTGCCCATTCTAGCTCCGCTGGCATCGCTTCCCATTCTCTCTGCACCACTTCTTCCACCGCTGGCTTCGGTGCCTCTTCTTGGTCCGATTCTATCGGTGCCCGCCGTATCTGCACTTGGAGCACTCCCAGTATTATCTGCGCCCATTCTTCCACCGATTGGCTCCATTCCAGTTGCAATTCCTTCTGCATCTCTGCCAAATGTTTCTCCAGCTATTTCTCTGCCAGATTTGTCTCTGGGAAGCCCATCAATCGGTTTGCCTGCTACGCTCGTCACTGTTCCGATCCCGACCGCAACTAATGTGCCACTCCTTCCTCTTGATAGCATATTGGCAAATCCACTTTTGAGTGTCAATCTAGATTTGGGCTCGGCAATACCGCCTCAGATATCTGGAATCGCTGGTCCAAGCCCTGCAGTTTCAAACCTTCTTGATGCTCTGGACGATCTTGGGGTTTCTCTTCTTCCGCCTAGCTTGGTCAATCCAATCACGTCTGCACCCCCCCTCCCAACCGCTGGTGTTCCTGCGGCACCTGCAGCCCCGTTGTTCGATATCATGGCACTATTGCAGTACCTCAACACTGATCTGGGGATAGTCCTTCCTACGGAGTCGCTGCTTAACTTGGGATTTGCTCCTGTCTTGCCAACACCCCCTCCGCTGTCGGTACCCACGGCACCAGCACTATCAGCTCTCCCACTTGCGAGTCTAGGTGTTGGACTACCTCTTCTGGGCGGGGCGCCCTCTATTACTGGTAATCCGCTTCCACTTAGCCTTGATCTTGGCATCAATCTCCCATCACTTGGATTGCTTGACGGCTTGTCTAGCGGCCTTCCTGGCATCACGTTACCTTCTGCAGCACCCGGTCTATCATCTGCGGGACTCCCGTCTGCTGGACTCAGTCTGCCAGCTCTCTCTCTTGGATTGCCATCGCTCGCTTTGCCCTCGATTGATCTTCCTCTCCCATCACTGGATCTTCCAAGTCTTTCTCTCGGAGTACCATCTCTCGCTCTGCCCTCGATTGATGTCCCTCTTCCATCTCTGGATCTTCCAAGCCTTTCTCTCGGATTGCCGACAATTGCTCTCCCATCAATTGAACTTCCTAGTCTGGCCTTGCCTTCCGGGCTAGCGGTGCCCTCCGTCGAAAATCCTCTTCCGTCGTTGGAACTGCCTGCTCCTTCTCTTGGACTCCCGTCGCTTGCTCTGCCATCCCTCGCTCTGCCGTCGATAGACATTCCACTGCCATCGCTGGCGCTTCCGAGTCTCTCCCTTGAATTGCCATCGGTACCTCTGCCGTCGATTGAATCACCCAGTTTGGCTTTGCCCTCTATTGACGTTCCTCTTCCATCACTCGTCCTGCCTGATATTCCTGTAATAGGTCTTCCAGAAATAGAACTTCCAGGGCCTTCGCTCGCCCCAATCAACCTTCCTGGAATTTCCTTTCCTACGATACCGCTTCCGGGTCCCTCGCTTCCGGCTATCGGTTTGCCTGGAGTGTCTTTGCCAGCAATCGGGTTGCCTGGCGCGTCCATGGCGCCGATCGGAGTTCCAGGAATCTCACTTCCTGCAATCTCTCTTCCGGGCTTTGGGCTTCCAATCGTTTCGGTACCTGGCATTCCACTTCCTTCCGGAGCTCCAGCATCAGCAGCTCCAGGCACTGCCGCCCCAGGTGCAACGGTGGGCGGCGCTCTCTTTCCAGATATACAAATTCCATCAGTCGGACTTCCTGGTGTTTTGGTACCGTCGCTCGGGCTACCAGGCATTGGAATACCGTCTATTGGCTTGCCTGGCGTCCAAGTCCCTACTGTCGTCGTCCCTGGTGTTGAGATTCCTGCTGTCGGTCTTCCAGGTGTCCAGGTGCCGACTCTTCAGGTACCAGCTATCACAATTGGCCCAACGCCAGTATTGCCTTCTATTCAGCTGCCTTCTATTGAAGTGCCCAGCTTCGTGACTCCCTCAATTGTCGTGCCTTCTCTTCAAATTCCACAGCTCTCGATCATCGATCTTCCTACCAACCTCCCCCTACCGGAAATTGGCTCAATTGGAATTCCGTCATTCTCGGTCGATCCAATTCTTGGTCTTCCTGTGCCGTCAATTGGTTCGCTTGGCATACCGTCGGTGTCGATTGGCTTGCCTGGCCTTCCGTCGCTAGCAATAAATGTTCCTCCTATTCCGTCGTTGTCGTTGGACGTCCCTAGCCTTCCACCACTATCATTGAGCCTCCCGAGTCTCCCACCATTGTCGTTGGATGTTCCTAGTCTTCCACCACTGTCATTGGACATACCGAGTCTGCCACCACTGTCACTGGACTTGCCTGGATTTCCCACCCCGACGGCCGGTATCTCTGGAGCGCCACCGCCTTCAGGGTCATTGCCACCGGCATCTGGTCCCTCTTTCGGACTGCCAGGACTTCCTCTTCCAACCCTTGATTTGCCGGGACTTTCGGATTTATCACTTGCTCTCCCGACTCTTTTCCCAGCATCGGGAGTTGTGCCTCCAAGTGGGCTTCCAGAACTGTCGCTGCCGTCCATCGGGCTACCTGATCTATCAATCAGCTTGCCAGCGTTGTCGATACCACCCATTAGTTTGCCTGGCCTTTCAGAGTTATCTCTTGATCTGCCTACACTCGTGTTACCGACTGTTAGCCAACCTGCGTTGCCTGATCTACCCATTCCACCGATTAGCTTGCCATCGCTTGAATTGCCCGACTTATCGATCAGCCTGCCAGCCTTGTCAATTCCACCTATCAGTTTGCCTGGCATTTCAGATCTATCACTAGATCTGCCTACTCAACTGCCAACCGCCAATCAGCCTGCGTTGCCCGACCTGTCCATACCACCAATCAGTTTACCGACTCTAGAACTGCCTGATCTGTCACTCAGCTTGCCTCCATTGTCTATTCCACCGATCAGCTTGCCAGCGCTGTCTATTCCATCTATTGATTTGCCCGGACTTTCAGATCTTTCGCTGGATATACCTACTCAACTGCCGTCTATCGGCCTACCAGATCTATCAATCAGCTTGCCAGCATTGTCGATCCCGCCCATCAGTTTGCCTGGCCTTTCAGATTTATCACTGGATCTACCCACTCTAGTTTTACCAACTATTAGTCAACCTTCTGTTGGAGTTCCATTGTCGTTGCCATCACTTGGACTGCCCGACTTATCGATTCCACCGATCAGTTTGCCAGACTTATCAATTCCGCCCATCAGTTTGCCAGCACTCTCCATTCCATCGATCAGTCTGCCGGGTCTTTCAGACTTGTCACTGGATCTGCCTACTCTGGTGCCACCATCGGGAGCTGTGCCACCAGCGAGTGGCCTTCCTGGGTTACCATTGCCGACTATTGGACTGCCTGATCTATCAATCAGTTTACCAGCCTTGTCAATTCCTACAATCAGTTTGCCTGGTCTGTCAGATCTATCACTGGATCTTCCTACTCTAGCGCTTCCAACTGTGACCCAAGCTTCTCTTGAGCTACCACAACTGTCTTTACCGCCACTGTCGTTACCATCACTTGAACTGCCTGATCTGTCACTCAGTCTGCCGGAACTTTCGATTCCGCCGATCAGCTTGCCAGCACTCTCGATCCCATCGATCGCTCTTCCAGGCCTTTCTGATCTATCATTCAATATTCCTTCTGGCTCTCTACAACCTGGATCTTTGCCTCCTGCGAGTGGGCCCCCAGGACTACAGCTACCGACAATTGAATTGCCTGATCTATCACTCACTTTGCCCCCACTGTCGATCCCACCAGTGAGTCTGCCTTCGCTTGAAATACCATCGATCAGTTTGCCAGCGCTCTCAATCCCATCAATTGATCTGCCAGGTCTTTCAGATCTATCGTTAGATCTTCCTACTCTCGCAGTACCAACTGTGAGCCAACCACCTTCAATTGGTCTTCCACCATTGTCGTTGCCGTCACTTGAACTGCCTGATCTATCACTCAGTCTGCCTCCATTGTCTATCCCATCGATCAGCTTGCCAGCACTGTCTATTCCGTCGCTTAGTCTGCCAGCGCTATCAATACCATCGATTGATTTGCCAGGGCTTTCAGATCTCTCCCTCGATCTTCCTACGCTGGCATTGCCCACCGTGACTCAACCGCCTTCCATTGGTCTCCCACCACTATCGCTACCGTCACTTGAACTGCCTGATCTATCACTCAGTCTGCCTCCATTGCCTATTCCCCCAATCAGCTTGCCAGTGCTGTCCATTCCATCTATCAGTTTGCTCGGACTTTCTGATCTATCACTGGATGTTCCCACTCTCGTCCTTCCAACCGTGACTCAGCCACCTTCTATCGGCCTTCCGCCATTGTCATTGCCGTCACTCGATTTGCCTGATCTATCGCTTAGTCTCCCAGCGCTATCAATTCCACCGATCAGTTTGCCCGCGCTATCAATTCCATCTATCAGTTTGCCGGCATTGTCCATTCCATCTGTCGATTTGCCCGGCCTTTCAGATTTGTCACTTGATCTACCTACCCTTGTAGTACCGACGGCGACACCGCCTTCTGGAGGACTCCCACCATTGGCATTGCCAACCATTGAACTGCCTGATCTTTCACTCAGTCTTCCTGATCTGTCTATTCCGCCGATCAGTCTGCCACCGCTCTCGATTCCGTCGATCAGTTTGCCAGAGCTGTCAATTCCATCGATTAGCTTACCGGCGCTATCCCTTCCATCCATAGACTTGCCCGGACTCTCAGATCTGTCACTCAACCTTCCGACTCTTGCAGCACCGACGGTGACCCCACCTCCTGGAGGACTACCACCGCTGTCATTGCCAACCATTGGTTTACCTGAACTATCACTCAGTCTTCCTGACTTGTCAATTCCGCCAATCAGTCTTCCAGCACTTTCACTTCCATCGCTTAGTCTGCCGGCACTGTCACTCCCGTCTATTGACTTGCCCGGGCTCTCAGATCTGTCACTCAACCTCCCGACTCTTGCAGCACCAACGGTGACCCCACCTTCTGATGGACTGCCACCATTGTCATTACCGAGTATCGGATTGCCTGATCTATCACTGAGTCTGCCTGACCTATCGATACCACCAATTAGTCTACCACCACTCTCAATCCCCTCTATTGATTTGCCTGGACTGTCAGATCTGTCATTAGATCTTCCCACACTTGCAGCACCGACAGTGACCCCACCTTCTGGAGGGCTTCCGCCATTATCGTTGCCATCGCTTGGATTACCTGATCTGTCACTCAGTTTGCCAGCATTGTCGATCCCGCCAATTAGTTTGCCCGCACTGTCAATTCCCGATCTCTCACTCGATCTCCCTACTCTCGCACTACCAACCTTGAGTGAACCAGCTATTGAACTCCCGCCATTGTCATTGCCAACTATTGGATTGCCTGATTTGTCCCTGAGTCTGCCTGACCTATCAATCCCACCCATCAGCTTGCCAGCACTATCAATCCCTGATCTCTCGCTCGACATTCCTACTCTTGCACTACCAACCTTAAGCGAACCCTCCATCGGACATCCGCCATTGTCATTGCCAACTGTTGGATTGCCTGATCTGTCACTAAGCCTACCAGCACTGTCGATACCTCCAATCAGTCTCCCAGTACTGTCAATACCGTCAATCAGTCTGCCGGGTCTTTCAGATCTATCGCTGGATCTTCCTACCCTGGCACTCCCAACCGTGAGCGAACCCTCTATTGGGCTACCGCCATTATCGGTACCAACGTTTGGACTGCCCGACTTGTCACTGAGTCTGCCAGCACTGTCAATTCCTCCGATTAGTTTGCCAGGGCTCTCGGATTTTTCACTAGATCTTCCTACACTTGCAGCACCAACGGCAGGTCCACCGTCTGGCGCACTCCCACCTCTATCGCTGCCATCACTTGGATTACCTGACCTATCTCTCAGTTTGCCCCCGCTATCAATTCCACCGATCAGTTTGCCTGAGTTATCGATTCCGTCGATCAGTGTTCCAAATCTATCAGATTTGTCATTGGACCTCCCTACTCTCGCACTGCCAACTTTGAGCCAACCTTCTATTGGTCTCCCACCATTGTCATTGCCCGACCTATCCATAAGTTTACCAGCGCTGTCGATTCCTCCTATCAGTCTGCCAGGCCTTTCTGATCTATCACTGGATCTTCCCACGCAACTGCCAACAGTGAGCCAGCCTTCCTTTGGGCTACCGCCTCTGTCGTTGCCTGGTCTTTCACTTCCGCCTATCAGTTTACCTCCACTGTCAATTCCATCAATCAGCTTGCCAGAACTCTCCCTGCCATCGATTAGTCTGCCAGGCCTTTCCGATCTGTCACTAGACCTCCCAACTCAACTCCCAACCATCAGCCAGCCTTCAATTGGGTTACCACCACTGTCTTTACCCGACCTATCTATACCACCGATCAGTTTGCCGCCACTGTCCCTTCCGTCGATTAGTCTGCCTGACCTGTCCCTGGATCTTCCGACTCTCGCATTACCAACCCTGAGTCTACCTTCTGATGGAATCCCACCATTGTCGTTGCCGGATCTGTCGCTACCTCCGATCAGTTTGCCACCACTGTCAATTCCCTCGATTAGTCTACCAGATTTATCGTTAGAACTCCCCACTCTCGCATTACCAACACTCAGTCCACCATCTGCTGGCCCTTCTGGCGGGCTTCCACCGTTGTCACTACCTGAGCTGTCAATTCCACCGATCAGCTTGCCACCGCTGTCAATTCCATCGATAAGTCTGCCAGATCTATCTTTGGATCTTCCTACCCTGGCCATACCAACTGTGAGCCAGCCGTCAATTGGGCTCCCGCCACTGTCATTACCTGACCTGTCAATTCCACCGATCAGTCTTCCACCGCTGTCTCTGCCAACAATCAGCCTACCAGGCCTTTCCGACCTATCCCTCGATCTTCCTACTCTTGCACTACCGACTCTTAGCGCACCTTCTGGCGCACCTTCTGGTGTACTTCCGCCATTGTCGTTGCCTGACCTTTCAATCCCGCCGATCAGTCTACCAACCCTTTCACTTCCGACGATCAGCCTACCGGACCTCTCAGATCTATCACTAGATCTTCCTACTCTCGCATTGCCGACCTTGAGCTTACCTTCTGATATAATTCCACCGTTGTCATTGCCTGACCTTTCAATTCCCCCAATCAGTTTGCCGCCGTTGTCAATCCCTTCACTCAGTCTACCGGACCTCTCAGATCTATCACTAGATCTTCCTACTCTGGCATTGCCGACCCTGAGCTTACCTTCTGATGCAATTCCACCGTTGTCATTGCCTGATCTTTCAATCCCCCCAATCAGTTTGCCACCGTTGTCAATTCCTTCGATTAGCTTACCAGCGCTTTCACTGCCAACCATCAGTCTGCCAGACCTATCAGACCTTTCATTGGATCTTCCTACTCTCGCATTGCCAACTGTCAGCCTACCTCCTGATGGAATTCCACCGTTGTCGTTGCCGGACCTGTCAATTCCACCGATCAGTCTGCCGCCACTCTCACTTCCATCAATCAGTTTGCCAGCACTCTCACTTCCATCGATTAGTTTGCCGGATCTTTCAGACATCTCTCTGGATCTACCCACTCTTGCATTGCCGACTCTAAGCCCACCTTCCGGTGCGCCTTCTGGTGGACTGCCCCCGTTGTCTTTGCCTGATTTGTCAATCCCACCAATCAGTTTGCCATCGTTGTCGATTCCATCAATTGATCTGCCATCGCTGTCGATTCCACCCATTGACCTGCCGCCTCTGTCAATTCCATCAATCAGTCTTCCGGGTCTTTCAGATCTATCTCTGGACCTACCTACTCTTGCACTGCCAACTGTGACCCCACCGTCTGGAATTCCGCTATTATCGTTGCCTGATCTCTCAATCCCGCCAATCAGTTTGCCATCGCTGTCGATTCCATCGATTGATCTGCCATCACTCACAATTCCATCAATCAGTGTGCCAGGCCTTTCAGATCTATCCCTGGATCTACCTACCCTCGCACTCCCAACCCTCCCACCAATCAGTTTGCCACCGCTGTCGGTTCCATCAATTGGCCTTCCTGATCTTTCAGACCTCTCCCTAGATCTACCTACTCTTGCACTACCAACTCTCAGGCCACCTTCTGCCGGAATTCCACCGTTGTCATTGCCTGATTTATCAATCCCACCGATCAGTCTGCCAGGCCTTTCAGATCTGTCCCTAGACCTACCTACTCTAGCACTGCCGACTGTCAGCCCACCTTCAATTGAGCTACCGCCACTGTCTTTGCCACCATTGTCGTTGCCTGAACTATCGATCAGCCTGCCAACGGAATTGGCAATCCCATCCATCAGTCTCCCAGATCTGTCACTTGAGTTGCCCAGCCTAGCTCTACCAACACTGACCCAACCCTCAATTGAGCTGCCACCGCTCTCATTGCCACCATTTTCGCTACCGGAATTATCAATCAGTTTGCCATCTGGATTAGACATCCCGTCGATCAGCCTACCAGAACTGCAATTGCCAACTCTCACAATTCCTGGACTTTCGATAAGCTTGCCATCTGGTCTAGCAATTCCGTCTATTAGTCTGCCAGAGCTGTCACTTGAATTGCCTAGCTTGTCAGTTCCGTCGGGAGTTGTACCCCCGGCGACCCAGCCTTCATTTGGACTGCCATTGCCACTACCTACTGGCTTGCCCGATCTATCAATAAGCCTTCCAGCTCTTTCACTCCCGACAGTCGTCCCAGAGCTATCAATAAGCCTGCCCGCACTGTCGCTCCCATCAATTGACTTACCTGATTTATCGCTCAGCCTTCCGCCGCTGTCATTACCATCCCTCAGCTTACCCGACCTATCGATTCCCCCGATCGACTTGACAGGTATTCCTCCTCTGTCACTTCCATCACTTGGGTTGCCAGGATTATCCGAGCAACCGAATGGCTTGAGTGAAATTTCCTCATTCTCCCAGGCAACAACACCGGGACCACGCCCGACTGGTGGGCTTCCTGGTCTACCACTTCCTCCAGTAAGCATACCTGGATTGACCGACTTACAGATTCCATCTATCAGTCTTCCGGGTCTTCCTGAATTATCTCTTAGCCTCCCAGGTCTTTCAGATCTATCGCTTTTGCTACCTACTTTGTCATTGCCTCCTGGTCCTGCGCCCACGGATCCCATTCCACCTCTAGGTGGTCTTTCTGGATTGCCAAGTCTTTCACTTCCACCTCTAGAGCTACCTAGCCTTTCGGTACCCTCGTTGGATGTGCCGAGCCTTTCAATCCCATCAATAGGACTGCCTACCCTTTCGATAGACTTGCCTAGTATTTCGATCCCTTCGTTAGAAATACCTAGCCTGTCGATCCCACCAGTGGTCATTCCCAGTCTATCCTTGGAATTGCCTAGCATCTCAATTCCTTCGTTACAAGTACCTAGTCTCTCAATTCCATCACTGGAAATCCCTAGCCTTTCTTTGGAATTGCCCAGCCTTTCGATTTCACCGCTGGACGTACCTAGCCTTTCGATTCCACCAGTAGAGCTGCCCAGTATTTCGTTAGAGTTGCCTGGCATCTCGATTCCGTCATTAGAAGTGCCCAGTCTTTCGATTCCATCGCTGCTTCTGCCCTCGATCAGCCTTCCAGCTCTCTCCCTACCATCTATTGAATTGCCAGAGATTACGGGTTTGCCCATTCCCCCTCTTGAGCTCTCCAGTTTCCCAGGACCTTCGGGACCCTTGCCATCTGGTGGGCTTCCTGGCCTTTCACTTCCATCGATTGAGCTTCCGGGGCTGCCAACTTTATCACTTCCCTCAATCGAGCTCCCCGAGCCCACTCTTGATCTCCCTGTTCTATCAATACCATCTTTGAGCTTACCTGCGCTGCCTTCCATCAGTCTGCCTGATTTACCACCTATCAGCCTTCCACCTCTAAGCTTGTCTGGGCTTTCAGAACTGCCGGTACCTTCCGGTGGCCTCACCGGCTTGCCTGGTCTTCCAATTCCTTCACTAGGACTCTCGGATCTTTCTGGACTTCCGCTTCCCTCGGTACCGCTTCTCAGCCTGCCTAACCTCTCCGATTTGTCTTTAGACCTACCGACTCTTGCAATCCCCACGATAAGCCTTCCGGAACTGTCTCTTGATATACCCAGTCTTGCAATTCCAACCATTAGTCTTCCGGACTTATCTGTCGACATACCTAGTCTTGCAATCCCAACTATTAGTGTCCCTGGATTGTCTCTTGACATACCTACTCTGGCGGTTCCACCTATAAGCCTTCCTGAACTGTCCCTCGATATACCTAGTATTGCAATTCCAACCATCAGTCTTCCGGAATTGTCTCTGGACATACCTAGTATTTCCCTACCGTCCATTGATCTCTCCGGACCGTCCGGATTGGGGCCTTCCGGAGGTTTACCTGGTTTGACATTGCCATCTCTCAGTCTCCCTGAATTGCCAACCCTGTCCCTTCCCCCAATTAGCATTCCGGCACCATCGTTCAGCTTGCCCGATCTTTCTGGTCTTCCCATACTCACGGCTGGTCTTCCTGGTGTAACTGCCCTGCCATCTCTGAGTCTACCTGGTATCTCAATCCCTGACCTTCCAGTATCTTCTATCGATATTCCTGGGTTGTCCGATCTGCTGCCGTCTCTTAGTCTTCCTGGTTTGTCTGGTGTGCCTGAGTTATCCGGAGAATTGCCTTCACCAACGCTCTCCAATGGCCTACCTGGAATCTCGGGTCTTCCGTTGCCCCCAGTCAGTATTCCAGGTCTTTCCGAATTGCCCATTCCAACAATAAGCCTTCCTGGCCTATCGGAACTACCAATCCCAACAATAAGTCTTCCTGGTCTTTCCGAACTGTCAATCCCGGCCATCAGTTTGCCACTGCCTTCTCTCAGCCTTCCAGACATACAAAGTTTGCTCAGTCCATCCATAAGTCTACCTAGCCTGCCTGGATTTTCGCAGCCTTCATTTGGTTTGCCTGGCGTTCCATTGAATTCTGTAACGCCTCCCCCAATCCTCGGCCCAAGCGAAGGCTTACCGTCTCTAGGGCTGCCTAGTTTATCATTGCCATCAATTCAACTCTCCGGACTACCTTTGCCTACAGATGGGCTACCCAGCGTATTGGTGCCAACACTTGGCCTATCAATCCCTCCAGTGGAGCTGTCAGGGCTGTCAGGGCTACCGCTGCCAACGATCGGTTTACCTAGCCTCTCTCTACCATCCCTTGAGCTGCCAGTATTCACTGATCTACCCTTGACCCAATCACTAGGTGGACTATCAGGTTTGCCAGAACTGCCTTTGCCGTCGATTGGACTTCCCGAACTATCAATTAGTCTTCCAGGATTATCTATTCCATCGATCGAGCTGTCGGAATTGCTGTCGCCATCACTCGGACTGCCAAGTCTCTCATTGCCTTCAATCGGACTGCCCCCTCTGTCTCTCGCTTTGCCCAGTTTCCCCGACCAGACTGAACCTCAGCCTACCGGACCCGAGCCAACTGGACCTCAGCCTACTGGACCTCAGCCAACTGGACCTCAACCAACTGGGCCACAACCAACAGGGCCTCAGCCAACTGGCCCTCAACCGACTGCGCCCCGTCCTTCAGGCGGACTGCCAGGTCTACCTGTGCCTTCCGTAGGACTTCCAGGATTGTCACTTTCATCACCAGGACTACCAGAACTATCAAATGGATTGCCTCCACTCTCTTTGCCTTCATTTAGCCTCCCTGGCCTACCGGAAGCATCGGGAATTCAATTGACAAATACGTTGTCTGGTCTCGTTCTCTCCTCGGTAGGCCTTCCAAGTTTGACGTTGCCATCTCTCAAGCTCCCCAGCCTTTCTCTAGTACTTCCCAGCGTACCTGAAATATCTCTTCCTTCTGGTAGTGTGCCAGGACTATCAGAGTTGCCAATTCCATCCAGTGTGCCATCACTAAGCCTCCCGGAACTGTCGCTGCCATCTCAAATATTGACGGATCTCCTCGAACCTTCAATTAGCTTGCCAGTGCTAACAGTCCCGTCGCTCGCACTATCTCTCCCTTCTGTCAGTCTTTCAGTGCCTTCAATCTCCTTGCCATCGATATCATTCGCACTACCAGAGCTTCCTACTGGGCTCCCAAGCCTTCCAATCCCATCCGGCGCAGTCCCTGGGTCATCTGGTCTGCCTCTGCAATCTCTTGGTTTTCCAACTCTGTCTGGACCGCCTTTACCGTCCCTTGGAATATCCGTTGGTGTCGATGTACCAATTCCTTCTATTGTTATCCCCACAATCGGGTTGCCTTCTATCGGTGTTTCAATAGGCCTGGGCTTGCCAGAATTTTCACTTCCAACGGAGCTGCCTTCGGGTGCAGTTCCAAGCAACGCGTTGCCGTCAGGCCTTCTGCCATCTGGATTGCCAATACCATCAGAACTGCTGCCGTCTGGAATTCCGAGTAACGCGTTACCATCGAATCTATTGCCGTCTGGAATACCACTACCGTCAGAACTGTTGCCATCAGGCTTGCTTCCTCCTAGCTTGTCCGTGAGCAATGTCTTGCCATCGGGGTTCCTGCCATCTGAACTCTCACTACCGAGCAACATATTGCCTTCTGAACTTCCTCTCCCATCCGGGGTTCTTCCATCGGATATCACGTTAAGCAATGTCCTGCCATCCGGATTAGTACTGCCAACAATTACTGTTCCAAGTGGACTAATTCCAAGCGTTGCTTTGCCGTCTGAACCACTGACTACCAACATTGTTCTAAGTGGTCTTGAACCTAGTGGTCTTCTTCCGTCTGGACTGGTTCCAACCGACTTAGTCTCTGTTCAACTACCTTTGCCAACCGGAATTACACTGCCGAGTGGCATATTACCGTCTGAGCTCTTGCCATCAGGGCTGCCTCTCCCTACCGAACTGACATTACCATCCAATGTCCTGCCATCAGAGATTTTGCCGTCAGTACTTTTACCGTCAGGTCTGTTGCCATCAGGCCAGATATTGCCAAGTGATGGAATTCCTACCGCTGGCCAACCAAGTGGCATTTTGCCACCTGGTTTACCTTTTCCCTCGATATTTACTCTGCCGAGTGGCCTTCCTAGCGGGTTTCAAACAGTTATCGTGACATCTGGCTTGTTACCCTCAGCTTTGTCTCTTAGTGACATTCTGCCGTCTGCGGTATTACCATCTGTTGTTTTACCTAGCAACCTTCTTCCTAGTGGTCTAGAACCAAGTCCACTACTGCCGTCTGGATTGCCTTCCCAACTTCTTCCGAGTGAACTGGTTCCAACCATAACGATACCGTCTGGACTGCCATTGCCTTCTAACCTTCTTCCTACTGAACTCCCGCTACCTAGTAACATACTTCCCAGTGGCCTGGAACTAAGTGAACTGTTACCTTCGGGATTGTCACTACCGTCGGCACTGCCTTTGCCCACAAATATCTTGCCGAGCGGTCTCCCTTCTGACCTCGCATTACCAAGTAGCTTTATTCCAAGCGCACCTTTGCCGACAGGCCTGTTCCCTTCAGATTTAAGCCTTTCTGGATTGATTCCAAGTAATGTCCTGTCGTCAGGCTTGCCGCTTCTTTCGGATCTTCCACTTCCCGGTACTATCATACCTACCGTACTGTTACCTACCGGCTTAGAGCTAAGCGGATTACTGCCTTCAGGCCTATTGTCAACCCTGATACCGCTTCCATCAAGCCTCCCCCTCCCAAGCAACATTGGAGTTAGTGGGCCAAGCGGACTGCTTACGAGTGGACTGCTTCCGGGCGAGTTGCCGACTATTCTATCATTGCCTTCAGCTCTTTCATTGCCCAGCAACTTCCTACCTAGCGGTATCCTACCTTCAGACTTACTCTCAGTACCAAGTGTATTGCTGCCAAGCAATGCTGTTCCGACTAACCTCCAACCAAGTGGTCTTTTGCCGTCGGAGCTGCTCCCTACTGGCATTCTGCCTACTGACTTGGTCTTGCCGTCAGTCTTTCCTCTCCCATCTACTTTAATCCCCTCAGCCTTGCCTGTACCATCAGAGCTTATTCCATCTGGTCTGCCGCTCCCTTCAAATATCCTTTCCGGCGTCCAGCTACCTTCTAGTCTGCCACTGCCGACTGATCTGCTCCCTTCGGCTCTACCGACTCTTTCTGGGCTACCGTTGTCATCTGGTCTTCTCCCTTCAGATCTACTTACAAGTCTACAATTACCTTCAGGCGTACCAATTATTTCTGATATTATTCCGTCAGACTTATCACTTCCCTCGAACCTGCTTACTGGGCTACCATCGCCTTCGGGCATATTGAGTCCATCTAGTCTTCCGGGGTTGCCGATACTGACAGCACTCCCACTGCCGTCTGGCCTATTGCCCTCGGGTTTGGAAATTCCGTCGGAGATACCGTCAGGTCTTCCTCTGCCGTCTAGCATTTTGCCGTCGGGCCTGGTTGTCCCGTCTGAGCTACCTTCAGGCCTTCCTCTACCGTCTAGCTTTCCTACGGAGTTTCCATTGCCCACTGGTATCATTCCGTCTGGCCTCCCAACACTATCAGGAATTCAATTGTCTTCTGGCATTATTCCCTCGGCACTACCACTCCCGTCTCAGGTTAATATTCTATCCGACCTTCCAGTTCTGTCGGGTCTGCCTTTGCCTTCAGGCGTAACACTTCCCTCGGAGATTTTGCTGCCATCAGACCTACCATTACTGTCAGACATTCCCTCACTGTCTGGTCTATCACCTCCATCAGGCATAGCCTCGGGTCTGCCTCTACCTTCAAATCTGCCTTCAGGACTACCCATCCCAAGTACCCTTCTCCCATCAGATTTGCCGCTCCCATCTGGTTTATCTTCAGTGCTCCAGCTTCCTAGTGGTATTCTACCAACCGCTCTCTCGCTGCCTCCAGTCGTCTCGATTCCAAGCGCCATCTTGCCCTCGAGTTTGCCCTTGCCAAGCGGAATCATTCCTACCTCATTACCACCCATCTTCGACCTGCCCAGCATAGGATTGCCATCGTTCACGTTCGAATTGTCGTATGGTCTACCTGTACCTACATGGCTTCCTGTCCCAGAGCCAAGTTTCGTCCTTGATGTGACGTTGGGTTCACTCTTGCCTTCGGTTCGACCAAGCCTACCTAGTCTTCCAGCGCTCTCAGAAATACCTTTGCCAAGCGGCGTTCTCCCCTCTGAGCTTGTACTACCATCGGGCCTTGTTTTGCCGAGTAGCATTGTTCAATCGGGTATACTATCTTCTGACTTGCTCACGCTATCTGGACTACCATTACCGTCAGGACTGCCCCTGCCAAGTAGCATTCTGCCATCAGGTCTTCCGATACCTAGCTTGCCACTTCCATCAGATTTGCCGCTACTGTCGAGTCTTGCATTGCCTAGTGTAGTTTTGCCTAGCGGTCTGGTTCCAAGCGCAGTCCTTCCTTCTGGCCTTCCACTTCTCTCTGACCTGCCAGTGATAACAGGCCTTCCGCTTCCGTCTAGCCTGATATTACCAAGCGGTGTGCTGCCTTCGGGTCTATCCCTATCGAATGGAATATCACCTTCAGGTCTACCGTCATTGGTTGAGATCCTGCCATCTAGTCTCCTGATTTCGTCAGGCCTTGGGCTGCCTTCAGAGCTTTCATTGCCTACTTTGCCAAGTGTCAACTTGCCATCAGGTCTTAATTTGCCCAGTGGCGTATTGCTTCCATCAAGTCTTGTGGTTCCATCGGCAACTCAGCCGCCTTCTGCTTTCCCTCTTCCGTCAGGACTTGAGTTGCCTTCAGCATTCCCGCTACCCAGCGGCCTTCCTTCATCTATACTCGAGGCTCCTAGTAATCTCCCCCCGCCTTCTGGACCTGATCTGTCCTCCGGGCTTCCGCTACCAAGCCAGATCCTTCCTTCTGGCTTGCAGCTAACATCAGGAATTGTATTGCCCTCTGGGCTTCCATTGACTTCGGCCATTGTATTGCCAAGTGGGATAGTCCTGCCATCAGGCCTACCTCTACCTTCAGCATTGGAGTCGCTTCCAGGTGTTCCCCTATCTTCAGGTCTTCTACCGTCAGCGGTTGGATTGCCTTCCAGTCTCCCTGTAATTTCAGGCCTTCTCCCATCAGGACTCGAACTGCCATCAAGTATTCCTGTGTCTTCTAACGTACCTCTGCTGACTGGCCTGCCTCTACCTTCTGTCGGTACTCTTCCTTCAGATCTCCCATCAGCTCTTCCTTTGCCTTCGAGCATTCAGTTACCTTCTGGCCCACCTCTCCCTTCGAGTCTTCCATCTGGCCTTGAGATCCCTTCAGGTCTACCTTTGCCGTCCAACACCCTATCTAGCCTTCCTCAATTTTCTGCTCTTCCTCTACCTTCAGGGCTTGAGGTTTCTTCAAATATTCCTCTCCCATCCAGCCTGCCCTTGCCTTCGGCTATTTCAATCCCCTCTGGTTTACCTTCTGGTCTACAAGTTTCTTCGAACTTGCCCAGTCCATCAGAGCTCCCGATTCCTTCCGGCTTCCCTCTGCCTTCTAGCCTGCCTATCCCATCAGATCTACAAGTTTCGACCGGTTCAATACCTGGGGTTTCACTGCCCTCAAACCTTGCTGTTTCTTCGGCACCAACAGCACCGTCCGGTCTACCACTTCCATCAGCATTCCCCACCAGCCTTCCGACGCCATCCATCTCGGTTCCGCTGTCAACCCTACCTTCAGAGTTACCGAGCGGCCTAATAGCTTCTTCAAATATCCCATCAGCTTCGCCGATATCATCTGCGGTCCCTGTGCCATCAGATGCACCGTCCAGCCTAGTCGTTCCCTCAGCGCTGTCGGTATCCTCCGGGGTTTCCGTTGCTTCTGGCCCGCCAACAAGTGTCCCAGTACCTTCGGGCATCCCAACATCATCAAATCTTCCAGCCCCATCCAATCCGTCGCCTAGCCTTCTGCAGCCATCAGCACCAATGCCGATACCGTCCAATACGCTAAGTAGTCTTCCAGGATTCTCGATATTGCCGATTTCATCCAGTCCGCCAAGTAATCTTCCCCTATCTTCGGCGTTACCAGTACCGTCTAGCTTACAGAGCGCGTCCCCAATCCCAAGCAACCCATCAACTGCTCTTCCGATACCGTCTAGTCCAGGTATTCTCTCGAACTTGCCTTCCAGTGTCTCTCCGCCCTCGGGCTTGCCACAATCGTCGGTCCTTTCAAGTGGTTTACTCATTTCTTCTGGTCTTCCTATTCCTTCAGGGCCTCTTAGTTCATTGCCTATTCTACCGGTTCCCTCGACTCCTTCAGGAATACCTGCTAACCCCTCATTACCTTCCATCTTACCATCGGCTCAGTCAGTTCCGTCGGCATTGCCAACAGGTTTGCCTTCCGTCTTGCCTTCGGTTCAATCAAGCCCTTCGGCATTGCCAACAATTTTACCTTCCGTCCTACCGTCTGCCCAATCAATACCTTCAGTTTTGACTTCCATCTTGCCTTCGGTTCAGTCAATTTCTTCAGCTTTGCCGACAAATTTGCCCATATCTGGAATTCCAACGCCTTCGGGGCTACCGCCAAGTCTACCAATCTCGTCTAGTCTTCCTCTTCAACCAAGCATTTTGACTAACCTTCCTGTATCGTCCGGGTTGGCATCAATTTCCCCCGTGCTTTCAAGCAGTTTACTGGTTCCCTTGAATCCTTCTGCTCCGTCCGGGTTGCCTTCTAGTCTGCCCGTACCGCCAAGCTTATCCTTTCCTTCTATAATTACCTCTCCCGCTTTGCCGATACCCTCCCTTTCAATAGCTCCAGTACCGACTTCTGGCGTTTCCATTCCACCTAGCTTACCATCTGGCCCTCCATCCGTTGCATCAGTTCCCTCGGTTTTGCCGGCTTCTCCAATCCCGCCGTCAATTATATCATCCGGTCTTCCAACTCCTAGCAATCTGATTTCATCGAACGCTCTATCCGGCCTGTCTCAAATCCTGCCCTCTAGCTTGCCGGCTCTCTCATCTCTTCCCTCAGCAGCTCAACTTTCATCTTCTCTCCGCACAGGCCTTCCAATACCCTCCAATCCATCCATTCCGCCTGGACCTTCATTCTCCACCCCTCTCCTGTCAACACTCGTTCCTTTGCCTTCTATTGCTACTCCTTCTGTGTCGATACCTACTGCAGTTGCACCAACGGGAGTTTCATCGAGCCTCAGTCCCATCATCGTTCTGCCTTCGGTTATCTCATCAAATGCCGCACCGCCTAATCCGATAAGTCCTTCCTTATCTCTGCCCGCAGTGTCGCCTTCGCGATCGGCCAGTCTACCAAGCAATGCTATAGTATCTAGCATACCCCTTCCGAGTAACGTCCTACCAAGCGCAGCGCCATCATCGGTATTACCATTACAAAGCTTATCAATACGCCCGAGTTCGTCGTTGCCTGTAACAATACCGACTGGCATGGTCCTGCCGAGCACCCCCAGCGTCGTTATTTCGTCCGTCAGACTCTCCTCTGTTGCACCACGTCCGAACGAAGTACTGCCCTCTGTATGGGACATCACGAGTGACATAGCGTCAGCTCCGATTCTCCCATCTATATTTTTCCCTTCAATACCTCTGCCAAGTTTTGAGCTCCCAACCGTAGCCGCAACTTCGGAGCCGCCTAATCCAACGATGGTTATAATCCCGGTTCCTCCAACGTTCGTCACCTTGCCTAGTCTGCCAACACCATCCGGCGAACTTCCAATCCCGTCTGCTTCGGAAGAGCCTCCTCTTCCCAGTATTCCAGTTGTTTCCCAGCCAGGTGTTTCGGAAGAGCCTCCTCTTCCCAGTGTACCAGTCGCTTCACAACCGGTTGCTTCGGAGGAACCTCCACTTCCTAGTATACCAATTGCTTCACAGCCAGCTGCTTCGGAGGAACCTCCACTTCCCAGTGTACCAGTTGCTTCACAGCCTGCGGTATCTCTGGAACCGAGTGTACCAGGATCTCCCCTTACATCCGAGATCAGTATACCACCGATCCTAGCTCCTTCAAGTATTCCCGTTCCCGAACCCGAGCCTGTTCAATCGAATCCCCCTTCGGTTGTAGTACCACCATCCACTCCTTCCATTGCTCCTTCAATCGCATTGCCACCGTCCGAACCCTCAGTTGCATTGCCACCGTCTAGCCCTTCGATAGTGCTCCCGCCATCTAATCCTTCGATCGTTCCTTCAAGCCCGTTGATAGTGCCAAGTCCACCACTTCCAGCGATTTCAGATCTCGACGGGGCTCCCACTCCCACTCCTACTCCCGTCGCGTTTGTACCTCGACCAGTAACGCCTAATGCCGCACCTCCGAATGTAGCCGTTCCTCCGTGGTGGCAGCCTGAGCCCGAACTATGGGCAAACCCTTTCCTGCCAGATAATCCAAACCCTTACAATCTTCCAATAGGATCTCCATGGGACCCTTACCCGTGGAATCTTCCGGAGGGCAAACCCTTCAACCCCTACGGCTCCAGACCTCCAAGATCCAGACCATTGCCAGGTAGCCAAGCGCAATCCAATCCTCGGGCAGAAGGCAATTCACTCGGAGCCGCTCGGAATAACCTTGACAACCTTGACGAATATGACAGCTCTGGTGTTGTGGGTGACGGAGTGTTAGGTTGGGCCCATAGTGGTGGTAGTCGGAACGAGTACAGTCATGATCGTTACAAGGACCATGGCCATGGATCTCGTCATCGAAACGGGTACGATGGTGATGAGGATTATTACCATGATCGCGATAACGGACGCTGGCGTGGACATGGACACGGACATGGTCATGACAACGGTCATTCCATTGAAGATACCGATACCAATACCTCTGGCGTTCAGAGCTTCAGCGAAAGCAAAGGATCAGGAAGTGAACATTCTCAGCCTGAAGCAGAGTTCGGCTCAGGTGGTCCTCCCGAGGAAGAAGCTCCTAATGTAGAAGAGGAGAAGCCAGAGTCTCAGAAAGAGGAGTCTGTCTCGGAGGAGGACAGCGGAGATCAGTTGGACACTCTTGTCGTTGAAGAGGTGATTGTGGTCCAGACCGTCGAGGAGGAGGAAACCACGGGTGAAAAGGCCACCGGCCTCGACACTGCTATCAATACGACCTCGACGATCTCTAAGCCACACAAGGGTGCTCCTACCATGGAAGTGTTCGAGGGCGGTGTGATGCCTACACTTGACACCTCATGGAGTCGTCTTGTTCCTTGGGTCGTCATAGCGCTGTCTATACTCTTCGTTTGAGTGACGGTGCAAGACTTTGCGTCCACTGTCAAGGAGTTTAGTGTTCTGTTCATTGTTTTATCTGTTTTGCTTCTTGTCCTCAATGTTCTGCGTCTAGCGTTCTCTGACGATGCAGTTCTTTCACCCTGTACAGGGTACCTCTTCGCTCTTTATTTTGATTTTCTACCTTGTTGGCGCAAGAATTGATGATGTTGTACAGTCAACCCGATACTTATATTTCATGACTACAGCTGCTTCTCTTCTTTTCTCGTTGAGATCTCCTTCTGTCATATGGGCGTCAAATACATTGCAACGCAATCCAGCCTAAAGTTCATTTGCAGAGGAAGGGCGATGAGGAGCTTGACAGCGTAGTTGGCGCATAGTTTGTTTTATGAATTAGAAGGAGGGGGTTATGAAATTGGTTCTTGTTTTATTAGAAGCGTAGTTTAGGAGTTGAAAATCAATTAAGTTTATTTATCAGCTGTCGCGCCAGATTTACAGCATGTTATTTATTCCATTCGAGTGTACATCGTATAAGCTCACGGACGAAAGTATAGTAGTAGTAAGTCAATATCCATCCAATCCCATCTCGTCCTCACCACGACGTCTACCTTCACCTCGATCGAACCACCCAAAAACAAGCAATCCGCATACTTCTCTGCTCTCTTACACCTACACCAACCTCCCACCCAAGACAGAATCAACTATTCATCTCCTCCCCCAAGCGAAACCTTCAATCCGCCAACATGGAAGAAGAGCTCACCCCCGAGGAGACGACGCGGCAGGAGCTCGCCCGAGCCGTTGCACTCCAATACTTCATGCTCCATACCCTACTCAATCTTCTTGTAACCGGGGTCGCAGAGCAGAATAGGCTTCAGACGCTCGAACCTGCAGCTGCAGTCACAACACAGGTAAGTGTTCCTAACCCTATTTCCCGACCTAGTACTTGTGTTCTAAAGTCACTACTTAGGAGCATGCGGACACCATCGTCGTTGATACGTTAAACACTATTTTGGACTTGATAACACTGAAGTGGAAGTCCATCAAGGAACACAACGCGATGGGTCGTGAGAAGTTCGGAGCTGATTGGGAAGACATCGATACTACACCATTCACTCGAGCCATTGATGATCTCAAAGCTTTCATGGCGGACAGAGGAGCGGGTTACACGATAGAGGAGCAGGATCAGGAAGGTGTGGCAGCGGACCACGAAGGATCTGCGGCTCAACAGTCACCAGACGTCTAGGGCTGAGTGTCACGGCGACAGACTTGGTATTCAGGTTGACGTTCGAAGGACAGGGCGTTACACACGCCACTCGAAAATACACCTACTCATGAACAAATCTTCATTTCAAATTACTCCCACACGAAATTAACTACCAAGCTTATAATTGAGGAGTTCTACAGACTGTATCGTTGCATGGATATGCCCCCGTAGTAAGAAAACGTCACTCACAGGGACGATCTGCAATCAGTGGGTAGATAAGATACACAGCAAAAGCTCAGTGTTACAACCTCAAGCGGCATTGAAGACCTTGATGAGACAGAGGAGCTTACAATACATTCTCTCACTCACAACACTCTCCCCCCTCTTACAACACTTGCCACTCTCTCACAACACTCTCACAACACACTCTCACAACACACTCTCACAACACACTCTCACAACACACTCTCACAACACACTCTCACAACACACTCTCACAACACACTCTCACAACACACTCTCACAACACACTCTCACAACTCTCTCGCAACTCTCTCACAACACTCTCACAACACTCTTACAACTCTCTCACACAAGAACCGCCCTTGTCAATTTTCTTTCAGAGGTCAGTGGACGATAGCCCGGCTCCAGCGACAAATCCTGCTCAGAAGACCTGAACTCTACAATCATTCTTCATCCAACCAACACCAATCGAAGATGTCCATAATATCGTTGACCCGGCCGAGACGATGAGGAGCTAATACCCAGGTTCTATGATAGAGGCAGTGAGGATGGATGAAGAAGGTACACAACGCAATAGCAACCCAAAGCAAAAGCTAAATCCATTAGGCATCAAACGTGAACATTACACCGCCCTTAAACTCTTGAAATATAGGGGCTACTTGAAGAGCGGTCAATAAGTCGAAGTAAAAGATGTGTGCCAGTTAAGCTTTTCCACTTGCCTTTACCTTGGCTGGTGACAGCCTGTCTCTCACTCCTCCATTCTCTCGACTTCCCTCTATCCCTTCGACTTCGTTCCATCTCACCCACAACAATACATCCAGTCATTCCCGTTTTCCTCCAAGTCTCCGCGATTCGGGTGCCTTCACGTGTCTTGTCATTCTACGATAGACAACCAGCAAGATCACGTCGTCAGGTGAGAAAAGGGGTCCTAGCGAAGAGATGACTTGAAACGAGCCGCGCGACCAACTGTTTGCGCCACAGACCGGGGCTACAGAGCAGGAGATTCATGCAATCGGTAGTGTTGGGATGCTGGACGGCTACCGCACAAGTAGCCATACACCGTAGTCGTCAGCTACACCGACAGCTCATATGTGTATTTGACAAGGACCTGTAATGATAGAATGACTCACATACCTGACATGATATTCTTTCATCTGTGGAATTGCTTTCGAGGCACTGGGTGGCTCCTGTCCTGACGGGTAGCCTCTCTTTGTCTGGCTGACCTGATATGCCAGGCGACGATGGTAAGACTATCCACTCCATCATAACATACCTTTACATCTGCTAATGCGCACACAGCCCAAGCGCAATGCAACAATTGTGATTATCGCTTATTACTTCCGAATCTATAATGTCCCTCTTGATGGAATGGGTTGTTAAGAGTGATTGGCATCCTCACTCATCGTCATCGAACTTAGGAACGCGATCAGCGTCCTCGCTGACCAGTGCTCCCACCTCCTCTCGGTCCATGAGAACCGGGAGGTCCTCAATCTGCGGCGGCTTCACAAAGTCGAGTTGCTTCGTTATCGCTCTCCAGTAGTCAGAGAACGTGTAGTCCTTCGAGCGAGCTCCGTGACCACCGTCACGAACCCGAGGTGGCAACCGAATCCTGATCGTGGCTTCCATGCCAAGGATGCAACAATGCTTGATATAGTTCCGCCAGCGGCGACAGAGGTCCAAAACTTCTGGTGGTGCTGTGTCTGGCGTATTGAATATGGCGTCAAAGTCGACGTAAGCTGCAAAGGGACGATATATCCTGTGGGCTATCGTCATGCGCTGGTGCACATCTGTAGGCCACATATTCTTGATCATCGCATATCGAGCTTTCTTTGTGATCTTGATTATGTCGACAGGTGGGTTCTCTTCGAGTTTGTTCTCATATAGCGTACGGGCGTGAGGGAAGAGGTAGCTGTAGAGCGTGAGTTAGTGATAGACCATGAAATGGTACTAAGACCATTGTTAAGCGCAAACAAGCTGTCACTGCCAACTCTGTCACGGAAGTTGAAAAGGGGAGCAACGAAACACTTCGCGTGCAGCTGGTCTGCCACTTCCGCAGTTTGTGATCGAACTTTCTCTTCCTAGCTGCATACTCTGCGCTTGCAGCCGGGAGGCTCTTGTAAATTTTGAAAAGATAGCCATAGAGATCTGATGGATTCGAAAATATTGGGCGACGCTTATGAACGTCTTCTTTACTGTTGCTGTACTATATAGATTAGCAAAGTTTCAAGGTTGGAGTAGAAACTCTTACACTTCCCGCCATCACCACCCTCATCAAGCCTGCCGGTTTGATGTCCCGCAAGAATCCTTGCCTGTCCAAGTGTACCTCTCGGTCTCCATCCTTCCTGCCTGGAATGTAGGGTTTCTCACTGGTCGCATTTCTCGCCATCACTTCGTATCTTTCCTTTCTCGCTCCGCTTCTTTGCCATCCAGGGCCCTTCTTCGCCTTTGAAGAACTACCTGGGGTACGTTCAAGTCGAGACAGTGTTCCACGATAGTTAATGAGACCTTGGTTAATAAGGCATGCTTATACGAAATTGAACAGAGAAGTCATCAATTCAGTCAGAGTGTGCATTGATGAGGAAGAAAAGCTGAACATAAGTATGTATAGAGAGTAAAGAGTCAACCCAAATACCCCAATGCACACAGCTATCCGTCCCTACGCCGCGTTCACAAGCCCTGTATGCCGCAAGGGAATCCCTATCGTACATAAGAAAAATCGGAAAAAAGAAGATTCTGCAAAAAGGAAGGAAAAGGTAACAAGATCCTTTTCGTTATTTTCATTGGCATCATGCCGTCTAGAAAACTCATCCGCCCACAATAAAATGACCATGCATTGGGATTCGAAATTACTGGCTAGTCGCCTCGTTGGCCTCGCTTGCGGGCTTAGGCTCTTTTGGTGGCTGGTTCTCCACGCTCTTCTCCTTCAACTGGTCGTCGACGACCTCGACGGTCGGGGGAGCTTCACTGGGCTCGGCCTCACCCTGGTCCTTGGTCTCTGGGTTGCGTCCTTCGGCATCGGGATGGGGAGGTGCAACGCCGTGACCTGGCTCCTCTCTGGCGTCAACGAGAGACTCGTAGATTTCGTTTCCTTGCGCATCAATCACGCGAGTTCGGGTCTGTACGTGCCGTTAGCATTGTCATTCTAGCTCTATTACGATGGAACAAGATCTAGTATGCACCGTGCGCGCCGGAGCCTTGACCTAGGAGTCTAGGCAACATGATGTGGGGAACTCGGGTGGATAGGTAGATGGCGAGTCATGCGCAATGCTGGGCCAAGCTAGAGGAAAGAAGAAGTTTGACATACCTCATAACGAGTCTTGAAGCTTACTTTTCCGGCGAGTGCTGCCACCTCTTCGTCGTCTAGGACTCGGCCGTTCTCGTCTCGGTACTCGATCTTTTCTTCCTTTGAAACCACGGGTAGATCTTCTGGAGGCGGGGACACTCCCGCCTTTTCGGACACGTTTGGGTCCTCCGGCTTCTGTTGGTTCTGCTCAACTTCTGGCTGGATTACGACTTGCTGCTGCTGCGGGGGCTGCTGTTGCTGGTGCTGTTCAACGTAAGGAGGGGGAGGTTGAGGAACGGCGGGCGCGGCAGAGGAAGGCACAGCCGAAACGTCGGGAACAATTGTTTGAGAGTTATACGCTTCGTACTGTTTCGTGTTAGTAGTATAGAGGCAGGTATGAGAGCGTTTGAGTGCTTACGGAGTTGAGGAAAGTGTTGCAGTCCCAGTCCCATGAACCAAAGAGCTTAACACTGTTGCAAGCATCTTTCGTCCATGCATTGCCATACGCAATGGGCGAGTAGATTGTGAACACGGTGATGGCGATAGCCAAAAATCCAATACCTGCTGCCTGGCCGATTGCGGGATACTTCTTCAGGCCAAGCGCGCTGAATCGGTAGCTCACAAAGTCGTATGTCTGGCACAATGCCATGATGGCAAAGTACAGGGCAGGGAGATAATGATGCAAGAACAACTGACGAGCCATGAGATAGAAGGGGAAATAGTGGAATGCCCAGCCAAGGATAGACATTCCGACTTCGTAGTCGAAACGCTTGAAAGTGGTATGGTCGTAATCCTTGAAGCCACGCTGCCAGCGGAGTGCCGCGAGTCCCTTGATAACAATGTAGAGACCGATGGTTGCAGTTGAGGTCCACCAAATGGCAGGGTTGCCAATGAGATAGATCTGGCGGTTATGTTTACCCCAGAAGTTGATACCACGACGGAGGATTGGCCACGATGGAGGACGGGAATCCCAGGCATGAGACTCGACGAGGCCAGCGTTGGTACGCCACATGACCTTTTGAAGCTCCCAAAATTTACCAAAGAATCCAGGGTTGCGGTAGTTGACCTTCTCGGACGTATCCGTAAGCAGCGGGTGAATGTTGCCTTCGATGTACCAGATACTGTTGGGTAGGGTACCCTGGCGGGCACACGTGACTTCCTGTTGCTCGAATCCCCAGTCTGGAAGTTTGACCTTGTGCGAGAAAAGAACGCAGCCTGTCATAAGATGGACGAGCTTAAACTTGGTCTGGATGGTACGGAGGCGCTTCTTGGCTTCGGCGCCATCAGACATCGACTTGACAATCTCAACCCTGAACAGGTCATTGGCATCTCCCTCAAATCCTTCATAACCATAAGCCGAAACCTCGTTCTGCCAGTCTGCCTCGGTAACAGGAGCACGAACGTCGTGGGAGTGGAGACGGCGGTCGGTCGTAACGTGGTAAAGCTTGATAACGGCACCGTCCTCGATAAAGATAGGTCCGAGGTTGTCCCATGCCTTGGGGTCGCCTTTAGTGCTATTGTCGGTCGCATCGGGGAGGGTCTGGTTCTCCAAGAGGAAGACGTTGTTTTCATCCTTGTGAGGGTATAGGGTGATCTGTTGCTGCTTGCTGCCTGTCGGGTACATGTGGCTGTGGGAGTGGAGATATCCACCTTGGGTGTTGTGATGGCGGATCGAGACACGGCTACCGAAAGCAACATCTGCAGGAACATCTTGCATACCCTTGGAGTTCAGCGTAGCCTGGAATTCAGACGACATGAAGCCGTCACCGTCACCTGGGTTGACGAGGCAGAGGAAGTGGATGCCGAACATAGCCATGTAAAAGCTGAGAGGGATGACGATCAAACAGAACAGACGGGCGAAGAAGTGCTTGAACCAAATGCGCTATCGTATGGTCAGTATAAATTACCAGATTGCAAGAAGATTCAAACTTACTGGAGTGACAGTCCTGGTGTCTCCAAGCAAAACCCAAAGTTGTACAATCGTGAGACTGCCGACCCATGCAATTGTGAAGAGACCAACCCACTTTACACTGAAAGTGGCTCCAAGTCCAAGACCAGTTGCAACGAGCCAAAACCACCAGATGGGCTGGAAAGCCTTGGAGGGACCTTGTTCGTGTTGGTTGGTGAAGCTGGTCCAGGCCAATGCGGTCAAGGCAGTGAAGATCACGAGCGGGGAATCGAGGAGAATCAGGCGGGACTGGGTGACGAGAGCGTTGTCTACGGAATGTTAGATTTGATTCCTAGGAGACAGGGATGGGACTTCTCACCAAAGAGGACCAAGGATGCTCCCAGTGCGGCCGTGGTAGTACGGCAGCCTGAGGCCTTGAGAGTCAAGAACATGGTAGGGATCGTCAAGACACCGCAGATGGCGGGAAAGAGACGCATTGCGACGTATGGAACACCAGGCTCGAGGTAGTCTTTGCCAATGTCTTTGAAGTCGAAGCTTCCATCGAATCCAGCCAACCAGCCCGTGAGTGCGATCAACATCTTCGCCAATGGAGGGTGAACATCCATGAAGAACTTGCCCTTGATGTATTTGGTTGCAAATCCTCCGAAGCTATAGTTACCGTTAGCCTTGTATACTTTCGCAGAATCAGAGGCCAAGGCCACACGTACTGGACTTCATCGAAGACAACACTGGTGGGCTGCGATATCCTGAACAGACGTACTGCACAAGCGACCACAGTCAATAGTCCAATGAGTTGCCAATCTGAGCCTGGCAGATTGAAGATATCATTGTCCTTGACACCCTCAGATGCGAACGATGCAACCTTGTTTTGTCGTTGTTGCTGCTGCTTCTGTCTCCTCGCCGGCGAGCGGGATTTCGACCGTCGTTGGCTTTTCTGTTCCCCCAAGTACTGATTCGAGGGTAGGATGGACGCCATGATGGCGAGCTGAGCGGAGGAGAGCCTGCGGCTAAGGGGAGGAGGATGGAAGCACCGAAATTATTACAATTGCTGGTACAGCTGGCGTGGTGTTAGTGACATGTGGAGTGATGAAGTGAAGACGTGTATTGCTTACAAGAAAGGATTAAAGAAAGTAGAAAGTAAGAAGGAATTGTCTGAGCGAATGCCAGTTGGAAAGGGAAGAAGATGATCGTATTTTGTCGCTAAGGGGCCAAAAGTAAGGCTCGAAGGCGGCGTGTACCCTTGTCTGTATGGGTTAGGGTAAGGTTGTCTCTCTCGTACACAGTAGTAAAGTGGTAAAGTGCAAGGTGTCGTTTGTTTGGGGGGAGGATTATCCAGGAGGTACCTATGTAGTTAGTGGGCTAAGCAAGGAGAGGGGAGCTACATTGGGATTGGACGGGGAGCTGAGCTGGGGGGTTGTCCGTCGTCGTAGTGGTGGTACATAAATAGATCAGACCACAGCAGCAGCTGTAAAACTAGGGCGGTGCGATCAATCGAATGTGACTTTATCAAGAGACAAGAAAGGGTGTAAATATTCTTCAATTGGTAGTGATCCTTCTATACAAGAAACCTTCTCAAGGGAGAATGAGATTTGAGATCTGGGTCTGATAGGCTGCACGCATTGTGTTACATGTGATGCTCAACAATTGACACGATTTGACGGTTAACTCACAGCTGTGCAGAAATTATACTTCTCTACGGAGACCTCCATATTTTTTCTACAATCGTATTTACTATTTTATTCTGTCTCTCTTCTCCATATCGAATACAGAATTATTATAGCGATGCTCCATTGAACACGTGCCAAGCTTTCCTCCCGCAGAGGTATCGCCGAGGTTTGGCCGCGCCGCCTAGGAAACATTTCTCGCGCGCTCGACTTCACGCAATACCATCATCACCTGCTGCTTGCCACCTCATCCTACCCGCAGCAATCATGGCTGCTACTGGATCCGATACCAAGGATCTCTTCGAACTCGGGATCAAACCTGAAGGCGATGTCGTCATTCCCCCGCAAGCCGTCCGCGAGCAGATCGCGAAGACGGCCGACTTCTTGCATCGCAAACCAGGTGCTGAAGGAGGCCTGAGGGAGCGAACTGGCACCAACCCCAAATTCAGCTGGTTGAATCCCGAGGATTCTTACCATTCATATTACACGTGGTACCGCCAGGCGTTGGCCGAAGGGAAGGGCCGTGTCGCAGGCTCCGCAGGCCAGGCTGCCCAGGACAACAAACCAAAGGGACCGCAGAAGCCCGCAGATTATCGATTCTCCGCCCGAATGCCTAACATCAGCGCCCAAGATCTCGAGATCCTCAAGCTGACCGCACTATACACCGCGAAGAATGGCGAAAACTGGTTGAAGGAGCTGCGCAGTCGCGAAGCTGGCAATTTTCAGTTTGACTTCCTACGTGTCAACCACACATTTTTCGGATTCTTCCGCTCGATCGTCGAGCAGTACAAGATTCTCTTGGAGGAAGAACAGACGGTGGAAGCTCGTATCGAAGAATTGCGACAGAATGTGAAGAACCGGTTCCACGTACTGGATCGCGCGAAGCAGCGCGCCGAGTACGAGAAATATGTTGCCCAGCAGAAGGAGAAGGAAGAGAAACGTGTGGAGGATGAGAAGAAGGAATATCTGTCGATTGACTGGCAGGATTTCACAATCATCGCGACCGTTACGTTTGACGAAGCAGACGACGCTGCCGAACTCCCTGCGCCAACTTCCCTCAACGACCTCCAATCTGCATCCCTGGAACAGAAGGCCGCTGTTTCGCTGAACAACCGCATCGAAGAGGCTGCCCCCGACGAACAGACGTATTACAATGCCTCGCAAGGAGCTGTGAACACTCCCCCGATCTACCCACCTGCCGCACCCTTCGCTCCCCCCGTCCAGCCAATCTACCATCCTCCACCCCCGACCCAGGATTATCGTTCTGCTGCGCACCAAGCTCGCGAAGAGGAAGAAGAACGCGCCGTGCGCGAGCGACAGGCAGAGCGCGAAAGGGCCGCACGTGCGCAAGCAGCCGCGAAAGGAGCACCAGGAGCTATGCGCATCCGACATGATTACGTCCCTGGCCAGGCCGCGAAGAAGGCCAGTGTCGCCAAAGCCATCTGCCCCAACTGTAAACAGGAGATTCCCGCAGATGAGCTCGATGAGCACATCCGTATTGAGTTGCTCGATCCGAAGTGGAAGGAACAGCGAGAGAAGGCGGATGCTCGCTACGCAACCACAATCAATACAGTGGACGTCGCCAACAATCTGAAGCGTTTTGCCAGTATGCGAGACGACATATACGATGGGGCGACTGGCATGCCTGTCTCTGCAGAAGAGCAAGCAAGGAGGAAGAGGGCAGCGCTTTCATACGATGGCGTACCGGATCCTGCCAAGGATGCAGCACGCATGCAAGAAATGCAGAACGTGACTGTGCAAGAACAGATCCGTCGAATCCAGGAGAAAAATCGCATGAAATGATCGTGCATAAAGGTGTGTTTCTTTTCTTTTCTTTTCCCTTTTCAATTCACCGTCACAATAGCATGGATGGAGTTTGGGAGTTTTGCAGGTCGAAATACCCGCTTGGTGCTGCGGTCGGGCCAGAAGGGACCTGCAGGACCATTTGTATACTATCAAACAAGTAGGCCATAAGGGCATTGTCAAATATCATCTAATTCAAAATCATTTGCTCGCACCCATGTTTGATGATCGAGTTAATATTCGATCGACATCTCCAAGAGAGATGTCGTCCATTAAGCGGAGCCGCCGCCATTCGGCCCACGTCGATCAATTCTAGGAGCTCGGACATTCAGAGCTTTACCCCGACCTTAACCCTATGATATAATATTTTGCCAACCCAGAACATTTACCACTTCACACACTCCCACACATCCTCCCTCCACAACACAACACATACAAGCCATGTCATTAACACAACTCGGCAAAGGCGATATGCCTTACCAAGTGCGATCACTGGTATGCCATCCTCCCATCCCAAACACCAGCCCACGCTTCGAATCGGAGATATCGCTGCCGCACTCGGACGAACAGCCCCTCATCGGCACGCCGCACGTCTGCACGAATTCCCTACCACCCTCGCAGAAAATCATTCAGAGACTAGGACATTGCTAATTGAACCCACGCGTGCAGTATCGGAATCTCCTTCGGAACAGTCGACAGTTCGCAGCATACAATTTCCGCGAGTACGCGAAGCGGAGGACGAGGGACAGCTTCCGGGAGCACCAGAACGAGACAGAGGAGAGGCGGATACAGGAGTTAATGCAGAAGGGTTTGAAGGAGCTGCAGATGCTTAAGGTATGTTTTTTTGCTGCTGTGGTTGAGATTGTTGGGTGGGATGAGGGCGGATGTGCGGATGGTGGGTTGGAGGCGGAGTGCACATCTTGATATGAAGATTGGGCGGGCGGGAACAACACTTGGAGGGCGGTGATCTATTTCCTAGAGATTGGTCTGCTAATGCACATTTTACAGAGACAAACTGTCATCAGTCAATTCTATCAGCTCGATAAGCTGGTTGTCGAGGGAGGCAAAACGGGGGAGCAGAAGGGCAATGAGGGTGGCATTGTGAGGCAAAAGGATACTGGGTGAGTCTTTACTGCCATCAAAACATGAAAGACGGCTTTCTAACGGACAATTTAGCTGGGACTAGACTCTGTTGCAGCGATTAAAGAAGGTATCAAGGTCGAAGCTGCTGTTCTGCGACTTCAAGGCGTTTCCGTGTCCAGGGTTGGCGCACATGCCTGATGAAAGGCATCACGAATAGCATCTGTTGCTGTGCTTGTAGTATACAATATTGTACTATATACTTATGTATTCTCTCCGAATATAGCGTACGCTTTCTCAATGATATTTGTCCGAGGTTGACGATGAATCATATCTGTGAATGTTCAAAATTTGTACTACCATAGCCATGTGCCTCGATCGTTGGCAACCAATGATTCTAAAAATACTAAGCAAAACTCCAGGACGGAAAACAAATATGAGAATTATGCCGCCGCGAACGCTGGCTGTCCTCATCGCTGGTGAACAGGTAGACTGAGTAACATATCTCGACTCACCGAATCAGGCTAGTCGACTTGCGCGCACGGCCGCTCGGCTTGAGCCTCAACTCCTTCACCCAAACGCGACGCAACAGCCCGCGCATCGCGCATAGCTACTTCCCGCCGCGCATTCACGACTGCAATCACTTTCATCGATCGAGCCCGCCTACTCTATCATTTGCGCGCAACTGGCGCTTTAAGTTTCGATGGCTCCTGTACGTATTGCGCTGCTTCGCGCTGACAGCGTCGTTCACCTTCACGCATCGCTTCACGCATTTCCCCCGTACCCGCGCGTTGCTCCATCTCTATCCCCATCAATTATCCTGGAGCAATCTTCATTCATTATTATTTCGCATCGCTGGAAACGCTATGGCTTGGGGTAATTGCAACGATAGCTTCTCAGAATATGAGAAGGTCAGAGTCTTGCTTCATCCCTTAGCCAGCATTCTTCACGAAGACACGTGCAATTTTAATTTCCATCATGCTTACCGTTTCCTTCATCATCCCTGGTTTCTATTTCATTGAATTGATAACACGCACCGTACACATCTGGATGTAAAAGGTCATCGTAACTAACGTCATGTGACTAGTTCCGAAACCGAGACCGTTCAAACAGGTCTGGTCGAGGCCAGACCGAGCATAATGTGCTCGACGGCCTACCGATCAACCAATACCGAGAGGTCGAAGTACCAATCGGCCAAGCACCTCCAGAGGACAAGGTCAACCCCAAGGATGCGATATGGCCTGAACTTCCCATGCCAAGGGATTCTCACATGCTACCCGACCACGCCCAGCAGCTATTGCGCGCAGCAAGATCCGGCAGAGTGTTCAAAGCCCCCGGACCCCCAGAGGAAGACGGGGACGATGCGGGCGAGGAGAAAGAGCAGAAGGAATTGCCCCAGGGATTCACCGTGAAGAAGTGGGTCAAAGTTGCGCGCCATCTCGAGGAACCTGAACCCGAATTTCTAGCAAAGAGGCGGAAAGGTCTTCCGTCTCAGTATTCTACGAATGGGAATGCAAATGGATTTGCCGCCCCAGTAGCACCGCCTGCTCCGTTGAGAGAGACCAAAGTGAAGCAGCTGGATTCGGAGGGCAATGTCACCGTCTACAAAGCTCTCGTCCCCGAAGGCCAGGTCGTGGAGGGAGAAGTCCAGCCAACAGATGCTCCAGCCGTAGTCGAAGCCGCGCCAGCTGCCGCAGCTCCCGGAACCGTCATTGAAGGCGTGGGTGTTGCCAATGCAGACGGAGTTGTGGTTGCACACGGCGTGGAAACACCTCAGCGCCGGAGGCCTCCACCCCCCAAACCGAGGAAGAAGAAGGCCGGTCCCGGAAGGGGCAGAAAGAAGGTTGTATTCGTCGAAGGGCAGTCTGAGCAAGGTGCTCTCGCGCCTGGTGCTATTTCTGCTATCAAACAAGAAGGCACTTCGGTGGAGCCATCAGAGGGAGGTGACACCCCTATGGCAGATGCCGGCGACGACGACGAAGGCGAAGACGAATCTGAGGAAGAGGAGGGAGAGGGTGGAGAGGGTGGAGAAACGCCCGCCAAACCAGCCACGCCATCCAAGGGACCTGAAGATACAGAAATGGCCGACGCACCACCAATCCCTCCTCCGACACTCGATGCTGTACCCGCTTCTATTCCGGATTCCGTGGTCGATGTAGTCATGGAAACTGCAATTCCATTGCCTGATGCTGAGCCAATTCAGGAGCTCAATACACTTGGTAGTGATACCCCCAAGGAAGTTACAGTCGAGTCTATTCCGGCGTCTGCCTCAGAGACCCCAATTACGATCGATACGGACGTTGTTGCTCCTCCCGTCGAACCTGTTCCTGAACCTTCAGCGGAGCCTGCACCCGAGCCTGTCGTAGAGCCCGTTTCGGAACCACTCGTCGAGCCAACGACTACAGTCACTCCAGAGCCTCCTGCTGAGCCCACGCCAGAGGCTCCAAGTGCCCCAGCTGTAGCAGCACAACCTACACCACCTCCCTCATCAGTCGTTGAGCCATCAGAAGCCCCAGAGCCCGCGCCTGCAGAAGAACCTACGGCTGTCGAGCCCGAAGTCGAAAAACCACAAGCTAGTGTTGAGAAAGAAAAGTCAACCTCGCCCGAACTTCCATTATCTCACAGCCGACAAAACTCGCTCACTGAGATTCCGACGATCCCAGCTCCTGAGACCGCTTCTACCGAAGAACCTGCTCCTGCTGAGCGTGTTCCTACAGAACCACTTCCCGCCGAACCCACGACTTCTGGGCCACCAGCGGCAGAGGTGCCCGCTCCGGAACCGATTCCTACGGAGACTGCTACTGAAGAAGCACCTGCTGTGGAGGAGCCTGCTCCAGACCCGTCCCCTCCAGAAGTCCCTGCCGTGGAAACGACTGCGACAGAACCGATTGCCACAGAACCGATTGCCACAGAAGAGGTTGCTACAGAATCCTCTACTGTAGAAGCCGTTACAAAAGAACCGACTCCCCCGGAGTCGACCACTCTTGAGCCTCCTTCGGCCGAGCCCGCTACTGCATCGCCCGCTGCAGAGGTAGCGAAGACTGAAGACACTGTAGAGGTACCTGCAGCGCCAGAAGCGGCAGCAGAAGCGGCAGCAGAAACGGCACCTGAGCCTGCAAAGGAGTCGACGCCGGAAGAGCCAGATTTGCTGGGAAGCCTAGAGGCACACCTCGACAAGGACAGCGCAGGAGCTTCCTGAATCAGATCAGAGTCTTGATTCAACCCACGGGCACAGCAATCAAAAGTTCCCTACGAGCGATACAAACAAGTGCTGGGGACCAAAACGTTGCAACAGGCATGGAATATTTCGAGATGAATCGCGAAGGTTAATATCTACAGTCGGACATGAGTCTCGCCGTACACACATTGGTCAATCATATTGGGCCCGACATGCTGGAACATAGAAACCAGAGAAGGTCAGGGCGAGGAGTCTTTTGCAGTTCTGTATATCGCTGTATTGGGTACTGTACAATACCTGTAGGATTTCCAGGTTCGGCGCTCAGGAATAAGGTCTTACTATATCACAGGTCTCATAGTTATTTCAAAACTGTCCTTTCCCATTGGCTTTCTTCCCCCCTCTCATGAGACGATTGCTGACAATTCGATGTTTCACGTTTCTTCAGCACACTTGCCGTTCGTTATCGCCGGCTCCTAGATCAGTATCACGGCACGTCATCGCTTGGACGGATAGCCGTCGGGAAAGCTGCATGCCCCTCACTAACGACCACTTACCTATCGAGGCATGATCAACCACCAACGTACTTGTAGTGAACCTCATATTTATATGTCCTGCTTAACTTCAGGTGTATTCCAGATACACGACTTTCACTTTCCCAACCCCAACATCCACACTAACCTCACCAATCCAAGCCACAGCACCACCCACCCACCATGGCAACAATAACCCAAATAATCCAAACCCACGTCCCCGACCTCCAACCCTACGAAGAACTCTGTAACCTCCCCTTCCCTCCCCCTTTACCCCCCAACAACCTCAAATCACCTGACACTAACCCTCATCCCCCCAGACAAACACTTCCACTCCCACCCGGAGCTCTCCCACCAAGAATCCGCCACCGCAGCCCGGATATCCCAGCACTTGTCCACCCTAGGCGGCGGAGGCCACTACACCATCCACGCCTCCCTCGGCGGCCACGGCCTCGCCGCCGTGCTCCCCAACGGCCCCGGGCCCACCGTCCTCCTCCGCGCCGACATGGACGCCCTGCCCGTCCTCGAAGCCACGGGCCTGCCCTACGCGTCCACCGACCGCGCCCGCGACCTCAGCGACGGAGGGGTCGAGAAGCCCGTGATGCATGCGTGCGGCCACGACATGCACGTGACGGCGCTCCTCGCGGCGGCGGAGACGCTGGCGAGCGCGCGGGCGGAGTGGAAGGGGACGCTGGTGTTGGTGTTTCAGCCGGCGGAGGAGAGGGCGGAGGGGGCGAGGCGGATGGTGGAGGAGGGGGGGTTGTATGAGAGGGTGCCGGTGCCGGATGTGCTTGTCGGGGCGCATGTTATGCCGTTTCGATCGGGCGTGATTGGGGTGAGGGGGGGGTTGGTTGCTAGTAGTGTATGTGTATACGTGCTTTCCTTCTGTTTGTTGTTGAAGTGATGGGGGTTGCGTGAGAGAGGGATATCAGAATGCTAACATTCCCCCCCCCCCCCCCCCCCCCCCCCCCCCCCCCAGCAAAAAAAACCCCCCCCCCCCCCCCTCCAGGCCGATTCCTTCGAGTAAGAAACCAACCCAATCCCCTCCCCCTCTCTCCATCCCCAGCCATCACAATCATCATCCCCCATCCAACCTAACAAAAAACCCCTTATGAACAGAGTCCACCTCCCCGGCCGCCAATCCCACGCCTCCACCCCGCACACCTCCCTCGACCCCATCCTCCTCGCCGCCCACACCATCATCCGGCTCCAAACCATCGTCGCCCGCGAAGTCGACCCCCTCGACTTCGCCGTCGTCACCGTCTCTGCCATCCACGCCGGCGACCGCGAAAACATAATCCCCGCGTCCGCGACCCTGAAGCTCAACATCCGCGCCGCGAAGCCCGCGACACGTGACCGCGTTTTGAAGAGCGTGCGGCGGATCATACGTGCAGAAGCGATGGCGACGTCTGACGAGGGGGGAGAGGGGATGGAGCCGAGGATCGAAGGGATAAACGCGTTTCCGTTCTTATACAACGACGAGGTTTCCACGGCTGTGCTGCAGGATGCGTTTGCGGGGCATTTTGGGGGGAGGGAGTGGGCGAGGTTTGATGCGGAGATACCGAGGCTGCAGGGGTCGGAGGACTTTGGGCTGCTGGCGACGAGTGTGGGGAGGCCGTCGTGTTTTTTCTTGTATGGGGGTGTGGAACATGAGGTTTGGGATCGGTTGGAGGGGGAGGGGAGGTTGGCGGAGGTTCCTGGGAATCATTCGCCGGGGTTTAGGCTGCAGATTAGGCCGACGTTGGATGTGGGTGTTGAGGGGTATGTCGCTGCTGCGCTGGGGTTCTTTAGGGAGGGGAAGGTGGTGAAGGAACGGGTGGTAGAAGGGTAAGGAAGGGGGGGAAAAGGTTGAGGTGAGTATGGGAAGGTTATGTAATGTGGTATGATGTGGTATGGCATGACATGTTGTCAATGCAATGAATATATTCAAGTTCCATCCATCTTTCTTCTTGTTATATAAAAATCCATTCTTCCCAGAAGAAGATCCAAACACTATATAAATGGCGTCCAAGACAGCAGCAATGATAGACGAACCGAAGACATTTGCACATTTCCCGAGAATGCTTCAAGACAAAAGCCAAACTAGCCAAATGCCAAAATTCATAAAATCCAAATCCCACATGTTCGAATCTTGAGGGAAGGGGTTAGACTTCTTCAAATATATGTGTTTAGAGGGGCATGCAAACGTATATGCAGTGGATGATCGATCAAATGAGTGAATGCGTGAAGATATGGGTAGGAGTATGTAGTGAGAAGATAAAACTAGGACGTCTACTCCCTCCTAGCAGCCTTGACGACGAGCACGCTAGCGCTGAGCTTCGCCTGCCACGCCTTCTCTGCCAACACGCCGAGCGTCGAGCCGGCAGAGGTCGAGGTTCGGATGTCGTCGACGGACTCGCGAGAGGCGCCGCTGACAGTTGAGGCGAGACCCTTGCGGCCGATGTTGCGGCCCAGGACGATGAGGTCGCCTGCGTTGCGGGGGGATTGACCGACCTCTGTGCCGGCGCGGGTGAGGACGTCTTGGAGGGGGTTGGTGGCGCGGTGGGTGTCGAAGAGGACCCGGGAGGAGAGCTCGGGAGGGAGGGACGCGCGAAGGGCGGCGAAGAAGGCAGCGTCTTGTTCGCGTGGGGAGGTCGAAGCTGGGGTCGGGGTGACGGTGGCTTCGGGGCCTTTGTTGGGGGTTGGATCGGAGGAGGAAGAGGCGGATGTGGGGGAGGTAGTGTCGAGGAATTCGTCGGATACTTCGAAATGCACAAGGGTGGCGGTGACGTCTGGGGATTCGGCAAGCTGGAGGACGAGGCGGAGGGCGGCTCGATCGTCTTCGCCGCCGAAGAAGGGGAAGAAGATGTGATGGCTTTGATCCTGGAGGGGAGCATCGACAGGTACGTCTCGGTGGCTCTGGAGACTGACGTTGCTGTATGTGCGAGCTAGCTTCGGCTTGTTCTTGTTCTTTGGCCCACCGAAATTCTTATTGACCAAAACTGCCGTGGTGACTGATGACTGGTCTAGTGTGGAACTGACGAAAGATAGATAGGAGCCGGCTGCGAGTTTATTCTTCGTTCCCTTGTCCTCGATAATTGCCTGTTCACTCATTCCTCCCGTCTCGCTCCACGGTATCAGAAGTAGATCCGATTCGGCAGCACGGGTGGTGAGCGTGTCGGCGAAAGAAGATTCTGGAACGACAAGTGCCTCACCACTGATAGCCAAGTTATGAAGACGTCCAAATGTTCGGAATGTATTGACGATGGGATCGTTCGCCGTGTAAGACTGCCCCTCGAATACCTGCATGACGGAAGATCCACGATCGGTGAGGTTGAGCAAACGTAGACCGTGTGCTTCGACACTTCGTTTGGTCGGTTCCTCGCTCGCCGATGGCTCGCCGCGTTCTGCCACATTGCTTGCGTTGTTGAGCGAAGGATGAGATTTGACTGCTTGTTTCTCCAACTTTCCGCCGAAGAGGGAGGAGAATGCAAGTAGGTTTGGCATGCTGTCCAAGCGCAAGTAAACCGTGAGGCGCCTGATCTTCTGGGTCTCCAATTTCTCGTAATGGGCACCGTCGGCGACGCTCTCGCTCCCGTCCAGAGGGTTTCCATCCCAGTCAATCTCGCCTCTGCGGTAGGCAGCCACCTTCTTTTGGTACGACAATGGATAGAACTGAATGGTGAGAGGCGAGGTCATGAAAGTTGTGACGAGGGCCATGACGACGAACATGGTGAATGTACGCGTTCCTAGAATCTTTGCCTGGAGACCGATGTTGAGGACGATAAGCTCGACAAGACCCTTGCAACTCATCAGCGATCCGATAGCCAGGCACTCACGCCCCATCATTCCGGTCCAGCGAGCAGCCGCGGCGGCACCAATGAACTTGGCAAAGAAGGCGACAGAAGTGACACCGATAACGTAGGCCCAGACAATTCCACTATCGAGAAGGCCAATGTTGGTGTTGAGTCCAGATAGGGTGAAGTAGAGAGGCAAGAACAATGCTCCGATAAGATCCTCAATCTTCTCAGCGACCTTGATGTTGAAGCCACCTTCGTGCGGGCAGATCATTCCAGCCAGGAAGGCACCGAAAATGGCGTGGACACCAATAATACCGGTGAAAAAGGCCGAAGCAAGACAGAGAAGTAGAGTGAGACCGATAATTCCCTGACTGGGGCCGTCCTGAATAGCTCCGTTCCATCGTAGAAGGCGGATCCACAAAGGCCGAACGGCATAAACGAGGAAGAGCGTGTAACCAACACACACCAGGAGCACCCAAAGTGCTGTTAAACCACTGGCTGCATTGACGAGGGCAACACAGAGGGCAAGCAAGATCCAGCCTGGTAAGACAAGTTAGGTCATGTGAGGCAGATAGCCGAAACGAAAGACATTTGACACGTACCGACCACGTCGTTTCCGACGCCAGCAGCCAGGACAATAACACCAACGGGAGTATCCAACAATTTGAGCTCGGTAAGAATTCTGCAAAGTACGGGGAAGGCCTAGATATGTGAGCAAACTGAATTCCATCTCCCCCGGAAAGACGTACAGTGATAGCCATTGCGACACCGATGAAGAGCGCAAAGATACCGAAGTTGATTGGCACGGTGCCCGGTTCGTCCTTGAATTGGTGGTACAATCCCACCGCGATGGCGACACCCAAACCAAAAGGCAAGGCCATGCCAACGACACCAACGCTCAATGCGACTTTCCAATTCCTCGTGGCAATGCGCAGATCCACTTCCAGACCGATGATGAACAGGAACAGAGTGAGACCCAAGTTCGCAACCAAATTCAAGAGGGGTATACTGGCATCGGGGAAGATATTCGCTTTGAATCCGGGGATGCGGCCAAGGACGGAGGGACCAAGGAGAATGCCTCCAATAACTTCAGCGATAACTCGAGGTTGACGGATCTTTGCGAGGGGCCAGTGGAGGAGACGACAGAAAATGATGATGATGGAAGCCTGCAAGAAAGAGATATTAGGACATGATTCTGTGGGCTATCTTGCCATAGGAAGGAGTCCATACCTGGACAATGAACAGAATAATTGGGTTCTTTGGATCGTAATGTACTGGGTTGACATGTTCGAGCACGCCACCTTGGGGAGTAGCCTTGTTCCCACTGCTCGGAGTCGCGCTGGCGGCGGAGGCAATCTTGGTGACGACCTGGGTGACCGTCTGCACGGCGGCAGCGGTGGAGGAAGCCATGGTGGTGAGCTTGCGGAGTCGCTCTCTAGACCCTCGGAGGGTTTCTAAGATATAGAAATGGAGAACGTTTGGGGATCGTGGGGTAGACAGAGGAGAGGGACGTTGGGTGGGCTACGCTACTTATTCAAGGTTGGTAGCTAACGAGGGTCTAGTCAAGAGCTGGACCAGCCACCATGGTAGGTCGATCCACCGACGGGACACGCAACTTTTGGGAGCTTGAGCTGCTGCAGGGTTCTGAAGGATTGGTCCGGGGGTTTGCCAATTCAAGTGCCCTTTTTACAGCAAGTTTCCCAGGCTTGCACGTTGCAGATTGGTCGTTTTCGCAAGCAGCGGACGCGCCATGCGGCACATTATTCCTGGAGCTAGCCAGGCGAAGGGCCGCCCACTGTTTCGAGGGTCCCAGATAGTAAGCCGGTCCCAGGCTGGGCGCTGCGGGATTCCTGTGCAAATAAGCCCATGTGATGGATATATTGTGCTATGATGTTGTTCGTTCTTTGCCATGTACAGCTTGGTGTGTGCCTATCACCATTGTCATGAGTTGTGTCAAGTGTTGGCGATGTTCCACCAAGGTGTTTCGATAATCCTCCGTGGTGTGCACACGATATGACCTTCAATAGACGAGAATAGAACAAGGCTATGGTCAAAGGTATTCTCCGTAGTCCGTTCTGGTAGGCAGCATTGTGTTCGTTTGTTACTTGGTAGTGTATGTCTGTGTGTGGGACGGTCAGATGTGTGAGTCCTTTGTTCTTCCTCCCTCCTACGGCTGTTGCCGAGAACGCCAACGGGGGGGTTCATTGGAATGCACTTCCACTCCACTCCACCACTCCGCTCCACTTTGATACGAACCCGGCCTGGCTAAAAGAGAGGAAGCGGTCAAGGATGAACATACATGGACGACGAGTACGAGTACATTGTTGTCCGCTTGGAGCGCTATCTGGCATGTTAGGAGTTTGGTGCTTGGTGCTGTGCTGTGCTGCATCTGCGTCCAACCAACATGGTCCCTGGTCGTATCGTATGTTCACTGTGAATCCTTCCCCCATGAGTCAAATATGACGTCGCCTCTCGAGGTCGAAACATTCATATCTTGCTTCCCTCGCCAATAAATGAGTGATTTGTTTGTTTTACTGTCTATTCAACTATTCAAAGCATATCTTGGGTATCTTCAAAGGAATATTCGCAAATGTTACGCCGCAGCCGCTGCACTCCGATTGCTTATCCTCCTCGCCACGTGAGGATTCACAGGTCACACGAAGCCAACGACTGACCACAAGCCCAGCCCAGCCTCCAGCCTCCAATCTCACCGCTTCCCCCTCCAACTCCACTCCACCACTCCACCATTATCGCATCATCGACCAAGTATTGTATCCTGCAACAATCATTGTTATTCGCACCCACAATCTTCCACAATCCTTCAACCATCACCAGACGCTGGACTCGGTGGCACTTCGCTTCCCCAAGCCCTCGGCTCCGCACCAAGCACGTACTCCATCTTTCCCCCATCCTCAAACACATCCTGCCAAGATACCCACGATTGGTTCCATTCCTCTCCATTGACCTTCAAGCTCTGCACGTAGAATGCCGTATCCTTGTCGCCTCCCGTCGTCGTGATCGTCAATGTCTTTCCGGTGCCCAGGTCGATGGTCATGCGAGGGAACCATGGGGAGAGAATGAGGAATGTGGTTTGGCCTGTCAGAGGCCATAGACCTATCATCTGCCACTGTTGATTGATCCAAGTTAGCATCGTGTATACGCCGTGCGTGCAGTCCGTTCCGATACCCAAGGCCTTGGGCAGGTGTGTGCAACCTCGCTAGGCTGTCGACAACCAATATGATATGCATAGCCGTGCATGACTTGAGCGCCACCACTAGTTATCGTAGAGCAAATCCCCAACACACATAGGAAGCATTAGAAGAGACAGAAAGAAAGACCACTCACAATGATGTTACTCTCCATGGCCCCGCCATCGCTATTCCCCGGAAGACCCCCAGGCTCCGCACTATACAACCTCCCAATCTCCCTCCTAGACCTCTCTACACTCTTCCACTGCATCCCCGGAACGAAATTGTATAGGAATGGCGATGTGAAGCCGGGCTCGTTCCCCGCATTGAAGATATTTAGATCGAACAGCTTATCCACGCGGTCAACGAACTTCTCATCACCCCCAGAAAGAGCCTTCAAGCGTGCAATGTCGTGTAAGGCGTTGAGGCTATAGATCCAAGGATTATCTTCATAGTAGGCATCGCCCCAGTAGCATCCTCCACACGATAAAGGATCTTGATCAACGAAGGAGCCATTTGCGAGACGTGGGACCATGAATCCAGTGTGATTATTCGACTCGGCACGTGGGTTCCAATGATTGCGCCAGTTGCGCGAGCGGTTGAGGTACTTCGCTGCATCGTCGTCGTAGCCCAGCCCCTGCGCCATCTGGTAGAGGCCGAAGTCGTTGTTGGAGTATTCGATTGCACGGGACACGCTGCGTGTGTATGCGGGTGTGATGTAGCCGTACTTCAGCCAGTCGGGAAGCGCGCCACGGCCTTCCTTCGTGGATGAATCTGGTGCCATGGGGTCGTTGTTCGGCGGTGGTGCGATTTCAGCGTCAGTCTGCATCGCCAGAAAGCCGTTGTGCCAGTTCACGGCGCCTCGGACATTCTTCACATATGCGTCCGCGAGTACATTGTCAGCATTCGAGCCGACCTGAACGCGTCCGTTGAAGTTGGAAGATCGGGCGTCTGGCATGAAGCCATCGTGGCGCCAGATGTCGATGAGTGATCTGATGAATTCTTCGTATGCTGTCGGGTTCACGATATGGAAAAGTGATGTTTGACTTAGACGCTGTCAGTTAACCGATCTCGTTTCAAATAATAAGAACTCACCATCGATGCGTATCCCACAGCGTGAAAACATCATCATAGTACGGCTCTGTACCATCCCACGCGGCATTCTCCCCCGTCCTATTTGACGGAATCAAGAACATGCCTAGTAGTGAACTGTATAGCAACTTGGTATCCGCCTCCGTGGCCCCTTCCACCTGAATCTTGTTCAGCACCTCCGCATTCCAGGTTGACTTCGCTGTGCTCGCCAACTCTTCTATTGTCGTTTCTGTGCTAATCTCCCGATCAAGATTCTCACACGCCTGTTCAGTCGACAGAAATGATATCCCCACACGAGACCTCAGCTCCCTCTCTTTGAAGGTGAAAACTCCTCCAAGACGCTGCGTACCAGAGACCTTCTCGTTGGATCCGTACTCGGCTAATGTCTCCCCAGAACTATTAGTCCCTTTAAATATCTTCCAGCTCTCCGGCTCTTTACTAAACCGTCCACAGAAATAGATGTTCCAGTCAGGCGAGAGATTCCATCCATTATTATACGTCCCGAATCCTTGGTAATGGCCATCCGTAGCGTCATACTCGAATTCACCTCCCGAGTAGTGTTGTTCCCATCCGAACCTGCGGAAGCTTGGAAGAACGTGCGACACATCCACCACAATCGAATGCATGTTGCTACTACTGCTATTTCCAAACAGTGAGGTGTTGGTCTTCGAAAACGTGTAACGATACAATCCAGCATGTTGCGTGGCTGACAGCTCGACAGCGACTCCATTGGCCAGTGACGATTTATAGTACCCTATTTCTGCTTCGTCTGGAACTGCGCGGTCTTGTGAGAGGTCGAGCAGTGGATTGGCGATGTCTCCCACGACTGGCATCTGCGATACGACACCTACCGTTATGGTCAGCAAGCACTCGATCACTTTCAAGGACAACAAGAGGTCAAACCGTATTTCGGCGCCCCGCCCGTCCCAGACTCATGCATCATCGAGAACCCCCAAACCCTCCCCTCAGGCAAGTACCCACTATACGCATCGTGCCGCCCATTCATTACATCCGGCCCAAGCTTGACCATCGCAAACGGCGCCGCGACTACGCCCGGGAACCTGTTGCCCCCCTTCGTCGTGCCTTGACTGCCCGCACAGAATCCTCATCAGCCACAATCCAACACCACACAGAAAGCGAAGAAGAAGAAAAGGTGCATCTTACAAAACATTAACATGCCTCGTGAGGTCCTCCTCCCCACCGACCTCGGGCCCGCCCGCAAACACCATTTCCAGAATCCCCAGCAGGGAGACTAACATGATGAGAAACGACCTTGAAAAGGAGCTCCCACCAGCAGACGAAGAAAATGATGATGATGAATAGGAATAAGAAGTACTGTAAGACGACGACGAATCTCCCTTCGCAGCACCAAGATTCCACCCTCCGCCATTCCGCCGCCTAGCCGAGCAAGAAGACATCTTGATGTCTTTCTCCGGTGGTCACAACGTCACAGGCAAGAAACTCGCACAAGCACAGCACCAACGCCGTCACGGGGACGAACTCCCACTCCGCTCCGCGCCGTTCTTCCCGAGGGAGGGCGATGGATCCTAGCCAATATCCGCCTTTTCTAAGTATTTCTCACTGTTTGTTTTAGGGAAAAGTAAAAGGGAAATAGGGCCCCCGAATAAAAATAAAAAAAAACAAGACGTGACGCCCCGACGAAAGACGGATAACTCGGGCGCGCGACGTGCTTGGAGCCTTGCAGCCTTGCCGTGGGAACCGACCTGTTTAGGTAGGGATATATCGGCACGACGAACGCACGCCCAGGATTAGGGAAGGGGTGGCTTTGGTGGGTGCTAAACGAGCCTTGAAGCTGCGCCCTGGGATTCCAGAAAGGTGGGGTGGGAAAGAGCTGAGGAGTATATTGTAGGAGGGTAGGGTAAGTCGTGTGTTTTTTTTCGTCGTCGTGATTTTACTCGAAATGGATGGATTGGTTTGTTCGTAGGATGTGTGGTATGGTATCGAGCTTTCCGAGATCGTCGATACGTTCCGCGATGATCACCAATTTATATCTGCTACCCCTACGCGCGGGGAATTTTTCGATCGTTTCCTTACGAGTTTCGTAGGTATGCGACGCGCGCAGTAACGACGAGGATCAAGACTAGGAATTAGGATGAGGGAATGGGGAAGGTATATGTACAATCACACGATTGCGCCGGGAGTCAGGGCCGTGTGGGGGTGTGTTGATTGAATTCATCTAATCGATCTAGAGAATCGGTATTTCTCCTTTGGGATTTCTTCAAGACTACACTAATATGTAACTACTACAAGCAGCCATATCACATTTTGTATGTGTAGCGTCAGGGGTACGTTCACCCAGCTACCCTTTCGGTATTCTAGAATGAGTAAGTAGGAGTGTAGATGAGACTAATAGCGGGAAGAGAAAGCCATTATCGAATCGGGAGCATTGGCTATTGGGTATGGCGTTTTCTTCACAAGTCAGTTGTAGACTTAACTTGATTTTAATGTTGTAGTTTGCTTTTGTTGGCGGCTGAAATGGCTGGCTGGCTGCGAAGGTGTAGATTAGATGTAGATTAGGTGGGTACCTGAATCTTGCACGGAATAGTTATTACGATGGTGCGAGTTGGGCGGTTGGAAAGGGAGAGTAGAGCAACTCTCTGGGTTACAATCAATCTATCATAATACTCATCATCCTACATTCCCCGTCCCTGCAAAGTATATACTTGTACACTTCTACCTGTTGCGTAGAATCGAACTTCGAATACGCAACCAATCACATCCCACCAAACTACGTCGTAGTTCGTACCTCTTAGCGATCGATGGGCCTTCCGAACTTCCACCCCCTGAGTCGGAATCTATGGAAAAACCCCTTGGCGCCCGCCCGGCGCGCCGTCTAAAGAAAGCCGGGCTGGTGGATTTTTATGTGGCGTTCGTTTGTGGCGTTTTGTGTTTTCTTCTGCGTGTGGAAATGATGGACAGAAGGAGTGGAATAAGGATGAGAGCAAGAGGGTGATAGGGTTTGGGATGGGGAATTTGAATGTTTTATGGGTTGGTCTGGGTAATTGATTGTGTTTTTGGTGAAGTCATATGGTTTGGGGATGGGGATGGAGACGGAGATGGAAATCGTATGTAGAGGTAGGCGTGAAGAACGGAGTATATGCCAAATAATACTCGTGTAAACCTACCTAATCATTTTGAAAATCTAGAGGCGCATTATTGCATTTTGTTCCGTCGGTAGTCATTGCATTGGTTTTAATTCATTTATGTAACTCGAGATGCCGCGCAACTATGTGAACACAAATAAGTCTACCCCAAAAACCGTAAAACAAAAACTACATTTAAGTTTCTATTTATTTCCCCTCCTCACTCCTCCCCCATCCCTCAAGATTCTCCACGATAGGATTCCTCCCGCCCCTCGTGATGATCCAAACAATATCTTCATCACTATCATTGACCTCCTGATGTTCCGCGTACGCGGGTATCAGCGCGAAGTCTCCCGGCCCGAGTTCCTGTCTCTTGCTGCCGTTAGGCCCGCTCACGATGGCGCCGTGGCCTTTCGCGGCGTAGACTATTGTGTCTAATGGAACATATCAGATCTTGTGGTCGGTAAAGGAAAGGTGTATCTTTGTGGATGAAGAGGAGGGGGATTGAATGGTGGGAGTAGACGGGTTACAGTACCTTCTTCGCCGTGATGATGGACTGCGGAGGCGGTGTGGGGTTTTGCTATCATGACTATATTCACGGGGATTGGATTAGGATGGTTTAAGTATCTATGCATGGACTGTTGATTGGTGATTTGTGTCTTTACCTGTCCCGCATATTTGGTCCGACATGTCTGTGATGGCGTTCATGCGAATCATGCCCTCTGTTTGCGCTCCGCTCGGCGCGTTGATCTCGGCGCTTTTCTTGACGACGACTTCGCGGGACATGTTTGCTGTGTCTTGATTCTCGAACTTGAGATTTGGATTTAGGCGCTTGGTTTTGTTTTGATGTTGATTGATGTTGGAGAGGGATATGTTGCCCCACTGGGGTGACTATGTGCGGAGGTCGATGAGTAATGGAATTCAATGCTCCTCATTGGCCAGATGTAGTAGGACTATGGAAGTGCAATTCATCCTGTGTTCTCGACATCAAACGGCCAGATCTTTCTCGCATCGTTTTTGTATTTAATCGGCTCATCTTCATCTACGTCTTCAGCTTCCTTGACAGCTTTTCGCATCTCTGCAAAGAGGTTTCGATGCATCAACTTGGTTGCTTCCTACTCGTTTGTAGGCACCCAGCCTAATAGCAATGTCGTCTTGTTTTACAAAAGTAATTTCATTGACATCTTATCTGCGACTTGTTTACGGTCTCGAAGGTTTTCATTTCGATAGCCTAAAGGATGTCTTACAGGTGTTTTACAGAAATCTAAGATAAGTAAACATCACTCAAAAGGTTTAAATGTAATTAGGAATGTATATAATTGATGAGACTCTTTGTCTATCTAATAATGTGGACTTTCATATTCCTCGAATGGGTCAGATGTGACCGGGAAAGTCCATAGGTAATAAAGTCCCTCAAAAGCTGAAATGTTCCCCCAAAGGCCCTTGCTTTCGCCGATGATGTCAACCTAGACATCCACTAAAGGGATCAGATATGACCTAGAAAGTAAATAGAAAATGGAACCTCTTGAAAAAGCAAATTTGCTTTAAAGAGTAGGAGGAGAACCCCCCGAAACTCCTTGTTCCTTCCATCATGCTAACCCAAAGCGGCTATTTACCTCCCAGAACGTGTCTATTCCTCCTCGCTGCCGCTGTCGTTGAAAATAAAGTCATCTCCCGGATCATTCTTATCTTCAAACCAATGCCGGACCTCCGACTGGTCAATGATTATTGGGAGATACTCAATTGGCAGTGGTTGGGTAAATGTAGACTGCACAGTCAAGTCCTTCCAGTATCGAAAGAATTCAAGGTCTTCTGAACGGGTTTGGTCGCTAGAGCTTTGGTGCCGAGCACGTAAACGGATGTTTATTGAATCCTCTATACCTAGAACATAGCAATCCTTGATGAAATCTTGCCAAGGTCTGCAGATAGCCTCAAGCTCTGGCAAAGATGATAGCGGTGGTTCAAAGATCGTGTCAAAATCGATATATCGTGCGAAAGACCTGTACATTTCATATGCAATAACCTTTCGCTCGTGTGCGCTTGGGGGCCAGAGTTGCTCAAGCATATCAACTCTCTCCTGCCTCGTGATATTTAACATGTTTATGGGAGGGGTTTTATCCAAGCTCTGATAATAGATTGTTCTAGCGTGCATGAAGAGATAACTATAAATTGTGAATCATTGAAAGGTCGTAGAAAATATGGTAAACGGCTTACTCTGTGCAGATGCTGGCTTGCCACTTACGTTGTCTATTGTTGATATAGTGCTTCTTGAGTTTGTAATCAACCGACGTGGCCTCCAGGTACTTGTAAGTGTCATTGAACGTGGCTACAGAGATATGATGGTCTCGGAAGTAATGGGCAACAATAATGAGTGTTTCGTGATTATTGACTGTACCACATGCATTAGTAGATTTAAAAATATGTAATAATAGAAAAGATGATCTTACTTTGGCCGCTTCGTCTCCAATGCCTCCAGTAAAGACTATCGTTGTAGCCGTCCAGTACGTCAGCACTGCCGATTGTGTGAACAGATCTCTCTTTGACTTCAGTCTGTTGCGCAAACAGCTGCTCGCTAGGCCCGTTTCGCGCCATCTCTTTGCCGGGGCCCTTTTCCCCACTTGACGGTGTGCTCTGGATATGCTCTTCTTGCTGATTGAGTATCGTGGAATAATAAGACACGCAAAGGCACCAAGAGAGAGGATACTTGAAGAAAAACAGGAAGGACGGGATATATTGTAGTAGAGGGGAAAGGTCGAGGTAGAGCGGATGGAGCTAAGTCGAGGCAGAAGGCGAAGTCAGCGCGATAGAGCGAAGTAGGAGGGATGAAGCTAAGTCGAGAGGAAAAAGCGGAGTAGAGGAATAGGGCGAAGTAGTGGGTATATTATCAATTCCGAGGTGAGAGACAGGCCGCCACAAGGCAAGGTGAAGGTACGTGAAAGAGTCCACTTTGGGCACACCTCATATTCTAAGCAAGTCAAACTCGTTGACCGCTCTTTCATTGGCCTTTCTCTGGCGGTGACGAACGAAGAGGTTGGAGGATTTGGCGACAGAATGGTAGTAGCAATGTATGAGAAGCTTGTGCAGTAACTGAACCTAGATCGCCTGTGTTGAGCAAATCATGCACGGGGAGAATGAGCGGTTTCTGTATACTTCTTCAGGTGATAATATTCAGTCATCTAGGACATCTGCAGGGGAAGTACAGGACATCTGCAGGGCAGGTACGGGACATCCACAGGGTGTCCACAGGCAGTCCGCCAGGACACCGCCAGGATATCGCCAGGATATCGCCAGGATATCGCCAGGACAAGTGAAAGACATCTAATTAGATCAAGTACTGCATGGCGCTTCAGCTTTTTGGGGTCTCAAACGTCGCGTGGTAGGCGCTCGCATGTCACGAGCGCATATGTATCAAAAGCATTCAAACATTGTGTTGAATTCAAATACGATCATGTTTAGAAGACGCATAATCATTCATAATTGATATAGTGAGCTGCAGTGACTTACAGTGACTGACAGTCACATTTAACACGAAAAGGAAGCGAAATGCACGATTTACCTAACCACCAACCCTAATTCCTCGCTGGACTTATGCTATAATAGTAAAAATACTAGCTTAACAATTAGTAGTATTTCAGAAGTCTATAAATACCTAAGGAATTCTTACTTGATAGTTGCTACTTTATTGATACAAAAGATAATCTATGACGTCCAAATACTACTACTTGCAAGTGTTGATCAGGCGGGTAGTAAGGGGATCTAACTCTATAAAAGCTTCCCTTTGTGTTACAATATAAGTTGTTAGTTGTTTCCTTCCTTAGGTCGGATTTGGACGTGAACATCCCGGTCCCAATTATGCCCACCGGCTTCGATTGAATGTGTGTTCTGTGTCAGAAGACACATGAGCCTCAATTTCGACTTTATTTTCCTACATGATTTTTAACGTTACTGGTAGAAAAGTAGAAGATTATTTTCAATCAGTCGTCACAGGTGGAGAAATCATAGCAAGAAGAGATATTATAATACGAACATCAGATGTATTTCTCGACTCAATACATACACCCAAATAAAATATCTATCGTGACCACCACGAAATTTAACTAAACACCAATGGATATATATACAACTTCTTTTTGATAATCTTACAACTTCATGCCCAAAGCCTTGTGCACCCTCAACGCCTGTCGGATGGAAAGATCCAACATGATCTCCTCGCTACCACCGGGGATGGCGTAGGCCCTGACATCCCTGTACAGGCGCTCGACCTTCGCGCCCTGTCCACCGCGGCTGTAACTCAGACCGCCGAAAATCTGGCTAGCCTCGCGGGCGCAGAACTCGAAAGTGGTCGTCGACTGAGCCTTGAGGGAGGCGATGGCGCCACCGAGCTTCAGCATAGCTTCCATCTCACCCATGCGCTGGCACTGGAAGATGAGGTTCTCGAGCCAGTTGTATGAGGCCTCGATCTGGCGGGCCATGTGTGCGAGCTTGAGGCGGATGACAGGGTGGTCTATGAGGCGCTTGCCAAAGGTGCGGCGCTTGTGTGCGTACTTGATGGACTCCTCGTAGCAGACGCGGGAGAAGCGGATGCACTGGATGATGATGCCGATGCGCTCGTGATTGAAGTTGGTCATGACGACCTTGAAGCCCTGGTTCTCCTTTCCGATGAGGTTCTCGACGGGCACCTTGACATCCTCGAACGTGATGTAGGTCGTGCCGCTGCTCCACACGCCCTGGCAGTCCATCTTGCGGGTGGACACGCCGCCGGCGCTGCGCTCGATGAGGAGCACGGACACGCCGTTCATGCCCTCGCCGCCAGTGCGGACGGCAGTCGTGAAGTAGTCCGACCAGATACCATTGGTGATCCACTTCTTCTCGCCGTTGACGATGTAGTGCTTGCCATCCTCAGAAAGCTTGGCTTCACATGTCAAATTCGCGACGTCGCTACCGGCGTCTAAAGTAACGTGCATTAGCGTGACATGGTCATTTGGGTAGACTCTGGGGTTTCTGGGGGAAACTTACCCGGTTCGGTGATTGCGAGACAGATGCGCTTCTCGCCGCTGAGCAGCTCAGGCAGGATTCGCTTGACCAAAGGCTTCTTGCCGAATTTCACAAGAGGCGGGCATCCAATACCATAACCACCGATAAGATTCCAGACAAGACCTCCGCTGCCAGAGCGAGACAGCTCGTCCGTGATGATCATCTCGTGGAAGAGATCCCACTTCTCGACCGGCACGCTCTTGACGTGGTTTGTTGTGAATTCTTTGGGGTAGTGCACGCCGAGCAGACCGGCCAGGTATCCTCGCTCGCCCATGTCTCGGAAGATCTCGTCGGGCACCTTCTTCGCCTCGTCCCATTCGGTCACGTTGGGCATGATCTTCTCTTCGACCCATTGGCGGACTTCGTCGCGGAGCGCGGCGTGGGTTTCGTTCATGTAGGGAGAGTGGTACTACAGACGGTTAGGTCGGCCGTGGGTTTGTTTCGACTGCAATGACTTACAGATTGATACCATGATGGGTCGGCATAGGGAACAAGGTCACCGTATGGATCCAATGCTTCAAACTCCTCCTCCGCAGCCTCCGTGGGCTGAGGCGCAACGACGCCGGGCTCTGCCTTTGGCTTAACGACCTCCTTCTTCGGTGCTGGCGGCGGTGGTGGAGGGGCGGCCGGGGCGGCTTTTGAGTCTAACGAGCCGATTTGAAGCTTCTGGTACTTCTTGAGGATGCTCTCGTTGTGGTATTTCCAGAATTGCTTGGATGCGTCCTTGCCGGCGACGCGCTGGAGGACTGTAGAGACTGTGAGCGTATGATTCGGTATCGTGGAATCGTTCGGTGCTTACTCTTCTTGCCGCCTGGGTGCTCATCTTGGAACTTGGTGACGTCGTACACGTCCTCGTCGACAACGATCCAGAGGCTGTCACCCTTGTTATGCGACGCCACGTCGGCGGTTGAGTATCGCGCAGACATCTTGTGGACTGAGTATGTAATGAGATAGGTACAAGGAGAGTGAAAAACGTATCAGAGAAGAGACAATACAGATCAAAAAAGACACAAGAAGCAATGGCAGGTCCGGGGATTATAAGCAAGCAATAGTGCCCCGGGGAACATGGTGTCTTTCACATGCGAAACAGCCAACGCTGTCTCTAGCCCTCCTAGTGCCAAGGCAACCCCGGACTTAGAGCTTCTTTCTGACCAGACTGGGGATTGCCATCCTTTTTCTTTTGGATGACGCGCTAGACAGTTGTGTTCCCCGATCTCGTGAACACAATACGAAGGCTGTCATTGGTGCTTGGTTGCGGCTCAGCTCGGCTGGACGTCATGCCGAGGCATCGCTGCTTTGGGAAAGTGCACGTGGCCTCATTTTCACAAGCTGAGAGTCCTTGGTTACAATGTCACTCCATACATAACACATGATTATTTGATTACTCCGTGGGTATTAGTTTCAGGAGTTGTGTCGGATGTGGGGAAAGTGGAGTTGCGGCTTTAATATAACATCCCCAGGAAATTCTCTTGAAGGGGAACAGCCAATACTTTGGTGCGATACGTGTAGACGGCTCCTGATATTCTCATGACAACATTGTGAACGGGTTACAGCTATGGATGTTTGTTGTAATCGCTATCAGAATAGAGCAGGTTAAACTGGACTTTTCGATTCCTTTGTCGGCTTGATGTCTCTTCACAGCGTTCTGAAAACTCCCAATTCCCAAACGGTAGAAACACGTGACCGATCAAGAGGTCCTTGAAGACTACATTACCCAATAACAACAAAACTATCTAACCACTCACAGAAAGTAGACAATGGGTCAACAAAAAACCAGTCGCGGTTATTTGATTACACCGGTTGCCAGATATATTATAATCTCCCGTGGGTAAGTCATAGATTAACATTCCCGTGTCGGAAAGGCTGTGTGTTGTTGCTATCAGCCACAGAAACTAAATTACTTTGAACCACATTAGTTCTCACTTACATTGTCGCTACTGTTACGGCATAAAATAGGCTATGTAAAGGACAAGTTTTTGACCAAGTCGCGGATAAGTAGCGGACAAGACACAAGGGACGATGAGTTTTTATAAGACATATAAATTCCTTCATTTTCATTGTGGTGACCTAAACATACAGGAAGAAACACATGCATTTGAGCAATTGACTGATAATGGAGATTGAATCATCAACTCTGCTTCGACAGTAGGATACGACTCTTCAGAATTGGCTGTTGTGTTGGTGCTTCAGGTGGCCTAGCACGTCCTGCCCGATGCGGGCGACCTCATATGATTGCAAAGTAGGGCTGGACCATTTGCATTGAGGGGCAAATGGGTAGTAGGTGGTAGTATATTGAGACATGTGATATTCTCTTACTGCCAGCTCTTGCACCATGGTCTTGTTCGCCCCTGTCATGCAAAGGTGGACTCTGGTTACAGTGGCATGCTCGACCCTTCTGACATCGGTTCCGACGTATATTGTTACCAATGGGCTCGAGAACAACGGGGGATGGTTCCACAAAATGCTTGTCGCCACATAGATGGGAAACCGACAAAGTGTCCGATATCTCGGACTGAAGCTGTTGTACGGTCTCAAGCATTCCCACTCCGATGGCGAGGACGACGTTCAAACACAGGCCTACTCTCCAATGGGAGGAGCAATGAGTTGGATGCCCTTGGCTGTCGTTCGCTGTATGATCGCAATGTAAGACGAACCGCTTGCGATCGAAACCGCTTTTCAAAGACGTTTCGTCGTCAGTGTTGCGCAGGAAGCCGCATCCGCCGGTCCAACTGCCGTCTTCAAGAACTTCATTGTTGTCACTGATCTTGGAGTCTATGGACAGGTGGCTTCACGACAGCAGGTCTTGTCGGAGGTGTCTAAGCGCGAAGTACGCTCGGTCTTTGACCGACACCATAAACTCATCGTTCGTAATTGCATGTGGAAGAGAAATTTTCTTCCCTGGCTTAGGCATATCAACGACGGCATTGCTGGACTCGTTCTTGGCGAGCGGAGGTGATGGAGAAGTCTCAGGAGAAGCCTCATGTTTGACGACGACATTGCTGTGCTCGTTCTTGACGAACGGGGGTGATGGAGAAGTCTCCTGCTTGACGACGACGTGTTTTTTTCGCTCTCTCTTTACCTCTAAGACGGAGTTCACTATCTTATCATCGTTGCTGTCTAATGTAAAATGGTTGCGAATCGAACCGAGTTCGTCGTTATCGGAGATTTCGATTAATCTTCATTTTAAATCAACTGTTAGCTTACTGCGCGCCTGTTCATTGTTTCTAGTTAATGGAGTGAAAGAGGGTGAAGGAGGTTAAAAGGTGGGGTTAATGATAGCAGAGTAAAGGAGGATTAAAGAGAAGACGCGCGGAAAGGGTAATGTAGACATCTTAATTATGGTGCGTCAAGCCGGGTTGCGCGTGCTTTAGCGTGCTTGCCTTCTTCCTGTGTTGTATGGCTGCCTAGGTATGTGGGTGAGAAGGAGCAAATACCTTGGGTTTCATTTTTCGTCCTCCACGGGACTACCTAGGTAACCATCATTCAAAGATTCTACAAATTTTATCGTTGCAAAACCACTCTGTAGTAGGGAAACACTTCTTTGAAGAAGACACGCCCATCGAATTCCACCCTTCGAGCCGAGAACTTGGAAAAAATGGGGCATCCACGTGGTAGTGCGTATACGATAGTTGATTCAACGGCCAGAAAAGCGTCCGTTCTTATGATGTTTGTATGCTTTCCCGACTGCGTCGGCAAAATCTCCGAACGACGATAGTACAGAGGGTTGAAGCATTGGGTTGAACACCTGCTAGCGTTTTGAGTACAGAGGGTAGGCACGTCGGGTCGTACACCTCTTGTTTGCTACAGTGCAGCTTATAAAGGTTAAAGTGTACATGATGCTAGCAGGCGTATGACCCGACATGCCTACCCTCTGTAGTTCTTGTCGAACCGAGAGCTTGGTACGATGGGGCATCCACGTAGTAGTGCGTATACTCAATGGCGGCCAGAAAAGCTCAATGGCCAGAAAAGCGTCAGTTCTCATGATGTATGTACATATGTTGTCCCGACTGCGTTCGGCAAAATCTCCAAACCACGGTAGTACCTGAATACACAATATCGATAGCAATCCCACTAAATAATCTCCGTAAGCAGAGCACCTAATGAAGCTGCCTTCTAGAATTATACACATCTACACAGTATACGAACCTACACGTGAAATAATTTTCCTTTTCCATTATTACACGAGAGCACATTCCTCAACCGCTCTCTCGATGCCCCCCACCGTACCAACGCCCAAGCGACGCATAGCTTAAACTCAACCTCTTAGTCCCCCTTCACCAGCTCCCAGCCAATCACAGCCCTCCCTCCGCAGCCACGTGCAGCCCCATTGGCCGCACGTTGCTTCAACCATCACTCCCATTGGGACCGAACGCAACCTCAATTTCAACCTCATGCTAATCTCCAATCTCGTATACTCGATCAATTACCATGAACGTCGGACGACGACGTCCCGGAACATGCCTCCGACCCTTGAGTATTGACCCTGCTCCCCAATTTTTCCCTATCGTCGGTAAATGGGAAACGTGCGTGCCGAGCATTATCTTGATTGACGACCAATTGAGCTACTAGGATACGAGTGTAGGTAGGGGAAAGGTCCTTGGGTTCTTGACTAGTCAGGTCCGATTAGACTGCGAATGTCGGAGGGGGTAGGATGAAGTTAGATCGACTGGAAGGAAAAGAAAGTGCATATCGTATTGGACCAGGGACATTATTATCTAGGGAGGTATATAAACTACCATGCAGCATGGTGTGCAAGCCCGACCGACAGCCCTCGTCCTCCTCGCCAGCACTATTATCGGCCTGAGTGTAACAGTCTTTACGTTATTGTATATCTTTAATTCGAGAGCTCTGTTGGCCGATATGCGTTCTGTGTCTTGTGCTGTTTTCGGCGCTGCTGTCGTGAGCACGGCGGCTGGTGCGGCGATTGAGAGCCATGGTGGAGAGGTCAAGGTGGATTTGAATTGGCATGCGCCCAAGAAGACGTGGGTTAATGATTTGAGCCGTGTCATTGGGGATCGTGGGACTAATGGGTTCTACTTTGGTGGTTCGAACCTTCCGCCCAAGACGAAGTATGGGAAATACAACTGTGAGTTATGCTCAATTGGGAGAAAAGTTGGGGGAAATTGAATGCTAACCTTATGATTAGGGTGCAACATGCCTCATGTTCGCAAGCAGGAGTATCCTAAGGCTAAGAAGGATTACGAGTTGCAATACGTTGAGGTGGTGAGTGAATTGCTGAACTACATGATATCTTCCAAGACATATGTAAACTAATAACAATATCAGATCCACCGTCACCACAAGCGTACTCCCTACTCCTCCAACACCTTCCCCAAGGAAGCCTACCCCTGGGACTGCAACGACCAAGGCCTCTTCTACTACGGCGAGCCCCTCAACCCGTCCGGCAACTCCTCAGCCCACACCTACTGGACCGTCACGACCTCATCCGTCAACCCCTTCAGCGCCCCCGGCTTCCAAGGATCCTGCCAATTCCCCCAAATCACCCGCGAAGGCCTCGACGACTCCTACCAGCACGGCTCCGACCTCTACTCCGTCTACCACGACCTCCTCGGATTCCTCCCCTCCAAACTCGACCCCAAAAAAGTAACCTACCGCGTCACCAACAACCAAATAACCTCCCAAGTCGCCGGCATGATCGTCAACGGCATGTACCAGACCCGCCACTCCAACGACCTCAACGTGCCCCTCCTCATCCAACCCCAAAAAGTCGACTCCCTCGAACCCCAATACTCCTGCGCCGCCGCATCCACCCTCTCCTCCTCCTACGGCGTGAACTCCAAAAACGCAAACTGGACCTCCCACCTCACCGCCGCATCCGCTCTCTTCCAAACGCTCGACCGCATCTCCGGCGTCCCCGCCGACGACGGCGAATTCCACAAGTCCTTCGACCACTACTACGACAACCTGTCCGCGCGCCAGTGCCACGGGAAGCCGCTTCCGTGCTCGCTCGCGAACCCGCGCGACTGCGTGAACCAGGATACCGCGGACGCTGTGTATCGGCTCGGGCAGTGGGAGTACTCGTACCTGTACCGCGACGCGCCTGAGTCGCTAGCCTACAGCGTTGGTGCGTACGGCGTGTGGCTTGCGGAGTTGGCGCAGAATATCAGGGATGCGGTTAATGGGGGCGTGGTGTATAGGCATAATGTCGCGCATGACGGGTCCGTGTCGAGGTTGCTTTCGATCTTGCAGGTCGAGGAGATGGTGTGGGTGGGTATGGGGTCCGAGGTTGTGTTTGAGGTGTACACGAAGAAGGGGAAGAAGGAGCAGGGGAAGAGGTATTTGAGGATTCTGTGGGGTGGACAGGTGCTGAGGAGCTCGAATCCTTCGCTGGGGAAGGTCGATATGATTGATGTTGAGGTCTTTTTGGCTTATATTGATGGGCTTGTTGGTCAGAAGGCTGGAAAGGTGGTTTCCTACTGCAAGGACGGCAAGTAGAACGTTACGATATTTTTATGGGGAGACAAGTGATGTTGTGTTGGAAATTAATGTTTTGTAAATAATTACGCAATACTTCTAAAGTTGTTGTATTCATAATTGACCTTCATCTATAGAATGTAAAACTATCTATACCAAAAGAAAAACAGAACAAACCCACAAGTCAATTACAATGCAAAAAGCCAGGAACTACCCCTCACCGGGGCCTTGGAGAACATTTTCATGCGTCACCCAGCAACTCCAGCAAAATATCCTCAAGCTCCCTTTGTGCTTCTCTCAACCAACTCCTCTGCTCGTTGGATTGGAGGCCCACGGTGAGATCTTCGTCTTCTAGGAAGCATGCATCGTCTGCGACACAGGCTGCAAAATCTCGGAGAACATCCTTCAGAGTCCTTATCGGCTTCGCTGTTGGCTGGTTCACGGACTGAGCGAACTCAGATTTTGCACCGAAATGTTGATCATTCGCGACCTCCATTGATGCTGCTGTCTGATTTCCATCGGGAACAGCGTTGGATTTATCTCCATGCTCATCATGGCCTTCACCAGTCTCTTCATCATCGCCGCGACTAGTACGTTCCTGCATTCTGTTCACATCCTGCAACGAAGAATCTTGCCCTTCATTCAGACTGTTCATTCCTGTTCGAAAGTACTCTGCGACTGTCCGCTCCATGAAATCTTGGACAAGTTCCCATGGCGGCGAGCCGCCAAACCGGGTCTTCAGGTCTTTGACTGCGTTGATGAGTGGCGGGGGCAAAATCGTCGGAACTTCTTCATCCTTCAACAGAACCGCTGCAGAGAAGACGATCCTGTGAAACTCGATCAACAACTCCCCCCGTGTCATGTGTGTCTGGGCAGTGATCGCTGCATGCATAACGACGAGGACCTCTCTTGAAGTCAATGGTGCGTAGAAAGTCCTGACTACAGTGTCAAGAAGTTTCGCATAGCCGTGTTCGAAGACATTTGACGGATATGTCAGATTCAACCTGTTTGCGGTAACATTGCGTGCGTCTGGCCCGTCATCTATGGCGGTCGTGATCAAGTTCGCCAGATCCACATTGATGAAGTCGATAATCGGTTTCCAATCGACCGTATAATGTGCCTTGTACCAGCCTCGAATACCAAGGAGGTAATCAACATGTATCATAGCCGGTAAGTGGCTGCATACTTCTTTGATCTCAAGATCTGATAGCGACACCGCGGCAGCATAGATCGCGCGTCCACATATCCGCACCGCGTCGCCCTTTTCCAAGCCACCGTTTTTGTGAGTAGCGGCCAGTATTGAGGAAATCTCGGTAGCGCTGAGGAGAGGATAGAACGCGTTTAGCAGCTTCAGTATCAGGGATTCGATTGCGGCTCGCAACGGTTCGGCGGATTCGGGGTCGGGTCTGTCCACGGGGGAATGGCCGTAATCTCGAGGTAAGACATTGATTGATTTCGACGGACTGCTAGTGAGAAGTGGCGTATGCGTAGGGAAGATACTCGAATTACTTTCACATGTGATGATTGCATCGTAAGAGCTTTCGCCGACGGTTTCGGAACTGAAGGCTTTCGCAGGGAGTGAACAGCCTGCCAGCATGACGAGAAGAGGGACTAAATTCTTCATGACCAATATTGACTTCTTTGTGTTCGTAGACAATGGATGAAACGTCCGGCGACAAATCAAAAAGAGAACTATGAAAATGGCACTGTGCAAGTAAGTGATCAATGTCGGGCCTCGTGAACATTGTGGAGATGATTCATGGAGGGGTAATGACGACCGAATGCACTTCACTCCCACAAGGAAGCTACTTTGGATGCAAATATCCTCAGAACGAAAGTGCGAGCTGTGAGCTTCCCATTCATGAAGGAACAGTCTCATCGAATATGTTCAATTAATTCTGACTACTGATTGACAAAGAGTAAAATATCTCAAATCTTTCTTGTAGTAGTTATGTTTGACACAAGAGTGCAAGATCCAATCTGAAGCCTCCTTTTGTGGCCTCTATTTCTTTTCTCCAAGTCATGAAGCTAAAACTTTACAAACAATGATGCAGCCAGAATCCATCAAACCTTCCTTCCCAGCGAGATAAGTGCGAGAGCCTTCTCCAGGACGGGCAACTGCAAACTAATGTAGAATACTTCCATTCACTTGATTCAGAATCATAGCTAAAACATCATTTGTTGTACTGCTGAGGCCCGGTCATCGAAATGGCCTAGCATTTTTCCCCCTATGCTGAAGGTCAATGTGACCGTGAAGGTGATAAAGCGCACACAATGATAAAAACACACGTTCTCATTCATTATGAATACACTTCACTTCCAAAAGGCTTGGGTGGATCGTGCACCTTCGTCATACAATCTTTTTCATACAAGCTTGTTCATTCAACCGTGTTCATACAGCCTTGTTCATAAAACCTTCTTCATACAGCCTTCATATAACCTTCTTCATACAACCTTTTTTCATACAACCTTTTCTCATACAACACTTTCTGCAATTATCTCTTGGAGCCGAATTTGACGAAAGAACTTATCGACTCACATTTCACAGAATCGACACCATCAGATTAGCAATGTCGAGTATTCCTGCCGCCCTCCATCTCATCGAAGAGAGTTCGAAATGCTACCTCCTGATCATCCCCGTCGAGGTACGCCTAATGATCTACGAATACTACCTCGGCGACGATGGGTACACCTTTGACTTCGAGTCTCGAAGGCTAAGAGACTCGAGCGACAGACCCGTGGACGTATCCCTCATGTTCACGTGCAGCACCATCGCTGGCGAGATGGACGGCCTTCCATTCAAACTCAACACCCTTTCATTCACCACCGGGTATTCAGAGTCAACCACCACCACGGCATACCTCTACAACGAGTTGCTCCATGAAATCCATTCGCTAGAATTCTATGTCTTGACACGAGCATGGGCGTGCGTCAAGAAGGAAGCGATCGACTCTATCAGTGCCCAATTTCCAGAATCTCAAGACATCCTGAACACACTTCGCGAGGTGAAAAGCGGCGCAAACTTTATAAAAGTTCTCCTTCCGGCTTATCACGACCTCAGGTGTAGCCAAACTAAACAGGAGTATACACTGCTCATTCGGGCGCTATTGGACGCAATATCTATCAACCCAAATTTCAACAGTGTTATATCAGATCTTTCGAAGTACTACAAGCAGGGTGTCTGTTGGGAGAACGAAGTGATGCCCGACCCGTTATACCCTTGGCACGGTGAGTATCAGGAGTTCCGCAATCTTCTTCGCGTGCCTTGGTCGATTCCTTCTAATGAAACTATCGTGCAAATGGCAAATGAGATCAAGCTTTCAGATAGATGCCTCAATGTGACATCGAATTTCAAGAAGAACCGATTCTCCGCAGCGGCCGTCACCATCGAGTTTCTCGGCGCCCTCAAGCCTCGAATCCGAAAACACATTCGAAAGATCATTGTCCACGAGGATCACATGTCGCACTGCAATCCAGCCTGTCACGTCGAGGGCTTCATCCACTTCTGTATCGAGAATCCTAAGCTTCGCATCGAGCGCCGCCTCAGTATTTGGCGTAATGTCATGTTGGGGTCACATCGTTCAGAAGACGGCTTTTACCCATCCGTGGTCCCAGCCAACATAGTTCCTATGTCCCTCACGCCCTGGCTCGTCGATGCCGCTCGACTCAAGTCGAGAGGCATGCCTGATGATTCGTTCTCGCTGGTCCTGGACTGCGATGGCGCTCCCGAACACTCCGCAAGTCTCATCCGCGACACCATCCATCGATATGTGGCATGGCAGGCAACATACGACAAAGCCCATGAGAATTTCTACAGCAAGGACGAAGCTACAACTAGCGCATACTACCCTGCCATGTTTTGTCGAGAACTACCCAAGGTCTGGAAAGATGCGATAGAACACCCAGAAAACTCCATCATCCGCTTCAATTTCGACCTGGGCACGATGGAGCAGCCGGCCGTCCGACCTCTGAACTTCATACAGCCTTCTTCAAGCGGTGAGGCTCTTGTGGATGCGACAGAGTGGATGAGTGAGATAGACTATGACAACGAGCTCATTAAGCCGCCCCCGCAAATGGGATCATGGTATGAGCTGAGTGAGTATGAAAACACGCTAAGCATGCGTTGTCTGGAGAATCGGCCTTTCCAGGCATTGGAATCGCGGTGGTGGCTAGATGAGCCAGCTGCATGAGTAGTGAAGAGGTTTTCACATGAGGGGAAGACTTCTCTTTCTTCACTGGGAGTCATCAACGGAGCTTGCCACGGACGGTTTTCCGCAGTACAGTAGTATTTCCAAGAGCAGTGTTCCGTCTTCGTCGGCATCGGAGCGGAGGGGAAATCTGTATTAAATGGTACGTAACTGGGTTAAATAGCCGATCATCAATGATAACATCACATGAAAACGACAGTGACTCCATATTGTCAATGAACTAGTACACCGTGATATGGCTACCGATGGTTGACGAGCGCTATTACCATATTTTGAGTAGCTAGCTATATCATCGACCATGCATCAAAACATCTCATCCAGCTCAAACGACACAGCTTCTTTGTTTGTGACTACCTTTTCGCAGACATAACCAACGAACCGTCGACGCGTGAGTGAGTGAAGCGAGAGCAGGCGAAGCTCCCATCGATGATGGCGTCGAGATCAGTACTAGAAATAGACGTACTGTCTAGACGGTGGTTTTACGTCAAAGTGTATTCGCTCACGTTAGACCAAATGCTTGTAGATATGAAATACAATTCTCTAAACTTGTTACCCATCTATCATCCTTCATAAACCTCCCATTGGATTCCCCATCAACGCCATTACCAAGTTCCCTCTTCGTGACAAACCCGCCATCAATCAAACATGTCTCCTCCTCGCCCACCGGCTCAAAAACTCCCTCCCCTCAACCCTCCACGTATCCTCCTCCACAAAACTCCCATTCTGCCCCCTGCCCCTCGCCTGCAGCACCAGATTCAGTCCCCGTTCCCCCTCCCCATACGTCGGCCACTTCGGCAGCCCCTCCGCATTCGGATCCCCAGAGACGATGAAGTTGATCCATTGAGCGCTCATCTGGTCGCTGAGGGCCCTGTACTCTGGCCAGGGTCCCACGAACGCGGGGTTCGCGAACACGAAGGCGACTTCTGAGAAGTGCTGGACGCCCTTGTGCGCCGGGGCGAGCGAGCCGAGGGTGTCGGTGAAGTTGGCGGTCGTGGCGTTGACGAAGGGGCGGGTGTTGAAGCGGTAGATGTAGGTCGGGGCGTGGGCGGAGAAGGCGCGGGCGTCGGTGAGGCGGGGTGCGTGGTAGAATGTGTCGCCGATGATGGCGGCGGCGCGTTTGTACTGGAAGCCTTGGGCTGCGAAGCGTTCGGTGCCGGTGTCGAGGGGGATGCCGAGGGTGGGATCGTCGGGGTAGAGACGCAGGATTTCGTCGACGACGGTAGTAGGGAAGTCGTAGCCTGTGGAGATGAGGAGGTAGTTGCGGAGGTCTTGGGTGGTGTTGATGATTCCAGGGGGTGCGTTGTCGGTGCCTTCGTCGGAGTTGCTACCGTAGAGGTGAGGGATGTGGGCGAAGCGGCCCGAGGAGAGTTGTTCGCTGGGGTAGTTGGGGATGATGTCGCCGTCGACGGTGGGGTAGAAGCCGGGTCCGCCGACTTTGGTGGAGTCGAGGAAGGGGAAGATGGTTTCGTAGGGGACGGTGCGGAGGCATTCGAGAGTGTCGGGCTGGTCTGAGCATTCTGTCTGTTGGACTATCTTGTCGTATATTGGCTGGTACCAGTCCGAGCCATTGTACCAAGCGGTGGAGGCTGAACCTGATTCTTGAATGGATCGGTGGAATAGACCGCCAGTATCGCCTCCATAGGAATTGAGCAATTGGCCCTGAGTATGTTGTCAGCGAAGGATATCAAGTAGATAACATGATCAAAACTTACAACGGCAAATGAACCGGCCGATTCTCCCCAGATAGTAACAGTATCTTTATCACCTCCAAACGCCCCGATATTTTCTGATATCCAAGCCAACCCTTTCCTCATGTCTCTAAGCGCCAGATTCGTATTTCCAGTTCCCTGTATCTCGCGTGAATACATCATACCCCATCCACCTTTCCGGTAGTTGATACTCGTCGCAATGATCGGCTTGCCAATGTCCACAGATCGTTGCACAAAGTACGTCAAGTTGTAATTGGGCAGTCCACTCGTGCCGACCTGATACGAACCACCATGAATCCAGACAACAACTGGCACCTTTTCACCTTCTTTCAAGCTCGCGGGTTTGATGATGTTGATGCTCAAGCAGTCCTCGCTCATACCGTACTCCGCGTCTGAGTCCGGGCGGAAGTCAGGGCAGGCATGGCCGTATTGTTTGGCCTCGCGCGTGCCGTTCCATGTCTCGTTTAGTGATTGTGGTATCCGGAATCGATTTTGACCTCCAGTGTCCTGCGCATATGGAATTCCGAGATAGATGTCTTGGTTGAAGTTTGATAAGTGGAAGCCCTCGTATGTGCCATTGAGCACTGTGACGGTCGGGTCAGCTGCAATGATGCATACCGACTGCCAGAGGATGGCGGATCTCCAGAACCAGGTGCGCAGCGATCGGTCCATGACGAATATTACACACGCAAAAATTAAAATTGAGGAAAGAGCGATACGGAACGACGATGGGCGGCGCCCGTCGATCTTATGTATGCATCTGCATTTAGTGATGGGATGATCGTCGCCATCGGTAGAAGCGGTGGGCAGCAGAGCACCCGCGCCGCCATGGAGCCGAAAGAGTATGCGAGGTGACGACTGGATCTTCATGGGAACATATCCGGGTTTCTGCAGGAACAGGGCTGGATATATGCGCCGATTGGGAAGGTCGACTGTCGATGCCGATGTTCGGCTATATATCTGAGGTTCCCCGCGCTCGCGACGGTCGGACTAGCCTGCAGCTTGAATTACCACACACACGGGTGGCGGCCTTGTGCTACGCACCACAGTTTGCCTGACATTCCGAGGGAATTAGTCTTGTGATCTATTTTGTGTAAGGGCGCGTTCTAGAAAATGGCGGTCAATGTAAAGTCATCAAGAGAGAACGAAAAAATGTGAGAATTCCAAAAGTCGATTTGTCTAAAGAGATAAATGGGTATAGGGTCGTGCAAACGTGCTGGAGCGCCATGAAATAATCCTAAAAATAAAATTCGCCTTGAAAAATCCGCACACATGTTCAACTTGCGAGTGCTATGTCGTATGTCCATGTTAGTAGTCGTTCGAGATCTGAGCACAGCTTGTTTGCCCTGAAGCCTCTGATCCGTTATGTACTTCAAGATTTACCAAACGCTTTCCTGAAGAAGCCCTTCTTCTTTTTCTGTAGAACGTTAACACGATGGTCTAGTTTGCCCACAAAAATGCACTCACCTCCGTTAGAATAGATACAGGTCTTGGTGCACCTTGCTGTGGTGGAAAAGCTGGTGCTGTTGCCTGCGGAGGTTCCAGCAATGTACTTCCAGGTAACTCAATAGCCATCGGTGGGGGGCTCAGAGGGGCATTTGCATATGCGTTATACTGCGGCATGCCTGGAGCAGGCGGATGGGCGTTTGCATAATGTGCTGCAACGTAGACTTGGGCACCCGGTGCTGGTGCCGGCATACCATTTTGGGGATTCCACTGCATCTGACCTTGAGCGTTACCCAATGGCGGACTTAATGGCGGGCTCAATGGCAGCTGCTGCATGCGTTGCTGTCTCTGGAAAAGTTCTGCTTGCCACTGGTTCATTATCTCCTGGATGGGTGCCGTCCACTCGGGTATGCCCGCGAAGTTATATCTCACGGTTCCATCCTTCAAAGCCAGAAAGAAATGTTGGGGGTTGTAAGGCGAAAGTGCCAAAGTCTGCGTTCGATCTTAGTATGGTTTCCCATTCCTGGGTCTACAGTACAGCTTACACCAATCGATTGCGGGCCAATAGTCTTAAATATTCCCTCCAGCTCTTGATACTGGCCGTGGAAGTTCCACGCAAAATAGCCGTCCGGCCACAACGCGAACCAGGCCTCGTTGGTCCCCAGCGACACGCAGGACGGCGTGTCAAACGACTTCTGCACTTTATCCGTCAACTCGCTCGGCACACCCGCCCACGAGGAACCGCGACCCGGCGCGCAGGCGAAGTAGGAGTAAGGAGCTGATCCAAAGGTTACGCGACATGCTCGAGCGCTGTTGGGAATAGTCTTCGTCCATTGGGAGAGCTCGGGGTAGTTCTGGTCGAAGAACTGCTGCGACTGGACTATTCGGCATTACTATTAGCTTGTCCCTTTGTTTCGTTTCGTTTCTATTCGTCGATCTGTTTCAACATCGAGGCGAATAGAAACAGTATTGTTGGTGGTGCGACGACAGGGCTGAGTTGTGACACGAGCAGCGCATGACATGCGGGGAAATTCAGTGAGGGTGAAGGGACAAAAGGGACCGAACAACCACAACAACACAACGACTTACACATTTTGTCCTCCCCATTAAGCGTCTTGCATCCTATATACCATATAGGTTCTGGGGAGTTCAACTGCGGTGCCAGCGCAAGGCAATACGGTTGCGCGATGCGCCATTCTGCACTCATGTACGACTGAAAGAGCTGCCAGAGCGTCTGCGGGAGGTTATGGCTATGGGGGACTTTCGGTCAGCTCGCGCACAATCTCTCACGGCTTTCGCAGGTAATGCGCGTTTGTCGATCAACTCAAAGTACGTACAATTTCCATGCCTTGGGACAGTCGAAGAAGAACGAGTTGTTCGGCCCAAAAACAAATGTTAGTTCCGACATGTTCGATTGTCACATTATATTCCTCGAGGTGGAGAGGTTGAGAAAGAGGTCAGATGGGGTCAGCTCGAAGGATGTGCTCGTACTCGTACTCGACGGAGAGTAGCGGTAACCGGGCGCCTGGATTGGGAGTGTGGGAGAGAGAGCACACGCGCAAGTACACGCACACCCACGACGCTTTGCTGTCAGCGCCGGGCAAGCAATTTTACAGTAGATTCGGGCGGCTGGAGGGCCTTACGAGACCAGGAGGTGGATATGGGCTGAAAATAGTTTCAACCTAACCAGCCAATCATAAGCAGGTGACTGTGGTTTTAGGATGCACCTAGAAAGGTCAAGCGGTATTCTGCGAGGCTGTGCTGATTCCACATAGACTGGGCGAAACAGATCTCTAATCATGATTCTGTAATCGTCAATCCTACACAGTATGGTGTAGATGCTCCAAATCATATGGTTGGTCGATATTGACCATCGCTCTGAAGAGCATCGTGATATCGATATCGATTGAGGTTGATATCAGTAGACACGAGCATGTTGATCGCGAGTTGATAATCGGTTGATATAGAAGCTCGTATAGTGTTAATATTGAATTAAATTAACTTGGAATAGATACCAACTTCAAGTCAGATATTGAATTCAGTTTGATGCCTAGTAGAATCGGACTGAGGTTGAATTCGAGATTGGTATTGAGGTCGATATCAAGAGCTAGCCCGATGTAGATGATTAATCGGCTGTTAGTCATCATGCAGTCCAGCTTCCCAGCATGCTTCAACTTCTATCATATCCCATCATAGTTGCAGCCAATATTAGGACCAGAAAGCACTCTGTATCAATAGGTGTATACGTTGACTACAAGATCCATCAGTGTCAAAATGATATGGCGTTTGGTGGTGGATACACTGCTTCGACTAACAAGTCTCTCAAAGTTACCCAACAGGTGTGCACAAAGGTTCCCCAGACTCTCTGGGTCCCAGATTGACCGATAATCATATGTTACAACTCGTGCATTGCTCACCTGCTCAGAAGAAGGCAATCTCTCGTCCATATTCTTGCAGTATGAGATATAAAACCTTCCCCATGTGATCATTCATACAGACCGACCGCGCCGCTCCATGTCAGCATCCCATCCATCTATGCCGAAATACTATAACCTTCTCCATCGTAGCTCCAATGCAAAAGAAACTACATTTACTCCTTCTATAAATCCGTTTCAATCTCACAAACGTCATTGAACTTCCTCGTCTGACTCGCGAGTTACCGAACGCTACCGGTACCGTGCCTGGCACTCCCCCAAATCCCCACTGCGGAACAGCCGAGGCAGTGGCTATTTAGCGCGCTAACAAAGCTGGGGTAGGATTACTTAGTTAACTAGGAGAGCTTACGACTTAACTACCACGACGAAGATTGACGTTGTTTTGTTGAATGATAAAAGACATTTGCCTGGTTGATTGTTTGATTGACATAATCGAAGACTTGTTGATCGAGCGAGCGAGAGAATTCACAACGCACCCACGTAACGGCGAGTTTACCTTGAACCATTTCCGCTCCATTTGGATATACGAAATCGAGGAAGAGAAGATCACTGGAATTAGAAATTGAAACAAGAAGGAAGAAAGAGATAGATTCTTTTGATTGCGCGCCTTATATCTACGAAAGCGAATTTCATTCCCTACAGAAGACCAAGGACGACACCAAGGACACGACATAAGAAACACACAACAACACTCACCATGGCATCCACATTCACCGACATCAAATTCGAGATCCGCGGCCAGATCGGAATCATCAAAGTAAACTCGCCTCTCTCCCTTGTTTTCCCCTCCCTTTCCCATCTCTTCTCCCATCCCCGCGCGTACCGACGTATGCCAAACCATTCCGTTCATGTCCTTCGCTAACTCGCATGTACTCCAGTTCAACCGCCCCAAAGCACTCAACTCATTTGGCGGCAACCTGATCGAAGACACAATCGCCGCGTTGCGGATCCTGAACGAGCACCCGGATACCGTGTTCACGGTGCTGACCGGAGAGGGGAGGTTCTTTTCCGCCGGTGCGGATGTTAGGGGGTTTGGTGCTGGGGGCAGCGGTGGGGTATGTTCGAACGTCTTTCCTTTGCTTTCGATTTTTTGGGCTGTGATGGACGAGAGGGGGAGAAATATTGTGAATCGTTGAGGATGATGCTGACATTTTCTGCTAGCCTCCACAGTATAAGAATGACGCTGAGAAGAAATTGGCGTTTTTGGGGAGGTTTAACTATGGTGAGTACGGTCTCATTTCATCATCGTTGATTTTCACCTCCCAAGAGAAGGCTTTGGACCGCGGGAGCTTGGATGAGCGGAGTGTTCTGGGTCAACACCATGCCATCTACGACCTACATACACAGAAGAGAAACAGGCACAGTGGACAGACAAAACAACCAACCAACTAACCACGCACCCAGCAACCGAACTCCTCCGCAGCATGATCGACCACAAAAAAGTCCTCATCCTCGCCCTCAACGGCCCCGCCGTCGGCGGAGGCGCCGCCTGGTTCCCCGTAAGCTCCCTCATCCCCCCTCCCCTCTCCCACACCCACACTAACAACTCACCAGGGCATCGCCGACATCGTACTTGCCACAACCGGCAGCTGGTTGCAATGCCCCTTCAGCGCGCTCGGCCTCGTCCCCGAAAACGGCTCCGCGCTCTCCTTCGCACAGCACATGGGCATCCACCGCGCGAACGACTTCCTCATGTTCGGCACGAAGCTCTCGGCGCAGGAGCTCAAGGACGCGGGCATGTACAACTACGTGTGGGACAAGACGGGGGAGGAGTTTCAGGCAGAGGTTGTGCGGTTCCTAGAGGGCCAGCTCGAGGGGAATGACGGGAAGAGTATGATGGAGATGAAGAGGTTGCAGAATGCGCCGATTAGGGATGCGAGGTTGATCGCTGTGGTCAATGCGGTGGATGCACTGGCGGAGAGGTTCGTCGAGGATGCGCCGACGAAGAGGTTTGCGAAGAAGAAGGCCGAGTTGGAGGCGAAGAGTAAGGAGAGGGGGGCTAAGTTGTAGGGTTGGTTTTGATGGAGGAGGATGGGGTAAGGATATATCAGTCGTTTTATTTCATCTATGTTTGAGGGGAATCGGTATAGTACAAGTTTCCTCTACGGTCATCCTGTCTAAAAATATGGACGTAACTTCACGCTCGTAATCAGCCCTCGAACACGCCGTGGTTGAGCTCTACTCCAAAGTCCTTCGCCATCACGCGCATCCTTTCCTCAATGTCCTCTTCCATGCCTCGTCCCAATCCAAGTGCCTGCCTCAGTCGCGACCACAAGAACACGATATCTGTGAGGACGAGCACACTCCTGAAACGCAGATGCTTCACCCAGTTGCTCCATCGCTCTGTATACGATAGGTCAAGACTTTCAGTCAGGGCTCGTGAAGCCCACAGGCCAGTGATCTTGATGCGGTTGACGGGCGAGCCAAGGAACTGGTTGTTACCTTGCACGATTCGCAGGTTGCGTCCGATGAAGATGAGCTCGCGGGGCCATTTGGTCTCATCGCCTAGAATCTGCTTGATGCCGTCCCGGGCCTTTACTTGCATCTCGTAAGCGCGCTCTTGTTGGTCTTTGCCGGTCGCTCCGTTGCGAAGCTCGTTCAGTGTGCTGTTGTCTCCACCCTGGTATGGCCTCATGAGGGTGGCGGAGGCAAAGATGTCGGGGTTGTTGACGCCCCAGCTGCTGACAATGTCTTTGATTGTGTCGTTATCGAATGCGAGCAGTGATTTCCAGAACAGCGCGTACTGGTGTCTGAATTTGGGGTTCATCCTGATGTACAGGCCATGGTCGATGAGGACAACCTCGGGTTTCCCGGATGGTAAGCGTCGAATGAAGATGTTACCGGGGTGAGGATCGCAATGGACGAGACCCCAGAGGAACATCTGGGCGGAGAAGAGATCAACGATAGTGCCCATGACTTCAGTGAGAGAAACACCAAGACCTCCCTTGCCGTTGTGACCTTTCCATGAGAGTCGATCTGGTTTTAGGAGCCCATTCTTTGCTGTGCCGGCGGGCACATTTGGGTCAGGATTACCGTTGGTCTGACGTATTGGAGGCAATTTTGCACCTCCAGCACCTGGACTGCCTGCCCTCCAACCGCCCTGCCATCGGTTCGTGATGCCCGCCTTGTCCCATAACCTCACGCCCTCGATCCATTCAGCGGTCATCACTCGCTTGCTCGACAAGTCTCTGTACACTTCTGGAATGTACACCCGACCGTTCAGTCGACTTTCTCCGGCAACTAATTTGCGCATCTCCTCCGCGTTGTCAGCTTCGTTCTCGAAATCCGTTTCCAGCATGAGTCGCTCCGAAATGTACGGCACGAGACTGTACATGGGTATCTTAAACCACCAAGAGTATGCAAATGCAACAACCTTGAAAGCCCACAAATCCCACCCAACCTGTCGCGCAATCTCCTTCTTCTGAATCTTGATTGCAACCTCTCGACCGTCCGCGAGCCTTGCCCAGTGAACTTGAGCGACACTCGCACTGGCCCTTGCAGTCTTCTCCATCACACCCTTTCCTGGTTCGCCTGAGAAACTGACACCAAACACCTCCTCGGGGCTCTTTCCGAAGTCTTCGCGGATGACCTTTTCCACCTCCCGCCAGTCGTTTTGTGGTGCATCGTCGAACATCTTGGCGAACATCTTTTGGAAAGCGGGGGGCAGGATCGCGCTCTGCATAGCGATAGCTTGCCCAATCTTCAAGTACAACCCTCCATTGTTTCCAAGTAGATCGAAAACTCTCACAGCATTACGCTCATGTAGATGTTCGATACTCGCCGCGAGTGGAGGATGCGCGCGAAAGTTTATCTTATAATCTATTCCCACCAGAAGACCAGTCTTGAAAGTTCGCAAACTGCGGGTGATTGCAGAAGCGTTGAACTGGGTATCGATTGTGTATCCTATGCCTAGCACTGCGGAGACGGCGAATAGCCTGCGTACCCATTTCCTACGTGTGAATGGAGGCTTTATTTTTCGCGGTTTCGGTTTAGGTAGGTCGGCTGGGTTTATCGGGCGGGCGGGTTGCCATTCTGTGGTTTGGAGGCGGCGGACGAGTGACGGCGCAATAGTAGATCGCGTGAGGGTTGGACGAAGGGTTAGCAGGTGCTTTGACGCATTTTTGGGAGGCGATCTGCGTAAAGCAGTCAGGCCATGTATCATGGCTTCGAACTGCACTGGTGAATTTGCAGGTAAGATGAGGGTTGAGGCATTATCATGAAAGTCAAGGAATGACTGGATATTTGAAGATGAACTCGATGTCGGTGTTAATCGATGACGCCGATATGCCGACACCGAGACTGGCTTGATCGTCCGTGTTGAATCGCTTGGTCCATGCACGAGGCGGATCGGATGTCATCTTGTCGCCGACATGAGCAGTTTTGGGAATACTTCTTTTTGAATTATTCATCATTTATTTTTAGAGAAATAGTACGGTCATGAATTTCTACTAGATTGACTCAGAATTGAATATTCCCTGTTGTGCACCTCGTGCGCATTTATCAAACTATATGTCAACCCCAAGATATCTATATCTATCGTCTTACAAGTTGGGCTTGCAATGGGCTAAGCGCTTCATTCACACAAACAATATGATGACACAAGTGATACAGTGGCCCAAAACTCATATCTGAGCTGCTGACGTGGAGAGATGTGTAACAGAAAACCAGAACTAGTCCCTATGGCACCTGGTGCTGTCGAATCTGCTTTTGCTACCAGACACATGAGTGAACACAGAGCAGAGTACTCTTTGACTGCACGGGTCCATCTTGGAGTCGCATGAAGCTCGGATATGCCTGTCTCTGGCTCTGGAAATTCGAGCCTGCGTGCATTTGTCATACCATGTGCACCATGAACAACCTGCAAGCGTTGCAGAGTTGACAAAATGAGTCTTCTCTTGCGTGTATCACGGCGGTTTGATGAGAGATTGGATTCATCAATGCCTCTCATGACTGCTCCTCCTCTTCTTCAGGCTGCAACCCCTTCTCCACAGCTTGAAGATCAACACCCCATTTCTTCGCGACATCCGCTACACTGTCCATCCACTTCCTCACAACAGGGTGGCAATTCGCGACCTCACTGAACGTGACGTCCTCCGACTTATCCTCGACCTCCCACTTCCAAATCCCCTCCTCATCAACCCAGTTCTTGCCCAGTACTTCTTCAATCGCCAACTCCTTCTTCGCAGACTGCAACAACCCCTCCGCCTCCGCTAATCTCGCGTCGTTGTGCGTTGCTAAGGCATTCACGATACCCTGGAGAACTCCAAAAATGTATCCGACATGCTGTCCGATGTTCGCGCCGAGGGAGAACCCCTCGTCGAAACCCTCTTGGACGTACTGGCCCTTGCTGTTGGCGAGGCCTTCGCGGTAGGCGTCGGTGTCCAAGGCGCGCTGGCGGGACGGGAGGTCGGAGAGAATTTCGTGGGCAGGGTCTGCGGGGGGTTGGGAGGTTAGGTCTGGTGAGTTGGGTGCAGAGCCGTAGATGTCGTCGAGAGGATCGTTGTGCGCGGAGAAAGGCGGGGACGGCGGGGGGATGGCGGATGAGAATTGGGAGGGCCCGAGGGTGGGAGATACGTCGCGGAACATGGTTGAAACCGGGTTTTCTAGTGCGAATGTTTTGGTCGCTTTGAGTGGAAGTATGAGAGAAGTTGTCTAACGTTGCAGTCTTGTGTAGGGCTGGCGATGTGTGGAAATGTTTCTTTCATAGACTGAATGTACAAATCTAAGAGGTTAGTGTGGAATTCGCACTTGAGCTGTGCAACCAATCACGGCCCACTTACTCCGCGCTCATACGTCGTGCAGCATGAGGAACATCGTAGACGGAAACTTTGGTCTCTTGGATAACATTCAATGAATCGAAAATATATAACTGTACACGACTATAATGTGTGTTAGTCCGAGACATATTTCAGATGCTCATCCATTGCGAAAGCCCCTGGTGAAAGGAGCCCTCCTTCCACGTCACCGTGTCATAGGGCTAGTAACCAGAGCATACTTTGGTCCGGCGGTCGAATCTATATTCAATGAAGCTTAACAAAGAATGCATATGCGGAGGGTGAGCGGACGTGGTGTTACAGAAACGTAGGCATCTGAGGTTCTCAGTTGTTCTTAACGCCGTGATGTTGTTCTGAGGTTACTCAATCGGGTAATCGTTAAATGACTCGTGCGGATGAGATGTTGCGCCGGACGAATTTAGCTCCAGCTCGAGATATATAGACATGGTGAACAACATGTCTTGCAAATACACTTCAATTGAATGAAATTTGGCCTTCGTATCTTTGCACATTCAATTCGATATCTGGTCATTGATCTTAACAAAATACACGGTGAGGTATTACCGTATTATCTACAGAATGGTCGCCCTGGATGCTGTCCGCGCCCACAACAGCAGCCTTAAGTCTTTGGCTCCTGGTCTTGTTGCTGTTTTTGTGGGTGGAACTTCTGGTATCGGGTTCTCTACTGCCCGAGAATTCGTTCGGAATACTCAATCTCCACACGTATACCTCATCGGCCGGAATCAGAATGAAGCCACGCGCATTTCCGAGGAGCTCCGAACCATCAACACGACTTCCAAGATCGATTTCATCAAAAGTGATGTCTCGCTTCTGAAGAGCGTCGATGACGCATGTAAGGAGATCAAGGAGAAGGAGCAGAAGGTGAATCTGCTGTTCATGACGGCTGGATACCTTACGACCAAGGGGAGAGATGAGACGATCGAAGGCCTGGACAAGAAGTTCTCGCTCCACTATTACGCTCGCATGCGGTTTATCGACCAACTCTCACCTCTTCTCACAGCCGCCGCCAACGACGCAAACCCCAACGCTCGAATGTCTAGTGTGCTGTCGGTTCTCAGCCCGCAAGCCGGCCGCTGGTTCTTGTCTGTCGACTTCGACGACCTCTCGCTCAAAAACAACTTCACGATCCGGAATTGCGCGACTCACGCGGCCATCATGAACAACTTCGCCATCGAGCATTTCGCGAAAGCCTATCCGAAAACCACGTTCGTACATGCCGCCCCCGGAGGTGTCCATACAAATGCGACGAGGGACATGGGAACCTTTACAAAGGCGCTCATTGGCGCTGCTAGCGTCTTTCTCAAGCCCTTCATGACTGACCTGACAGAAAGCGGAGAACGCCATCTTTATGCCGCCACGGCTCCGCAATTCGCACCGCGATCTATGATGAATACCGCCGACAACCAGGCGATTGGGGGTGATGGTGTTCGTGGGAGTGGGGCATACCAGCTCAACTGGAATAGTGAAGTCTACGACGAACAGCCGAAGTACACTGAAATGAGGAACGATGGGGCAGAACAGAAGATTTGGGATCATACCTCAGGGGTATTCAGAGCGATTTGTGAGGGGGAGGGAAAATACTGATGTTCTTCTGGTCCTTTTTGGTGCAAGTCTGTCCGTGAGGTTGTAATGACACTCGACTCACGATGAAAATTAAAATGCCCTCTCTTCAGTGCACTCTCTTCCGCTCTTGTAGTTATTTAACAATGCGCGTTAATTGACCTGTTCGATAAGTCCCAGAACCGTACCTTCATAGCGCTTAATTGTTCTGAGCAGAGAAGTTGCTGGACATGCCAGCTTGCTGTCTGCAACTCTCACGTTGCCGTTGATGCTGCAGGGATCTATCTCCAGTAGCAACCTCACCCTTTTTGCCGTGAACATTCATCTGAGCCTACAACTCCACATTTCAGCATCGAGAAAACGTTTTAGAGACTAAAATCAAGGAGAAGTGCGCTCTCCGGTCCTCGTCTCGTTGTCCGATTGCTGGCAGCTCCAAAAATGGGCAAATAAAAATTGGCAAAAAAAAGGGCAAAAAAAAGGCAAAAAAAGATCTCGGCGACTCTGGGAGTCGAACTCATGGTTGTTTCGGGTCATAGCCCTATACCTGTACAGATGTTAGCGAACTGTTCTTAGATAGGGTGGCTGCCACTTCTGCCAAAGTGGCAGCCGGCGTCTCACAGGTAGCAGATGAACGCTGTACCTGATCATTGACGAAAGGAAGAGTAAATTAGTTGTTTATATAGGTCAAAAAGAAGTCAACTTCAGTTACCTTAGTAGAGGAAAGAGGGGGCACAGACCTTGTTTGTAGGCAACGCGCGGGGCGGCGACAAGCAAGCTCCCTCATTTCCTAGTCTCTCTCACCTTTGCAGCTTCAACCTCCTCCCTCTCCTCCACCTCTTACTTCTTCTTCAACTCTCCTTCTCCTCCTCCTCCTCCTCCTCCATCATCTCGCTCTCTTCCTCCTCCTCCTCTTCTTCTTCTTCTTACCACACACCACCACGCCTACTTGCACACGCTACTTCTCCTCCTCTTCTATATCTCCTTCTCCTTCTCCTTCTCTTTCTGCTCCACTTCTCCTCTGACTTCCCCCACTTCTCCTCTTACTTCTCCTCTTACTTCTCCTCTTACTTCTCTTCTTACTTCTCCTCCTTCCCCTCTCCCTCCTTCGCCTCCATCACCTTGCCCTCTTCTTCTTACCCTCACCCCGCATCATCGCACCTACTTGAGCACGATGCCAGTAGCATTACTCGCATCAAAGAACCATGCTTACTCTCACTTCAGTCACACAGATCACCTGGCTTCGACTTGAAGCATTCAAGTGAGGCAGCTCGGTGACCCATCACGACCTTCACGAAGGATTGCATCGACGCCGTTCGAGACCACAGCCCTCCATCCGGAAGTGAGGCAGCTGCCATCGCTATACATGTCATCGGTGACGGAGCGTGAGCTTCATGCCTGGAACGATCATGTTATCAACAGTCTGAAGCACATCGGAATACTACAGAGTGTGAATGACCAAGGCGATGGCCAGGCACCAAGGTAGTCGATGAAACTTCATCCGGCGTCCAAGTTCCAGTGCTTCGCGGTAAGTCTCCAGCATCCCATGATGATTGGCAAAGTTTCCTAACGGTTGATAACATGTCGCGAGGGTTGGTCCAACATATAACTCGAGTCACCTTCCCGGTGCTCCAGTACAACCCCACATGCACGCAAGATTGTTGCGACTGTTCTTCGGGACGCTCAATGTCCTTCGATCTTGCGTTCGAGCTTTTCGAAACCGTGGGAGAATGAAAGACACCAATATGATACCCTCCGAACCTGCGATTATTGGCGTGGGCGGTACATTGGTGACGACACTTACAACATGATCGCTGTGGCAGACGTTTCCTTCCTTTGCTCCAGTGTGGACCCATACGGACGCAAGCTTGTCGAGAGATACAATGTCCTTCGAGCTTGCGTTCAGAGCTTTTCAAACCCATGGGAGATTGAAAGACATCATATCACTACTCAGCCTCCGACCCTGAGATCATTGGCGTGGGCCATCTAGTGGTGACTAACATTTACAAGATTATCGCTGTGGCAGACGTTCTCTTCCTTTGCTCCAGTATGAACCCATACAACGCAAGCTTGTCGCGACTGTTCTTCGGGACGCTCAATGTCCTTCGAGCTTGCGTTCAGTTAGAATTTTTCTGGGATGAAAGTTGGCCTCGACCTTTCAACCCGAGTTCAGACTATGGGAGAATAACAGTCACCCAGCTTGAATCGCCTTCATTTCCAAGACTTTTGGTGAGGGCGTAGGGCGGGGACGACATTTCCAAGATTGGTATTGGAGCAGGAGTTGACAGATGGTAACCTTTCCACAAGTGCACCCAAGATGCTTCCATTATGCTGATATCCTTGAGGCTGGTTTCCCAATCCAGGCCCATTCCTTGGCAAACTGGGAAGCTCTGAGAAAGGTTGATGCATGCTGCCTTTGCTCCCGCATTGCGCATCGGCAACCAGTTAGAAGTATTCCATACATTCACAAATTTTATCTTCCACTTCGGACTTTGTTCCCAAGCTTCATATATCTCTTGCAAGTGCCGTGATGTATGCGGTCGAAAGGTGGTGGAGAGGCCGAATGTATGCAGGGAATCAATGCGAATCGGTCCTTAAGACATCTGGAAATCCGTTGAAGAGATGGAAAGTAATTTCGTACATCATTTGATGGTACTTTTGTTGCAAAATGGTCCACTATACCAGCTCCAGGGCCAGATGTTGTTGAGATGGCATTGGCATGAAGTCTGATGTGTTTTCGGATGTAGGCCTAATTTGTCGTAGCGCACCCCTTTGTTGAAACGGTTCCACCGTTAGCCCCTGCATTTCCAACGTCATCTCATCAACCCTCAACTTCGACAATGTCGAACTGCAATGATATTGACCGCTCTGTGCGTTCCAACTCTTGACTAAGTCCACGGAATTACTGATATGTGATCCTGGAGCCTTGAGCTGGTCTGCAGCGACGAGACGGACGCATCATGGTCTCGATCGCGTACGTTCCGTAACAATGTTTGGACGTTGGACGTTGGACATCGGCTCGAAAGGATTCCGACAGCGATTGAAGAATGGCAAGCGGAAATGCTGTTCTACTTGGATGAACAGATAGCATCGCTGCGAATGTTATTCTGTGCATCGCAAGGTGAATAGCAGCTGCCTGGACTGCTTCATAGCACCATGCTCACGTCTGTGTGGCTGTGGGCCAATTCCGGTGGCCCAAGTCCAGTGATCCAAGGCTTTCTGTCCCATTATGGAGGTCCGAGAGGTCCGAGAGATTCGAGAGATTCGAGAGATTCGAGAGATTCGAGAGATTCGAGAGATTCGAGAGATTCGAGAGATTCGAGAGATTCGAGAGATTCGAGAGATTCGAGAGATTCGAGAGATAGATTCAGAAAGAGATAGTCCTTGGGCAGTGCAAGTCAATTATCTCTCCCCTGGCCCGCATCTGCAGATATGTCGTCTCTCCGATGCGTCTGGTATGGGATATCGGATCTGCAGAGATGAACTGGTCTACACATCATCAATAGTGGTCCCATTCTTGTGTAGTATGGTCACCTTGGACATGCCCATGGTCCTCCACTCGACTTATGACAGGTCCGTTGTCTGGTTGTGATCCATGCCCGATGGCTGGTCGCGGTATCTTCTGCATTCGCCTGGACGTCTCCAAAGCACGCTGTGACCGGTAAAGAGGCACATGATTCTTGAGTGGGGATGCCTCGAGGCTTTGCTGTGATCGGATGGCGACACTTTCGCATGATGAAACAGGCAGTGCCTACATTCGCAAAAGAGGTCCCTGTCAACTTCAGCACTTCCTGGACACATGCCGTTTGCTGCACATCCTCTCCAAGATGTCTCAAGGCAGATGCCTACTGCTCTCCTGGTGTATGCGCCCCATCAAGACGACAACCCACAGTGACCGCCTTCACCTCCTACACAGGGCGCACTGCCCACCAGAATCTGAAGCTGCTGTAGTAGACACTTACCAGGTTCTCCCATGCCTTCTGTGTGCTCCGAGCGTGCGTACTTTCCGACAGCATCGTTTCGCGTACCAACATTTCTGTCGCTCTGTCCAACGAGGCTCTCGCAAGGTAGACTAGAATAGAGGGCTTAAGGCGTTCCGGTGAGAGTGTTTCGATTCTGCGCAAGGTATATGGGGATGGGAGATACTGAAGGGCGTTGGCATCCCCTCACCGTACATTCGCTACTAGCGTCTGGGCAGACAAATCAGTAAGCTACACTCACCCCTGTGCCCGGGGACTATCAAAAGTGATAGTGAAGTCTTGCTTGGGAGGTTGAGATTGAGAAATGAATGCATGGTACCTATGGAAGTCCATCAATCTCTTGGATGGTGTGTCATTCACCTGTATAGTTGGAAGTTCCCAAGCTGGCACTCGAGTCACTGCCATAGATTCCCTCGCAGGCAGAGTCCCACAAGCTTTTGCGATGCCCAGAGTGTATATCGAAGCTTCTGCGAAGCTAGTGTCTCGCTTGCAAAGGAAGAAGTCGTAATGCGCAAAGTGCCGATGCGCACAAGGAGGTGAATGTAACGAGTCAAGGCCACCCGTCAATTATGCGATCATCCAGCTTTCTACGAGGATGGACAGCGCATTCTGTAGATGAAGTTTGGTGCAGTTGTTGCCGTTAAAACGTCAGAGTGAGTGTAGGTTGTCTGTTGATGCTTCGTTGTGTCATAGGCGAGCCTACACGGCTCTGTTTTCACCGCTAGCGCACGGGGCACCACCAATCACTTTCGAGCAACACAGTCTCTTGGATGCAGTCTGCACAGCATTTGGTGATTGTAGGGGGAAATGCTGGCGTGGGATTGTCTAGGAGAAGACCAGATCCCTTCATGACTGTCCCAAATGTGAAGCTATTCACTGTTATGGCTGCATAGTCGTGCATGGGAGAGATTCTTGCGCGAGGGGAACCAGGGAGAGGGCACCGAAGCTACTTTCCTGCTTCGAAAGCCTACCAACTTGGCCGTTACAACAAGGGAGACGCTGTAGTACTTCTGACTGCCTCAAGTAAAAGCAGTGATAGATGCCTAGAACTATATGGCTGTACTCGACTCCAATAGTAGGCATCGGACTCGGACACCAAAAATCTCGAAGGTTGTTTGCTGCCTTGTTGTACTTGAATGGGATCCTTGCGGGTACTGGTTGTTGCGCCTGCCAATGCTTCGTGCTTTGTCTGCCTCTTTATTCTGGTAGTGCACCTTGAGAGTCACGCACAAAGAGTGACAGTCATCACAGCCTCTCATTGTTCAAGATCGATGCATGGTTACAAGGAGAAGCGCACAACAGTACGATATGATTCTATCTACATCCTTACACTACAAGCTGGCTTGGTCTTCTGCCATTGCCTCCCTCCACCCCAGAATGTCATGCCGACATCTCGAGGGAAGGTGAGGGTTGCAGCACTCCTTTCCTCGAGCTGTACAGTGTACAGTGTGTTGTTCTTGCCTGCAGAATTCCAAATTCCAAACTTCAGGACTGTCCTTCCTCGCAATGCCATCACACATTGCCGTTGGAGGCACTCAGGGGCCTTCTAGCAGAAACTCAAAACCTGTATCTCAAGTCCTCCTTGTAGTATCTCCTGCCTCCCAGAGGTCACTGTTATGCTGAGATCGAATCGCCGAATCTGTGCTCGTGGTTGTTATCGTGTTGCAGGTCGTCGGCGCGGTCTGCCGTCTTTCGTAGATCGCCGCATCGTTCGCGCAAGCCTGTAGATATAGAACACCAGGTCCCTGGCACACGGAGAGGCTGCTAGAAGCCTGGACCTGCTGTGAGAATGCTTGTCAGCTTCCTTGTCTGCAATGCTGCTCAAAGGGCAGTGACAGAGTCACTATCTGTGCCTGCCGTACTGCGCACCCGCAAATGAGCTCTCCCCCCACCTCCACTTTCTCCAACCAATATATTGTCTCCAATATCTTGCCCCACAAGACTATTGAGCAATCTGTAGGACTTGCATAGGTTGACCGTAGGCTGTGGAGTCGCTGTTGCCGTAAAAGGACAGGATGCAACCACAAAAGTACTCAGTGGTGTTGCCATTCTCAACTGCAACTGTGCCGGAACGGGACATGGTGTGCATCAGCACGCAGAGGGTGCATACATTGCCAATAGTTCATGCAACCCTCAGTGATTGAGGGCTCCAGTCTGGTGTAAGGTCTCGAAGGAGCTTCTGCATGATCAAGTGAATCATGTGCCTGCATCGATAAATGCAGCTGCTGCAGTGTGACCCAAGCGTCACTCGAGCATATGTGCGGTGCACACTGCCACTGCAAAATTAGTCTTCTGGGAAGTGACTGCACACATACAACTTCGTTGTGCAGTTGGGATTCCTCTCTGTGATGTTGTAGGGTGGCAGGATCGTAGAGGACATGACAGTGTGCAAAGTTTCCTTCAAGAGCAGTGCTAACTATCATGATGCAGCAGTGGGAGGCAGTAGAGCAATCTTCCAGTCACTGTGACCAGTCACAAGGTGCTGTGGGCGTCGTGGTTGCTATCCTCTTTCACTGCTGTGACCCTCACAACGCGTTTGCGCAATCACTATCAGAGCCCTCTCACCCTGGCTACCACCACACCCTACCCCTACTACTTAGCTACCCTTTAATGCCCTATATAAACAGTTAAGTTTGTAAGGTCTTTCGTTAAGGGTATACACCGTACGCCATGGTGTATTGGTGTATGCCCTTAGCCCCACACCAGTCGGTGGTGTGGGTAACGGGTTCGACTCCCGATTGAGGACGGTAAGTATTATCTTTCCACCAAGGGGCTGCCAACCCTTTTCCCAACTGCCCATAATTCCCCAAGTAGAAAAAATCCTGATTAGCAGGGTTTCTTAGCCACCCACCGGGTGGTTAAGTTTTTGCCCAGGTGAAGCAGTTCACCTGGGGGGTCTTTTTTTTGCCAATTTCGATTTCTGGCATATGTGCCGGGCACAGAGTGTTCAGATCGGACATAACGAGTTCTATGGGCACCGCAGAATGATTTTTGAATAGCTGGGGCATTGTGGGACATCGGGGTGGTGGTATACTTTCCACTTTTGTTGGGGGACGCTATGTAGTGAATGTAACACGATGTTGCTGTATTGCACCCATGCCTGCAATCAACATGCAAGCTCCATAACATGCTATCACCCTGTATTATGCATTCGTGATTAGGATACGTGCTATCAACCTTTTCTCAGCAGGTTTGTCAGTGAACCTTACGAGGTTGGCGCTGAGGATGTGGTCTTTCTCTCTGTGAAAAAGTGCATTCTGCTCGGTAGCAGCCTATTGCAGCTTAGTCTAATTACCTAAGCTTCCCTATATCATCTACCAGAGGACGTCTCGAGCTATTCGTCTCACTTTCATCTCACTTTCAGCCCCCTTTCAGGAAAGACCACCTTCACCCCTCTTTTTTGTCTCCCACCTTACACGCCTGGCACCTCATGCTTTTCGTGCCAGCTCCTCTTGCTTCCAAGGCAGTGGCGGGCCAGTTAAGTCTGGTTCATGATGGTTGAGGGCTGGAGAAGCCCTCCCATCGAGCCTTTCGGGGCTGAACTGAGTTTCGCTGGCTTCGTCTTTCGGGCGAATTTTCGCCTCATGGATGGCCTTTCCAAAGAAAATGATCTTCACCTCCTACTGAAAGACCCCCGGCAGGACTGCGCTTCAGATGCTTCACCTCTTCAAGCTTTCAACTATATCAAGCTTTCATTAGCCCCATCACCAAAGGGCCAGTACAGCCACATTTGGATCAGGAAATTTGCTCAGACGTGACTTGTCGAAGAGCCTTTCTCTCAAGATGCGTCAGCATCCAAATCCTTTGGGATGCGTCTCCCTCTGCGGGAGATGTCTTGACCGGATCAGCCCGCAACTTGGGCACATTTGGGTTCGGGTTAAAGGCACCCAAGAGGGCAAGTGGTACCTCAGGCAGACGAGGTGGCAATACATGTGAACGGTATGTCAGTGAACCCGATGTCAAAGATGCCTTGGACAGATCAGCTTACAATTCAGTCAGATTGGGTGCGTGTCAAAGGCACCAAAGAGGGCAAGTGGTACCTCAGGCAGATGAGGTAGCAATACATGTGAACGGTGGATTTGTGAGTAAACACGATGTCAGAGATGCATTGATCAGATTAGCTTACAATTCAAGTGCCGGAGTCGTCGAGCTCGAAAGCTGCCAGACGCCGCTGCATAGGCCCTTCGAGAGGAGGTCACCCAGTCCCAGATCACGCCCGAAGGCGACTACCGGTTCCGGCCTTCAAAGCGACAAGAAGAGCGAGTGGTACCTCAGGCAGAGGAGGTGGCAGGACACATGAACGGTGAATATTGTGGTGTAGCAGGATCGGTGAGGCTATTCAGGAATCCCGTGAAGGGGGATGGGCTCTGATCAGAGCAGAGATGGGTGGATCAGATATTCAAGAGAGATGGAGGCATCATCTACTCACCTCCGGAGGCCTATCGACAGTGGCAAATATCTACCTGTTCTACCCATTCACCGATTGCGGGTCGTGCCTGTGATGCTCCCTACTATAGATGCTTCTGTACGCGAGAATATGTCATTGAACACTATGTAATTACGACAAAAATGCAGGGTGCTGCTGCTCCGTGATGAAGATTACTGGGGCGATTCCGAAGGGATGCCTCCCTTCTGGTCTGAATTCCTTGTGGATAGAGACAGCGAGTTAACCAAGTAGGAGCATGCGTGTGCCTACGCCTGGACAGCACAAATACATAGACTCTTATTGTTCTGTTGCCAACATGTCCCGGCAGTCACGATAGCGCAAACTCCCTGCAGCCGTACGAAAAATACGACCTCGTACTCGACCATATTCCCAACATGCATCGAGGCGCGGTGTACGAGGCCGTTTGACGCGATGAACTCGACAAATATCACGTCTCAGGCAATATCGAGGTCCAGCACGCCAGTCTGTCGCCCAACTCCGCGTCCGGCAAGTTCGAACTCGAGGACCGAGAAGCTGGGTCCGAAGCAGCCCGTTCGCAGCAACTACCTCACGCAACCAGCCCGAGGACGACTTAAATGTCAACGCGAAAGACCTTTATTAATTCTGTGATCAAGCAGTTTGGGAAATACATGGCACTAACGCTACGGCACAATCATCCAAGCTCACCTCCCCTCAGTCAGAATTACCTTCGCTTCACGAAATCTTTCCCCCACCGACGAAGCATGAAGCGCCGGTCACCGCCTACATGTTTGAACAGTGGGGAGTAGGCGCGTTGGGCACTCCTTCTGCTTGGGAGTATGAGATGTTCAACCTGATGTTTGGCTCAATGGGTTGGAACTTCATCGTCATTGGACCCCACTCAATGCACGACGTGCATTAGGCCGATCAAGAAGAGGAGTGTACAATATTGGAGGGCATTTTGTAGCTAGATAGAGGGCGAGCGGTAGCTGCAGATGGCGTGCACACGGTGGGCTTGCGCATCAGGGCAAGGAATCTTTGTTCATTCACTGGCAATCTCCCAAAGTGAAGGGCAGGACAGTTCCTCATTTGCTAACAGATCTCGTTGAAACTGGGCACTCAAATGATTCGTGGGATGGAGTGACATCAAATTATTTTTTGGTCTTAGACTCACTCATACTCTGCATCTGCGTTTGACACTCTGTAGCTACTTCCTCGCACCATCACCCTCTTACCTGTACCTGCAGTCACACAGCTCAATGTCAGTTAGCTGTAGATTCAACCTGCATGGACACTCCTAATGAAGAGCCGAGCTACGGGGTTGAATAAGTACATCACAAAAACATATATCAAAATACCTGTATATTATATAAGGGAACGATACATCTGACACATCGCGTTGATTAAAGACACGACCATGTCCGGTTAATTGCAGGGGTCAAACCAGCAGCCTCGCATAATCTCTGAGTTGGGATACATTTGGGGGCCGAATGGGTGGCCTTAACCCAGGACAGGCGAAGAATTAACATAGCCCCCGGCGGAGCATTTAATGAAACGATGATCCCTTTTCCCACATCAGCAGCTTTAAATCCACGACATCCCATAGAAATTGCAAATCGCATTGCGCTACTTATGTTATTGAAGTATCTCTATCATGCCTAAAGGCTCTATAGAGGAGGAGGTGTATCAAATGATACCGAAGGACAGTACAAACGCGACCAAAGACGCTGCGCATGAAACATGCTCCGAGGTCAGCCAACTCCATAACACACCAGGACGACAGCGATCTTTTTCTATCCTGCTCAAGGAGTGGAAATGGGAATTATCCACATGGGCATTTGGCACACTCGCTTTCGCTGCGCTTGTGGTTCAGGTCGTGTGGTTTCGTGACCGGCCCACGTCTGAATGGAGAAGCAGCGTGAGCATTTCGGCCCTGATAGCCGCTCTGTCGCAAGTCACGCAGTCGACACTGCTGGTATCGACTTCAGCATGTATAGGGCAACTGAAATGGATCTGGCTTCGAAGTCGCCGTTCAATGATCGACATGGAGCGATTTGACAATGCTAGTCGAGGGCCAAATGGCAGCTTTTGGTTCTTGCTTACAATCTCCTGGAGATACCGACCGTATGTCGTCTTCACTTTGAACATTCCCCGCTAATGATAGCAGATTTCTTGCTTCTCTTGGTGCTTTTATGACTATCCTGTTATTAGCCTTTGCAACATTTGCTCAACAGGTAGTCACCATAGACATTAAAAAGGTTCATGACCCATTTGGAAGTGCTGATATTCCATATGCGATGAACTTCACGTCGTACTCAACCGCGATTCTTCAAAATCCTGGTGAGAGTGGATCCTCAGATAGCCAGATGTTTGGTCAGTATGCCTTGACAATTTTAGCTGCTTGGAAGAAGTTAATGGATGAATAGAACGGTCCAACACAACTGCGGCACTACTGCAAGCTCTCTATCTAGACAGCCAAAGCTTATCTGATGTCCCGGCCATCTGTACTGGTAGCTTTTGTGAATGGGCACCCTACAAAAATTTCGGTCTGTGTGCACAAACTACTGACATCTCATCCTCATTGAAAGCCGGAACTGTTTCTTCAAATCTCACCGACCACGAGGGTCCAACCGCCCATTTCGTGATCTCCGGACACAATATTTCACTTCCGGATTTCACTACGGAAAACGAGTTCTGGGCTGGAAGTAATTTCGATATGGACTTCAATACCGATAGCACCTGGGATTTGTCTATATACAATGTGTTCTACTGCGACAGCGATACGGATGATTGCCCTACACCTCCCTACGACAACTGGGGTGACAACTTCGCCGACCCGAGCAAATGGAAGGTGTTCAAATCAACGCTATCGCCCTGCCTGCAAACCCTTTCGACGACCGTCAATGGAACCACAAATACATCCGTGGTCGAGTCACGCACGGATCTGACTTACACCAGTTTCGAGGACAACTACTTTCGATGCTTTTCTAGTCCCGACGATAAAAGTCCACAACAAACAAATTGCCTTGGTCAAGTAGAAATGTATTATTTCGTATCATTTCTTGTCGACCACTACAACATCAACAATTACACTACAACCCTTTCAGAGGTAGCTGGCTCTAGACAGTATGTTGCCATACTTGCAGCAGATGTCCTCGGATGCGACAAAGTTGATCCATCCTGTAAATTCAAACAAGGAGCAGCTCGCGGTGTTAAGGGACTCCAGCGGCGCATGGAGAATTTTGGCATCGCATTCACCAACGTGTAAGACATTCCCGAAACTCATTTCCAGTTCAATACTCACCATACTACAGAATGCGGCGCAACCGCGAAGCAAGAGTCGCCTACGGAAGCGTATCAACAGACCAGCAGTACTTCAACGTCGATCTTAAGTGGCTCATCCTGCCACTGGTCACCTACGTTTCGATCACCTTTCTGCTGTTCTCCACGATATACCAGAGTCGGAAAGGAGAGTACCCGCTGTGGAAGTGGTCTTCACTGGCTGCGCTGCATGTTCGGGACGAGAAGAATACGATGAATCGGATAGATGGCGTCGTTGAAGAGGCGAAATCAACTACGGCACAGCTGGAATACTCTGGCAAGAATTGGGTTTTGAGAAATAGGAGTCGGTAGTTTTCTATGCGCAGACATCGAGACAAAATTTGCAGCGTTCACGTAATACAATCTTGATTATTATTCTTCAATTATGTTGCGTCCCAATGACCTCGACATGTATCGCTAAAACAAACTACCTCCCACATTCAATCTTCAGCAAACCAATCGTCCTGAAGTATTTCCGCAGCCGATGCCCTTTCGGAAGGTTCAAGTCGCAACAGCCTTCCGATAATCTTACCTACCCTAACCAGATCCTCCCTGCTCAAGTCTTTCCCACCTTCCCCATCGAAGTACAACTCCTCCAGCCAGCCTTGCAGCGTGTAAGAGAATTCTTCTGAGGGTAGCGGCGCTGCACTCATGGCGCTCCATTGCTCTTTCCAACGATCTGGCAACTCATCGCCGGTGGTATCCAACATCTGACCAACAAGGATCGCCGGAGTCGTCATGATGCTATCGAATGGCGGTTGCGCGACAAGAAGTTCAAATAACTATGCAGGCGCACCCCGCCCGTGTAAGCAGCTACCACGAAAGATAAAGCGACAAGCACTTACCAGACATCCCATGCTCCACAGATCCATGCGATAGTCAACTTTGTCCTTGAATATGATCTCAGGTGCCCGAACAGCAAGTGGATTATGGAATTCATGAGGGACATCGTGGCGTAGGAATGATTGGCCGAAATCGATGATTTTGATCGATTCGAAGGAACTTCTGACCTTGACGGGATAGAAGGTTGGTCTCACGATGTATTTGGGCACGTGGGATTCCAGTAGTGGCTGTCCATCAGAACGATGGACGGGGGCTGTTTCAGGCTCTCCAAGCTTCCGGAGGAAGACTTCCTCCGGAATTGTGTTTATCTGCGGAATGGTAAAAGCTATGTTGCGTGTATGTATGTCTGGTAATGGTGAGGAGATGCTATATGCAAGACATGGTACAGCGTCTTACCACCGTGCCCTATGTTGTGAGAATGCAATAAGCTCAAGCCAAGGAGAGTATGCTTCGCAATTGCTTTAGCGATGTTTCCGGGCAGCCTTGCGAAGGAACTTGCGTCCATATAATCGGCAACGCTCTGGCCTAGAACTTCCGAGACAAGGCAGTCGTGAGTTCCATTTGGACCATCGAGCTGGAAGTGGTCCAGCATTGTCATCAGATATCGATGACCAGGAGTATCAGATGGCACATCCGAAACGGCACGCAATACTGCTAACTCTCGGCTATGAGGTTTCTGGCCTGAGACTGAAATCTTTATGGAGACGTATGCTTGTAATCTGTCATGAATTAGCCCTTTACAAGAGAATGCATAGGGAGAAGAGCAACCTCTGATCACCTGCTGCCCAAACGGTGGAATAGCTACCCCAGCCTAACTTGTGCAATATCTTGTATCTTCCTTCCTTCAGCACATCTCCTAGATGAACAGGGTGATATCCACCCTCATTATACCGGTGCAAAGGCTCAGCGTCAACATCAGAAATATGCGTAAATTGATCCATATGAGAGGTTGTGTTTGACAAGAGCCTCGACGGAAGCGCTCGGGACGATTGTATAAATAGAGACGTCCTTGGAAATAAACCGACGCGACAGCATGCACCTAACTTGTAGAGGCGCATGTTTGGAACAGTTGTAGTGTTTGAAGACGCGCGTGTCTGTGCAGTAGTTGTCCCATGTTGTAATGGTCTGCCAAGAACTTCGGTGGTCGGTGGGTGCACATAACCAATAGAAATACAGAAATCAACCATGTCGCTAAAATGCTGTAGAATTGGTGAAAGATAATAGTAATTGATTTCTTTCATTCAAAAACAACTCCTAGCCCTGAACTTGAGATATTCCTCTTTGAACTTATTGCACTTTCGACGCTCTGGTCTTAATTAATCATCTTTCCTCTCACTATAGTCATCGTCCACTACAAGTTGACGACTACGTCGAACAGAATGTCCCCCATCGCCCATAGCGCAGTAAGACTTACGCAGAGAATCAGGGATCCGGTACTTCGACACCAAACTCTAAACATGATTCACGAGGCCACGAAACAGTCCGACCTGGCTCATTTCACTGTGGCAACTCTAAAGTAATCACTCCAGCTACATGTCATATAGGAATCCAAGCCATTCAAGTCACATGGACCCAAGACCCCACACTACAGTACTTCTGGCCACCGAAGAACAAGCGAGGAACAACAAATCCCACGCTGTTCATATCTACCACGATCAGAATGGGAATTATGTTGGTCATGTAGTTTTCCCTGAGAGGCAGAATAAGAGTTCCGACAATTGATTCCTCGAGAGGACGGTTGAAAGCTGATAGGATGAGAATTTTGATTTGCATTTTTTGAATTGCAGAAAGGAAATCCAATGATTTTGTTATTGAGATGCTGTGGAAGCTTATTTCAGCACCGCAAATCTCATTATTATTGGCAATTGCGGTCTGTTCCATTGTGGGAGTATTTGGTTATCTTTTTGTGCTAAAACCAGGGGTCGTGAAAAGTTGAGGTCAGAAATATCTGTGAAAGGATTATTGTCCTTGAATCATACAGAGGAACACTGTGTAGTGCATATGCACTCGGCTATGTTCTTTTGCGCCTTGGTGCTCTCGCCATCCAGTAAAGTCCAAACGCCAGAACTACATTGAATACCACATAGCAAGCCAAAATCCAAAAGTTCCGCCACTTGTGCTCGACTCGAATGCCCATCGACCGCAGAAAAGCATCACTATCGCCGACGGGACAATAATTGCAAGATTCCGTCGTCTGCGTGTCTTCCACAAACCCACACGCCAGCTGCATGTATGAATCCATGTATTCACCACACATTCTACCTGTAGGTAATTCGATCTTCAGTAGTTCTATAGAAGAACATTTGATCTGTGTGTACGCTAGACCGGCAGTAACGACGCCAGCAATAAAATATGTAAGCGGGGATATCCGGTACATAAACAGCCAGAACCTTGGTAGATCCGCCGGATTGACGATAACGCTGGGAAAAGATGTCAACTTCATTATCCGAGAATGAGGTGCAATCAACTTACCCGCAGAAGACCAATGAAAGATAGAATAATAGCGTCGCTACTTGTACGGCTGTTTCGGCATGTTGGATCGCAATTCCAACGGCTTGAGAGAGTGTTGAGATAAAGAGAAAGAACATCCATATCATCGCAAAAGCCAAACCGCCTCTTTCGCTAGCCGGCATTAGGGCGTTCCCATTCCTCCACAGACCAAGAGGATAGTACCAGGTTACAAACACCAACACGGCTGTCAGTGTCTGCCACACAAGTTCCACAATGATATTTGCGGCAACGAAAACGACCCAAGAGAATGTCTCTGATCGGTTTTCTCGCGCTTCAAAAAGATCGCGGTTGGTGACTAAACGAGGAATTATCTGCTGGTCGATGGTACTGAAAAGTTGTGTAAGAAGAAACACAGAGAAGGTGATGGAGATGAGACCCTGTAGATTGAGTGGCGTCATATAGAACGAAAGACTGCTGAATATTGCCTGTGCCGTGTCAGCCTTTTCCAATTGTGTAGAAATGCCTACCTACAACTGCAGTTGATAGCGCAAGTTTAGAGTATAGATACGTTGGATCTCGCCAATACTCTGCAAAGGTGCGATGGAGTACAACAAGCATTTGTTGACGCAAAGGTGCATCGCTCTTGTCTTCCAATCGGGGGAGGTTATATGCTTCTGCTGCCTTTTGAAGTTCGAATCTTTCGATGATACGAAGGATGATACTCTTTTCCGTGCTCCTGTTCCATACATCTACCCAGCTGCTTTGCTCAGGCCTATCCAATGTATCTTGTCTCCTGTGGCTCGTTAAGTTATCCACCACCCACTCAGCTGCATTGCTTTCAGCACTGCACGGAGTTGCACCGTTTCTCTCGAAGTAATGCGTAAGTGTTGATGAGTTTGTTCCAATATCACCAAAGTAGGCTGTATGCCCTTTTTCATCCAGTAGAAGGAGGCGATCAAAGAGTTGGAAAATTTGGGCAGAAGGTTGGTGTATCGTGCAGAGGATGGCCTGGCCATTACGCGCAAGTTTCTTTAACAGCATGCAAATAGACCATGCGGTCTGACTGTCAAGCCCGGATGTTGGCTCGTCTGATGATTTGCGATCAGTTTCAAAGAACAAAACGGTCTCAGAGTTTAGGGAGACTTACCAAGAAACAACAGTAAGGGTGGTCGAGCAGCCAATTCAACAGCTATCGTTAATCTCTTACGTTGCTCGATATTAAGTCCTTTAGAGAAGTCAGCAATAAACAGAAGGATCTTCAATAGCTACTTACCTTCACCAGGAATGCCGACGATGGCGTCAGCATAGGATTCCATCTCCAACATTTTGAGGACCGTGTTCACATACCCCAGCTTCTCGTCTGTACTCCGTTCATTTGGTTGACGCAAAAGAGCACTAAATTCTAATGCTTCTCGAACGGTCGATTGTGGATGATGTATATCTTGTTGCTGTACATATCCCGTTCGTCTCTTGGATGTAGCATCTTGAGCATGCTGCCCTATGCATATATCGCCAGTCACTACACCAATTGAGGTACGATTCGCAAGAACATCCAAAAGTGTCGTTTTGCCAGCTCCCGTTGGACCCTAAAGCTGCTTAGCTTTCTTAAATTATTACAAGATCGAAACATTAATCACCATCAGAGCAGCCAGTGTTCCAGGTTTCACCCAGCCATTGACTTCATTTAGAATCCGTCGCTTGTTCTTTCCGGACGTTACATCATAGTTGACATTCTTCCAATACAATGTGGATGTTTGCTTTTGGACTTCCCTCGAATACTCGATTCTATCATTTTGGTAATGTAGTGTATCGATCTGCTGTCGTAAAGCATCACTGGGAGAGGTTGTCTCTATATCGTTCGGTGGGCACTTTTCTTTTCTTCCTTGTTTCCCTTTGAACAGCAAAACCTCGCCTTTAGAACGCGAAGCTGGGATGTACTCTGCTGCAAGCAAATGGATGGCACCGAATATGGTGAAAAATGCCAGAAGTATGCCAAGGTTCCTGTCTATATTAGCTCTGCGTGGTACTCTGGATCAATAGTGCATTACCTCCATAAGTGGCTTGGAAGAAAACCGTACTTGGCGGCAATGAAGGCTTTTCCATCTAGGAGCTTCTCCCCAGGGATGGCTCCAACGGCGTTGCATACTTTTTCCTCCATGCCTACTTGATGGTCGTACCCTGGTCCAGCCGGAATTGTAGATGCACAAGGAAATGTACCAGAAAACTACACTGATCAGTTTGGAGCTTTATGCAATTTATGTAATTTCTTACCTCGTTTATCATCAAGCCTTCGTATGCATACGCAAACGGATTGATCCATCTGAACCACGCTAGCCAAGGATGCATATAGTCAACAGGAAGCACGAATCCATTGTACAAGGTGAACATGAGCATCAGTGTGGCCACAGGTGCCATGGTTTGCTCGATTGTCTTCGACAATGATCCAACCATGCGAAAGAACATAGACATCGTCAAAATGACGATGAATATGAAAAGAATATATGTAAACCAAGCTGACACGGATCTGCGTAGGTTCGTCATGAAATACAGGGGAATATTAAACATGACGGTTGTTACTAATTTGTTTGGAAGGTCGCATATGATAGAGGCGCAGCAATCGATGAGGGGATGGTACATGGCATATCGTTGGTGTTTCTCGACGATCGGTCTCTGTGCCCACATTGTGAGTACCTTGCGCAAAGTTAGCTGCCGCATTCAACATCTTGAATAAAGCAAGAAAAAATATTCATTACCTCAAATGTAGGAGTGCATCCATTCACTAGGACAGCAAAGAATAGTAGAATGGACCTCTGTTGAAAACTAGCCGTCGTGGATGGAAGATTGTAGAACACACTACCCGTGACAATAGCAATAATTGTATTGGCAACAACTCCCGCAACAACAGGTGTAAAATTGTTCCTCAATCTCAAAAGCCCTCGAGCGATGCGAGATTGGATCTGTACGAGTTGCGAAATGGACCGTGAATCGAGATGTCGTGATTGGGGACCGTCCGGCGGATTCCTGGCATTGAAAACGTCGATACTCCTAGAGAGAGACTGGTATTCTGCGCTCTGCAACCAATGTTGAGCAAACTCAGTAGCTGTTCTCGGTACCTTATTCTCCCACCCCACTCGAGGTGTACGTTCGGATGGGTTGGTGATCGATGTTAGGAAGTCGGCTGTCGTTGCACAGGAAGGCCTTTCAAACCCCATGACAACAAAGTAATTTGCAGCTGAGCTCACAGGGCCGAAATAGATTTGATGACCCTCATACAGCAAGGTGACTTTGTCGAAGGCCTAGGAAATGTTAGTACCATGTATAGTGTAGTTCATGGAAACCTACCTGATACATCTGCTCCGAGGCTTGGTATATACTTGTAAGCACAGCAGTTTTCAAGCATTTCGTAGTAGCACGAAGTAGCATGACGAAGCTTAGAGCTGTAGAACTGTCCAATCCCCGCGTGCTGTTGTCCCAACATTGCAACTGGCTATCGGCGAGGAAAGCTTCCGCGATACTGGCCCGCTTCATCTCTCCACCACTGATCCCTCTTATCGTGGGACTTCCAATCCTGGTATCGAAAGCGCTCTCGAGGTTAAAGAAGCTGGAAATTATTTGACTTGTACTCTGTGGGCTGTGTGATGGTTGCGAGCCATTGGGTCTCATCTTCGCGGCGAAGGCCAGGGTCTGAGCGGTGGTCAACTCGGGAAAATGAATGTCAAGTTCAGTAGTGTACATGCATCTGCCTCGGAGACAACTGTGCATTGAATCGTACGATGTTCCTGCAATCTGTTTAGTGACCTTATCAATGCGTAGGGTCGTGTACCTATCGAGAGCGCAAGAGCTTTTTCCTTACCTTCATAGTTTACAGATGAACTATTGCGCAAGTGAATGCCTGACATATCTCCCGCTAACGTCTTCAGAAACGTGGAGCATCCGCTGCCGGGTCTTCCCAATACCAATAGCATCTCTCCCGGCTCCACTAATCCACCGCAAGCTCGCAAAATTGCGGTCTCTTTCTGGTATCTGTTCGAGAAGATACTAAGAATGATTCTTGGGATCTTGAGAAGACAGGAACTGATAGTAGATTGGTATTGGTTCGAAGTGGTGAAGCCGTAGACATGGAGGTTTTTGAACGCGACACCAAAGGTGGTTCCGTGTTGCTGCTTTCTTTGGTGAAGCCAATCCTCCAAGGGGAGGTGATGATGCTCTGGCGTACCCATTTTGTAGATGGGATATAGGAACACTGTTCTCGAGTGCAACGTTGATTCCAATCGAGAGTGAGAATGGCCTGCCTCCGGAGGCGATTTGACAGTTTGGAGGCAGGATAGGTACGCAGGTTAATAGCCGAAGGTGAAATGTATCTAACGTGAAGTCCGTGGCAGCCTCAACTAACATATAAGGCGTTTATTCATAATCTGGCCAATCATACATTACTACAGTTGCTGGACACAACGCCCTGCTCAGGCACAGCCCTTGGCACTGTTGTCACAGTCATGTTAAGATTACATCGTTAAGGTGCATTCGTCATTCAAGTCACCTGCACACTCACTAACAAATATCAAATACCAATAGTCCAATCAGATTGTAGGAAATTATCGACAATGCAGTTGTTGTAACGGGACGGCCCTAGCACCACATATACTATTGGGTGAAACCTTCCTAATAATGACTCTTCGGGTACTACAAGAAGGCAACGGTGCGTAAGCCCTTTTAATTAAAAGCATGTAGCCGTCTTTTTCTTATCTAGTGCGCGTTGAAACTACAACTACAACGTGGGGGAGGGGGGCACGTAGATCACAGTGACTACAAGCATGCAGCCTTTTTTTTCCATTCTGGGACGCCTCTAGATAGCAACTACAACGTCGCATGTCTCCTGCGCAGTCGGAACGGAACTGCCTTCTTTGGACTTGAAGTACCAAGACCAAACTTTCCCGAGCTCGTGTCCACCGAATCTGTCATGATTTCCATGTCGAACATGCTTGCCATCGCTGCGCTCATTGCAATGATTGCGTTCTTCGCTAGAAACCGACCTGGGCACATTGCATGTCCACCTAATGCGTAGTGAGTGAATACACCATCTTCCACGGCGTTGTTCCTGAAGCAAGCTTACCACCAAAGGGTATCCATGATCCTTCCAACCCATCAGTGGAAATGTAAGGACACTTCTCGACGACCGGCGAGCGAATCTTGCAGGTTTTCGCCTCCTCTTTTGCAATCTCAGGAAGTGCGGGTCCGCTATTTTCCTCACCGGGATACTTTATGAAACGATCCGCCCAGAAGGTTTCCACAGGCCATTGCCCTGCCTTGGAGTTCCAGAAATCTTTGTCCATGTGAGAAATTCCAGAGTTGACAAGAATAAGTCCATCTTTCGGGATGTGCCATTTTCCTACGTTGATGTCTTTGATAGGTGATGTGGTGAGAAAGTACGTTTTCACGTAAACTCGCAAGGTCTCCATGTAAATGGACTGAAGAAGTGGATCCTTAGTGATTTCATACCTATTCACCCCCAATGGATCTTTATCGCATATGGTATCCCGAACTCTTCCTAGTAGCCCGTGCTCTTTAAAGATATGCAGAGTGGCAAACATGGCTGCCGGTACCACGTTCGAAAGAGAGCTTCAAGATATTAGTAAACATGCATGATGTAGAAGCATTTACGTACGCCCACAGCAATCCAAGATCTGTAGAGGCGTGAGCGGAGTCATCATGGCCGTCAACATGCCGCAATGTCTCATGCCTCGATCGTATGATAGACGAGCCCCAATAGGAATCAAAATCACCATCTTCGCCGATAGATGACTCGTGAAAATTATTCCGCGCAAAGGAATACCATGATTGCAGCTGATTTATCAATTTCGACCGAACTGTGGAGCCCTTAGGGATCAAAAACGATGGCATGCCTCGTGCAAACCACGGAATGTATTGGTCAAACGTCCAGAAATCGTCAAGAAAGGTAGGGTTGATTTGTAAATGTGATGGGCCAGCTAGGGATTCAACTATGCTTGTACCAACAATATCGTAAAAGAATTTGAGCAGGTCGGGATATTCTACCCAGTCTTGGTCCACCGGAAGCTGATCAAGCCTTTTACGTAAAGCTCCGGCCGTACGTTGAGTCAAAGGCTTCAGACCTGAGCCTGTGAATCCTCTGAGCAGAACTTGATGGGTGATTTTATCGATACGATTTCTTGCTTCAACATTGCTTCCTGGGAAAGGCTTGGGGAAAGGGCCAGAGTTATCCTCTTGATAGGCTAAAAGTGCGTTCTCTCTCATACCGAATAGATATTTGAGAGTAATGATGTATGATGCCATGGGACTCGAGAGCATCTGAGTCCTCCAAAGCGCCTCGATACTCTCGCGGTCTTGGATGAAATAGTAGCCGTGTCCCAAAACATTCACCCGAGCGGATGTAAGCTTGCCCGCGTAAGAGCTGTAAGCTTTAGTATCAAAAATATAGCACACTGTTGTCGGAAAAAATACGTAGCATGAGTAAGAAACTCCTGTCCGTTCATCAAGAGGGGTATAAGGCCACCCAGGTAAGGGAAGAACGTAGGGTACTTGGGTGGTAGTTGACCATCCCTTGGTCTCCAATGTTGCCAATGGTATACCATCCACGCAAAGACATAGTTGGAAATAAAAGGGAAAAGCAAAATAATGATAATGACAATTGCAGGTCGGATTGTATCAACGAATGCAGTCAATAGCACCTCATAAGTGACAAGTGTTCTGTCATAAACATACAGAGACGCATTCGCTGGAAGGATGGAGGTCAAATTCATGGTTATGATGGATTTAGAATTGTGAATCTTCGAGAAATTGCTGATTGTGATGTCAGTCAATATGCGCCTCGCAAAACCATTTATACTTCAATGATTCCAGCCAGCGCATGGTACAGTATATTAATTTTTGTCAAAGTAGGTCTAACTTAATGCTTGATTTTCTAAGATTTATTATATTACTATGTACATTAAAATTAGAATATGCAGATGACCGTACTGTCTCATCTGAAAAGAATAAGGCAAACGGACCAGGATAAGCTTGCATGCATCAAGATGCTTACAAACAAGGTCGCGTAAACTATTTATCCGTTGACCATGGCTAACAAGATTCCAGGTTGTCACCGGAATATTCTTCACTCTTACCATTATCTCAGTAATTGGAAGATGTGTTATCAGATTGAAGTTCCATATACGGCCAACTGTAGACAATTGTTTTGTTCTGTTTGGCACTGCCTGTCTAATTGTTGCCAAAGGCGTATATTTTGCCGATTTCGAGTACAACGATCCCATGAATGTTCTGGATCTCGAAATCATTTATCCTTTGTGCGTGCTTTGTAGTGAAGAGAAGTGGGCATTAAAAGACTCCTCCTGTGGATTTGGCAGACTTTCATCAGTCGAGAAATGTAAATATGACCTCAGGAAGTATTTCTCTTTGACTGGGCTCGTGACGGCACTGGAGGCTATTACGGATCTTATGAACGGGTGTCGATTGCCGAAGTTCTAAAACTATTACTGAACTAATTCCAGTTGGAAGGATTCCGATGATAATATGTATGCGTACTCTCATTATGTTGAACGATGGGTATCCCCAAGAAGAGAACAGTGAGCTTTCTCTGGAGAGTTCAAGGACAAGGTCTTCACTAAAGTTAGGGAGTGAGCCTGGAAAGATTCCGCTCCAAGTATTAGATCAAGAGGGTGAGATTGGAGTGAATTTTTGAATGACGTTAGTTGGTCCGTGTAGTAAAGCTTTCTCAAGGTGGATACATTTCAGGTTGGAACTAGGTGAAGGTGGAGTGAATCTATCTCACCAATCAGTGGCAGATATAGACTCGGATGATATATATTTAGAAACGTATCTCTTAGCAGCTAAAAGCACGTTCTCTTTCCTCGCAATACGCGGGGTAGCTAATCAGGCGCAATAACATTCACCTATTCTTGTTGTTTGTTATTGCACATCGAGCTGGTACCAGCATCTGGCTTTGCCACCCGTGCAACGCAGCAACTCTCATCTAGCCTTACCTTTTTCCTTCACCTTGAAGAGCATTTTCTTGACTTAAACACCGCAGACATCTGCCTCTTCCCCCCGACCCTCTGCCTTGCCCTCGTCACCTCTCCACCCTTCTTCCAACAACTTCACGAGGATTTTGTACCTCCGATTGAACGGCACCATGGCAATCCTACCCAGCTTTCCTATCGTTCTTGCTGCAGTTTGCAGCCTGGCTGTCGGCTACTTCCTCATAAAGCTCTGCAAGGCTCGAGCAAGCTTCTACTACAACAAGGTCAAGAAGGGTTATCCAATGCCACCGTGGAACCCGATCCTTGGACATCTCCTGGTACTCAACAAGGCATTCAAGAAGTACAATCTAACTCGAGATATGCATATGGATGACATATTTGGGGCAATTTCGAAAGAATTCGTCGAATCGGACTCGCTCTTCTACGTTGATCTGTGGCCATTCTTGAATCCAATGGTATTGATCTCATCCCCAAAGTACGCTCAACAGGCCGAGCTCGTTCAAGATCGCCCAAGTGATCTCCTCTGGTCTATGCATCCCGTTACTGGCGGACCGAGTGTGTTTGCTACCAATGGCACAGAGTGGAAAGATACAAGGAGTCTACTTCTTCCCGGGTTCAAACCGAACTACATCTTCAATCAGATTATCTATTCTATAGATGGAGCAGAGGCACTGGACATGGCTTTCCGAATCATAGCCAAGGGTCAGAATCTCGTCCAGCTTGATCGCTTTTTCTTGGAATATATGATGAAATTAGCGGATGGTCAACATTGTAAGTTATTCTATAATCACCATGCTTGTTGATTATTATTTAGGCTAATACAATCTAGTGCCGGCAATCTACTATCCCAAGAACGATTCGAGGCTTTCACGAAGGCACTACGCAGCAACATGGATTGGCATTATCTAGGGGATAGCATAAGCTCAATTGTTCGACGGACCCCAATTATCCAACTAATCAACAGCTACAACACACGTATCATGAACCGATATCTATCTGATGTTATGGATGAGAGGTATTTGGAATGGCGAGCTGGAAAGGTTTCGTCACTCTCGTATTCGAACAAGTCTACGCTTGATCTTATCCTTGCCGATTACATGTCCAAGCACAAAGACAAGGTCCCTGAAGTATTAGACACAGCTTTCAAGAATTGGGCCATCCCGCAGCTGAGGATTATGTTCTTTGTGGGACATGATTCAGGCACAGCAACATTGTCCTATACCTTCTACCTTCTATCGAAAAACCCGTTAGCACTTGAGAAGATGCGTGCTGAACATGATGAGGTCTTCGGAAGCGATGTTACCGCAGTCTCTTACCTCTTGCGTACGCAACCGAATCTACTCAACAAGCTCACATATACGACGGCCGTCATCAGGGAAGTCCTTCGCCTATTTCCTCCTGCCTCAGGATTTCGCCACGGGAAATCGGGAGCTCATCTGATTGACGAGAACACTGGCAATCACTATTCAGTTGAGAATGTCAACATCTGGATCCTTCATAGTGCACTTCACAGGAACCCACGATACTGGAAGGATCCCTCTGAGTTCAAACCTGAGCGCTTCCTGGCAGGCCCGAATGATCCGCTCTACCCAGTCAAAGGGGCTTGGAGGCCTTTCGAGCATGGACCACGCGACTGTATCGGACAGGCGCTTGCGATGACAACTCTAAGGGTCACTTTAGTCATGTTGGTCAGGTCCTTCGACGTGAAGCCAGCATACGAGGAGTGGGATTACTTACACGGTATTTCGCTGGAGAGTGCCCCTAAGTATGAGGGTGAAAGGGCTTACCAAGCCGGGCAGTCTGGCGCGCACCCAGCTGAAGGCATGCCTTGCCGTATTTCCTTACGCCAGTAGACGATCTCTAGCAGAACTGAGATGCGGCATCTATTCAGGTTTAGAAAGACGAAAGGATTAGAGGTCAGAAGGCACCGGTCAATCAGAATTTAAGGCGTTCGACTGCTACTTTCGTATAGATTGCGCGCTCTCTTGCTACGGGTTTGATGCCTCGCATCCTTCCTACAGCAGTACCGGGCATTCAGCTAGAGAATGTTTTTCCTGTAACTAGTACCAATACCATACTCTCCACTCACATCTGTCCCTTTTATCATGCATACTGGATCACGTTCCTGTCTGAGCTTATCCTGGCTTATAGTGGAATTGGAACCCGTGAACTAGAATATATTGAACTTAACTACAACTGTCCAAGACAGAGATGAGGCCCTTCCACAGTTGATCCTGATGGGTAGGTTTAAGATCCTGTCCATTTTAGGCATACGTTGTCCATAGTGTGCACTATCACATCGGATAGGTAGGGAAGGTAGATAGTTTAGTCCTCGATCTCCCTCGGATGTCCTGATTCACCTAACTATGATTCCTCTAGCGGTATCCGCTGCCTCACATGACATCCAAATAGCTTCACATGTTCTACTATGTCATAGTACATGCACCAATTTCTGTTGAAATGAAACGAAAACGCACGCAATAAGGTAGAAATCACGGAAAATCATGCAAGGTGTTAGCTGAACGTGATACTGAAATGCTGCTCAGTAACGAGAGACGAGATACTAAAATGGCGTACGAAACGTTCTAAGGGACATAGGTAGCCCCATGCCAAAAGCACAGGAAAGAGTTGATAGAAGATGTTTTGAAGAAAGACAAACGAGATATCGACGTCAAAGGACTTGATGGGGCGAGAACAATACCTACTAAAGTAAGGGAATCGCTGTACGCAAGAAGGGGTGCCTGGTCTCAAGTCTACTACAACTATGATGAAAACTATATATATTATATTATACATATACTCGAAGGCTGAATAGGAGTACTAGCAACTGGATCTGGCAACAAACATTGCTAAATTAGAGTTCAGATTGGTAGCAGTGCTATTAGCAAACTACTTAAGACCGAGTCCTGATTCAAAGATCGAGCCCGATTGCGCACGTCGAGTCTCATGTCGAAGGTTGAGTCCTGGTCCCATCGGCGAGTCCCACCAGAAATCCAGTCTTATTTCAAGGTTGAGTCCATGTAAAAGGCAGGATTTTCTCCCTCTCATGCCCCGGAAAAAATCCATAACAATCTGTACGACGTCTACAATTGGGACATGAATTACGAGAATCCTATCTCATTTCTATGTCCTGGTTGAGATCTTGAACACGCCGTTGGCTCTCTTCTTGCTTGAGAAATCTTCTTTTACTCATTCGTAAAGTCTGGAATTGTGAGGGCAGATACTTAGACGGATGGAACAGCGTGAAGGCCACTAAGCAGGCTAGTAAACCATTAGTATTGTCTTCTGTATTGGGAGATTGGCGAATATACCGAATACTGGTATGCCGTCTAGCAACCAAAATGTCCATTCATGTCTCTCGAGGTAGCTAGGTTTACCAATGTCTGATGAGAACTCGAAGATACGGTAAAAGGCTCGAATCTGAAAACTCTTCAGTACAAATTGTGAGGTCAATTGGGACAACCTTTACCATGATCACTGTAGCAGCAGCATTCGTAGTCCAGTTAAGGCGCTGCCATCGCGTTGAAGGCACATCATATTGCAACGGCCGATCAGTCCACCGACGACTGATGATGATAAACCTCGAACCCACAATGACAAACAGTCCAAAGCAAATCAACTGTAATATCAATCCGACGCGAAGTATAGTGACTCCACGGCGGGTTTTATCAGCTGCTTCCTTGGCTGATATGTCGTCTTGAATAACGGCAGACGATAACTCCGTTGCACCACTGAGCTGTATCAAAAAGGCTCCAATATCGAACAGGACGAAGATTATTGAGACGAATCGAGGAGGAAACCAAAGGGTCTTGAAATTCCGTTCGTCTCTTGGAGCTACTAGCCATACAATACGGCCGAATGTGACATAGCATGCTGCAGCGATGAACGAAGGCGCAAGACTATGCCGAGTCAATATTGTCATTGGAATATAGTACTGTACTCTTTTGAAAAGCTTACACAAGGCACAAGAGGCTAACAATGTAGGCCCACCGACCACTCTCAGTGAGGTTGTAAACCGAAAATGCTCGAGTACAAAAGCCTAATGCTTCCACTTTGGCCTTGTTAGCAGTTATACACAAATCACTTGGTTGAAACCTTACTTAGAACTCCAATTATCATCGCCCAAAAGAGCCATGATCGACCACGGAAGAAAAGCCATAGTTGTGCGATAGCCACCGAAGAGAATAGTATAGCACCGAGAACTGACGCCCACTTTGCTGGCGCGTAGTGGTAAGGATTAAATTCACTATCTTCATTAGCTGTCAGCAATCTCTTTTTAAGAAGAAGAAAAAGTGCACTGGGAACTTACTACTTCCATCACGAGTAAACAACATCTTGTCTGTCCGAGTTAAGCACAGGTGATAAATAAACAGAAGAATGCTTTTACAAAATACGTTCGAAAAGGACTGTTAGATGTCAATATCAGTATATCGCTGCACAAAAGGGCAAGATTTCAGATGATAGTACATTGAGACCAACTCAGTCGGACCCAGGGCCGAGATACTTATACATTCAAAAGTTATTTCACCTCCTGAAACGGTTCTTGGCCTCAAGCCAGATTGGAAAAGATCTGACGAATTCAAGGCTTTATGCACGGCTGGAATTGCCCAGCTTCGTTCCTTCGAGAGTTTTGACATGGTTTCCAAAAGTGGCTTAGTGTACGAAGCATCGCGACGTGTTTATAAGGCGTGCTGTACGGGATTCGAGCGTTGAGATTGAGACGCTTGTATTTACACCAAATAGTGGCACATTGAAAGAATCCCTTCGTAATGTAACCGCACTTTACTCGCTAGCATGAATACACACTAACGCAAAGTGACTCGCAAGAATGGCCAGCTACCCACTTTACATCATTACTTACGATCGCGGTGAGTCTTGGGATGACTCCACCAAGAAGAAACCGTTCCACTGGGCTTTCTTCCTCCAAACTGGAAGTGATCCTGGCGAGGGTCTTGAATTCCAGCTTCATGGAATGCCGGGAGCGTTTTACTACTCGGGAGGAGAGGCTGTGAATCCGGAATCGTCTGATGCCAAGAACCAAGAACTCGAAATTGGATCTGTTCCTGTAGACAAGTACGCACGTTTTACGCAGCTTTTAGCGAATGTGCCTATCATAATAGACGAATCTTCGAAATGGAACTGTCAAGACTGGAGTTTGGAGGCCCTGGATCGGTTTCGTCGGGAGGGCTTCATTGAAGAACAGTATCAGAATAATGTCATCAAGTATTGGCTTCGAGAAGACAAGTAGTTTCGAAACCAGATTCAACATAGCTAAGACCATTTCAGTGGATGTCTAAGATCGTTGAGGTAGTTGGAAAGCTCTGGCTGCGTCGTCGCTTCCGCGACTTCGTCCATATGCCACGGTCCAAATAGATGTCTTCTGACTTTGAATCACTGGTCACCCCAAGTCATATATACTGACATTATAGAGATGAACAACCGAAGCACACAGCCTCTAATCGACGTGTACAATTCCCTCCATAACCTCAACAGCTCCACCCTTGAGCTTCACCTCCTCAATTCCTTCTCCATCCTCACGCCTTGTCACTTTCACATAAATATCACACGGCCTTCCCATCTCCACACCCTGTCTCAGATGATACAAAAACGGTCCTTTCCCCTTACTCTTCTCCTCAATCAAGGTCAAATAGCAACACAAAGCGGCACTCGCACTTCCCGTCCCAGGATCCTCCCTTGAACCAAGACTTCTCGTTCTCAATTGTCTCTGGCTAACTTCGCCATTCTTCTGGTAACCCAAGTCTGTGAAGTAAAAGGTGCCAGTATACCCGACATCCCACCCGGATCCAGGATCGAGATGCTCGAACTTATAGAGATCGGCAAAGGGCAGAAGTCCTTCAGTGGGCAAAGCGAGCGAGTCCAGGTCGGCCAATTGGACGAGATTGAACGCCATGCCTTTTACGATGGATACAAGCGGTACTGTAGACTCGCCTGTAGGATTTCTAGATGGCTCGGGGTAGGGGTGGGGTAGAAGTTTCTGCTTGTGCAGGTAGACGTCATGGGGAATGGCGACTTCGACTGTCTTTTGGGCTTCGTCGTACTCGAATGACACCAGTCCTGCAACTGTTTTGATCTGGCGTAGGTCTGGGAATAGGGTTGGGTGCTGGCAGATGTAGATTGCGGTGCCGATTGTTGGGTGGCCCGCGAAGCTCATGCGGGATCTCGGGGTGAAGATGTCGTAGTTTGCGAAAGATTCTCCTGGGACTACGTCGTGGAGGAATGTGATCTCTGAGAGGTTGAATTCGCTGGCGATCTTTTGTTTTTGGTCCTCTGTGAGTTTGGAACGGAGGGAGGCGGGGACTCGGACTACCCCAAGGGGGTTCTAAAGAGTGACAAGGTATTAGCGTAATGTTCTATACAAGATACGAAATAGATCATGAGACTTCAACATTTCTGCCTGCAACTCAAAAGTTGATATAGTCTCCCATGCGTCTTTCTGTTTTATCAACTTACACCAGCAAATCGAGTCTCCGTAAAGACATCAAGGGTTGTGAAATTCAATTCCATTTTGGCAACTCAAGTTGAAAGTGAAGAATGTCGACAGAAAATCCAAAGACACAATGTCTATTAAATACAACTTGAATTGTTATTGTATACATGAGTCACTAAATGTAGGTGTTGAAGATGATAATGTGTATTATTAAGCTAACCTGCTTTCAGCAGGACGCTGACTGGTCTAACCATTACGGAATACATGTCCGGAATTGAATGGTAAGGCCAAGGAATTGGACTACTCCGAGGCTTTACATTTGAAAATAGGTGAAGCAAGAGATCGTCAGGCCTAATTGTTCTCAGTATCTTGGAATATTTTTTTTGATGACTAGTACCCCATAAAATTCCTCCTATTCCGCGTGTCGTCTCGATTCGGAGCAAACATAAACTAAAATGGGTATGCAATAGACATCGGAGTGTTCCCAAGCATAATCCTCGTTGCTCTTGTTGAAAGATTGTATCACAAAGTTGGATCAATATGAGAGACATGACTCACTTCTCGCTATTGACTGCGATTGTTTGAAATGTCTCTATGTAGCAAGGGATTACCGAGTAGTTCTTGCTTTACTTTATTGTCTTGTGCCCAAATTGATCACTTGCCTGCCTCTACGAACATTTTCTTCTTCTGAACATGTAGTTTGCTTCGAGTCCTTTGATCCCATACTTCAAACTAAAATGTACTCTGATAAAATCCAAAAACGTAGGTATATTAGACGACCGTTCATATCCAACAAATTGTATGTACATCCACCTCATCTTCAAGCTATTATAGCGCAAACATTCCAACCAGCGAGATCACAGCGACGGACACATACGCGCCGAAAATAAGATGACCATGTTCGAAGAAGGCCGGGGATGAGAGACCAGGAGCAGCACCCTTTGAGGAGCTAGTCGCCGCGGTAGCACCCTCAGTTCCCTTTCCGGTCGGGCTCGCAACAGTTCCAGTACCAGCCGTACCAACAGCATCTAGCACGCTCTGGCATCCCGAGGCGACGGTAGCCGCCTGGGTGGTTGCCATACCGCTGAAGTCGCATGCACGAGCTTGCTTGTTGTTGCTCAAGAACCACTGGTTGGCGACCCACGCGAGCTGGTCCTTGGGGTCGCAGCCACTGATAGCGCCGTACGATCCAGTGGTAGCGTTGTGTGCGATGCCCGAACAGAGTTCCTCCTTCTGGCCGCAAATGTAATCAAATACAGCACCATAGCCCTCTGCATCGTTGGACTTGATGTTGCACTGGAGGTTTTGGACCATGCACGAGCATAGTTGAGGGTTTACGGATGGGGGCAAGGGTGTAGCCTTTGCTTCCCATGAAGATCCGACGGAGGGGCAGGCAGGTGCCGAGTTGGAGGGCTTGTAGTCGCTTTTGGCGGTGGTGGTTGGGCTGATAGTGGCAAGCTGGCTCTTGAGCGAGGTGAAATCCGGGTAAGGGCTGACGTTGCTGCCATCGATGGAGACAAGACCGAATTCGTTCTCGCCCATGAAGTATTCGTAGACAATGCCTCCGGAGAAGACATCGGTCATGTTACCATAGAGGACCTCGACCTCGGTGAAAGGTCGACTGGTAGGGCCACCGGGAAGGTTTTCGTTGCATCCGTACTCGGCGAAGAAAACAGGGACAGGGTAGTCCTTGAAGAAATTCACGCGCTCGCCATAGGACGACTGCTGGTATGTGCTGTCTCCGCACCACGAGTAAACATTGTAGCCCCAGAAGTCAATCGCGGTCTGGTTTCCGAGATCTCCAGGCTGGCAAGCGAAGTAGTGAGCAAGCTCGTTCCTTGTAGGCACATCGGCTGTAGCATAGCCAACGCCCAGAGTCTTGCGGTAATTCTGAGAACTAATATATCCCTTCACATCCCTGACGGCTGCTTTCACGAATGCCGCAGCAGCGGTCTGATTTCCGGCACTGACGTTTTCGTTTCCGGCGAAGAATCCGACCACGTTCTTGTACTTCTGAAGTGTGTCCACAACGCTAGTATATCGGCGGTACAGTGTCACATCCTATGGTACACAATGAAATGTTAGCGACAATTCTAGCGTTGCTGATTTAGAAGAGTTCTCAAAGGGACTGAATATGAATGTGGCTATTAAGGCGTGCAAGGGGGCATAGGTTTTGGAAAAGCTGCAACATGTACATACCCACATAGGATCGTTGCTTTCGATAGAAGTACCCGGCTCTCCGAGGTCAGCGATAACATAGATACCGGCGTCGGCAAGCTGTGTCATGCAGTCATCGTGGTTTTGAGAAGGATCGATCGCATAGACACGGATAAGATTAGTGTAGATCTGTTGGAGGTATGGGATATCCCTCTTGCACTTGTCGGCATCGGCCAGAGGATCAGTGTACTTTGTGTTAGTAGATGCTGTGCCATTTGGACTGTAATTCTCCTGGTAGGCAACGCCCCTCATCAAGCTACGACTGGTAAGTCTACGATCACTTCTATCGAGTCATCAGTGGTGTGCATCAACATACAATTGAGAGCCATTGGCAAAGAAGAACTTTTGGCCGTAAATTTCAATCTCGGGAATGGTATTATAGCTCTGAGCAGAAACGCCAGACAAAGCGGTAATAGCCGCGCCAAAGAATGGCAATGGACCAGCTCGCATGGCGGGCAAAGCAGATTACGAGTGAGCGACTAAAGCGAATGTATGGACTGGGCGAAACCAAGGCTTGGTATTGACAAGACAACAAGAAGCAAAAAAGGTCAGATTTTGTAAACCGGGGGTTCCGGAGGTATTTCTATTATATAGGACGCGTACGCTCATGCAGGTACGTGGTGGTAAACCTGCTGAGCTGACACGATGAATGGATGGCGGCGGGCAGAGCGTGCGGGGTGGCGGAGCAGAAAGGCCCAAGTCGGATAACCATGATCTATCGATATGTATTGTGCTTGTATTGTTGATTTGCGGCTATTCCTTATCTAGCCGGTCTACGAGCTGCTTGTCAACCCTAATCCGACCAATCTCGAGACGGCTTCTCGTGGAATCTCTCAACTCGGCTGTTGTCAGGCCAAGAGGGAATCGCTTCAAATCCTTCTAATCAAATGTGACGGGGTCATAGGCAAATTCGGGTTGTGTCTCCGGATACTTGAATCCTCTGTTAATAGGCTACAACTGAATCCTCTTCGGCCGCTGTACGGAGTATAGAAGATAAATACTGCATCCAGAGTGAATGTTTCGAATATTCTTTCAATGTCTTGTCTATTTATGGACTCACTTTAGTACCGAATGGTATCAAAGCTGCGTCCTTTTTCTGCTCCGAGGTCTCAAGAAAACTGGGGCACGTAGAGCACCTCTGGTCTCTAGTCCCATCTCGGTTCAAACCCAGCAGACAAGGATTTCTCATGGTCCAATTTTTTGAAAAGCTTAGCTCAACCGCGATATCCCGTTCTCTAAGATCTTGTCTGTCTTACGGTGGATAAATTACTTGATGGCAGAGAAGCTCAACTAGGCATTGTTGGTGTTGTGAGTTACAAGACCTCGACCCCTTGCTTTCACTAAGGTCGAGTCGGGGCACAGGGCGAGGGGCTGCAGCCACCTCTTCTTGTATTCAGCTCTCAACCTACGGCACTGGCTGGCAATAGTGTGCCACACGCGTGCACGCCATCTCAAACTAGATATTCTTCGGTTTTTAAATCGTAATAGCCCGGGTATGTAAAAGCGCAGGCTCATGCTACAATTGCAGGTGAGAATGTTCTATTGCTGGGTCGGAAGCCTGCGTCACTGTTGGAGAGCGACGCGCACCCCTGGCCTTCCTATGAGAAGGGTCGTACGTACGTAGACATCCTTCGCTTGTTACTGGCGCGATATAGCTTCGCACGGGACTGTGCTATTAACAAACAATCTGAGCAAATTTCTTTGTAGACGAAATTGCAGGTGCAATCGTCGAACTTCGTACTTGTACATACATCTGTTGTGATCATGTTTGTTCAAGTTCATCGTTGGAGGTAGCCGAGGCCAAGCCATGCGAAGCGAGTCTCCTTGACCATATTGCGGTGGTCATTCAATGTCTGAGCAGTTATATAGCTTTAACGTGCGATACCGAACCAGCGGTGCCTTGGTATTTCAAGGTGATCACGTTTGCCAGTGTTGATTTATGCCACCCCCAAACTCTACTCCAATCACCGCGCAGTTCCGAGCCCTACAGAGACGCAAGAGCCAGGGGTGTGTATTAACTGATATAGGCAAGTTGGCGTTTGCAATTGATATCTGCTTTGTTCCATCCCGCACTCTTATCTCAAGCTGGAACGCCATCATCGATCTGGATAAACAAAGGAAATGTGTCATGTAGGATATCAAGGTGTCAAACTATTCGTTGATTTGAGCGACCTGTTGATGCCGAGTGTGGTGTTTGAGAGAATCCGAGTTCAATGGCAACGATTGAGCAAGGTAACGATACAGTAATCGAATATCCACGTACATACTGTAGTAGCTTTACTGTACAATGTGCAGGTAAGTAGGAGTAGGTGTAGGTAGGGCTGGGTGTCGAGAGTGGTTGTGCCAAACCGGAAGCCCGGACCCCGGATGAAATGGACGGAAGAACTGCAAATTGACGCCGAGCGCACGGGCCAAAGTGCCCCGAAAAAGTGTGGAGTACTTTAGCGATGCAAAACGACAGACAACAGCACCAAAACGATTCCTCGAGCTCCTGTTTTCCCCCCACCGATGGTTGCTCTGTCAGCTAGGTGAATTTTTCTTGTTTTCTATTCGGCCTACGTCGATCAAATCCACTCCATTGGACTTACCCCCGTAGTCTGCCGCTAGCTTTGAGAAAACTTGCTCCCTTCCTCCTCTCCTTAAAACCTCCTCCTCCACCATGGTCAGCGCTTCTTCAGTAGGTTACTACCTGTTCCATCCTCAGGAGTTGAGGTCAATCATCCAATGGTAAGTTTATGTCTCCATCCCTATGGTGGGCAATACGCAGCAGCTGACAATGCACGTAGGAAAGTGTGGCACAACCCTGTCCATGAACGCGATGAGACTAAGGAGAGCGAAACCCTTCAACGATGCTTCCACTTCCTTGACTTGACCAGTCGCAGCTTCAGCGCTGTCATCAAGGAGCTACACCCCGATCTTCTCGTGCCTGTTGCGCTCTTTTACCTCGTTCTCCGAGGACTGGACACCATCGAAGATGATATGACCATCCCCCTTGAGAAGAAGGAGCCCATCCTGCGAAATTTCCAGGACCTTCTTGAAAAAGACGGATGGACTTTCACAGAGAACGGACCCAATGAGAAGGATAGGCAGCTCTTAGTTGAGTTCAATGTCGTTATCGAGGAGTTCAAGAAGATCAAGCCTGAATACAAGGTCATCATCAAGGATATCACCAAGCGCATGGGCAATGGCATGGCAGACTATGCCAACAACGCAGAGCACAACATCAACGGTGTCAATACCATCAAGGACTACGAGCTGTACTGCCATTACGTCGCTGGCTTGGTTGGTGAAGGCTGCACGCGACTCTTCGTTGAGGCTGGCCTAGCAAACCCTGTCCTCCTCAAGCGCCCAGAATTGATGGAGTCCATGGGTCAATTCCTCCAGCAAGTCAACATCATCCGCGACATCAAGGAAGATATTGATGATAAGCGACGGTTCTGGCCAAAGGAGATCTGGTCCAAGCACGTCGCCAAGTTCGAGGACCTTTTCGAGCCTGAAAACAAGGAGAAAGCCTTGGCTTGCAGTTCCGAGATGATTCTCACCTGCCTGAATCGTGCCGATGACTGCCTTTACTACCTTGCTGGTTTGAAGGAGCAGAGTGTTTTCAACTTCTGTGCAATTCCACAAAGCATGGCCATTGCCACCCTGGACGTTTGCTTCCAAAACCACGACATCTTCAAGAAGAACGTCAAGATCACAAAGGGGCAAGCTTGCCAATTGATGTTGGAGTCATCTCAAAATCTAAAGCTAGTCTGCGATGTCTTCCAACGATTCACCCGATCTATTCACAAGAAGAACAACCCCCACGACCCCAACTTCCTAAAGATCAGCATCGCTTGCGGAAAGGTAAGAGCCATACTTCCATTTGTTTAGACGTCCAGCTGACCATTATCAGATCGAACAATTCATTGAGTCCATCTTCCCATCACAAAAGAAGCCGGAGGGCGCCGCCGGTGTGCCGGTAATGACCGCAGAGGAGGCTGCGAAGAAAAAGGCTGAGGAGCAAGAGGCTAAATGGGATATGATTTACATGATTATGGCTGTGGTTATTACACTGGTTGTTATCACGTCGTCCATGGTAAGTTCGATTCTTCCCTATTTCAAGCACGCATTCGCTGACATTCATAGTTGTTTGTTGCCTGGTTGGCTGGTGCACGGTTCGATCTTGCCTTTGGTCAAGCTAAGCAGCAATTGGGTGAATTGTTTGGCTCTGGTTCAGATGCCAAAAACACCATTGCACCTTCATCAGACCATAGTGAGCTTTAAACGGCGGGTACGTACATGTTTTGTCCATATGTAATTATAATGCACAACGTTTAACTTCGACCGGGTGGGAATGACCCCGAGCAACACTAACCTGCATCTTTGATGATCGATTCAGTGAAAGGTATAGGAACCTACCTAGGTAGGTAGGATTTGTTTGCGTGATGCCTTAGCACGGATGTCAAATTGCAATTCTGCCAATCAATGGCTGTAGTTGTGCCGAAGATGTGCTTAAATCAATACACGCTCTGCTCAGCGATGAGGCTACCTTGGACCTTGCTCTATTTTTTAGAGTGGAGGACTGGGGTAGAGGTGTGGACATTCTTTCATTATGGAAAACCGCTTTTGCGCCATGCATTAGAATAGATACGACAACCCTTCAGAAATCAATCTATCATGTCTTCAATCTATCTCAGATCTCTATGTAGCCCTTTGTTTGCCTTCCTCACCATCATTGCACATGAACAATAGATAAACTGTTTGTATTGTAAGTACCTAGTACTACTAGGTATGGTCAATAATGTCACGTGGGATGAAACACGGCCGACCAGAAAGTGAATTAGCGCGGTTTCGGCCCGCCGCAGTTGCACCTGGATTTTCTTTCTCATCCAAACGGCCAACATCCATCGATCGCAACTTCACAACGGCCAGATCACCAGACCGCTACCTTCCCAACATAGCGCATATTCGCTTTACCCAAATATCGCTACAGCCTGAGATTCAAGTGCGCCCGGTGCGACTTCATACATAGGCTATCGTCTCGCCACAGAGAACACACACCCCACACTCCGACTCGAACGAACTCCGCTACGCCCACACACACTCCCTCCTCGCAACCTCACCTACTCGTGGCCTTCAGTCGACGAAGCCACCGCAAGCCCGATCCCATACACTCCTCTAAGATCATCAATTCTCCGCCTCATACGCCTCATCATGGCTGAAGTCGCAAATGGCCAGCAGCAGGTCCCCCTCGACACCATCCCCATCTCTCCCTCAGACAAGCCCTCTGGCTCTACCGACTCAACAAGCGCAGATGCCGACAGCAGCGATATCAAGACTGTCTTCCATGACAAGGAGAACTTCAACGTGAAACACCCTCTCATGAACACTTGGACCTTGTGGTTCACCAAGCCACCGAGCGGCAAGGTTGGTACACCTGTCATGTTTGAGAGACCATGTACTAATGAACATAGGGCGATAACTGGAACGAGCTTCTGAAGGAGGTCATTTCTTTCGACTCAGTCGAGGAGTTCTGGGGCATTTACGTATGTGTCATATGTCCCCTCCCAACAAATTTCGCTAACCAGATCATAGAACAACATCACACCCACATCCGATCTTGCGCTCAAGTCCGACTACCATTTGTTCAAGAAGGGCGTCCGACCAGAGTGGGAGGACACCCAGAACAAGCACGGTGGTAAATGGGCCTTCCAGTTCAAGGACAAGAAGGCAATCAACATTGATGCGCTCTGGCTTCATGTGATGCTTGCTGCCATCGGAGAGAACCTTGAGGACGATGAGGACAACGAGGTCATGGGCGTTGTCGTGAACGTTCGCCGTGGCTTCTACAGAATCGGTCTCTGGACCCGTACAGTTGGCAAGGCTCTTCCCGGAGACAGCGCAAAGGGCAGGACCTTCGAGCAAGGCAAGGAGATCCTCCAGAAGATTGGCAAGCGGTTCAAGCAGTCTCTCCAGCTCAAGGAGAACGAGCCTGTCGAGTTCTCTGGCCACACCGATTCCGCCCACGCAGGTAGCACTCGTGCTAAGGCAAAGTTCGTGGTCTAAAAGGGCCATTTCTTGGACTGTGCGCGGACACTGCTCCAATCGGGAATATTGTTTCTGGTCCATCTCTGACCAGAGGCAATCCTCGAATGGCATAACCACGTAACTAGGCCTTCTGGCGTATTTCTTTCTTTGGCATACCCCGTTCACTTAATCCCCTCAATTCCCTCAATTGTCCTTAGGACAGTCCAAAAGAGTCTTGGTATGGGTGCGGTTTCTAGCATGGCGTCTGCATGGATGGCGATGGGTGTGGTAATGGGTCGGGTCTCTTCTTCAGAACGCCCGTCATGATGGGCATACCTATGAGCCGAGAAGAATGAGGAGGATAACTCTGTTTACGATAGACCAATTCCTGGCTACATTTCTCACGTATAAAATATGAATATTCATCTACAGAACGAAGGGACGAAAAATTCACTAGTGTACATGTATGCACGGCTATTGACATGATATTGACGTTCCCTTATCGTGGTACGAGAGACCGATTCTACTAAATATGTACGATTATGAGAGGTATGTAAGTAATGCTAATGCTAAATATACCTACATTGTTGTTGTACGGCAGTCGGCACGGATGTTGCTGCACTCAAACCGCGCAATGCAGTCAACAAGCGTGATGATGAATAAGAGCTAAACAGCGCGGGCAGCATGATTAATCAGGGTCATTTCTCTTCCAGCTTCTTGAATATTTGGATAGTTCATCGCATTCATCGAGGGTCAGATTTCGAAACAATTTACAGCCAAATATTTCGCCTATCAGGTGGTAAGGTTATTCATTGACGACGACTTGAGGCTGATAGCTTGGCGTTTTACTGGTGACGTCGCTTGTGGCTCCTCCTTCCCTGCGGCGGTGCAGATTTTCCGCGCGTTTCCTCTCACTAAGGTTGGATGATACCTGGGCATCGTCGACTGAGTGACTGAGTAGTCGTCCTGCAATAATAAAAACATATTACCTCTCTTCTCTCCTCCCTCCACCACCAACACTACCACCACTACAACCCCCCAAAATAAAGGAAGACACCATCAAACATGGTCGTCGACACTACATATTACGATGCACTCCAGGTGCCCCCCACTGCCACCGAACTTGAGATCAAGAAAGCCTACCGCAAGCTCGCCATAAAACTTCACCCAGGTAAACAACAAAACCGCATAACCTTTTCCACAATGCATGAGGCTGATATCTGTCGCGCCGTATAGACAAGAACCCAGGAGACGAAACAGCACACGAGAAGTTTCAAGCTGTACGTCTCACATCCCTCTCTAGAAACCTCTTCCCCGCCTTTTCCCTTTCACTGTCGAATTACCCCGCGAACCCGTCCACAGCCTGGGGTTTCGTACAGCATTTGATTATGCGTCTGATATGATGACGAAGCGGATTGCGAATACTGACATGCATTTTTCTAGATTGGCGAAGCATACCAAGTGCTCAGCGACGAGACGCTGCGAAAGCAATATGACAAGTTTGGAAAGGAGAGTGCGGTACCCAGCAGTGGGTTTGGTATGCATAACCATACCCTCGGAGTCCATTCTTATGGACCGGCGACAGGATACTGACTTTTTGGGTGTGCAGAGGACCCCGCCGAGTTCTTTACCATGATCTTTGGTGGAGAAGCATTCGTGGACTGGTATGGGCCACCGCCAGCTAACAGCGTCATACGAGTTGAATAGGGACTGACGTACAACACAGGATCGGAGAGATTTCGCTCATGAAGGACCTCACAAAGACCATGGAGATCTCCATGCGTGAGATGGAGGAGGAAGAGGCCGCAAAGGCTGAGGCCGAAGCAGCCGAAGCACCTACTGCCGGTCCCTCAACCGCAACACCCGGAGCACCCCAAGCAGCAGGACCCTCGGACGCCGCCAAAGCAAAGGAGGCAGAAGCCGCCGCCGAAGCAGCTGCAAATGCTCATAATTCATCTGAGGCACCACCGCCTCCCTACAGCGAGTCATCCGCACCACCTCCGGCCCCATCCGTCGAAACTCCAGCAGGAGGAGCCGCCGAACCACTCAAGCCCACTCCCCCCGTCTCTGGCACAAGCACACCCCGCGGCATCCCCATCCGCGCTGCCATCATGGACAAGTCGGAAGAAGACGCCCGTCTCGAGGCCGCGGGCGTGACTGACGCTGAGAAGGAGCTCCGCGAGAAGCAAAAGAAGAAGGGTGGACTCACAAAGGAGCAGCGCGAGGAGCTCGCCGCCTACGAGATGGAGCGTAAGAAGATCCGCGACGAGCGCGTGAACACCCTCGCCAGGAAACTCATCGACCGCATATCAGTCTGGACCGAGACGGACAAGGGCAAAGACGTCACGGCCGCCTTCCGCGAGAAGACACGCCTCGAGATCGAAAATCTCAAGATGGAGTCGTTCGGTCTCGAGATCATGCACGCCATCGGCGCGACCTATCTGCAGAAAGCGACCTCCTTCATCAAGTCGCAGAAGTTCCTCGGCATCTCCGGTTTCTTCTCCCGTGTCAAGGACAAGGGCACGCTCGTCAAGGAGACGTGGAACACGATGTCTGCAGCCATCGACGCACAGATGACGATGGAGGAGATGGCCAAGCTCGAGGAGAAGGGCGGCGAGGACTGGACGGACGAGAAGAAGGCGGAGTACGAGAAGAAGGTCACAGGCAAGATCCTCGCCGCCGCATGGCGGGGAAGCAAGTTCGAGATCCAGAGCGTGCTCAGGGACGTCTGCGACCAGGTGCTCAACGACAAGAAGGTCAAGCTGGAGAAGCGGATCGAGCGGGCGCATGCTCTGGTCATCATTGGCGAGATGTTCCAAAAGGTACGTTACTATTCCGTCTCTATCCCCTCGTCATCTCCGATGTTATCATATACTAACGCAACTCTTTCAGGCCGAGCGCGACCCCGAAGAAGAAGGCGACTTCATGGCCTTCGAGCAACTGATGGCCGAAGCCGCCGCCAAGAAGGAATCGAAACCAGACAAGAAGCACCGTTCGTACCACCACCACGGAAAGAAGGAGAAGGACGAATCCGAAGCGACCGCTAGCTAGATACCAACACATCATCACAAATCACGACCACCACCACTACTACAAATACCACTACCACTCCCTGTTCAACCCTTCAGCCTTTCGTCCTCTTGGTTCGCTTGCTTGCCTACATGCCCGCCTGCTTGCCTACCGTTTTCCCCCTATTAGCTCCTCTTTTCCGTCTTTTTGGATAATTATATAGATCTTCCCACACAATCCACAACCCTTCGACCCCACCCTCCATAATTGGAACGTAACACACCGCAAGATCGAAGAACTTCCCCGTGCAGTAGATAGAATTCATGACATGACACACCCAATCCAATTCTCCCTCCAGCGTCGTGCCTTTGTGCCCTTCCGTAGCTTTTTGGCTTCTTCAGGTGACTTTTCCCGTTATTTTTTTTTTCGCTGGGATAGGTAGGTGCCTATCGGGTCGCAGTTGCGGTTAGATGTGCTGTGCAGATAAGATGAGATGGAGTGGGATGGTAGATTTGAGATCACGGAAGATTGGGGATGGAATGGGATCGGGAATGAAGTTTTTTTGGTCACTGTCTGCCACTCTCTATTCGCGTGATTCTTCGTGGGTGATGTTGTGGTGAAGTGATATGGGATTTGTGGTTTTGTCATGTGATTTATTGACCATCGAATACCATCGTACCCGGTCGTACTACATCTATCATTATATCTCGCAGAAATTTACTCATAAACACGCCATGACCTAGTTGCCCTTCGCTCGATGGAAAACAAACCATGGCCGAAGCCTACATACGTATTGACTATAAGAATAATTGGGACGCCAATAGATATCATAAATGATGAAAAGTCCCGTCCAAAAGAACGCCGAGTGCTATGCCATTATTCCGGTTCATCGGATCAGAAAAAAGGATATGAACAAAAGGGGGTAAGGGGAGGAAGGGAGATGTATAGACAAAGGTCGTGATAGCAAGGGGTTGGATGTCAATGATGATACGGGAAAATCTACAGCACGATCATCAGATCTTCGAGCCAGCGGCCCTCTCCTCCTCGCCGCCGAGCGCCTCGAGGACCTGGCCCTCTCTGTTCTGCAGCGCGACGGTGCGGCGTGGCACCTCCATGCCGACGACGCGGCCGGAGAACTGGTGCCAGCAGTTGGGGGCCTGGAGGATGTACTTCTCCATTGCGATGCGGAAGCGGTTGCGGTAGTCCTTCGGGGACGTAATGGTGGGCTTGTTCTTGCCGCGGTCCTTGATCCAGGACTCGAGCTTCTTGTCCCAGGTGTAGGTTCGGATGCAATCTGGTGGGACGGTCAGTTGGGCTCGGAATGGGGGCGGGGGGCGTAGCATGGATGAGGGTGGTGGTTTGGGTTTATTACCGATTATGCCGACGATGATCTCGTGGTGCTGATCATCGAAGCCGGCCATGAGACTGTAGTCCATGACGTTCTGTTGGCTGAGGAAGAGCGTGTCGTTCCATACACTTGCTTTGAGAAGCTTCTTGGTGTGTTCGCGGACGAAGATAGGTGCTTCGCTGTAGATGATGTCCACGAGATTCTCGTCGAGGAGCACCTCATCACGTTCGCCGGTGCTCTGGGCTTTGCGGTTGCGCATGGAGCCCTTCAGGTCATAACGGCGACTCGGCTCGCGATCGTAGAAGAGGTTCTCCATGACAAGCATGAACCAATCGAAGTCCTGCCCCTTTGGAGTCTTGATCTGAACTTGGAAAAGACCGAACATCTTTGCTATCACCGATGGGAGGCCCTTGAACAGATTCTGGTGCGTGAATGCAAAGTAATTAGGGCCGAAACGGAAGAAAGCTTGCACCTCGACAGGAGACAGAGATTTGAGTACAAATCGATCATCAAGCGTCTTGAGGAAGATACTCTTACTCTTTCCGCCCTTTGAATCCCACTTCGAACAACGAGAGAGGGACTCGACGAATCGATCAGCAACACCACATTTACGGCGTAGGGCATCGAAGGACTGAGCGTAGAATATCTTGCACTGAGCTTTGACGCCGCGGTTGACGAAGCTGTATCGGATATTGGTATTGGCTTCATGTAGCAGGTTCCGTTCGATTGAAGCCTCTGAACCTTCAAGACCGCCTATTCCCTTCTCCGTCGGAGTGGTGTCGCCACGGAACTGTTGAAGTTTCACTAAATAGTCAGGGCTAGAAAGTGCAAGCGCAATGATGGAAGAGGGTTCGTCTTCCCTCACGATAATATCAGAGTCTTCCCAGACATGCTCGTTTTGGGCAAATGGATAATCCAAAGGCGTCCAGCCACTGGCAGATCTCTCGGACCAGAAGCTTGTCAGCATTCGCATCAACGTATTCCGCTCGTGCTTCGGCAGTTCGAGCGATTGCTCGAGCTGAGACTCGCTCATGGACATGAGCTGAGAACTAGTAACGCTGTCGGGCAGAGCGATGTCTTCTGGTGCAACTTCATTGTCGCTTGCATCATTTTCAGCGTCTGATCCAGGGTGGCTATGGGATTGGGGCGGTTCGTGCTCGTCGAGTTCTTGCGGATGCGATGTTACGCTTCTGGGATGACGTTCCTCGACGGGAGATTGAGATGCTGTCGTTAAGCCAGTGGTCTCTGTGAAAGTGCTATCACCGAGCGTACTGTTATCTGTACTCACTCGTGGTGGGGATGGGAGCTGAGCTTCTTCGTCTGAAGGACTGTGCTCTTGTACAGCTTCGTGTATGTCTTTGTACACCTCAACCGTGGGCTTCGAAGATGCAAGCGGATACGCACGAGCCTGGCGGTTTTGTTTCAGCCTATCTATGCGCTCCCGCTTCCGTTCTCTTTCGAATTCTCGTGAAAGTTGCTCGAAATGTTTTGCCAGAGTAGTGACCTTGTTTACGTCCTTTTGCCTTTTGAGCGGAACAGATCGAGGTATCATCGAAGATGTTTTCGACTGCTTGTACACGCCAAGTCGTTCAGACATGCGTTTCTCCAGAGCTTTGGCAGAATCACTGAGGGAAATCCTAGATGACTCGCTACCGCTGCCGGATGATACTAAGGTGGGTGGTGGAACAAGCGAAGGGCTTTGCGGAGGCTGGTGCTTAGGAATGCCCCCAGGCTGAGACTGTGTCCGCACTCCCATCGAGGGCCTGGTACCGCTTTCACGCCGTATGGTATCGACTAAACGAGGAATTTTAGACTCTAGCGTACTATTCGCAGGTAAAGCTTGGGAAGGAGAGCTGGGCATGTTCTCAATTGCGTCGGCGATAGACTGATCTATGGGATTGATCTTAGGATGCGCAATTGGCGTGGGGGATCCGGGTTCAGATGGTAGTAGGGTTTCGTTGGCTTTGGGAGGCGTATTCTGTTGTTGATGCTCCTGCGCTGGGACGCCCTCAGGAAAGTTGGAGGAAACGGCAAGGTCTAAGTGGCGCACATCATCTCGCTCAAGTGCTTCGATGGGTGTTTGAATTGGCAGCTCAATTGGACCGAGAAGCTGCCTCGATTTCTCGACTGCTTCTCGTAATTTAGCTTCGGAATGTGGTTCATCCGAGTGGACTCCGTGAGATTGATCTTCTTCAACGACCGATGTCAGCATATCTCGGGCCTGCTCTGGCGACATGCTCGATGGCATTGGTGTGATTGGAATAGAGTTTCTCCTTTCGAGCTGAGCGGGCTCCTCCGTTCCTATTTCTGACGCTTCTTCCACAGATGCCAGGGAGCTGCTAGATTCGTCGCGCTCGATGAAGAACTTCCTCATTTGCAAAACCGCAAGCCTTCTAATATCTTTTTCTGAAGGAAAATATGACTCTTCGAACTGAGCGAAAATTTCATCCCATAAAATGGCCTTTTCCTGGATGGCACGGATAGCCCGGTTGAGGGGAATGATCTCGTAGTACTTGGATGTCATGTACTTATCCTGGAGCTTCTTCTTCAGCCACTCATGCTCTTCGGTAGCACGCTTGAAGAGGGTTTCGACCTCCGCCTTGCAAACTTCGTACTTCTCCGGCAAGACGCTTTCGACATGGATACATTTCAAGCGTGCCTGAACAGACAACATGAATCTATCCAGTCGGTCCTCGATCCTCAAGAATTGCTCATTCTTCAGCTTTAAATCGCCGTCCACCTTCCATGTGATCACTGGGCGAGGCACAACGACCTCATACAGTGGGATGGAGTCGTACTGAATGCGCACAGCGACATTGTTCAATCCAAAGTAACGAACATGATTCTTGTGAATGTCGTGTGGGCACAAACCAGCGCGAGGATGAAGCTCGCTACTCCAGAAAGTCAATTCGAGATACTTCGCAAAGGAGTATTTCCAGGTGTTGTCAGACATAGGAATTACTTGGGTCTCTTTGCCACAGAGTCTGCAACAACTCCACATCAAGATCGTATTTTGAAGGCCCTTGATCTTCGCGGGAAACTTTTGAACAATCACACTCATTTGACCCCGGCCGTGAGCATATTGACGGTGATGATCAAACATTCTCCTACCACATCCATCGGAATCACAAACTGTGCCGGCTCCGTGGCACAAGTCTTCGATATATTGACCCAAGGTGAGATCTGGAGTAAAGCCTTCTTCCCAATTATGCTCGTGGTAGAAATTGAGGGCAATAATCTCTGGTCCAACGCAAGGTGTCGAGGTGGTGGAGTTAACGATGCTGTACAGCACCGCAATCTTTTGATGGCTGAACGGATCATACAAGTTCATGTTGCCGTGTAAGAAAGCCTCCCATTGTCGCTTTTGTGTCTCGTAATTGTGCAGTGCTTTGTCGTATTCGGCGGCGTGAACAGCATGAAGAAACTCCCGGACCTGTTTTGATGCTTTCTTTGGCACATTGTGAACCATCTCTGGTTTGACCAATTCGAAACGCTGGGAAGTGTCTACTTCTTCCTTTTCGTCGTGTTCTTCAGTGGTATATTGATCCCTCAACTTTTTCAGATAGACAAGCTTTCGCTCATGCTCTCGTGCTTTGTTTAGCAGGTAGGGTTGCATGAATTTAACGAATGGCGAAACGGATAAGATAGTCGTCCGGTGTTGCTCTACCATCTCACTATAAAAGGAGGGAGCTGGGGCGTCATGAGGGATGTGTACCTCCGTAACGTCAGCATCCGAATGAGTATCCCCAGACGCTTTTTCGTTCAGAGAATTTTCGCCAGCATTCTCGATACTAGACGTTGCAGTTTGGAGCTGTGACTGCTCAGTCGGAGAGCATTTTACACATTCATCATGCTGCTCAAGAGTCCCGCCATCAGAGGTGGCGGGAATCAAAACAAACTCGTCGCGCATCAAGCATGTCTCTAGCTTTAGGTTGTAGACAACATAGCACATAAACTCTGTGATGCCTTTGAGCTTTGTCAAATTCTCGGGTTCCGCGCCTCGAAGTGCGATTGTGCATCCAAGATCGCGCTGACAGCCCGAGAGGTATATATATGTCTTTCTCATCTTCCTGTAGACATATGTTTTGACGTCGAAACTGTCACATCGCCCTAAGTGTGCGGGATCGATCGCAAGCTTATCCACTGACGAGATCATGGGAGACTGTGTACATCTAGCGACGGCGTTCAGTACCGTTTCCTTCACATTATAAGCCACTGCGATACCTGCTTGCTCCAGGAATTCGAGTGCCAGGCCGGAAACATGGCGTTGTACGAGCAGCACGTGAGGCTGCAGGGCAACGATTCGACTGACAAGGTTTCGTAAATACTCTCGTTCTTGTGCAATGACTGGCTCCAGGCTCATGAAATGGGTTTGATGGCGAGCGTATTCAATGGCAAAGGTGACAATGATGATTCGTGGGTTCGGGATGGAACGAGGCATGCTTTTCAAGGCGACGTTCTTTGTGAATACTACACCAGAGACGTAGGACGTGTCGCTCGGCTTGCCTCCGGGAATCTTCTTGAGTTTGATGTAATGTCGAATATCAATATCGTCCCCTCGGTGAATGTCTGGGTTGACATCATCGGTGCATTGGAGTAGAATTGGCATTAATGCCTTCTCCCAGCTTGATACATGAGAGACTGCTGCATCTTGCAGAAGCTGCTTCAAAAGCTTTCGGACATGTTCTAAGCTTGCCTGGTTCAGCTCGATCGCTGGCGCTCTGCCTCCCCTCATGGACGAACTCCGAGTGATCTTGGATCCTGAGGGAGGCAGTAAAGATGGTGGTTGGGGCGATGGGGACTGAGGGTGAAGGATCTGGCCAGGGATAAGACCGGCACCAAAATTTCTGAGAATGCTGTTGCTTTTGGAGCGTTTCGGTGAAGGCCGTGGATGCGCAATGCTGCTGATACTCAAATTCCTTCGTCGAGTATGTCGGCCAACGTGGCGACTAGTGACGCTAGCATTATCGGTATCTCGAGCGTGGGTACCACTGACTACACTTCTATCGCCTCCTCTCGATTTGCTTTTCTTCATAGATGCTAGTAGTCCCCCGAAACTGCTGCGTTCGCCCTCAAGACCCATGTGCGGTGAAGAATCGCCTCTAAGAGCAGCGAAAATGTTGGGCTGCTCGTCTTCCGTGGAATCGTCATCTGACATAAACGGCATGAGGTCGGGATCGATGATATTATCATGGTGAAAAGCCGGGAGGCTTGACCGGCTGCGTGTAGCCTCCGGGTCGTACTGATGGAATGGCGCTCTATTCTCATATCTCACATTACGCATGTGTTGGTGGCGAGAATGATGTCGTTTATGGCTGGATGAGCGAGGGCGGCCGCCCAATGAGCGGAGAGATCTAGAGGAGCTCGGTCGCGCGAGAGTCTGAGGGACTTCGATGACAGCAGATCGCCTTTTCTTTTCACTGCCAGCCTTGCGAGACATGGGAATACTGATTGTCGGCGTACCGATTTTGGTGTGATCACTTTCGGACGGATCAAATGGATCTCCGCCTACGCCCTCATTCATATCATCCTGGTCATATATCGAACCCTGGTCTCCTTCATCTGTGTAAACTGAAGAGTCGTCATCGTTCCCGTGGATGATTGCTTCGCAAGGTTTGCATACTCGCAACGATCCCGACTGTCCGAACACCTTCCCGGAGACTAGCAACGTGCATTTTGCATCAAAAATCTGGCCGCAAGTTCGACAATGGTGTTTGCGCCTGAAGGTAGAGAAAGAGTCGCCACAATTGAAGCAAGCTTTTGCGTTTTCGTCCCTCATCCAGAACTCCCTCCCAAGAATCTTGCTGCGCATCTGAGCAAAGGCATTGCTAGGTATCGATCCAGAAGGCTTCTGTTGCATAAGTTCGTCGATTGGTGCAATTCCAGGGCTACGAACTGTCGTGCTCGTCATGATCGAACTGACGCCATCAGATGAGGAAGCTCGAGAGGGACGGTACCCGGGTAGGTGTGAAGGCCCGACGTGCATTAGAGCGGGGCGTTGGGGCGCTGGAGCCAGGACGGGAGTATGGGCATTCGTTGTAATGTGAGGAACCTCGGTAGTCTCCGAGGCATCATCTGAGGTTTTTCGTAGACTGTTGTTCGCTTGCTGATAATGGCCTTCTGTCCGTGAGTTGAGTTTCACCAATCCATCATGCGCAGCATCAAGTGGGTGTGTATAACGAGCGTTGTCGCTGGCGAAGCCTCCACCCTCTACCATCACCATATCATCCTCGGTTGTATCGCTCTCTTCGCTCTTAAGATCAAGGTCGCCTTTGCTTGCTCGATGCGATCCTTCTCGGATAGATTCCCTACTTCTCGAAGGGAGAGTCATTCCAGACCCAGAACTAGTCTTCACCAATGGAGACATGCCGGAGCTGCTTTGGGGTTTGGATAGAGTGCTCATCGAACTTTGTCGGTACGAGTCATCATCTTTTGTTAGCTTTGTAGAGTCTACACTGGGGGCTATTGAGGGCCTAGACTTTGTAGTGGCGAGGGAGCTCCTTGAACCATTCAATGACGGCTTCGTGGAGACGGAGCTGGATACGTTGGAATCTCGTGATGGAGGAAGTGAATCGTCGGGGAACTTGGATACGAGTGGAGACTGTAGCCTTGAGGAGGGCACTGAGACTACGACAGGTGAAGACACAGCAGTCCCGGCTGGGCTTTTTGGCAGCTGACTAGCCTTTGACCCTGATATTGCTTTGTTCTTGCCACTACCGATCGAGCCATCTTCGAGAAGATCGCTACCACTATCCTTTGTACCGCCTACAGAAGCTTTTATACGACTGTACAAGCCGCTTAAACCACCCTGGACCAGATCCAGGGCTTTGGGTTCGCCAGCGGAGGATACAGCGGGCGGGGCAGTAAGATCGTCAAAGGTGGTCAATGAATCAGAACGCGCCGCGTTTAGGTGCATTTGCTGCAGGGGCTGAAGGAGAGATCCCCGCGAATCTCTAGCCATGGCAGTATTGTAGGACACGGAGCGGGGGCGTGAGATTGGGTGCGGCGAGGCGAAGGGCAGGCGGAGTTTCGCTGGTGCACAAGGAGCAGATAAGAGAAAGCATCAGGTGTGTGCCGTAGTGAATATCGCAGTTTGAAGAGAAGGGCACAAGTTCGAGTCCCAGATTTACGTCAAGCGAGTGAGCATGTGTCGAGGCAGGTTGGTCACAGGCACCAGCGAACGAAGAAGAATATATAGAAGGGTGTTTCACGACAGTGGTGCGAGCATATGGACAAGACAAAGGAGTGTGCGTGGTTGGAGGAGCAGGTGGAACGGCGTCGTGAGCGCGTAGGAGTCGGATTCGGGAGGGTAGACTCGGGAGGAACGTGGTGTATGGTGAATGGCAATAGGTGATGTTTCCCAGCTTGGGGCGGAGTTGAAGATCAGCTATGACGGATTGACGATGACGCTACACGCAAGCCCGTGACTGCCCGTTGGGATTAAGCGAGGGAATCCCTGTCTATGCGCGCTTTCCCGTTTCTGGTATGGTTTCGTTCGATCAGGTGGGAGGAGGATGAATGTTCCGGAAGCCTGGAACATCATCACAAGTTCTTCTCCGACTGATCAACAACTAAAAACTCTTATTCGTACTACTCGTACTCGTAAGAGCAGGAGCTTGTAAAACCATCATTTCGCTTTACCCTGCTGGGTCGTCCACAGCTAGATCCGGTGAGAGCCTGGAGTACTCCCTACCAGAGCGATACACGAAACTTGGATCTGATCCTTATTGAATGATCTTATGCCGCGAATCAACAGCCTTCAACGTAATCCTACGCCCAATCCATCGGCATATTCGGGGACATGGGAGCCGCCCTTTAGTCCATCTTTGTCCATATCTCTGAATACATAAAGTCTTGATCAATGGAGTGCTATACTCTTGCAGAGAGCTCCAGATCTCTCAGGGTTCGAAACAGGCTCTTCGATCAGAGGAAAATATTATTCAGAGATTCCCGACACCGTTAACCTATAATGTAGCACGTTCCGGTAGTATTCCGAGTACAGCCAACCCAATGGCGGCGTGAAGTGTCGACCAGAAGGGATACATCCCTAAGTCTATGCCAACATGAAAAGGCGGTACTCTGCTCACCAGCTTTGTCGCCGCCGTGGCTAGAAGGAGTGCTAGATGCTTTCGAACCCTCCTGCAATATATAGGGCCTTCCGACTTCAAGATTACTGTGCACATACTGGATATGCCAGCATCAACGGAAGTTCGGCATTGTATCCAATCTTTCCAATGATGACGGGTCATAAAAGTGCAGAAGGAGGACGCGGCCTTTGGAGAGACTAATAATTATAGCAACACAAATTCCCCGACCTTGGGGATGAATGGCATCCAGTCTAATAGATTAGACCCCTTTATGGTTCAATAGTATTGAACCTGTCACGCCTGTATCAATGGCGTAATACTGTGTTCACGCTGGCGGCTAGCCACCTTGAACGGAACTGTGGCACATCGCATTCAAGCTTGACTACTAGCGCCAAGCACCAACATCGGAAATCGGCACCGCATGTACGAGTGAGTATGCAGTCATTGAATTCAAATTTATCGCTCTTTCTATTTCTTTCTCGATAATACTCTCTCGTGTTGGCCATTTAATCCAGCGCATACTGTGGTTGACGATTCCCATATTCCTGGCTCACATTCATCTTAATCCCAACGACGATCTTCTCCAGGACGCCTTGAACCAGGGCCTTGTGCAGGAACACAACTGGACCCATCGGATTACTTGCCAACTACGCAATCTTTTCAACCCAGAGCCAGAATGGACTTTGGAAAAGCCATCGGGACAGCATGTAGCACTTTCGCCATCACCAACATCGACGACCTATTCGTGCTGGTCACGTTTTTCGCTGAAACAGCATGGAACGAGTCGATGACTCCCTTGTACATTACCCTAGGACAATACTTAGGATTCAGCATCATCACATCCATAAGCATGCTCGGTTACGGCCTTTCTCTTGTACTGCCTGCTGAACCCATTGGATTCTTGGGTCTCTTGCCCATTCTGGTAGGAGTTTGGCACGCACTCGGCCTGTTGTTTTCAAGAATAGACGGAAAACCAAATGGACCGCCAGAAGATCTTAGAGCCACCGAGGAGATTGCAAACTTGGAAAGAAACGGATGGTGGGCGAAACTCAAGAATGGTGGCATAAAGAGTATATTCACCGTCGCTGCCGTCACAATCATGAATGGAGGCGACAACATTGGGACATATACCCCGCTTTTTTCGCAAGCCAAAGGAGCAGAAATTGCAATCTACGTCGTCGTTTATTACATTCTTCTGGGCATTTGGATTCTCGCTGCATGGCTGGTCATGAAACAGAGACATATCTTACGCTTGGCGGAGAAGTGGGCAGGCGTATTTGTGCCGTTTCTTTACATGGGGCTCGGTACATTCATTGTCATCAAGTCGGAGTGCTTTCCATGGTCGATCGAGAAGATCAATGCAAAGATCAGTTCTCATCCAGGCACAGTCATTATGGGAGTGGTGACTGCCGTGCTGATGCTTACTTGCATTGCGACAATGGTTTGGATTAGATGGAGGGGACGGACCGCCCAATCTCAAGACAGTCTCCAAGAACTGGAACAGCTGCAGGCAGCCACCACCGCAAGTACAGGTACTGATGGCGGAAAGAAAGAGTTGAATGCAGATACCCAAGATCTCACAGCTATGCCTGCTGCTCAAGAAAACTCTATAGACATAGAGCGGGGAAGACATTAATCATATCGTTTTTGTAATGCCTTTTTTGATGATTAAAATGTAAATATAATTTATTTTTCTATTATTCTGAATTCTTACATCATGTTATTATCTAGTATCAAGAAGCTGATGATACAAAATCTACTTTGTACGCCGCAGTCATTTTTGGCGATGTTAATCTTGTGATAATTATCTCCAACCACATTCGTGCCATTCTTTCTACACACCACCAACTAAACGTCTGCTCACACCCTCCTTCCTCCTAAACCACGCCCTCTTCCCCCCCTTCCACAACTCCGTCGCCGCAACAAACCCCCCGACCTCCCCTATCACAACCGCCCACTCCCACCCCAACCCCAAATGCATGAAAACCCTCGTGTTCAACACTGGAATATACAACGTCGGAAACGTCATCCCCACCACCCCGACCACCGACCAAAACAGTACCCTATTTCCCCACAGATGCTTCCACCACGCGGGGAACCCATCCGGCATAACGAAGAACGAACGCCGCATGTCGACGAGCTCCCACGCGAAGAACACGAACACCCACGACGTGACAGCGTAGCACGTGCCGCGGGCGCGGAACACAGCGTCGCAAGCCGGTGAGTAGGCGGTGTTACAATCTGTGCCGAGGTCGCCGGCGTTGAAGCCGTAGACGACGATGGTAAAGGAGGTGATGATGCAGGATGCTTGGATGATGCCGTAGACGAGGGTGTCTAGGAGGAGTTCGGGGGTAAAGACGCCGTGGGATAGGGGTTGCGGGGGGCGGGTGAGGATGTTAGGGACCGCGGCTTCGAAGCCGAGCCCGGTTTCGCAGAATGTGCCGGTTGCCATAAGGATCCAGATTATTTCGACCGGACTGAGTTGGAAGATGGAGACGCCGCTGGTGTCTTTGAAGGCGAGACCGGTGAGGAGGGCGAGGACGAAGCCAAGGTTCGCGGCGAGGACGTGCAGGATGAATTTTTGGATGTTGTCGAAGATGCGGCGGCCTTCTTCGATGGCGTTGAGGATGGAGGCGAAGTTGTCGTCTGTGAGCACGATGTCGCTGGATTCCTTTGCGACATCCGAGCCCGTGCCCATGGCGATGCCGATGTCTGCGCGCTTGAGGCTCGGGCTGTCGTTGACGCCGTCGCCTGTCATGGCGACGTAGCGGCCGCGACGATGGAGCGCGGAGATCATGCGGACTTTGGTGGTCGGGGAGCAGCGGGCTACCACGAGGGGGAGCTGGGGTAGGGCATCGAGTTGGGCGTCTGAAAGGGCGTCGAATTCGTGTGCGGGTAGGACCATGGTCGAGGCGACGTCGGCGGGGAGCATGGCCATGGCTTCTGGCGATGGAAGAATACACACCTCGGTCGCGATGGCACGGGCAGTTTGCGGGTGGTCGCCCGTCAACATGTGCACTGCGACGCCGGCGCGTTGGCACTGGAGAACACTGTCGCGGGACTCTGGGCGAGGGGGATCATAGATTCCAATCAGGCCGCGGAAAATGAGTCGAGACTCGACGGATTCTCGAGAGATCAATTCGACGTCTGTGGTATCAGCGGTGTACGGTTTACTGGCGATTGCAAGGACACGAAGACCCTGTGTCGCAAGAGCTTCCATTCTGTCGTGGATGTCGCGGTGGTCGTTCTCAGTCACGGGTTTGGTCTCATTACGTTCATTCGCCATGAGGTGGCAGCTGTCAAGCACCCGTTCAACTGCTCCTTTGGTCAAAGCATGTGTTTCTCCGGACGAAATGTTCCTGGCAATGACGGACATCTTCTTGACGTCTGAGTCAAAGGGGAACTCAGCGACAATGTCCCACTTCTTTTGCTCGCCCTTGGTGAGCTGGATGCGATTCCATCCGAAACGACCGGCAAAAACCTCAATGGCGATTTCTGTAGGCGCACCTCGAGCGACCCATTTCCCTGGCTCTGAAGAGGCAGCATCGCTCTGTTCGAGTATGGCGAGATTGTCCAAAGAAGCGACGTTGAGGTACCATTCTAGCGCTGGTTGTACTGACACTTCATCCACGGGTGTGACAGGTTTAGACGTAGATTCTTCAGAATGTTGCGGAGAAAAGCTGACTTCACCACTGTGCGGGTTGTACACATCTCCGCTTGACTCGACAGAGTATGTCCCTACACCTGGAAGCCAGGCTTTCCGGACTACCATGCGCCCCTGGGTGATGGTTCCCGTCTTATCAGAACAGATATCTAGAGTATGGTATTAGTACTGAGTTCGAACAGGCAGTGAAGACACTTACTAGTAACTCCACCCAAAGCCTCAAGGCTTGACAAATTCCGGACCATAACATTCCTATGCAACATCTTCTTTGTGCCTGCGGCCATGGTGACGGTGAGCACGAGCAACAAACTCACCGGGATCGTACCGACGGCTGTTGCGACAGCATAGATCACTATATCCTTACGAGAATCGAACTTGTTTGCCCCGAGAATGATAATGGCGCAAATAATAGCGAATCCAAAGAGAAACAAGAACAGCTGAGACAATTTCCTTTGTAGTGGCGTGCCGACAGTCAGACCGAGAAAATCAGTGACCCAGTTTCCTATGGAAATGTACCATGGACCTCTCTTGCGGCCAGTATCGTTCAAGGCGCTGGCGATCAGGCCGATCTCGGTGCACATTCCTGTCGCAAAGGCGACTCCGCGACCGCGGCCTTCGACAATGGTTGTAGAGCTATACACGACATTGAGTCGATCGCCAGGCCCCTCGTGGGGCTTGAACGTCGAATCAGGACTCTTCAGAACGGGAACGGATTCGCCCGTAAGCATTGCCTCGTCTGACTTCAGATTGACTGCTTCAATGAGTCGAATATCGGCGGGCACTGAGTCTCCCGTTTTAAGCTCAATGATATCGCCAGGTACCTACAGTGCTGATGTTAGCAGAAACTCAATGAAACTACGCGCGGAGAAGCTTACAATTTCCCGTGTCTGAACAGTGAATGCCTTTCCATCTCTAACAACTGTTGCCGTGGGACTTCCAAGAGTTTTCAAACTGTTAATGGTGTTCTCAGCTTGAAGAGTCTGTACAAAGCCAATCACAATATTCAGCAGAATGATGCCCCCCAAGATGCCGCCCTCAATCCAAGCCTGGATACCAAAACTGGCAGCCAGTGCCATCAAAAGGACAATGGTCATCGCGTTGCATATCTGCTCGAATAAGATCTTCAGGGGTTGTACACCCTTTGTCTGATTCAACTCATTGCTGCCGTACTCTTGCAGTCTGTTGGCAGCATCAGAAACTGTCAGACCTTTTTCCAAGTCCGAAGAAAGCTCTACAATAACCTCGCTATAAGGCAAGGAATGCGGCGGTTGAGAGAGTGGTTTGTTGGACTGTCCAGAGACATGGGGTAAAGAGGTATCTTCGGAGTTTGGAGTCTTTTCTGTCATTTTGGCAACATGAAAGGCGTAACTTCAAGTTATTCGGAAATTCAATAGTAGAGCAAAGACGGAGAATAGATGTGCATGATGGGGTTCTTGCGTGGAAATACGCAGAAATTTGTACCTCTTCATCCTGATGAAGTTGTCATTACGAAAATGCTGGACACACGAGGTAACTGACAAAACCGGCAGCCAAGATACATTTGAAGGACCTCAGTGTTCTTGTAGGCAATAGCAGGACTTCTCTGTGATTGGTGCCCGGAATAAAGTCGTACACTGCACTTGGTATTCCTATATCGGTTTATTGTACGTAAATGCCAAGCACTTTTACGTGGATCTTTGTTTCGCCGCTCCCCCAAATATGTCGAGCATGTCTAGTAAATACCCTTTCTGTCATTAGACACCCGAATTGCGAACTTTGCCATAGGGGCAGTGTAATATTGGTACCCGTGTGAGACCAATGCACAAGTTCAGAGGTTCAAACAAGCAATGGGAATTGACTTTGACCTCCTATTGGGCTTAGGAGCAGTATGCACTTCATGGTAAGAACTCGGTTATTCGCTATGAGATAATTGCATAAAACTCCAGGATCCTCTCAACCAACCGGGCGCATTCATCGTTGCGTGTGACCAGTCACACTTCAGATATTCAAGCCAAAGCGCAATTGCGAAACTCACGATTGCCGAGTAATCTAGATGCACCCCCTTTTGCTTGATATCCTTATATCCACCACACATCCTCTTATTACTTCCGGTAGGGGAGAGTTGTTTGGACAATCTTAGGATCATTTACTTCGCGTAATTCCTTACTACCGCTTCGGTTCCCTCGCGTAACGGTTGCACTCTTCTCGTCCATCTCTTCCCTTAAGATATGTACCTGTTTCTGTATCTCGCGCCAGAGCTCAAGCTTCGCCAAGTCCGGGTCGGAGCTCACATCTTCCAAGGACGATATTCGGATAGCTGCATTCACAGTAGTGAGCGGGTCAAGAGGACCTGCCCACATTTCCGCATCGCTGGCATCTTTGCGTACGGCGATCGCAAGAAGACTTGCGACAAAAGCCTCTTGCATGTATGCAAAAGAGAATTTGTCCGTAATCTTTGCAATGGCTGGACACATAGCGTCTGGAAATTCGATGTCGTCGTTGTCTTTTAGCTTCCCCTGCCAGTATTTGGCGTATTGTACTCGTTGCTCGTAATTTGGGTCAGGGAAATAGTACTTCCGGTCAAATCGACTCGGGCGCTTGGAAATACCGGGATCCAGCCTGTCCAGATGGTTCGTGGAACCGACCATCAAGATACCGTCGTTAGACTTCAGGCCGTCGACTTCGTTCAAGAAGTATGAGCGCACACGGTCGTCAACCACAGAATCCAGGTCTTCAAATACGAGGTAACAAGGGGCGGTCTCTCTAGCCTTCGCAAAGATACTTCGAAGAGCATATTCAGGGCCTCCAATAGAGGCCAATGACCTGACATACAATGTGGGAACGGTCTGTTTGTTGTCGTTCTTACCACGTTGGTAAAGTGAATGCATCATCGCTTTGATGGAGATAGTTTTGCCTGGAGAATTAGTGCGGGAATCCAAGAGGCTGAAAGATCAACTAACCATTTCCAGGTGGTCCGTAATACAGAATTCCTCGCTGCACTTCAATTAGCACATCATATACGAAAGAGATATTAGGCGGGTACATCAGCATCAACAAGGAGAAGTCACAAGTGTGTCAAGAAAACCTATGCGGGCTTACCTTCCATGGCACCCTGAGCTTCTCATAAGTCTCTTTGTGGTCGAAGAAGTTCTCCACGTCTGAGATGATTGCTTTCTTCATGCCTTCGTCTAAGATCACATCACTCCACTGACTCTTCGCTACCGAATTCCACAGTTCACGACTTTTCTGCCACCAGCCCTGGTCGAACACCCAGACCTCATCATGGAGCTCAACGCCCCAAACAGTTGCCTCTTTGATCAATTCATTCACCTTGGGGCCATCACGTGTCAAAATATAATGCACAGTGATATCCGGATACGACGCAAACCCATCTCGACCATTGGCAATGTACAGTATGAATTCCTGATCTTTCCATTTGTATAAGTATTTCCCAAACAGGACCTGTTCGACTATGGCGCCCGCGCCATTGTCTAGTCGACGGCCCGGCGGGGCATAGGAGCGCCATTTGAGTGCAACGCCATAGACAGGGTCTTTTGAGGTATCATCGAGGGGAGTGGCTTTGGCATAGCCTGCGGAAGCATAAGCGATCAGATTAAGGGTACCTTGAGGTACAGCAATGATATCAAGATCGGGGTACTGTCGGCGGAGAGCTTCGACGATGACGGCATCAGTGTTGATGCGCTGAGCGGAAGAGTGGTGGAAGTACTCTCGGCTCGTCTGGTCTTCATTCGCATGGATGTTGAAGCTGTTGCCTGTCATGATGGACGACGTGAGATGTTGCTATGCTGAGTCACTCGAAAAGCGCTGGTCCGAAGCAAGATGGCTGGAGATTCGCAATGCAACGCAAAAGGCTACTACTCAAAAGACAAAGCAAGTGCACAGTACTGTGTCGAGTGAATGAATACCCGCGACGATAGCTGTGGTGTATCGTTGAAGGTGAGCTTGAGGGAGCTCCCCAGTCCATGTCATCATTGGGGCGGAGCCTATCGGAGATAGCTTGCACTGCCTCCCAATGGAGAAACACTTATGCCGATCAGCACGTGTCATTTACGTAACCTAAACCCAATTAGGCAACCATCATGATTTCCAGAACTCAACACCATGAAAATCATCGTGAGAAAGTTAAAGATGAGTGTTTCTCTGTTTATATATTTCTGTTGCCCTATATTTACTGTTTTCGAGGGTTACGGTCGAGTACCGGACCTCAACATTCTCCTCCTACGTACGCCAAGTATACCAAGCCGGAAGGATCAGCTAAGAAACGCCACAATACAAGCTTTATTTCGCAACACCTTAACATCACCCGATCAACTTTTCAATCATTGAAGGCTCACTTTCCTAACCTGAATCCAAACCTTCCATGGAACTTCTAGAAGAGACCCCGTTAGTTTGCGGCTCGTTGCGGAATGACTAACAAGCTGTTTACGAGGACAGCCACGACGCCTCACAAGGTCACCGTTGCGTCGCAAATAAACGTTCGCGTGGGTGGTAGCCCTATGACTTCTGAGTAAACATGATTTGCACATCGATCGAGTCCCTGCTTCCTGTCACTCCAGGAGCATTTTGATCAGGTAGACCCGGTGTGAATGTGTCCCTGCTTGCGACCAGCTTCCAGGTTCTAATGAAAGATCATGCCATCTCAAGACCGGCAACAAGGAGCATATAGAATCTACCTAGGTAATCTCGAGACACAACGAGTGGAGTCCCCGGATTTCTGTGAATACACCACATCTCTACTGCTGGATACGGTGATACCCCGCTCGCATCGCGCTCCGAGGACGCGGAAGTGGTGGTGGTGGAGAAGAGAAGATTTGTTTGGTGCAGTGACCGAACCCCGTCTCCACCAGGATCCGATGGCACCAATGCACCAGTTCCCACTCTTACTCCCCTTCCTTTGCTCCGTACCGTATCTCGGACGAGGAGTTGTACGAGTACCCGGGGAAGATTGCGTGATGTGGAGAACAGTGTGAGTTAGCGGACAGAGCTAATCATCCACGAGACTACGAGCTTTCCCTTTGCAAACCAATCGCCATTATTATGAAATCACGATACAAAACCGCCTATGATCGTGCCAAACGAGGCGATCATATGCTGTTAGAGACTTCGCCGCTTGAAAACTAAGTAAATCGCAGTCGCAAAGCTTTGCACTGTTGTGATAGTCGCCGTGATTGACCGCAATACTTAAGGGTCAATCATGGAGGGGAAACTTCCGACTGAGCGATCAGTGCTGCCCGTAGAGGTGCTAACAGTGGGAGCATCTTCACTTCCCCACAGGAAAGCAGGTTCATCGAGAAAGTACTTCGGAGGTGAGGTACCTCAGGTTCATGTCGTTCGAAATATTTTGATATTGCAAAAACATATTAAGCATGTCCATCTGCACCAGAAGGACGATTAGGCTAAAAGCGAGAATAACTTACGGCTGGATCGTCGGTGTACGAGACCTGGAGACCAATTGAGATCCCAACAAATACCCAACCACATGGAGACGTAAACGACAACAATTGCGGGGTCTCTCTACACAGTACAAGCACTGTTGAGAAGGATGCGAACGACAGAAGCCACAATGACTGTCAGTATCACCACTTGATGACCACCAAAAGAAGCTTTGTGGATGGTGCGCTTGGTCTTAGTCGTTCTCTGCATGATTTGAAATCGAAACGGGCGTGTTAAGTCCGGGACAATAGAAAACGATGAACGCTTCGAAGGGCAGTCGAAAGTATCAGTCTAAATCATGGCTCAGGAACCGGAGATTGGAGCACCTGGAATCCTCTCCCGCTGGACCGAATTGCGACAGGAGAAGCCTGTTCGCCGACCAGGACGGCGTGATCTGAGAGGTAGAGCGGGTGACCCAGTATTTCCCCATCTCCAGTCAAATCATCTCCAGGTTCCAGGGAGTCCGGCGCTCCCGGCTGCGCCGGCCCTGCAACTACCTCTCGTTCCCGTTGTGACACGCGATTTTTATGCACCAAGCTGATTGTATTTTTCCCAATGCCACGTTCAGATGACTCGAAAGAATTGTGGTTCTTTTGCGATCGTTCCAAGGGCAGTCAAACTATGCGATGTTGACATGAGGTGACATTATGAAATGTTGTTGAAGCGCAAAGTCAGCGAAGCGTGGCTGACGCCCAGCCGCCAGAAAGGCTTCTTTTCGCACCCTCGTCTGCCGGCTCAGTGCCGTCGTCTGCATGGCATCATCACTCATCTTCGATGCGCCGTGGCCACTCAATGCAGCCGTCTTTTCCGGCAAATCACGCTGTACATAGCCAAACTGTTCATGAACAAATATTGATGGCGGCTACATGGAGTATACACTGCAGTTGATCGTGAGGGGATACATCGAGCATCGACATAATGCAGGTTTTGCAGCGGAATAATACATTCCCTCGAAGAGCAGGCCGTCCCCTGCAAAAGCCCATTGTACAACTGCTTCCATAAATCATCCTCTTAACCCAGACAGTACAAGTGCTGGTAATGTAGATGTGTAACACCGCGTACGAGAAAGCTAGTGCCCCTATGACAGGATGACAGGGGTATCTATTTCTATGCAATGTGAAAGACGTCGCTAATCCTCTATATAGCTAGTAATGTGAGAAATTGGACGAGGTACGTACTGATAATTTCCTTACCTACATATTTCAGAATTCTAGGAGTAAATCGAAAGTCGACGTTGTTGTGTCTGTCGATATCACTATGATGCAAGTCTTGGTGGTGGATCGGCAAAGCTCTCGGCATAGACGTCAAAAACGAACGAGGCGTACTGTAGTCTCCATCCGTTTGGGCCCCCCAACTGCGCTTCTGAAAGATTCGCAGTAACAAAAGGTAGTTCGATCGGCTCATGCACTATCCACCTAGTCACTAGGCCTCCTTTCTCGGGGGTAGGGCAAGCATTGCAGCACTTCGCCTGGGGGCCTCGGCATCAATCACTCCAGCGCCGATCCACACACACTCCTCTCGTGGCTTACGCGCTCGATGCAAGCTTCCCGCCTGTTCATTCGATTGACGCCAGAGCTCTGCCGTCACTCCTTTACCCGGCCTGGAAAGGAAGACGGGGAAATCTTCTTGAGTAGCTACTCTGGAGCTTGTTTTGGCCTAATTAAGACACCTTGGTCTAGGGCTAGGGTGCAGACGTCTCTACCGTATGGGTCCTGGCACCGTCATGGAGCTCCCACGCCGGCCAGCCCCAGGAATATATGAATCTCCACTGCTCATATCGAGGGTCCTTCACCTTCTTTAAATTTCTTCTTCCCCAGTTTCTCCAGAAAACTCCACCTCTGTGAATTGGAAACCTCCAGCGGGACTTGTCTATATTTTGCTTCTGTCTGATACCCATTGTTCTTATACCCTTTAGTGATCCATCGTAATTATCACCAACATAATGGCCACCGCTACGGAGACTCAGGTATGGGTTCATTGTCCCTTGTACGAATGCTCACTCTCATTCTGACGTCGACAATAGCATACGACCGGCACTGCCGACCCAGCTTTCAACAGCAAAGAGGCCAATGGTACTGGCACCATTGATCATGCCCACCACCACGGCCATCAGCATCATGCAACGGAGAGGTCACCTTACGACTACGGAGGCAATCCATTGGCTCACTTCAAGACCAACGAACCCAATGCACGCCTCGCTGCCTTTGGTGGTGACTTCCAGCCTGGTCTCTATGCTCCCCCGAACCGCAAGTTCGGAAACCCAGCACCTCTTGGACTGTCAGCTTTCGCCTTGACCACCTTTGTGTTGTCTCTGATCAACGTCGGAACTCTTGATATTGCGCATCCCAATCTTGTTGTAGCTATCGCATACGGCTATGGTGGACTCGTTCAGCTTCTCGCAGGCATGTGGTATGTATTGACTGTTCAAACTCCTCGAATATATTCAATCTAACGACGTGATCAGGGAGATGGCCATTGGCAACACTTTCGGTGCCACTGCTCTGTCCTCGTACGGCGGATTCTGGATTTCCTTCGCCATCATTCTCACCCCGGGAGGCTTCGAAATCAAGAGCGGTCTTGCTGAGGAATCAGGCGGCGCTGCCGCATCGTTCTTGAACTCTTTCGGTCTCTACCTGATGGGCTGGTTCATTTTCACGACCATTCTCCTCGTCTGCACCCTCCGCTCGACCGTCGCCTTCTTCTCCCTCTTCTTCACTCTCGACCTCGCCTTCCTCCTCCTCGGAATCGGCTACCTCCAGAACGACGGTACGCACCCCAACAACGGCTGCATTGTCGCCGGCGGTGTATTCGGTCTCCTCGCCGCGTTCCTCGCATGGTACAACGCCCTCGCAGGTATCGCAGACAACAGCAACAGGTTAGTCTCACATTTCCCACACTCTACGAAGGATGCGATCCACATCGCACCGTACCCAATCTCGCTTCACGAAACTGTAAGCAATACTAATTACCTGATAGCTTCTTCGTCATCCCCGTGGCCCACTTCCCCTGGTCAGAGAAGGGACGCGAGCGCCGCAACAAGCTCGACAACCCCGACGCACACACTGCATAGATCAATGATCCACAGAGCGCGCGTGTGGTGGGACTACGTTAAAGTAAAAACTCCACACGCGATCGTCGCGTCTTGCTTTGCTTATGAACTCTATGGAGGAAATAAAATTCTGTTTTCCTATTTTGCTCGTTGCCTTTTGAGCCTTTTATTTTTCTGTTGTAATATGTTGCTCTTTCGCCGACTGAGAATATAGTCTGGACAACTATACTGTGTACGTGAATGGCATTTTTCAGCGCAAAGAGGGGAGGAGAGGATCAACCACCCCCCGGGATGTTGTTGATCGACCAACTAAATCGACCAGAGAAGTGCTTGCGACGCTAAATTCATACAAGTTGTGTTGTGTCGTCTCTTTTTTTCCTCTTTTCTAATTTTTCAATAGCGTGGGGCCGCGCATGGGTCGCCTTGAGGAACGCTGAGATGGACGATGTAAGAACGAACGACCGAACAGACGTTATAGTTTTGCGTGTGTCTCCACCAATGAGCGCTTCGGGAATGAAAGCATTTTTATGACAACGAACTTTTGTCGAATTTTGAGTACATTGATGTTGACGCATGCACTTCTATGCCTCTGTCCATAACTAATGCATTCTATGCCACATTTGATTCCAGATACACATTACAATCCCTCCCCATACGTTCAGCCCTCAGCCCTGCGCCACTTGCCATCGTACACACTATGTCATCGCATCATACATTCCTATTACCGCCCTAACCATTCCCATCCCCATCCCGATGCTATTCCCGCGTGGACGGCGAGGCGAGGCGAGGCGCCTGTCAATAGGGAAAAAGCTTCGTCTAGACTCTCTTGCACCCCGTCCACCTGGCATCTTACCCCGCAAAATAAGTCCTCCACAAACGCGCCAGGGAAAAAGAAAAGGGAATTGAGAAGGAGTGGCCAATGAACGTGGATGATTGGTTTCTGTGCGGTATGAATACGAGGGTGATGATGATGGTATGGAATTGTTGCAGTGAATTCCACCTCGTTTTGCGAGTATCTATCCTTGAGATTCAATGTCCTACACCATCCTTCACGAGTGATCGATTCGTCATACTATAAGTTACAATTGAACAACGTTAATCACAGCAACATACTTCGTAACAGTATCAACCCACCAACCCCCACAAGAGACATACCACGCCGACCTACTATGCGCCACACACAAACCGCCCAGCCCCATCTCCTCAGACCTACCTCTCATGACATCCCCCATTGCGATTCCCACAATCCCCATACCGTCCCAATCGGGCAAATCATGCATAATACACCCACTCCCTCGAATGAGCTTCGAAGTAGACTAGCCAGCCCAGTCACGCGTTGTAAGGTGACAGGCAGTATGACATCAAATCCTCCTCTACTGTTCTCGTCTATTCGTCTATTCGGGCCAAACAGCCTTTCGAATTACGTTCGTAGGAAAGTCAGGGGAGTTGAGTCAGGAGATTTTACTTATGCTTGGGGCTGTTTACGCGGCGGTGATGGATGGTGGATGGTAGCGAGGAGCGCATTGGCGGGAGGGGGAGCGGGCTTGGGTGTGACGTCGTTGTCGCGTGGTTTTTTGGCGTCTACCTACGAGTATGGATGGGGTTCTCTGGGGCTGGGAGGTGATTGGGTTGGGGGATTTTGCTTTTTTGAGTATGTGGGCGTATGGGGAATGTTGGGTGGTTTGATCGGGGATGGTGATGGGATTTTGGGTTTGTTGTGGTATGTCATGTGTGTGTAAGTGGATGAGTGTTTGTGGGGTTATATAGGGCTATCTTATGGATGGTGTAGATCTATGGGACATCAACTTCCGGACGCTTTTGCTTGGTATGACAGTCAATTATTGTTATGCTCATGTCAACGAGTGATGTCGGCTGAGATGTCTTTTTTGGCTCACGGTATCTCTCAATCAGATCTTTTGTAAGTTTTGGATCATGGCGATAGGTAGGTCATGTACATTCGAGATAATAAAACACTTTTAGCTATATCACGAATGCCACCTTATATATTCGAAATAATCAAATGTCTACATGTCATGTTCGAATCTTCCTTTCTATCATACAATCATACTGCTCATTCTCCCTGACTTCATGATCACGACTACGCGGCCTCCTTCTGCAACAATCGCTCTTCCTCCTCGGGAGTCCGCGTCTTCAACTGGAGGGCGTGAATACCCCCTTCTTGCGCCATTTCATCCTTCATGAGAGAGTACACCATCCGGTGTCTTGCGGGCTGCATCTTGCCCTTGAAGGCTTCTGAGGTTATCACGAGTCTGGTGGGTGGATGTCAGCTGACCCGTTGATTATCCCGAAGCAGGATCCTGTAAGTGGAAAAAGCATTGGGAAAACTTGTAGTCGTACCTGAAGTGTGTCTATAAGGACGTTAGCGATTGCTCGGTTCAGAGTGTATGAAATTTTTGGGTCTACATACCTCTTTGCTGGTCACGCCTCGCATTGCGGAATGATGTGCGTGTTTGTGCGAGTCGTTGTGGATCTCCAACGTTGTGGGCTTCAACGTCTCTGTGATCTAATGTAATGATTAGTGCGAATCCTTTCATCTCTCATCTAGCCCTTTGGCCTAGAAAGTTCAATACTTTTGCCCTCATTGCATCTTCCATTGGAGTCATTGATTGAGCCATGGCCGACATGTACCGCTTTCCAGCGAGGCCAAACCTTCTGAGTAGCATCAACGGTCTGGACTGGGTCTCGGAGAAAAAGTGAATTGGGAAGAATAAGCTTATTGGTCAACGGGGACGCGAAAGTGCTGGCGAAGATGAAGATGTGGATATTCGGATTGGCGATGGTTGAACATTCGGTGATAGATTTGCAAACCGAGCCGCGCGCCAAGCACCAACCAGGCAGTCGCGGGGATGTTTTAGTGACCTAGAAGACGATGCCATCATGACCTTTCGGATGCTCTTCAAGCATCAATTGCGCTCTATAATACAGGCATGAGACTCTCAAAACCAATTCACTGCATCTGAAATATCTCACATCAGCTACTCGGTCACTTGCAATAATCGATTGACTTGTCCGAATATGAGCAATCCCGGATTCCGAGAGCAGCAGCACCCTATCACTCCCACCCGCGAATAACGTCAGGGCAAGCAAGGCAAAGACCAGCAACCCTAGACGGCAAATCCATTCCCAACCCATCCCATCCCATCTCATCCCCCCACATCCCATACCGACGGAGCTGCCGTGCTCCGGATCTCGCTCGACTCGTACATATGCAGTCTCTCCCAATCCCTGGACCGGTCCCGTAATGTTCGCAGCCGCAAGATCTTCCCTCTCACGCACTTTGTTTAACCCTGCTGTTGCTGCTCGTTCATCGTCGCTTTCCTGCCTGCAATCGTTTCGCTGCGTTCGCGTCCATCCTCGTGCTTCACACTGCTACGTCTATAGCCCTCACTACGTCAGAATGGCTTCTACCCTCCCTCGCTTGCCCATCTTCGAAGCAATTAAAAACCACGATGGCCAGAGTACTGCAGTCGTGCATTCGCTCTCCGGACGCACATTCACCTACGGAGAATTGGTCAACGATGTCGCAGCCGCAAAGGATCTACTGCAGAAGAACACAGGAGGGAAGAGTGCTGAAGGAGAGAGGATCGCATTTTTGGTAGAGAATGGGTATGACTATGTAGGTGCGCATAGAATCCCCCCTTCCCCAAGAAAAATGTCATCTCAATTGAGAGTTTCGGAGCAATGCAATTGACGTATCTGTAGTGACTCTGCTTTCGATTCTTGCTGCGCACGCGATCGCCGTGCCGCTATCTCCAACTTTCCCAGCCCACGAATTGAGATATATCCTGGATCAGAGTGGATCGCTCATGTTGCTGTCGTCGGAGAAGTTCCAGGACAAGGCCGATGAAGTGCTGAAGGAGGGCATGGATACGGCGCCGGTGAATTACAAGCGGAATAAGATCATGATGGGCAAACAGGACGACTATGTTACGTTGGAAGAGCCCACGAGCGACAAGGGAGGAATGATGCTATATACATCAGGGACAACAAGTCGACCGAAAGGCGTACTGCTCCCACAAGAGGTCCTCACCGCGCAATCGCATTCGCTATTGGAAGCCTGGAACTACAGCAAGAAGGACATTCTCCTACATGTGCTACCCCTCCACCACATCCACGGTACAATTAATGCCCTCCTCACGCCACTCTTCGCCGGCAGCACAATCGAATTCCAATTCCCCTTCAACGCCGCCGCGGTATGGGAACGTCTCGCAGCACCGTTCCTCCCCACCCCGGATCCCTCGAAGAAACCCATAACCTTCCTAACCGTCGTCCCCACAATCTACACCCGTCTCCTCTCCAGCCACCAATCACTCTCCCCAGAACTCCAAACCGCATCCAAGACCGCCCTCTCCCCTTCCAATCTACGCCTCAACATCTCCGGATCCGCCGCCTTGCCCACCCCCGTGAAGTCAGCCTGGACAGAACTCAGCGGCGGCAACGTCCTCCTCGAACGCTACGGCATGACAGAAGTCGGCATGGCGTTGTCCTGCGGTCTGTCGTTCGCCGACCGCGCCGACGGCTCCGTTGGCTGGCCTCTCCCCTCCGTACAGGCGCGCCTCGTGGACACAGAGACAGGCGAGATCATCAAGGAAGGCGAGGAGATCGACCCAGCGACCAACCGCGAACGGCACGGCGAGATCCAGCTGCGCGGCCCCACCATCTTCCGCGACTACTGGCAGAACCCGGAGGCGACGGCCAAGGAGTTCGTCGACGACGCGGACGGCAGGGGGAAGTGGTTCAAGACGGGCGACGTGGCGGTGCGGAGGAACGTCGAGGGGACGGGCAAGTCGGATCAGGAGTGGGCGAGGGGGCCGTTGTATTTCATCCTCGGCCGCAAGTCCGCGGACATCATCAAGACGGGCGGCGAGAAGGTTTCCGCGCTGGAGATCGAGCGCGAGATGTTGTCGCTGCCGCAGGTGTCTGAAGTCGCCGTCGTGGGGCTCCCGTCAGAAGCGTGGGGTCAGAAGGTTGCGTCGGTCGTTGTGCTCAGCGAGGCTGGGAAGACGGCAGGTCGAGGCGGGAAGCCGTGGGGTGCGATGGACATGCGGAGGGCGTTGAAGGATCTGCTGGCGAACTACAAGATCCCGCAGGAGATGAAGGTCGTGGAGACGATTCCTCGAAACGCAATGGGCAAGATCAATAAGAAGCAGCTCGTCAAGGAGATCTGGGGCGAACCGCTGGAGAACGGCACCACAAACGGACATGCAAATGGTGCGGTACAGGTCCCTAATGGCAGCGTGTGAGGCATTCGAACATGTCTCACTGCAACACTACAGACGTGCTACACGAAGAACCAGACGAGGACTCGGAGGACTCGATATATAATTTGGTCACACCTCCAGCCGCATCACATCAACTGGAAGGTCCGATTCAATCTACCCCACACACCCGGACCCCATGTACACCACTCCACCCACTTCCTCAGCACTCAAAACATGTATTCTTAAAACAAGAAAATAATACATCAATTAGATATAGATTGTCATACTAAAAAAAACCCAACACCATTCGCATCTACTATAAAATCAGTCTTCCTGATCGACCAACCCATCCAAAGTCATATACACACTTCCCTATTTATCATGTTCAAAGCCATTAATCCTATCCATCTCCATAAAACAAAACACAGCCTCACAAAACACCTCCCTCCCTCCTTCCCTACATCTCACGAGGCTACGCTACACTACCTGCCTACCTCGTACACCCAACATCCCACAAGGCCCACCACCCTTCCCCTCCCCCTCCCCCGCACCGTTGCTTGCATCTCACGAACACCCAGCAACCGCCGAAAACGCGCGGGTACCTCCTGGCGCTCTGCCTTGCATTGCATTGCATCGCACCACACCACAACTTCCACCACCACCTCCACAACGCACGACACAGCATAACATATAGGGCTGAACCTTAACACTCCCTCGCATTTTCATTATAATCGCGGACGTGACCTAGACATTAGGTATTGTCTGTACATACATACATGTCAGCATGCGTTGCGTACCTCTCACCAAGGCATCAACATCCAATCTCGCCACTCGCGAAGTAACTGTCCGCTCAGTGTGCACCGCACAGCCTTAACACCCTTTTTCCTGCGCCCTTCCGCTGGGAGGTGAGTTGGGGTGTACTGTGATTTTGAGAAGTTAAGGGCAAGTAGGCAGCGAGGCAGCGAGGCGATGTAATGTAAGCGAAGCACGTGGAGTATCAAATATCCTTTGCATGTGTTTGGATAGCTTGGGGAATGTAGGCGACTGTTGTACGAGGTACTGGGTGCTGCTGTAGTAGTGGTGATTAGAGGGAGATGTAGATGGGGAGGTAAGTGTCACTAGAGTATTATAACATATTTGTATGTCAAGAAGATTTGAATTCAAGTTGCGATTTCGATTCCATTCCTCCCGTCGTAAATGCTACATCTCACCATTCATTACCAACCCATCATAAACCCAGAAACATGAAAAATCCCAATAAACCACAAAGACTGATCAAGCGGGGAGATATCACTGAAGAACCTCTCAAACCCTTCCCAAGAAAAAAAAACCAAGGCCAAAGCCAATCAAAAGAGGAGTGGGGAAAAAACACAAAAAAACAAACAAACGCCGGATGCAAGGGCTCCCAACGTCCCAACGCCAGATTATGTATGCTTATACACGACAGCTTTGCCCTGACCACCTACTCACCCACGTTCTCGTCTCACGGAGACGAGTGTGTGGATGGATGAGTGGATGGGGTAAGCTGCCTTTCACCATCGTTTCCGCCTCCTCTCCATGAGTCATGAAGGGCGAGGATGGGGTAAACGACGTGAAGAAAAAGAAGGAGACGAGGGCTTATTGATAATACCCAGCGTTTCCCGCCGATGTCGAAGTGTTGGGGTCGTTCGACGGGCCGCCGCCGTTGTGGATGACGGGGGGTTTGTTTCCGTAGCGGGATCCTCGTGAGGTGGAGGATGCGGAGTTGGCGTATATGCTTGAGGCCGAGGAGCTGCATGTGTATGCTGGAGGGATGTTAGTGGTTTGGAGGTGGTTGAAGGGGGTGTTGGGAGAGGCCGTACAGATTGTCGAGCGCGGGGACGACGAGCGTTGGCCGTAGGCGCCCTTGTCGTGCGTGCTGGAGGAGCTGTATGATGTGCGGGACGACATTGTTGACTGTTTTGCGGGCGTTCGAAGGCGTCCGGGAAGATGGCTCAATTCGAGAGTGATCAGGGTTGGAAGTGATACTGTGATCGAATAGTAGGCCTTGAAGTTATTCCTGGAGCTGTGGCGGGAGCAAAGGGCGGTTGACTGATCAAAGATGGAAGCTGTGATCTGAAGGATTGATTGTTGACTAGAGATATGACTGTTCAGACGAGAAGATATATGAATCAGAGTGACTCAAGACTGAAGATTGAAGACTGAAGTTGAAGGTGTGGAAAAAAAGAAAGACATGGCCATTGAGGCGTCCGATTTATACGTCTAGGCAGATACCTGAGGCCGGTAGCATGGTGGCTCCAAGGACCGACTGTTCAGTCCCTCTTCGGAGAACTCCTAGAGCAGAGATGGCCAGGAACTTGGGTGCCTGGATAGCCAGGACAGCATCCAGCGAGTGAATGTCCAGGACCTTGATGAATCACTGAGGCTATGACCTACCCGGTCAAGCCTTAAGGCAGTAATCGCCAGGGATGATAGGCTGCACCATTCGCAGCACACGCCGGCAAGCCGAAAACAGTTCGCCAAAGAGTCATCATGGGCAATTTGGGGTCATCTGAAGACGCGCGGAACAACAGTTCGGTCGAGATGAGTCGGCGTCGGCACGGTGGGTGGACGGGTCCGTTCGAGGAGCGATGACTGCGACCTGCAAGGCACATCAGGCAGAACCAGTGACAGGGTGGGTGGAAGGGTGACTGTCGCCGCGCGCCAGGCTGAAGCTTCTGGTGAATTCAGGAATTGAGTGGGCGAAGAGCGCAAGCAGCAGACGTCGTAAGTCACCGGAAGTCCAAAAACGGGACAGCGTGGGGGCTGGAGAGATGGATGCCTGAAATCATGGTGATGGGCGAGGGAGGTAGGGTAGCGGCAAGACCCCGAATAGACCAGCAATAACGACGGAGGACTGAGAGACGCGCGATGTTGGAGAGAAATGTCGGGAGGCGAAAGAGAATGTGTGTTGGTGTAGGAGAGATGGAAAGGCCGGAGGGTTACAGAAGGGCGGTGATGAATGTCATGGCGGGGGAGGGGGAATGATGGGGGAGTGGACATGGGTGATGGATGACACACGATCTAATGGGGGGGATGGAGAAAGCAACCATGTCCAAGCGCTTCCTGCAAGCCATGTCTTGTTATTCAACCATTCATCCTTCTTTCCCTCTCTTTATTTATCCCAAGGGAACACAGAATGGGACAGGATCTTGCGTGGCCCATCGTATCGACGAGGTACGAGGTAACGCAACACACCCTAAGTCGTGCATCGCATCATCTAGTTAGCACCTGGGAATGATCCGAGAGCACCAGCCTTGTATTACATTGGCAGCAGTAGGTTACTACCGGTTCGCATCTCTCGCCTTGTCTCTCGAGCATCAACCCCTGAAGACTCGGTGCAAGGCTTGCCCTGTCGGATGCAAGCGATACAGAGCCACGGCCCGGGTCCACCCACTTCGGGTCCTACCTGTTCCTGCGCAGGTGAGCATCGTTCCTGTGTCCGAGATTGGACGATTCATCGACGACAATATGCGCTCTCGCGCAGATGACAAGTAACGACAAACCGGTGAGTATTGACGTGTCAATGACTGTCCCTTCAACTGCCTCGGTGCTTCCGATGTCATCTATTCTCATCACCCAACTTTCACCTGCAGAAGCGTGTTTCCGCCCCCAAATCGCAGTCACAAATTCGAAGATGGGAACAGTACCGAAGGTGAACGAGATTCATCATTTCAATTGGACTGGACGATGACGCGTATGGATCCTTCTTGAATTCCTGTCGTGGGTATCATTCCTCCTGTTATCGCCCCCAGGGTGTCTTTCTTTACCCTCGCTTCTGTTCTAATCCCAATATTTCAGGACGCCGTCGAGATCACCCGTGATAAGCTTCGACGTCTCCCTTGGATGCCATTGCACAGCCAAGACCGGGGAATCGCTTGCCTTAATCTTGTGGTACATCTTACACGTCTTCCAGTCCCAGAAACAAACATAGCCTCCGCTGTCTCCAGAGCTGACGAATTGTCCATCGGGACTGATGGCCACATCAGGCGCGTAACCAGCAACGTTGTGGCCCCTATAGCTCTTCTTACGGTTTTGGCGGAATCGGTCAGTGGACGAGTACACCACGATCTGATTGTCAGAGCTCTGGAAAGCCATGTACTTGCCCGACCTAGTACAAAATTAGAGAAACGCTATAAATAGATGATTCCAAGAATAGGACCACTTACGGATGGGGCGAAGAGCGGACCATAGCAAACATATCCGCTTCTGCAATGAACTTGATCGGGACGGGGATTCCATATTCCCAAGCTCGGAGGGACTTGTCATCTGATGTTGTGACGAATCGTCGGTCCTGGTGGATGTCAGCATGTAGAGGATCAGAGGTATGCAAGGCGAACTCACTTCATCACAGAATGTGATTGTATTGACGGGCCCCAAATGATGATCATATTCCTGCACGAGTTCTCCGCTTCGGGTATCGTATTGTAAGATCTTCTTATCGCTCATTCCAGCCAGGAACTCATGGGGCGAAGACGGGTTGATACGGACGACATGGGGTGTCTTTCCAGTGGTAAATTTGTTGAGACATTTGCCCGTCTCGGTGTCCCAAAGCTTCATGAAGCGGTCATAACTTGCGGAAATGAACTGGGTACCGCTTGGTGCAAAGTCAATGTCGTTGACCGATTTCTTGTGGCCAGAGTACGTCCGTAGCAGTTCACGATTATGGTACGCATCCCAGATAGCAATCTTAGAATCTGCCGATGCCGAGAGAATAAGATGCCCCGAATCTGGAAAGAACCTGGTCTGTGTAATCGACTTGGTGTGATATTTGAATGTATGTATGAGTTTCTTGGGGTGGAAATTCTTGACGTCCCCGCGGTCTCCCGTGAGCTTGATGTTCAGATCTGTAAAAGTTAGATTTGCCCCTTCAATTCTGCCATTGTGTAATCAACATACCAGTTGGAACGTGCATGTACGTCCTGCCTTGATAATCGTATTCCTGGCTTCCCACGAATTCACTCGTCTCGCCCTCAGCCTCGGTGTCCGCATAATCAGTACCCGCAAGCTTCTTTGGCGCCGCCGTGGGGTTCTCCTCTATGTCATCCTCCTCATACACAATCTCGATTTCCTCGTCATCTCCAAACTCATCGTCCAACGCAGCGTCCGGTCGCTCTTCCTCGAACCTTGCCCAAGGGCCCTTGTAAGCTCCGGCGCCAGACATTATGCTGGAATCGCCCTTTTTCTCCCTTTTTCTCTTCTTTGATTGCCCATTGTTGCCTTCGATCGATCGGTGTGCTTGTCGAAAGCTAGCTTCGCTGATGTACGTTTCGGCTGCAAAACCGGTGGGAACTTTGCCTGCGCCCGCCATATTGCGACGAGTTCACCGGAATCCAGCTACAGATTAGCTGAATATTTTGACAACACGTGAATGCTGGTCGAAACGCTGTTGTTGGAAATTTGGAGGGCAGTTTTAAAATCGCAAACTATGATAGAATTGGAGGTCCAGTGCCAAGACCCATAGGTAACTTGAAAAGCAGGCAGCTACTAGCACGTGAGTAATCGATGCTTTTCGAGACATGCTTTATTATTGCACTTGCACATGCTTCTACAAGCCGTAGTTGATTGTGTTATTTTAGATTAGTGGCTTTTGGAGTCCCAGAAGAACCTCAGGTTTCAAAAATTAATACACAATTACGCATTTACAACTAGAAGCTTGCTATCATAGCCCGTCTACACGTTAAAACGTAACGCTTATTTCGCCCGCTGACGTGACACATAATCCGGCATTCCTCCCTCACGTAGATATGCCCAGCTCTTATCGTCTTCTAAATGGTATAGCTTCTCCCTCTTCCGCCCTTCATGCTACCGCCTAACGCCCCCGGTTCGACATTTCTTCACGAAATGTCTTGATCTTCCTCGTTTGTTTGATCGATTTCATACGTTCCAAGGAACGGTATAGTCAGTTGAACATCTGGTTATTTGCCGCGGAGATGGTTGCACGTGCGAACACATCTAGTGAGACTCGTCGCGGATAAGGGCAACGATCATGCTGTAGAGGTAGAAGAAGAACATGATCAGATGGAAACCCAACTTGATGAATGATTCCTGCAAGGTGTTAGTCTTGATCTAGGCTCATGGTTGTTATTCAGCGCTATCCGCTTATATGGAGTTGACAGCTTTGTGGGAAAGCTGCAGAGAGCTCGACAGGGAACCACTCTTCTCCAGAATTTGCCGCAGCTCTCTTTCCCACAAAACCAGCATCGCCGAATATTCGCACTAGGGGTATCTGATTGAAAATGAGGGTCCACATGCCTTCTTGTGTACATTCAACTTCCTGAAGATCTCAGTAGCATCCAAAAGATGTTGGTTCTCGAAAATTCTATCGGAAATCAGCTATGCCCGCAGTTAATATTGCGATTTCTATGTCTCCACATACTTCTTTGCGTTCCAAGCGAGGAGCGGCAGGTTGAGAATGAGCGCGATCCAATATCCGTTGATAAGGAACAAAAAGGTCAAGAATCCGTGCACGGCAGCTTCGGGGACGATGTAGGTGTTGAGGCGGTTGCAGAGATCAATAGGGTTGATGTAGTCGCTGCTTCAGGTCAGAATACATTTGCGATTTGTGTGCGGAGGAGGCGGGTGAGGCCCGAATGCGCCGATATGGCCGACTTCTCGAGTCTCGATCCCAGGACGTTGCACTCACCATTCCAAATCGCTGTACATGATAGTGAAGAAGACCTGAAGGAAGAGATTGACGGCGTTTATCAGCACCGCCAACAGGTACAACCATGCTTCTCCAGACATTATGGCGTTTTATGTGCGGCGTAGTTGAGATGAATTTGATTCGAGAATTCGAGGGAGATGGTTTGGAGGTTGTAGAGAGCTCTGGCGCAAGCAGTCAGTTATCAGTGTGTGGGATCAGATGTCAAGAACGATCGTGTGGTGCAGGTTTGTCGGGCTAGGCGGGAAAGCGAGCTAGCAGGCGGCGGGGTGTAGCAGGTGGAGCATACTTGTACAATGACGTAGAGAATCTTAATATACGGCAGAAGCACAGCGAAATCGGGCGGCGTAGCTAGGTGTGTTGAGCTCTGGATAGAGGAAAGGAGGAGAGGCTGGAGGATGTATTTGAATGACGTTTGGTACGAGTTGAAGTGCAAATGCACCAAGGTTCGACTGGGCAGTTGTTGACCGGGTGGATGATGGCCCATGCACATTCTCGCTTCCGCGAACGGATTAATCTACTTCGGGATACAGCCTCGTCTGGCCTGGCCTGGCCTCGCTGATGGATGACCATGCATGTTGGCTAGGTAGTTACTCGTACGAGTATTGTGGCAATGGAGTTGGATATTGTGTTAGCCCTCTTCACCTGATAACCATGGCGATTTTATGTAGCTATTTATCTGCACAGTAGGCTTGGATTTCACACAAGACCATCATATGTACGTTGAACGACAAGCTTTCATCATTTCGTTTCGTTTCGGTTCGTCTATTCAGTTTCAAGATGTCTATATCCGTTACACAATAGTCCAAACAGAAAGCCCGGTAATTGAACAGGCTAATGCGAGCTTAATTCAACTACATATTGCCATGCACGGAGTTGGGGGATATCATGATGCTTATGTCAAACCTCAGAAGAATGTTCGCGGACGCTCTGTAATCGCCATTCAAGCAGCCTCGCCATTGGCAACTGGCATTGGCACAGCGCCTCCGGGGGAATCTGGAAGCCTTGCAGTAAGAATCTCGACACCATCTTCGGTAACAAGAAGAGTATGTTCTGTTATATGTTAGCCGAATGCGGGTATAACCACCATCGTAAAGAAACTTACCAAACTGCGCAGTCCGAGTGCCGTCCTGTGTAACACTGGTCCAGTCGTCAGGCCAGGTCTTGTCTCTCCAGGTACCTAGACTGATCATGGGCTCAATAGTGAAGCATTGTCCAGGTTTTGCTTGCCCGATAGCCTTGTTCTTGGCATAATGTGGAACATTAGGAGCGCAATGGAAAAGTTGGTTGATGCCGTGGCCGCAGTAGGTCTTGATCACACTGCACTTCTTGGTCTTCGCATGCGCCTCAATGATGTTACCAGCATCACGGAAGAGCATGCCCGGCTTGACGATATCGATGGCCTTATCGAGACACTCACGTGCTGTCTCTACAACGCGCACGGAATCAGGATCCGCCAATGCCTTGTCGCCAATGTAGTATGTCTCGTTCAAATCGCCGTGGAAGCCGCCGTGATAAAGGGTGACATCGATGTTCAGAATATCGCCATCTTTCAGGACTCTCTGATCGGGAATGCCGTGGCAGATGACCTCGTTTGGTGACGTGCAAACAGACTTGGGGAAGTGGCAGTAGTTAAGAGGCGACGGGTAGGACTGTTCACAGTGAGCTATTTCAGTTCACATACCATTATCATATTGTTTGTTCTTACGTCTCGCTCTAAGCAGGCCTTGTGAACGATCTCGTCGATGTAGTCGGTCGTAACACCAGGCTTCGCAGCCCTGGCGGCAATGTCGAGAACCTCGCGCGCCAATCTGCACACCGTGCGCATTCCATCCTGCTCTTTAGGTGTGAGGACCTTCACATTGTGCCTGCCAATGATCTTCTGCTCCGAGTATGGGATGCCCTTCTCTGCGTAGTCTGGATGTTGTATGCTCGCGGGGACCTCTCGTCGAGGCGACAGTGGGTATACGGGTCTGAGGCTTCCAGTGAAGGAGAATTGTGGGAAGGGGTTGAAGTGACCGGTAGCTGGATCCGGGTGAGAAACGACCTTTGGTGTGAAGAAGTTTTGGAGAATACTACTTTGCGACTTGTGGAGCTTCTTGTGTTCGGCCTGCGCAAGCGTGTTAGTATTGCTGGATCTTGGTGTCCGAGGTAGTTTTCTGCAGTATTTACCCAGTTACGCTTGAAACAGTCTTGTGAACAGAAGAAACTCTCTTTGCCAATCTTCTGGCAATTTGGGCACTGTAGCGAGCTCGCCTCGTTGTCGCAACCCAAACATTTGCGCGCTGCTGCTGGCGCGTCGGTGGCCATTTTCGGGGTATTTTAAGGGTAGGAGTGTGTAGAATATTTGAAAACGTAGTATAAACGCTTCTCCAGGAAAGATTGTGGTTTTATCCTACTGCGTAAGGTGACAACGATATGCCGTACTCCGCTAGCCAACGCCCGGAAAGTTTTCTGTAGTGCGGAACGCCGACCGAGAACAACGGAGTCGAGACGAACGAGACCCGCGCGCCACAGCTGACATGATTGGCTGGACTCTGTGTCTGCTAACTAATAATGATTAGTCATGAAATCGACAGATGGGTTTGCGACATCGCGAAGGAAAGTGGGATGTCACGTGAGAGTCCCTTCTCTCCACCCATCCGCGATTGCGGTCATACATTCTCCCGTTCTACCGATTTCTATTCATCTGTCATCTCTTTGGAAGTCATCTGCCTTTTTTCTTTTGAGCAGAGTTAATCCTCGTTTGCTCCGTTTTCGCTTCATTCAATTCCTATGTCCCAGCCTTGCTAGTCCTCGAGGAACGCGGAGGAGCGACCCTTTCCGCTGTTGTACACTAACAATACTTTCGATTTTTTTTCTTAGACATTGACACATTGCGTTACCGTAAAAGTTTCCCAAGCAACATTGAATCCCAATAATCAATCGCAAACATGCCGGAAAGATTTATTGTCGTAGGCGCTGGGCCTGTAGGATCTCTAGCTGCTCTGTATGCAGCAGCGCGGGGCCACATTGTAGAAATCTACGAATTACGACCTGGTATACCAACCCCACCAGTTCTGATGTCGGCAAACGAACTCAAATCTTATGCATGGATGCTTACCTCAAGGAAATAGATCTACGCGATCCCCAAACCACTCCTCTGAACTTTGCCAAGTCCATCAACCTGGCGCTCTCAGAACGAGGCATCAACTCTCTGCGAGAAACCGCCCTGCCCGAGATTGTGGAGTCGGTCCTCTCGGAAACCTTTCCCATGCAAGGCCGCATGATCCATGTTCAGAAGAATGGCAAATACATCCGTGAGGCCCAATTGTACGATGCTCGCGGCAAAGTAAGCTCGCCCAGCCAATGGCTCATACTCACGTCACGTGCTCACCAATTCACCTTCCTAGAAACTCCTAGCCATGGACCGAACGGGACTGAACACTGCCCTTTTGGACCATCTGGAATCTATGCCCAACGTCACCATCCACTTCTCCCACAAGCTCACCGGCATCGACTTCAGATCACGCACAGCATGGTTCGAACGCCAAACCACGAACGCCGCTCGCGCCATCGAAATCCAGGTCGGCTTCTCCTTCATCATCGGCGCGGATGGCGCCCACTCCGCCGTCCGCTACCACATGATGAAGTTCGTCCCGATGTCGTACCAACAACAGTACATCGACAAACTCTGGTGCCAATTCCACATCCCGCCGTCCGAAACCACAGGAGACTTCCGCATCCCGCCCAACTACCTCCACATCTGGCCGCAAGACGAATCCATGTTCATCGCGCTCCCCAACCTCGACAAATCCTTCACCGCGACCCTCTTCTCCACCCGCGCCAACTTCCAAGCCCTCGACACCACCACCGACATCCTCGACTTCTTCACCACCAAGTTCCCCGGCGTAGTGCCCGACCTCATCTCCCCCCTCGAACTTGAAGACCAATACAAGTCCAACCCGCACCTCCCCCTCATCTCCATAAAATGCTCGCCCTACCACTACTCCTCAACCGGCGTCATCGTCGGCGACGCCGCACACGCCATGGTCCCCTTCTACGGGCAAGGCATGAACGCGGGCCTCGAAGACGTCCGCGTGCTCTTCGAGATCCTCGACCGCCACCCGCCCAACCAGCGCGCAAAAGCCCTCGACGAGTACTCCCGCCAGCGCGTGTCAGACGCCCACACAATCAACGACCTCGCGCTGCGGAACTACGCGGAGATGGCGACGGACGTCAAGCGCCCGCTGTACCTCGTCCGCAAGTGGATCGAGGAGACGCTCGACCTGTGGGTGCCTGGGTTCGGCTGGGCGACGCAGTACTCGAGGGTTACGTTCAGTAATATGAGGTACTCGGAGGTGCAGGACCGCGCGCAGCGCCAGGCCAGGATATTGAATGGCGTCGTTGGGTTGGCGCTGGCTTCGGCGGCGGTGTCGGGGGCGTTTTTCGTCAGGGCGGGTGGTGCCGAGAGGGTCAAGATGGGCGTTTTGAAGAGCATTTGCTGGGTTGCGAGACGGGGGTCGGAGTTGCTGCAAAGGGTTCAGGGATAGAGTCTTCACCTTCATTGGTTTCTGTATAGTACGTTATGTATGCATGTAATTGTTGGACCGGGCGGGGCGGACGGAGTCTGTCAGAGTCAGCATAGCAAATGGCGGGATGTTTGATATGTAAATCGTAGAACCTTTTCCTTTTCCTTTTATCTCATCACGCATATTTTCCTGTACAATCGATCGATCAATCATCCATCATATTTCCTTAAACACTCACGTCATTAGAATTCCAAAAGACATCGTCATCTATAACGTAAGAGAGAATCGTAACATATGTATACATTTCAGCCTGTCCCTTTAGTGGTAAAGTACGATACAAGGTGTCGACCCTTATATTTAGCCGTATGTTTCGAATGACAGAGAGAGGGGGTGTGGGTATTGAAAGAAAGTACAGGCAGCTAGCTACATTGAAACCCGTTCTATTGCTTTTTCGTCCCGAACGGGGACTCAATTGGGTATCATGATAGAGGTAAAACAGCTTCCTGAGGGAAGCATGGGAATAGATAATACATGTGAAACACCGCCCAGCAACACCCCGCAAATGCAACAAAATCGTCTTGAATCGAACTCGAGAAAATCCTAAGACGCACATATTGTACGAAGCGTAAAGATTCCGGAAGGACATGTTCGTAAGGAATGCTACTTGCCCTAGCAGCGATCGTGTGACCAATCCAGCACATTGAAGTTTCTTTTCTGCTCGATGGAAGGTCTTGATGCCACATTGTGGGGGTGATCATCTTTCGTTGCCTAGAGGAACGTTAGTCACGTTCGAAGGGCATATTTATTGGATATCGTCATCTGTACTTTCCTTCATCAAGCCGGTGAAAGAAGTCAGTCTCTGAAAGCCGAAGGAGAAGTCCCGGAATGCGTTTCCGGTCGATGAGGCCTCCGGCAGCAGTTCAGATGCAGTTGCGTCTTGTAACGACACATTTGCTGGTTGACCTCGACTAGATGAACGATGTCCTTCTTGCCTCGCGGCGGGGGAGCTATATACGTTTGGCTGTTGTAGCCTCAGATTCGATCTCAATTCCGAAGCCCGACCGTGTTGGAGCTTTTGTCCGGCAGATGGTGAACTATACATGGAGGGCGTACCCGGTTGGCTGGGTGTCCAAGGAAGACTGCGTCTAGTCCTGGGGGATCGCTCCGATGTCATTGGAACCCGTAACTGTTCTGACCTCGGCAGGCTGTCCTGTCTAGCCATCGGAGAATATACGGCGTCGTTCCCAGATTGCACACCATCTTCTTTCTCCAGTTCTTTCGTTATATTTGCTGGCAGGGGGAGTCCAGCTGTACGGTATTCCGATATTGCAATGCGCTCATCCCAGTCGATCTTGTGCGGGGTCACGACGCGTTCGAGCGTATCGACGTCTTTCACAACCCCCTTCTTGTAGATCACGTCCTCTATAGTGTTCTTGTAGAACCGATGGTATGGCTCAATGTCTTCGATATCATTGTCGTCCGCAATCCATTGCTGCATAAATTTCTTGTAATCTGTTCGGTGTCTGATCAGGTAGTCATCCCACTGATACTTAGGTACCATCTGATCACGTTGTTCTAGCTCATACATCTCTGTGCATAGCTTGGTGAAGTGCTTCAGATCTGCCTTGTATTCTGGATATGCTTTCTTGAATGCTTCATAGACAGCATTCGAAGATTGCTGTTGTGTGGATGGCATAGTGGTCAGCAGGCTAGATACACCTTCAGTAGGCTTGGCAGGATGAGTGGGCAGCTGAACTTGTCGTCTTGGTTCGGGGGTTGATGGTTTCTGTGCCGCTGGTACTGAAGGTGCTCTGCTATCACCTGGTGGGTCAAAGAATATAGGAGAGCCCTCTTCGATGTTTCCTCCTGGAGAATTGTATACAAAGCTGTCACCTGTCGCGTGAAGGGTCCTAGGAGTAGACCGGATCGGGTGGCCATAGGGGCGAGGGGATGCACTTGGGCTGTAATCAGGATCGGCGGCTTGTTGCTTGTTTTCCACATTTCGCACTGACGTCGTGATCGTTCGATTCAGTTCAGATTCCATATCAATCTGCATGACGCTCTCCGAGTCTTCAGGTTGCTCCGATCCATTTGCATCTGGCAGAGTGACCGCGCTGATATGTCTGATGCGGTCATCCCTGATCCTGTCCGTCGCAGCCTTCCTATCCTCGTCAAAAGACTCGGCCAACTCTTGAGTGGGAGGTGGCCGCGACTTGAAATCAAGTAGACGGACCTTAATCTCTTTCTGTCTCTTCTTTGCTTTGTGAAAATCAGATTTTGTTGGGGATTCGGAAAGCTTTCTCTTGGACAAGATGTCTTGGGCATTGGCTTTGGATGTATCAGGCTGATCCGGTGATACTCTTTCGTCGGAATGAATAACAGGAGAGCTCCTGGCCACTTCAATATGGGAGATGGTATCGGCCTCGTTATTGTGAATGGGCACTTCATTCATGGCCAGATCCTCGTCAATATCCATGTAATCATCCGCATTCTCATCGTCGACAGCCTGTTCCGTGCCTGGAGCAGGGATGAGTGAAACATTCTCGTGAGACGAAGACGGTTCTTGATAAGTCCCAGGAACGACCGAGGTAGAAGACGTGTTCTTGGTTTCTCCACTCGAGTCGTGGTCTGGTGCAGACGATGTGTGGCTGGGCTCATTAGTAGTAGTGCCAGTTTTCGCCTTTGAGTAAGGGGTTTCCTTGACTTGGATTGTGGCTTGTGGGATTGATTCCTTAGGCACACCTTGGTCCTGCGTCTTTATGACAGGTTGTAAGCGGCCGGAGGCTTGTATAGTGTCTTCACCCAAACCTTGCGGTACTTCGAGCACCATGTCTTCATCATTATCCGATTCGATTGGAGGTACACCTGGTGGCGATGATGCAGGGGGTAGCACATCTATAGGGGTTGGGACCGAGGGAGTACGTGGTGGTATGCTTTTTTGATTTATGCGCTCAGCCTCTCGCGTCTGTATGGATGCCTCAAAACTAGAGTCCGGTGGAAGCGCCGGTCTGCGTATCTGAAGCATCTGAGGCATTGGTGGTGCCTCGGGGGGAGGTGGGGATGACGACCAAGGAATAGCGCTCGAGGGCATATCGTCAATTGATTCGTCATCGTCGTCACTATCATCATCGATGACCATTGCTTCCGAGCCTTCCATGTCCTCGTCAATATCAGGCTGTGCACCTTGATCATCGTCATGGTCTGCTTCGTCGGAAGTTGGGTCTTCCTCAGTAGTTTCTTTTCCTTGGTCAGAGGCGGCAATCTGTTCAGCAATTTCATTATATATCTCGATCGGTATGTTGCCCACAGGATATCTGGAGCCTGGTTCCGGCTTGTGCCACGTCTGAGGCATAGCCAACAACTTGGCCTGTTCTCTCGAGACTTCCGTAGTTGTAGCATTGAAAGTCCAACCCACCATCCATGCTGGCTTGAAATGGGCGTCACTCGGAACGGTTGGTTGATCTAGGTTTCCATCAACAATTTGATCGTCGCCTGATGTAGAGTCACAGTCTGGCTTTTGTTTGCTTGCAGGATCCTGATGGTTTGAGTTTGGCAATGATTCAGTGTCCTTGGCTAAACTCGCCTGACCCCCGTGTGGTTGTTCAACCTTGTTATCTGGGATTGAGGCTCGAGATTCATCTTTTGGATTAGCAGACTGCTGGCCTCCAACAGGTGGCTTCTTGTTTCGTTCGAGTAGCGCAAGCAAAGCAGTCTTCCGGTCGCTATCTGATCTTGGTACCTGCGCATGCTGAGACGGCTGCACCTTCTCGGCCGTCGCCTCGGTCCCTTTGGGCTTTCCTATAGTTCCAAGGGACGTGTTATTGTTGAACGGCACAGATTGCGTACCAAAGTATGTCGTATCATTCTGAGTGGTAGAGCCCTGAGTGCCGATTGAGCTCACATCAATGTTGCGTTCGTTGTTCGACTTTTCACGGCCCATTTCGGCATCTGGATCAGGCTCCTCCGTACGGAAAATCCTCTCTTCTGTTTCCCTGGTCTCTTTTAATTTCTCCAAGACTTTCACAATGATCGGGTTCGATACCAGGGGCTGGAGCTCGTAAGCGCCAATGACATGGAGACTAAGCGGTTCAAGATCCGCCGCGTGAACGATGAGACGAAGTGCTTGATCAGACGGGCCCCAGGAGCTCCACCTGATAGAGAATTTTCGGATGGAGAGAATGTGCTGACTCTCTAGCACACTACTGGACGACAGCAATGGGTAGCGAGCGGCGAGGTCTTGCAAGCACGTAGGTGTGACATTAGCTTCGACGAAGTATTTACCATCAGAGAGCCGAAGTGGAGATACCTAATCACGGACGAGTTAGACATTGCATTTCAAGACGTGTTCTGATTGATAATTTACCTGTGAGATTTGCAGACGAGGATGCTTGCCGGGTTCCAATTCTAAAGGTGTGACGTCGAGGAAGCTTCCACTATCTGCGTACAGCCCCGACCACACGCCTTGTGGCTCTGGGGGAAGGCCTTGCAGCTTCCGTTCAATGCGGGTTTGTAACCAATCTCGGCCCTGGTGTAGCTCAACGGGAATGTCGTTTACGAGCCAGGGTTCGAGGACATCTTCCATGAGAGGCGTCGCGTGGGAGTGCAGTCGTCGCGTCGCGTCGAATTAGTGGTCGCTCGGTACTGGGACAACCACCGGTACCAGGGCTGCAGGACGACAAAGGAAGGTTAGTGAAACCATCCAGAAGCAAGGCGTTGGGCGAGTTATGGTAGAAAAGTGAGAATAGGGCGAATAATAGGACGAGCTCCCAGCACAACAGCTTGCCAGCAAGGAAAAAGAGTGTGATGTGAGTGTTGAATGGATTTATTGCATGTTGCCAACGTCGAAGGTCGCAATTGCTCCAGTTCGGTTTTTTGGTGGGTCGCGGGGAAGTGGGCGCTTGCCATGAGTGCACGGCATTATTTACCTAAACCTATTTCAGTTAGTTGCATATTGAACCATCTTGTAGGGGCTTCATTAAATGCTTCACTAAATGAGGTTCAGTATGTTCAGTCTATTACAAAATACCGACGGTTACCGACAGTTTTGTCCGCATTGTTATCATCTACGGGTATTATCAACAAACCCAAATATCAAGAGTATCTCTAACTATTATCTTCCAAGCACTTTGGTAGGTAGGTAGATAATTATTCCAAGCAAGATTAATATCACCAAAAATAGCTGCGGTGTTCACAGCAGATTTTGTGCCATCATCTTCTTGATACTAGAAAACAGCATTATGCAAGAATCTAGAATAATAGAAACTTGGATTATAGGTACACTGTAAGCATCAAATAAAGGTGTTACAAGGAAACGAGGAGGGGTGGTGGTCGTGGTGGTCGTGGTGTGTAGAAGGATACCATTTCCATCGGACTATTGGTTCAATATGGACGTTGTGTGTGGTGCTGGTGTGTGTTTTATATACCCAATGTTTCGATATAAATTTATTTATCTACCTAATTCGATCTATCTATCATAAATCGTCATCATCATATCCACCTTACCCAACCAAATCCACCACACCCACCATCATCCCATACCTCCAACCAAAAAGCCACCCTCAAACCGTGTAGTTAACCACTCAGAAGCAAGAAAGAAAATAAAAATACGAAAAAGGGGGGTATCCATCTATATCAACCATTCACCCATCCTTCCACCAAACCCAAACCCAAACACAAAAAAGGAAATTCAAACCAAAAATCAACTCGAATCAAACGCAAAAAGAACACCCACAGAGAGGGTTGAGAGATGTTGGGTCTTTGATTAGCGGTAAAGCCACCCCCCCTCAAATCTATTCCCATAATAATCCTCCTCCCCCTCCTCCCCTTCCCCACCACCTTTCCTCCTAACAATCGTAACCCTCCCGTCCCAGTGCCCCTCTACGAACACATCCGCTCCAACCGGTGCAGCAGCACGGGCTGCGTCGTACGCTGCTTTCCTGTCCTTACGGAACGCGGCGAGTTCGGATATGGTGTCGTACATCTTCACTTTGCCACCCCCTGCGTCGGGATTGGGAGGGGGGAGGGATGAAGAGGGGGAGGGGGAAGACGGGGCGAGCATAAGGCCGTCCATGGCTGCGAGGGGGAGGTGGTGAGATGGAGTCGGGGGAAGACCGCACTCGTCGTCTGTGAAGAAGGAGAAGTCGTGGGCGGCGGCGTGCCAGAAGGCTTCCGAGTCGGGGTCTTCGGTTGAGGATTTCGTGGGCGGGGCGTGCCATCCACTTGACGTTTTCTTGTTGTTGGACGAGGAGGGGGCAGGGGCAGGGGGCGCCATTTCGAGGACGATGCGGCGGAGTGCGAAGATGGTGCTTGCGTGTTGTTTCTCCGCGGTCGTGCGCGTGCGGCCGGGTGGGAGCATGTACGTGTGGTGGGCGCGGAGCAGCGCAATGGCGGATTCTTCGGCGGCGGAGGTGATGAAGTGGATGAGGCGGTCGATGAGCTGGCGGTCGGGGGTCGTGGTTGGGACGTCTGTGAAGACGAGGGTGTGGGCTCTGGGGAGCATGCCTGGGTGGAGGCGCGGGGATTGTGCGTATCGCATGTCGAGGCGGGTGCGGCGGTCTTCGACGTAGTGGGTTGAGTTGTGGCGGGATCGTGTGGGTGGGGTTTGGAGATGTGTTGGTGAGGGTGCTTGTCCGTTGGGAATCTCGTCGGTGATGTTGGGGAAGGGGGTCATCGGTGACACTGGGGAGAGCCTCCCTCTTGCGTCGCGAGCAGGACTCAGGGGTGTGTCTTCTTGTCCGAGGAAGACGGGTTCGGGTGCATGCGCTGGTCCGCTCTTCACGATGGTAGGCTCCGGAATGACTTCGATGGCCGGGGGCGGCGTGTCTGTCGTCGACGAGTTCTTACCCAGTCCACTCATGCCAGCTATTGCACCGACGAGTGAATGTGCCGGGAGTTCGACCGGCCCTACAGGTTCTGCAGGGAGTTCGTGGATCTGACTCTGCTCTGCCTCGAGCTCCATCTCAGGCGGCGTCTGCACCGCAAGTTCGTGCAAATCTCGCGCTGGCATTTCGGCATGCACATGCCCAGCATCTAACTCAACCCGCGGCGAAGGCAACGGATCACTCGGGCCATCTTTCGTGATGATGGAGTAGTGAACCCTCAAATATGCCAACTTCTTCGCTACACCGTCGGCAAGCACAGGCGTGAGCTTCTCGACACCAGGAAGCACGATATCCTCCTCGCCCTCATCACTGTACGGACGCTTCATGACGACTGGCAAAGTGCCAATGTCCAACACCTGGAGCCTCCGCGCCCTCAGCAAGCCGGACACGCCCTCGACCGTGAAGCTATTCCCCGAGATATACAGATGCGTAACACCCACATCAGGCGCCTGCTCAATAGCAAGGCTGCCGACGAACCCCCCCGTGAGTTTGTTCCTGAGGTGGACGTCGAGGTTCTCCGTGCCGAAGATCTCCGTCTCCTTCCCGCCGGCTTCCCACGCCGCGCTATCGGGAAGCTGGCGACGGAGCGGGTCGTTCATGCTCACCTCTCGGACGCAGAAGTCCAGCAGCTTCCGCGCGGATTTGTCGGTCAGGTGGACGTTGTCGCTCACGTCCAGGCTGCGCACCTTCGTGCCGATGACTTTGGCGATGCGGTCGAGGTCCGGGTCGCGGAGTCCCAGCTTCCTCATCCTCAGTACTCGGAGGTTCCGCAGACGGCACAGTTGGCTGAACACATTTTCGTCCCTCGCTGCGAGAGTCCGCGACAGGTCGAGGGAGATCAGTTCCGGGAAGTGAAGAAACGCCGTGGCCAGTCCAAACGACGTCGCGTTGATGCATCCCGATGCGTCGAGGAGTCGCAGCGCGAAGCTCGGGAATGCATTCAGATGGGTTGACGCCCACCACTGGCTGGAATGGCGCAGCGTGAGGAGGGCCGCATGGTCGAAGAAAGGCAGGCCGTCCACGATGAGGGACTGCAGTCGTGGAAGTCGTTCCAGACAGTCGCGGAGCCATTCTGCGTGAGGCCCTCCGTAGATCTGAGCATGGGCTGGCGGTAGATGCAGCGTATGCGTCAACTCTCGAACGCTCAAGCGAGCCCAGGTTAACGTCCGCTTGAAGCGCGTCAAAGCCACTGGGGGGGTTGTCAGTATCTTATGTTACACTAAATGGTGGGGTTCTATCGTGCTGGTGGCCGTACCATACACAGTGTCGTTCTGCACTCCAAAGTGAGATGCAGGATTACCCCAGAGCTGAGGGGTGAATATCTCGTGCCATTTCTGGCAGACCAATGCCGCAGAGCATAAGTCGTCGGAAAGAAGATAGGGCGCGACTAGCTCCCAAGGGTTCTGGCTGACCACGCTCTGGTAGGACGGAAGCAGATCATCCATGATTGAGCAGTCAGTCGATGAGACTAAAATCTTAGACTTATGACGAGTTGAACATGTCGAGGAGGTCAAACCAAAACCTTACAACAGAAAATGTCTTAGGGGGTGCGTAGAGTTTTAGAAAAGGCGGGCCGTTGAAATGCAAGAGTGGCGGAGTGGAAAGTCGCGTGGGTTTGGATGGTGGACGTGGATGTGCTGTCGATAAATGAGATCAGCCAAGATGTAAGGCCCGCTAGCCTTGTGTAGGTTCACCGGCGACCAGTCGCGGCCAGAGTGTTACACTGTTCCTATATTGATGCCTTCTTCGAGATATTTCATGTGCTCAGCCGCAGCTTGGTTACACTTTCGAGCAAACTTTTCCAACTTTTCTGTTGAGTCGTCGAATCTCACCCCTCGTCGCGGGTCAAAGTGATCCATCACCATTCAGCAGCCACTGACACCCAATGCATTTGAGAAAGTCAAGAAATCTATCCAATTCATCGTCAGACTGATTCGTCTGCACATCTAGTTTCCTAATCGACAACGCGCCAGCCTATCATCGTGACAAAAAGAGAGCCAAGGGTAGCATTTCATGGTAAAAAAAATAAGAAAGAAATCAAATCCGGTGAAGGCATTTGGGAGGTATAGACGCTAGTTATACGAACCAAGACAAGAAGATACGTTAAAAAAAGGGGGAAGATGGAAAACTGTAAAGAAGAGAAGGAATGTCCAAGAAAATCTGAATGAATACACCAGACTTGTGTGACCGTACCACTTGGAGAGTAGGACCAACTATGCGTAACCAATAAGAATATCAACAAGTTATTTTCTCCGTGCAAAATATGCATGACTGTTCCGTGTTTCCAATACGACCATGTAGAATCGAGAACGTAGAAAGTGAAATCGTCCCTATGTGCGAAAAGTCGAGATCGTCCCCGGGAGTATGAGTAGTTGCCGTACAGAAGAAGTGGGATTGCTGTAATGTAGAGTCGGAAGGGAATAATGAACGCCGGCATGCTTCACTCCGCCGGCCTGGGAGATGGCATCAGTGGTGCGTGGTTATTGTGTTCACGTCGAGCCCACCAAACCCAGCCCAACACCATCACCATTCATACCGCCCTCATCGCGGCCTCGCGAGCGCCCCATCTCGCGAATTCTTCGACCCTCCATCAGACCCCGCAAACCGCGCTTTTGGAGTCCAACAACGGCGCTGACTTCGCCGCCCCAGATCTCTCTCTCGGTGCCGTCGCCAAGCCCGCTGTCTGACGTGGATGTGGATGTGGACGCGGATGTCGCCGAGCTGACTTCGTCGTCGTGGATCCTGTTCACGTCTGTGTTGATGCGGAGGGCACGTAATGTCGGGTCGAGAGAGCGCACGGCAGCGCCGGCGTCATCTTCGGGAGATCCTGGGGTGAAATCGTTTCCGTTTGTACCGTTGATAGGTGCGCCGTTTACGCCGAAGAAGGCGACACTGGATCCGCCACCCGCCGCCATGGCTGCAGCATTGAATATCGCAGCCGTGTTTCGATTGTCCAGTAGCACGTGCAACCTTTCGATGATGACCTCTAGGAGTCCGTCGATCTGATAGGGCCGTGCCAGCTGGAGAAGAGAGCACAGAATCTGAGGCGAGCTAAGAGGCGAGCTTGGTGATGGGAGAGACGAAGTGTACAAGAAGTGAATTAGAGCCTGTAGAGTTAGGTGGGTGTGAGGGAGGAACAGAGTCCGTGGCCGCAGATAAGGCGGTTGACCCGACGTCTCAGGCGGTAAAATCGTTGATTGGGAGGTGACAGACGAAGACGTTGACGGTTCGGAAGACCCACCAGTGTTGTTAGTGAGCGTAGTTGCTGCCGAGTAAGCAGTTCTGATTGATGGGGTGATCGTGATACTCGAATTGCGAGAAGGATGGGGAAGTACGTTGGCGCGAAGTGTTGCTGTATCGGAATTTTCAGTGCTCGATATGCTTTCGCGCAATAGCTGGTTGAAATAGGGACCCCATCGTCGAGCAATCAGGCGCGAATTGACCGGGATTCGTTCGCCATCCAAGGCGAGGAAATCCATATCTGCAAGCTCTCGCATGCCTAGCGCAAGCTGGCCCAGCCCTGCAGCTGCAGGCGACAGTGTTCGCCCTCCTGCCCTCAGGTCCAGCTGATCAGTCGGTGCGGGCGCACTGACAGACGCAAATGCAGAATTAGGCTCCACCTTCCGAGGGTTGTCATACAGACCAAAGGCCTCTAATTCTACGATGCAAATGTTGGAAAAATTGATGCGTCGGTGGTTGTAATCCTCGACCAAGCTCCTCTTGCGGTTTCCTAGGATGACGAATGAATTTCGGCGGTTCCATAGCATGCCTCTGTTCCAACTTCCTTGACTGAAAATGTTGCCTCCGGCTTCGATCCGTCCCCAGGTAAGAGTTCGTAGATCAAGTGCCCACAGAGCATACTCTTGCTTCGAAGATGTCAAAAACGTCCCGCTAACAACGAAATGATTGTTGATGATCCCTCCGTTGGGGAAACGCAAGCCTGGAGGCGAGAAATTTCCCATCATGGGCTTCTCAGAGAGTGTTCCGTCTGGATGTCGTATCTGTAGTTCGAGTTTCACGTCGAGGAAATTGTAATTCGAATATATGAGCATCGAGGATCCCTTCTCCGCGCTTGCCGGGTCCTGTGGCTCGGGGGTGACATCGCCGCGTGGGACTCCTGTTCCTATGCGCGTGGGACTGATATTCGTCAGTGGGGCGACAACACTCCTGTAGGCGCCGCAGCTCCTTCCGAGGGTGTTAGTGGCGGTCCATTTCAGGCTCCTCAAGTTGAAGACGCTGATTTGTTCAATATAGTGGTTGGAACTGTCTTGACCACCTACTACCACCATCTCAGCGCCTCCTTCTCCATCGAACTGCACACCGATAGATCCTTGGTTAGGCTCCGAGGTAGATGGGTTGTGCTTGATCGCACCCAAAGTTGCATTGGACGAGGAGAAAACTGCTGAAGAGGGTAGGATAGTCGCGCAATGGGCATATCGTCCTTGTGGCGCATCGGAAGTCTGCACATGCATCCATGTTCGCGTGGGCACGTCATAGATATGGACGTCAGACATTACGACCACCTCAGGCTGGGCGTCTGAGGGGGTTCCCTGGGATGATTGCGATTGGCCTGGTTGGGGAGCAGCTGGAGACATGCCGCCATAGCAGACGAGCTTTGTGTCGCCAAGCGTGCAGACACTGTGGAAATATCGTGGCGATGGTACGTCGCCCCTTGCGTCGATCTTGGTCCAGTGCCGCCTGACGAGGTCGAGCTCGTAGAGATCCGATGTGAGTGCTGGCCGTGTTCGAGACAGTTTCCGCCCGCCGAATACATACAGCTTGTCGCCTAGGATGGTGGTGGTCGCGCCTACCAGAGGATGTGGCTCGCGGCCAGTCGTTCGGTGGACGTTACATACGAGACCTGAGAGTCCAGACGTCGAACTCGTAGGGGTTCCCAAGCCTGCCGTCTGCATGATTGCTGGCGAAGGAGCCATGCCGAGTCCGGGGGTCCGGGAGGCAGACGTGGGAGGGCGTTCGGGCATGCCATTCTGGTCGTTCTGCTGGTTCAAGCTGGTGGAGCTGCTGTTCATGCTGGAGATGTAGTTGGTGCTGCCATTACGGAAGGTGTCCGGGTACAACTGGGAGGGGGAGGGTGCCGAGGTTGACGAGTCGATGGTATTCGTCCGGCTGGTATTTGGCGTCTGACGAGCCATACTGGCCGGACTCAGAGTCCACGGGGGGGATGCAGGTGATCTGAGACGTTCGAAGTCGAGGGGTAGGTGGATGGGTGATGACGAAAATTGCTGAATCGGTAGTGCCCAGTCCGGAATTACAATCTCAACATGCCGAGATCGTACACTAGAAGAATCGCCAACGGATTTCCGGCTGGCGGGAGAGTGACTTGCGAGGCTCTGGTGGCCGCTGGAGAGGATGGTAGAAGTCCTCGATGAGCTGAGGTGGATGGAGTTGCAGGGACTGTCAGGTGCTACGATCGGAGCATAGCGCGGGATGATGATTGGAACGTGCTTTGGTCTGGTTGGAGAGGAAGAATGGTTCGAGGCGGGAGGTGAAGAGTAGACTGAGGATGGAGAGGGTGGACAAGATGGAGATGGCGGCGATGGCGGAGCAGGGAGTAGGATTGGCGGATGTAGCTTGCGATGAGAGCGGACGAGGGTAGTTGCAGAGTCTTCAGAGCGTTTCCGCTGGTTCGACAGGGCGCGTTTGATCTTTGACGCCCTGGGCTTCTTCCAGAAGGCGGACGGAGTGGTATGGCCCAAAGGAGTGGCAGAGGCTCCCACGGAAGGATAAGCGATCACGCCTAAGGGGAGCATGTCAGCGATGAAACTCGGAAACGCACGCCAGAATTGAGAAAAGGAAGTATGGAAGATGTGAAGATTGACTGAAAGAGGACAATCTCGTGGTTTTCAAGTACCCCAGACGGCCTTGCCTGGCAGCAGGTGCAGGAAGAGTTGCCATTGCAGGCATCGTGCCGGCCAGTTGAATGGCACGAATGGCACAGTTGCGCGAGGAGAGAAGCCACTCTCGCAGATTGGGGAAAGATGAACATCTGTTGTGGTACTGTGTGTGGTTGTACGAAGATGTGTTTTGGGGCATCATCCAGCTGCAGCGCCGATGGTTGATGCAGCACAACAGGTCGCCAGACAGGCATCTTCATCCACACCACACATTATACACCACCACCACCGCCACCACCTCCACCCACCATGCCAGGCAAGGCAAGGCAAGGTGAGGCAAGGCAGAGCAAGGCAAGGCACCGATAGTAGACATAAGACGGAGATACGCACATGGACAGGCTATACAGGTGGACGGGTAGACAGACCGATGAACAGACAGACGGACAGACAGACGGGACGACAAACTTAGAATGGGTGAAGAGGAAGAAAACACGTGAGAGAAGATGAAGTTATAGCAAAGGAGGGAGGAGGAAGGAAGGGTGGGGCAGGGAGCTTACTAACAGGGAGAGGAGAGTCGGGTAGTATGGAGTAGTAGAGTAGGTGGTAGTTGGGTGTGAGTGGTGAGTGGTGAGTGGTGAGTTGTGCTGTGTGGTGGGCGTTGGTGTGTGTGTGCGTGTGCGAGTATCGAAAAGGAAGAATAAGAGCCGCGACCAGCGCTTTGAAGCAGGAGAGGCGACGGCGTACGAGAGAGGAGATGGTGCAAAGGAGGAAGAGCTGAAGATGATCTAATTTCTCTCTTCCTCTTACTCACATCCAGGTACGGCTGGAAGAAAGGATAGGGAGGAGGTCAGACCGTCAGAGGGAGTACAAAGGGTCGGTAGGCAGAGTAGAGAGAGAATAGACTGGGAGAAATAACTGGAGAGTCGAACTGTGAGGTGGAAGGTGCAAAGGTCAAGTCAGCTTTTCCATCTGGTCGAACTTGTCCCGATCCGGTATGGTCCGGGGGGTTGATTTGGGGCTCGGCAGCAGCCTAGCACCGCGTCTGGATTTCTGGAATCAATTTCTGGAAGAGACGAGGAAAAGGAGACTAACAATGACTGGAAGACTAAAATGGTCTGGCAGCCTAGTAGTCGCTCAACTAGAAGGGGGGGGGGGGGAAGCGAAAAGGAGGAAGATGAGATGATGCTCTGTAGTAGGTAGTAGGTAAACTAGGGAAATGGAAGGGAGATGGAATATTGGATTGGAATGCAAGGACAAAACACCGACCTGACTGACTACACAGGCTACGTTAACTACCCTGATGATTAGTTAAACGTTTCCAACAATAAATCAACGTCCGTACGCCGTGTCTACATACATAGTACATAGTGACAGTGTGAATGTGTGCATGTCATACTGTCTATCTAGTGGATCCCCGCCCACCTGCGCCCCCGAAAGCTGGGCTGGATAAACAGGACAGGACAGGACATGACAGGGACCACAGGGGCGGGACCAAAGGCTGGGGGAGTACCAATACCTTACCAATAGTTACCTACCAATAATCCCAATCATCACCCCAGATGCATTGACATAGGAACAACATAACAATGACAGAGAGACGGAAGAAACAAATCTGACTCCGCCGTGCCATAGATGGTGATGTTCGTAGATATACTCCATAGTCATTGTTACTCCACACTTTTTGGGCTACTCCCAAACATAATTCAATCATAATACGGAGTAATAACAACATCAAGTATTTATCACCCACCTCAGCACATAAACAAGAAGAACCGCACACGCACAGAGCTAGAAAGCCTCAAATATCCCACACAACCGGATAGCTTACCTACATACCCCTCCTCCGTCCATACATTGGAGTTACCCCAACTTAGACAAGTAAGCATGAACGCCAGGCAGAAAAGGACATGACAGGGTAAGACGAGCGACCACACAAAAATGGATAGGCAGAATTCAAACTCTACTTCGTTCCTACAGGTCAGCTCCCCTCAATTCTTCCGTCCCGCCTTTTTCTGTACCAAAGGAGAGGAGCGTGTGTTTGGTTAGCGAATGAGCGTGGGTTAGCGAGGGAGCGCACTTGGACGGCGAGAGGGGGAGTTTAGTTACTCCGTAGCTATGCGTGAGTCTGGACCGTATTGATCCGGCCTGATCCTCTATGGCCTATGGTTCCTCCATACAGATCTCGCGTGTTTATTCATCTCACATTGTAAGTATTTTCGTTCGATTGGGTGTGGGTTGTGAGTTCAAGGCAATGATTGCATTATGCGTGCATTGCAACACCATGTAGCTTTGTGTGTGGTGATTGTAGTAGAGGGACTGTCATTACAACCCACATCTCCCCCCTCTCGCCTACAAAAGTCATGATCATTTGTTTGGGAATCGTTAATTTCAATTGTTTGGTGAGAAAGTGATGTGATGATTCAAGGGTATCCGGCCGTTTCAGCCCTAATTATCGCAGAAACGTTTTCATGGGATGCCCCCTCCATCCCCTCCCCCCGCCCTTCCTGACAATCTATCTGGTCCCAGATCGAACGATGCCGGGAATGCATCCCAAGTCCTGGGTCCACATTCACTCTTCCAGAAGCATTGATTGAAAAGAGAAAGAAAAGCTACATTTCAGATATACAGAAATCTTGGACATCGCCTCCCATTAGGTCTTGGCCCAGCCCCTGCGTGCAGCCCATAGGCCGGATGCTCCCCACAACGCACGTTGTGCGCGGCCGCCGGTGGTCCCGACTACACGGCTGACGGGCAGTGGCCATAGCTAGAGCCACATGGTGGTATATCTCGCTTATGCAGCGGTGGTCTTCTCCTTGGGGAGAGGAGTGAAGCGGAGGTATGGCTTGACGATCTTGAAGTCGGGGAAGAGAGTCTTGGCCTCTTCGTTCTTGACGCTGGGGTGGACAATGACATCGTCACCGGGGACCCAGTTGATGGGAGTGGTGATCCTGTGCTTGTCACCGGTCTGGAGGGAGTCGACGACGCGGAGCACCTCGGCGGTGTTGCGGCCGGTGGAGGCGGGGTAGGAGAGGATGAGACGGATGGTCTTCTTGGGGTCGATGATGAAGACGGAGCGGATGGTGAACGCAATGCCCTTGGAGTCGACGTTGGTGGCGTCCTGGTGGTCGATCCTGCACGTCCAGATATCAGTACTCTGTGTCTAACTCTCGCCAGATGGCGATTGTGTCTCGGGAGATCCGAGAACCGGGGCTGTCTTACATGTCGTACGCGAGCGCCACCTTCCTCTCCTTGTCACCGATGATGGGGAAGCTGAGCTTGCTGCCGGAGATCTCATCGATGTCCTTGATCCAGCCACCGTGGCTCTCGACCGTGTTGGCAGAGAGGCCGATGAGCTTCACACCACGCTTGGTGAACTCGGGCTCGAGCTTGGCGAAAGCACCGAGCTCGGTGGTGCAGACGGGAGTGTAGTCCTCAGGGTGGGAGAAGAGGACGACCCATTTGTCGCCAATGAACTCGTGGAAGTCAATGGGACCGTTGGTGGTGTCGGCCTGGAAGTTGGGGGCAACGCTGCCGAGACGGAGGGGCTCAGGTCGGTCGGCCATTGTGATGATTGCTGGATTGACAATATCAGCTCGACTGCAAACAATGCAAACGAAGCAAACTGAGCAAATCAAGAGGACAGGGCGAAGATCGTATTCGCATAAACTGGAGGGGGGAATGCTGTTTGTAAGGATTGGGGGGTGGTGTGGTGGCGGGGTAGCTCGCTTCGGTATGTAGGTACCTAGCTTTCCCGTGGGGGTTTGACGTGTAGGAGAGAGACGATTAGAAATGTGTCTTACCTGTTGATTGTCTTTTGTGTTAAAAGGAAGATGAGAAGAGACGCTATGGATGGGTATCTTTGAAAGAAAATTGAGAAGCTTTTGGGTGAGTAGATGGAGTGGAGGAGCAGGAGTGGCTCTTATACCTATTCACTGGAAGCGGCGCATAGGTTTGGTCTGGTCCCGAAAGCGGAATAGTCGATTGCGTGCTCGACCTGACACTCTTGAATCTTTTTCTTGGGGCTGATCTGGAGGGGGAAAAGAGAGAAAGAGAAAGAGAAAGAGGATTAGACAATAGAGAGAGACAGTCTGTGGTTAATTGTCGATTACTATCCCCGTTCATCAGTCAACCAATTGCCATCTCTTTACCTTTCCTCTTCATTGTTTCGTACCCAATCCCGTCCCTTCAGTCGCCATCGCCAACACTGGCCGAGATCCAATTCGGGCTCTTCAGTCATGGTTCATTAACTCCCGCGTGCTCCTGTCTATTCTGGCGACATGACATGGCATAGCCTCCATCATATTGGACGAATATGACGCAAAACCACTCTTGCATATCCACAAGACATGTATGTGGGGGGGCAGAGGGCGGGAGAGGCGGGAGGGGCAGCCGACAAAGGTGACGATGAGTACATTGATAATCAGAACATCTCCCCTCGTATAATACTTTAATAACATATCTACTTCATACAAACCGTTTTATTTCCCTTCTCTTGACTACAAAATCGTACTCATGACGATTCTATGATGTGTTTACTTAAGCGAGAGATATGCATGCTATTTAATTCCTTGCGCGCATCCCTTCTCTTTGGATATTCGCATGCATGGAAGCATAGCAGACGGTCGTTATTGTGGTTGTTGGGGAGGGGTCACCATGCCCTGCAAGCCTGCGCCGATTTCGGCATTGCCGCATCTGGTAACCAACGACGCAAATGAACTACCTCACCCAGTCTGTTCGTCTTCATGCGTGCATTGGATATTTTCCCCCCTAACTTCACTCATGATATTCAAAAGAAAACAAATATGTGATCCCTTTCTTTTTCAAGGATAGGAAATTCAAATGAATTTTGGGGGTATATAGCAAGCAAAGCAACGCAAAGCAAAGCTGTGTCACCACACTTGTCCCTCGTACCTCCTCCACTGCGCGTCGTGCCAAGATCCCTGTCTCTTGCCTCGATATCAGACCACCATCGTGTACAACACCAATCTCTGATGATACCTTTCCTTCGTTTCTTCTCTTCTCTCCCTTCTCATGCTATGCTATGCCGTAAAAACGAAAATGGAGGCCGTGACGCATAAAGATATCCGCGCACATGTATACTAAAAACACTCATCTCCCTTGCGAGAACGCAAACATTCAATGAATCAGCGAGACCCCTCCATGATCTCGCTGGCGAACTTCGACCTCGCGCGGATCTTGGGGCCGTAGAAGACGAGGATCCACGGCACGAGCGTGAGAAGCGTTCCAATTCCGCCGAGAAGGCTGCTCGCGCCGCCGAAGGTCAGCTTGTTGTACATCTGCACCGTGATCAAGGGGAAGATGCCTCCTGTATTTTGCGAGTAAGGTTAGTGATGCCATACTAAGAGGCATAGGCGGGATGTCTACGTACCGAGGATATTCCTGCAGAAGGACTGCGCGGCCAGTGCGGAGCTGGCGTAGCGGTGGTAGGTGTCGGCGAGGTAATTGAAGACAGCAAGGTAGATTGCGAAGATGCCCATCGTGGCGATGGCAACGGCAATGGTTGGTACAATCCAGTGGATTGACGAAGCTGAGGTCCAGCCAAACATGAAGAGCCCGATGGGCATGAACGCGCTCTCGATGCATGCAAAGTACAAACGCCCCTCTGGCGTGGAGGCGAGCTTTCCGTATCGTTTAGCGATTCGCTCCTGGTATATGGATAGGAACGTCGAGAGGATTGCCCCAATGGATGTGGCAGCGAACACGGAGTTCGCCTGAGCCAGCGTGAAGCCGTGGTTTCGTTGGAAGACGAGCGGGATGGCGGCGAGGGTGAGATACAAGACAGCCCAGGAGAAAGCGACCCACAGCGAGAACCAGAAAACGACAGGCTCGGTGGTAAGGAGGTGGAAAGGTCGGTACAAGGAGATTCCTATCATCTTCGACAGGCTGGCACGCTCTTCATCGGCCTTGACCTTCCATCGCAGCCGCTCCGATATCACGGAGCCGGGCTTCTCGGGATCAGGCATATTGAAACCGTAATAACCCGCCTCTTCACGCGCCTCATACCACTTGTTGAGCACCTTTGCCTTGCGGCTCAGCAGGACACTGCCTCGCGTCTCTTTGAAAACGATGCAAATCACCACCACGCCAACAGTGCAGGTGATGGTCTGGAGGTAGAATATCCACCGCCAGGAGAGGCTCTCTGCAATGAACCCGCTGATGAGCGGTCCCAACCCAGTACCGAACAGTGCAGCGCCAGAGAATAGGCACATGGGCGTGTTGCGGTCTTCAGTGTGATAGATATCCGACACCACTCCACCAACTGGAACAATCGGTCAGAATCAATACGTTGTCAAATATCATCAATCCAGTACTCACCCATCGTAGAGAACGTCGAACCGCCAACACCAGCAAGGAACCGAACGACAAGCATGCCAGCATACGATCGAGTAACGGCCGTCCCAAGTTGGCAGATTGCGAACATGATCCCAGACGCAATGAACACCGGCCTACGACCCTGGATCTCAGAAAACGGCGCGAGCACCATCGGCGCGACAGCGAAACCTATCTCCAGTCAATATTTTCTTTCCTTTCAATCCAAAAAAAAAAACCCAATCCGAGATCGTGGTGTAATCAGGACCAATCATACCTGTAGTAAACATCGTGATCCCAACCAACGCAGCAACAGAACTGACACCCCACTCCTCCGTCATCTGCTCCACGCCGGGACTATACGATCCAGCCGTATACGCCGTCAGGGCCGTAATCACACACGAGATCCAGATGATGACATTCTTCCTCGTGTCGGACCAGTCGAACGGCGAGGTGTACTTCGCCAGATCAGGAGGCGGCGGGGGGCAAGCCGCCTCCTGGTCATCATCGGAAGCGGGATAGATGGTAGTTGGACTCGGCAGCTCGGTTTCGAACGTCAAGTAGCGATACACGACTTCTGCTTCCTCCTCCACGACTCCTTTTTCAGGAGCGCCGGCGTCTCGACTCTCGTCCTTGTCGGTGCTGTCGTCGCCTTCGAGCTCGAGTTCGGAATCGAGGGCATTGCTGTTGTTGTTGGTCTGCTGCTGCGAGATGTCTGCTGTGTCTGTATTCCCGGCGTCTGGATATAACGGGTGCGTTATTCCCGACATCCTCTTATTCCCGTGCGAAAGGCGTAGTTGGGATGCCGTCCTAGGGAGCTCGATTTCGGGGTCGGCCATTGCTATGTCGACTGCATCAGAGCGCAATTTACTCCAGAAGAATCCAATTCAAGCGAGTGAGCAGTCGAGGTCAAAGTGTCGAAGTAGATGTGTTGAGGAAGAAGAAAAAGGATCCTTGGGAAAAGAAAGTCGGGAATTGGGGAAAAATAACTAGGTGAGGGGAAAGTCCGATAGTTTAGTTAAGTTGGATTGGTTAGTTTAGTCTTCGTTCGGTTGGTTGGTTATATATTAACCTTAAAATCTTAGGCCACTCAAGTAAGTAGTTAATGACGATATTATATAAAAAAGACACTTTTTGGAGTCATCATTGCTCGCTCAAGTGGGTTTTTTTAGGTCTAACTCGACGCTTATCCGGCATCACTTGGCACCGCTGGATGAATTGATAATCAAATAACACCCGCGTAGCATTGCGGTCGTTCGCCTTTTTGGACAGGGTATGCGGAAAAGTATGCATGCATACACGCCCACCGAGTCGAGCCAACCCACCGAGTGTAAGTAGGAGGGAGGCCCGAGCAGCTAACGGTCTTCGAGAGACGCCAGACGCCCGTTATTGCCGTTACGAGCACACGAAAATCCATAACTTAGTACAACGAAGATAAAAAAAATGGTACTCCGTACATATGAGTAGATGAAACTCTTTTCAAATACCCCCCCCCCCGTGCACGCATTGCTTTAATGGAAATAAGAGTGCATAGTTGTATCACTCCCCACCACCACGACCACTATCAACGTCGTAACTAACTATCTGTACATCCGAAACAGCGCCGCCAGTAGATTATGTATGTATGTACCTAAGCACCTAAGGTACCTAAGCTATAAACTATAACTATGACTCCAAACCCAATGTCCTTATTCCCGAATTGTTACCTTCGAGTATATCATGTAATCATGTACTTACCCACCTAGTCCAATCTATCTATCTTATAGTTTACCTTAACCCCACCGGAGCTAATTAGCTACATGGGTAACTTAGCTAAATGGATAGACGGATATAATAGAGTCGAACTGAACAAATTAATAATAAAAACCCCCAGTCTGTACAATGCCACCGGCGATGGTGGATCGCTGTACAGATACGCTAAAAAAAAAAGAATACCATCGACGGTAACAGATATCTATCATGGTGTGGTGGAGGTGAATTGATATGTTTGCCATTTACTTCTTGTGTGAGGGAAGGAGAGTAAAGTAACTGATTGATTGATTGATTGGTTAATTTGATTGATATATGATATATAGCTTCATATATTCCAAGTAAGGTAGATTTTACCACCCCTCAATCCCCCCAACCAACCATTCTTTATTAAAAGCGAATAAAACCCCATAAATCAAGAACAACTCAAAGGGACAAATCCCTCAACCCCTACGTCTCGTACTCGGGCTCTTCCCCGCGCCACTCCCGCTCGCCTTCTCCGCATAGCTCTTCTTCTCCCCGGCGTTCACCTTCGCAGCCGTGATGGGCTTCTTGACCTTGGTCTGCGGCGTCACCTTGCTGGCGGGTGCGTTCCAGTAGTACAGGACCTGGAAGGCGAGGACGGCGTTGAGCGCGAAGCCCGCGATGAAGCCGTACAGGATCAGCGGGTCGGGGACTTCCTGGAGCGTCGTGAAGATGCGGGAGAGCGAGCCGAGGAGGTAGTTTATGACCTGGCAATTACGTTAGTAAGATGGGTGGATATGTGAATGGGGGAGGGAGTCGGGGACGTACTGCGAAAGCACTCAACTGCCCGGTACCGCCCTGCTGCCAAACCGTGAGGATCTGCGGCACCTTCGCCGCGACGCCCATGACGCCGGCCGCGGCCTGGAGCCACGCGAGCGCCTTGACGTCTACGATGTCCTCCCTCGACAGCGCGAAGCCTGCGGCCGCGAGACCGCCGATCCAGGCTGGGATGCCCGCGGGCTTGCCGCTGTAGTTGAGGACGAGGGCGGCGATGGCGATGTTCTGGACGAGGATGAGGGCTGTCTCGCCATAGGTGCTGAAGGGGAAGCCATGGCGGATGTTGTACGAGAGGGAGATGAGGTACGCGCCGGACTCGAGGAGGTAGGAGAGGAAGGACACGCCGGACGCGGACTGCGAGTTGATGAGCTTGAGGAGCTGCGGGATCTTGACGATGGAGGAGGCGCCGATGATGCCGATTCCTAGACCCTTGGATATCGCGAGCTTCACGCAATCGGGGGAGGTGAAGGGGTCGATGTCGAGGATCAGCGTCTTGTAGCAGAAGGGACCGAGGAGAGTGCGCCCGGTCTCCGTGATGGGAGCTGGCAGGTTGTGGGTGATGGGCTGCAGAGCTGAGCGTAGGGCCTCCATGATGGCTTTGTCTCCAACGGATGGTTGTATGATGGTTGGAAGTCGGGGGAGGAAGGCTGACGGTGAGATGTCTTTCATGGGATTTTCGGAATGGGGTGTGATGTAAGGGCTTGGCATCTACTGCTTAGACAAAAAGTCAGGGTCGTGACGTACGAATACGAGAGGTCAGGTCAGGTTTCAAAGACAACATAGGGGTATTTCTGCTATATACTGCTATATCCAACGCTACATACGGATAATTTCGGCCTGTATATACTTAATGTAATTGCGAGACTCCGTAACGCCGGCATGTGTTGTTTCTTATAGTAATTGATCGAATATGCCCCAATCCGGACCCAAACCGTCTATGCAAAGCGATCGAATGTGGCTTGAGCAGCCAAATGATGAGTAGAGTTGAAAGATGCATTGCGTTAAACTCTGTCCTCTGCAAAATCCAGTACCTCGCAGTCGTCCTCGAAGAATCCTTCTTCTTCCTCGGCACCGCCTTCTCTTCTCACGCGTCGACGTCTGGTAGTGACCACGACCTGCTCGATTTCCTCCTCGCCATCCCTGAGGACTGTTTGGTTTCGCACCCGGGCTGCAACGCCAGCGATTGCATCCTCATCGTCTGATTCGTATATCTGCGTGACGGGAGTGGAAATCCGTACAGCATCGAATTCGTCTCCGAAGAGCCAAGCACTGTGGTCATTGTCGTGATGCAAATCGGAAACAAGCTCAGCAGGAGCAGCTGGCCACTCACTGTTGCTTCCTTGGAGTTCACTGGTAGCCTTTGCAAACGTGAATCGGGTCACTCTGCGATCTGTGTAGAAAGGCTGGTATGGCGGGTTCGTCTCGATTTCGGAAAAGCTGAGAGGTGCAGGACTGGCTGTAGCCTTCTTCCCTGGAACCAATCCATGCTTTGGCCTTCGAGACGGCAACGATCGAGGGAGCCACTCGCCGTGAACGTCAACCATTTGTTCGGGCTCTCCAGGCGGCGAAAACAATAGAGCCACGATCGCAGGTGGCACGGGTGAATCGCGAATGGGAGCCAAACCAAATTCGACCAGTTTCTTCTTGCTGATGGAGGTTGCATTGGCACACTTTCCTTTGCCAGACGCAGCTCGCATCTGTATTCTGTAGATCTGAAGTATACCGCCGGCAACCAAGGCTATGCAGCCGAGGCCCTTCCCCGTCAACCACCGAACACTATCCGGTTTGATTCCAATGGAAGAGGCTGGGATGCTAAGCTTGTTGTCGCCCGCATGTCGGATGTTGTTGATCGATTTGCCCACACCTGCAGCAACAGCTTTGCCCGATTTCGCACCAGCAGCGGGCGTCATACCTAGACTGCTGAAAGAGGGAAACCGTGATCCATTACCAGTATTGCGTGAGCGGACAGCATCGAAGAAAGGCTTCGCAGTTCCGTTGATAGCTTGCATCGCAGAATTAACTGCGCCACCGCCGCGTGCATTCGCCGGGCTGCCTTCATCATCCACCTTTCCAGCCTGTCCAGCTCTCCGAGTCCGCCGGGGAGGTGGCCACTGGAATGCGTATGAAGGCATCAGGAACATGTGTACAGTTCCTTTGTCCGTGAGCACCGCGATCTTGTCGGTTCGTGGGCCAGACCAGACAACGTCCACTACATTGGTGACGGTCATACGAGCAAATCTTGCGACCTGTCTCACATGTGGACCCATGGGTTGCTCGCGAGTCGATTTGCGAGCACGGCGGAAGTTCATTCGCTTAAGGTCCCAGACGTCCTGAAGATCTCCTTTACTACTTACCGTCATCAGCATCAGCCCCGATGGCGAGAACGAGAGGAAGCTGCAGCCCAGCACGGCTGGTATGGTCGCAACTGGGGTGAGCATATGCTTGCTCTTCGTCTCTTCTCCGTCAACAAGCCTTTGAAGATCGTAAATGGAGATGACGGTAGTTTCCTGCCTTGGTTGTGCCTGGTTGTGTCCATGGGTAGGGGGAAAATACTGTTGCTGCGTCGGTTCCGCGCCGTAAGGAATGTTATTACCACTTCCGTTAGGTTGCGGACCCCGATTCATGTAGCTCTTGAATGCTTGGATTCCCTTCTCGGTGGCCCAGCGTGCTCCTTTGATGGCAACTTGAGTTCCCTCTCTGGTAAGTCGATTGATCAAACTGTCTGCCTCGGGAGCGTCCACGGAGCAATTCGCCGAAGGCTGGGGCGGCACAGTGTGGTGAGTCAGGCCGGGAGGCCTTTCGTTGTAAGGTGACAGCAATGCCGTACCATTGACGGGAAAGAGAGACGAGGATGCAGGTGGGGTAACAGCAAGCCATCGATCAGATAATGAGAAGACGGGTACTCCATACTTCTCCACACCGGCCTCCTCGTGGCTGCCATCCGCTGCGCTGGAGGCACTTGAGTGGTTGCCCCTTTCGCGAAACTGCACGGAAGTCCATACTTTGCCGATGCAGCGGAATCGCTCCTCGTACTCTTCGTGGCCCGCAAGATAGGGCGCAAATATGAAGACCTCACCGCTTGTTCCAGATGCGACGACGACAAACATACCTTTTGCATCCAGTGTAAAATCACCGGCTGGTGGGGGCGGCTCAAACATCGGGCTATCAATAGGGCTGTTAATGGGAATTAACGGGCTCTTATAAAGGGTAGCGACATGGCGTCTCTCCTTCAAAGAGTACACTTCGACAGTGGTTTGAAAATGGCTAACTCTGCTGCCTTGATCGTTCCCCCTACTAGAAGAAGGTCGACTGGGCGAGTCGGAAGCGGAGTCATCGATAACGGACGAGGAGCCGCTTCCGCTATGGGCGCTTCTCCTGTCATCGACCACGGGACCGTGGAGTATGAGTGCGATGAGAGGTCGTGAAGCGAACATTGGATCCCTCCGTCTAGTCCATGGGAGTATTTTAGCACCTATGACAGAGCCCCGAAGCCCCTCGAGTCGGCCGACAATGTCCATCTTGGCCTTCTCTACCCGGAAAACATCAAGACCACCCTGGTGGCCAACTAGCAAGACATTCTCCGCCGTCTTTGAGGCTTCATCGCCTGCCATGCTGAGAGTATCCAATCCGCAGTGGTACCCACATTCACCCGCCGTCAAACCCTCTGTGGGCGGCGTGTTGAGGCCCAGGTCGAAGTCCGGAAGGTTATAGTAGTGGGGCTGGGGCTGATGGGGTAGCGGAGGGTTTGCCGGTACGGGTCCTCTGGCGCCCACATGGGAGTACATGGACGCTCTTCGATCACGGCCGGGGGACTCCTGGGGAGAGTTTCGAAGCCGTCCGCCGAAGGTTGTGTACTGGTTCGGATGGCTCAGGGGCCTCCCTCCGGCCACTGGGGGCGAGTTGGACATGAGGTGCTGCCCGTACGCGCCACCGTCTCTGTTGCCCGGTGAGTTGTGGAATATCGGCGGCGACCCGTTTATAGCGATCCCACCGTTTCCAGGGGAGGACTGATTCGCGAAGAAGGGGAGTGACTTTGTCCATTCACTGGTGTACTGCGTAGCAGTGGTCTTGGTAGCTCCCAGGGCAGAGAGCAGCGGAGATGTGGTAGCATTATAGGTATTCGCGCCGGTGGGAGACGTAGAAGAGTAACGCTTCGCGGTCGGGGGTGATTTCGCTCTTGACGTAAAGTTAGTACAGGTGTTGACTTGCAAACCAGGGACGTTTAAACTTGGACGGCACGGAGGAGTTGGGAGTGGGAAGTCAAGGTAAACACTCACATCTCTCTGGGGTATATGCGGTTGACCCTCCCTCCATAGCTGCTGTCTCCTCTTCCCAGCTCATGTCTTGAAATGTTGCGACCGCGGGGCTTTGCAGTGTCCGGGGCTTTGGTGCGGTTGCGCTGTTGCTGATAGAGACGGGTCAGGTTGGAGGGCGGGTCGGTATGTTCGGGCGATGGGGTCATTCAAAAGGTGTAGGTGTATGCGGGAGAAGGGTCAGAAGTGGTAGCTACTACAAGGTGTACATGCGTTTGTTTATGGTCCTGTATCAGCAGAAGAGGAGTGGCGATGTTGTTGTGGTTGTGGATGTGGTGGTGGAGGTTATGTCGGAGAGGGAGGGGGCCGGGTTGAGGATGGTACGGCTGGAGTCGGTAAGAGCAGGAGATGAGACAAAGCGGCTATGTCAGTCAGGAATGGAATGAGTGTCGGATGTGGAAATGGTAGGTGGCAGGTGACTTTAGTTGTTGACTATGTGACTTGTTTTAGAGTATAGTAGAGTAGAGTGGCAGTAGTAAGAGAGTAGGGGTGACTGACTGACAGTATGAGTGAATGACAGAGTGAATGGGTGATGACGGGGTAGCTTAGGTGGTTAGCTCGTGCCAACAAGATAGGGCGGCGGACTCAGAGTCAGGGTCAGGGTCCGTCGTTGTGTCGTCGTCAGGTCTCAGACAGCGAAGAGAGGCTTATTTAGGTGCCTGTTCCAATCTCTATCCGGTAGTGGTTGTTATGATTATACTAGAGTAGATAGATATGAATAGAGCTAATATTGTGCAAGCACAAGCTTCATTAGATTAGCACAGTATTGAAGCTGTTGGTGGTTGGTGGTTGACTGGACGCGGGGCTGTCCCCCTCGTACTCGTAACACGACTAGGACGTAGCGCGGGGGAGATGGCGGGCAGCGCAGGGCGGGCGTGCGGGCGGCGGCAGCAGCTGAGAGATGATGGAACGGCCGGACGTGGTAGTGCCCGCTTCCACCTATAGGTAGTACGGAGTACAGTCCTGCTTCTTGTGTGGATCTGGTATGTCGATTGTAGTTGGAAATATAAAGATAGAGAGATGTGAATGATACTGGTCCCCCTTTATCTGGTGTCAACTGGATCATAGGGGAAGGGCGCACCGGAAGGGGAGAGGGGAAGCCTAGTTAAACACACGACTACAACACCACCACATCCCCTACGCTATATTGTAGTGATCGAGCATCGAGTCTAGGTAGACACAATATAGGTACAATGTACAGGTGGGAACATACGGAACATAGTACGGAGCATAGAGGGTAGATATCTGCAGATGCGGGAATGCAATCAAGGTATTTGCCTGATAGAGTATCTTCAACATGACTACTCCATATAGTTATCTGAGCCATTTACTTATCATAACTGTAGATACTAGATAGCGGCATCATTGATCCAACCGCTACTCTGCACTCTAATCACACATCACTTATAACCGCCTTTTGCGCCCTTCAATTCCCTTCTCTCTCCCTCTCCCTCCCATCTCCCAACCCCAATCCCAATCCAACCGAATCCCAATCCTCTCGTCCGCTTTCGTCTTCCGTCACGTTGCCAGCCTAGCTGCTGCGGAATGCGGAATGTAGAATGCCACGCCTGCACAATTAGGTTTTCGGAACCTCCAGGCTCGTATCCAGCAGCCTGTTCTGCGTTACATCTCCTATAGCATGGGTATCGACCTCACACAATCCCCATACTTCCACTTTCGACACACCTCGTCGGCAGTACTCGTACCTAGACGACCGCAGTGCAACCCGGCCCAGTCCTATGGCTGTACAATTTTGCCGGAACCACACCCTTGCCAACCATCCCCCTACCCAGCGTTCGTCATCAATGCTAATAACAACCCTCTTTTCGTGTCTTTTCCTCTCAGCTGTATCGTTTACTGGCCGCCCCTCCAAGCGATGGGGAAGCGAGGTCGCCAGGAACAGATTGGCATCCTTTTGACCCGGCGAACTCGCAGTCCACACCTAGCCTGCGTCCGGGATCGTGGTCTCTTCAACGACGCAATGCTGCAGCTGTAGCTGCATCTGCAAGACTCCATGGCCTCCCTCCGGTTCGGGAGGAACCTTTCTGGCAAGACTAGCTCTGCGGGAGGAGTCCACGATGCTGGTTTGCTCCATATTTAATCGTATTCTCACATAGCCAGCTGTTGGTAGTAACCATTCGTCTGCCTCTGCCTGGTGTAATGATTTAACGTGAATAGCTGCCCTCGATCGTGTTTGCTCTCCAGTCCATTTACTCAACAGTCCTACTCTTAGAGCCAAACCTGTGCGACGCTCGCTCTTTCAAGTATTGACTATGTTTTGGATTAAATGGGGGCTCACAGTCCCACTCCTCTTCTCTCTGCTCGACGGTGGTCAATGTCAAACAAATCTCCCAGACGTTCCTCCAGGTGTATTTACCGCATCAGCTAGGATCGTGATCTACAACACTACCACCGCCGCGGCCTGGGAAGCACTCACGAACTTTCCCAAATATCCTGACTGGAATCCGTTCGTTCGGTTAGTCACATAACATATCTCTTCATTCACATTCACAAACCATCTCACATCTATTCCCCTAGATCCTCCATCGTCGTCTCCCCATGGAACATCACACTCCCCGAACAGCGTCCAGTAGAAGGAAAGCGACTATTCCTACGCACTCAGATCCCGCCTCTCCCTCTACCGGTCAACAGGTACACTCCCGACAATCCGCTGAACATTGCGTTCGCCTACGAGAACGTCACGCACATCCAGCCGGAGCTTGGCCGCCTCGCGTGGGATTACCAGGCAGCGCCAGACGAGGCCTTATCTGCCGAAAGGTGGCAAGCCATCAGCGACATTGGAGAGGGAAGGGTGCTTTACGAGGCAAGAGAGGTGTTCCACGGATCGCTCGCGCCGGTGTTGAAGGCGTTGCAGGGCGAGGGCTTGCAGAAGTCGTTTGAAGGGCAGGCTGCGGGATTGAAATTGTATTTAGAGAGTCAGTCGTAGTTTTGTCGATAATGGTGTGTTTAGATAAATGCATGTTGTCGAGTATGCTATTTCAGGACAATATATGACGAGTTAATCCAATCCCATTGATAAAGCAGCATATGGAATTGCATAGGTTCCCGAAGAGGAATAGCGCCCAGGGTCCACCATAGTCCTATCTTCGCTCATCATTATCGCGGCGCATGACGATATCTTCTGCCTTCTGGTCTTGCTCTGCCATACAATAAACACCACACGCGCAGCCTTCTCTCCCAATGGTCGCATATCCGGCCTGACATGTCGTCTCACATGTCATGCGTCTCTATTCGTAGTCACTTGTCCTCTCGATATGTGTATTGAAACCATCTTCCGTGCCACGTTGCGTAACCTATTGTCCGAACAACATTGACCTCCCATGTTGTCGCCCTCGCTACCAGTACACCTCCAATCTTATTGCACGTAACAATAATGTCAGATGCGGATACCGAACTCATAGCATTCGCGAAGGCTATCTCCAGAGTCTTGGGCTGGACATACTTCCTCGCCTGGTACGTTACAGGCCGAATTCCATTCTTATCTCTCCCAACCCATCCTCGAGTAATCTCCCCTAACCAGTCTCACAGGAGCGCATCATTCTACCCGCAACCCATCACAAACTGGCGGCGCAAATCCACCCTGGGCCTCGCCATCGACTTCCCCACCTGTAACGTGCTGGGCTTCACAGCATACACGATATCCACCGCGTCGTTCCTCTACTCCCCGACCATCCAATCCCAGTATGCGGCCCGCCACCCGAACGCGCCGGAGACCACAGTGCGCTTCAACGACTTCCTGTTCGCCGCTCACGGAGCCGTTATGTGCGTCGTCGTCTACTCGCAGTTCTTCCCCGCGATATGGGGCTTCAAGGTCGGGAGCAGGCAGAAGGCTAGCCGCGTGGTGCTCGGCGTCTTCTGGGGCTGTCTGCTGAGTATACTGCTCACGGTGCTCGTGGTCGGGATACGGGGGCGGGATTGGGGATACGACGCTTCAGGGTGGGCGTGGATAGACGTCGTAAGTGATCCCCTTACAACCTCACCCCTTCAAAATCAACCCAAAAGAAAGTACCTAAACTAAATGATTCATCCGCCAGATCTACACCCTCGGCTACGTCAAGCTCCTCACCGTCGTAATAAAATACATCCCGCAAGCCTGGATAAACTACAAGCGCAAGTCGACGTCCGGCTGGAGCATCTACACCATCACGCTCGACTTCTCCGGCGGCATCATGAGCCTCGCGCAGGTCATGATCGACTCGACGCTGCAGGGCAGCTGGGAGGGCGTCACGGGCAACCCCGTCAAGTTCGGCCTCGGCAACATCACACTGCTGTTCGACCTCATCTTCCTGTACCAGCACTACTGGCTGTACAGGAAAGCGCCTGGGACGGCGGACGAGGACGAGGACGAGGACGACGAGGAGTGGGATGAGAGGAGGAGGTTGTTGCTTAGTAGGCAGATTTACTAGATTTGCGAGCGAGTGCTGTGAATGTGCACTGTTTTTTTTACCCTCGCCGACTTGTCTTCGCCGTTCTCTGTGATCAACATGGTCGACATGTCGTAAGTTGTAGCCCCTCCGTCGCGTGGCATAGACCCACACAACCAAATCTATCAAAGATCCCCTCCACTCCCCTGCCGATCATCCCAAAAAATTCTCCTCCCGGAAGCTGTCACTTCCGCGACCTAGCATGTTGTAGTCTCATATGTAGAACATTTCCATTAAACTCGTTTTGGCGATCATTCAAATCGGCCCGCATCATCATACATGTCCAGGGGGGATAAACCAAACACGCACCGCACGCCATCACATGCTTGCACATACTCACGTAGAAAACCTCAAGGAACGTAAAATCCCCAGTAAATTCGAGGGAGAAACGCATGGCAGAGGAGTCCGCCATCTGGGTGTCTTAAACTGCGGCTAGAACCACATACTTCCATCGTCACATATCCTCGTATTGAGACACCTATTCGAGTCGTGTAGACATTGACAGACTACTGAATCAATTCATCAATCGTGACACGTGATAAGGGTATTTGTGCACTACCTCTTCGTATATTAAACATCTAGGGATAGCAGTTAAGTACACGATGGGGAGGGAGAAGCTGCATGGGCATTGCGATCGGGGGCGCTTTTGAACGGCGAGGCGAGGGAACGAACGGTTGGGGTGGGCGTTTTTGTAAGGATTCAGGAACTATTGGTGATGGGTTTGAGTCAGGTAGACCGTTGGGGAAACGGTTTATGAGCGGTTGGGCGTAACAAGGTAGTATATAGGGTAGGGAGGTTCTGGAGATGTGAGTGGTGTGAATGGGCTGGACTACATGGTACGGGTACAAAGGAGAGCATGGAAGGGGTGATTTGATTGATGGATTTGATGTGTTTCTATTGAATGAAGTGTTTACGTTGTTTTTATGAGTAGCTATGTTGATAGTTATAGGCCTTCGTATATTAATCGATAACTCTTACTTGGGAATTGGGACCAGTACGCAAGTTGATTGATAGCTAGCCCCTGTCAGAAATGACTACCTACCTTGTATACCCATATCCACATTTATGAACGACCGCGTATGTCAGAAGCGGAACACAATTGTTTAGTTCAATCAAATTTGGACGAGTCTGGAATGGAAGTGGAATGATTGAAGTGCTAGCGAGTAGTAACGTTCGTTCCTACAGTAGACTTGCCACGAGAGGCAACGATCCCCGGCATGGATGACACGGACAGCGACGGATTGCGACGACGCGCGGGATCCACGTTGCGTGTGTGTTGCGTTTGACAATCCATCGGCACGCACGCGAATCAAGCAAGCAAGTCATACCTACAACGAGCATCGTACGGTAAGGCAAGGTACAGCTGCAACGAGTAAGGAAACGCAAGGCATCACCAACCCAGCCAGCCAATTCGGGCCATTTGCAAGTCAGGCTGGGTCATATCGGTTAGGGTTATGTCAGGCACCAGGCTCTAAACAGCAGCTGTGTCATGAATCGTGTTGGCTGAAAGGTTGGGGGAAGGTTTTCCTTCTTTCTTCTCGGGGCTTTTCCTTGTGTCGTTTCGTGCGTGTGTCTGTGTCTGTGTCTTATGTCTGTGCCTCTTGATTCTGTTGGTTTTTTCCCTTCTCCTCACGTCCGTTTCTCCCTCGCTCTTTCAACCACACGCTTCTTCGCATCCCACGATCCTCTCCCCCCGTGGAGGGAACGCGGCGCTGCGGTGCAACAATCGAGAATTGAACTTCGCTGGACGAAAAAGCACACCCCTGAGCGATCTACCTTGTACCCCGGCAGCAGCTCTGGTAGGTGGATTTACTGGTAACAACCAACCAACAGCCTGCTCAAAGAAACACGCACGCGCACAAAGGCAAAGAGAAGATCTGTAGGCTACGAGTAGGGAGCTACTCGTTAGGAAGGGGAAGCAAAGACGCGTTACCGTTGCTGGCCGGGCCTTGCATGTTTGCATGTGAGGTCATCAATCAAAAAGATCAAAAGGCTTTCCGATCCCCGTAGCACTCTTTGATTCCGACAGCTTGTCCTTCCCATCGGAGCCCCTAGATCGACGACGAAGCGTGCTCTAGCTGGCAATCAAACTCCACTCATTGGAACTACGGATAGTTACTGACTTGCATTATTGTACTGCATGCCCTGCAATTGCACTACACTGCACTTGACTGCACCCCGGGTCGATCCGTCCAAGCGGACATACTCCGTACACGAGTTCGAGTACCTTTCGAGTACCTGTCCACCTCAGAATAGAGTTCGCGAGCTATTGGCTAGTGAGGCTAAACTAAACATCTCCACCTCGGCCTTTTTTCTTTGCTAGACCTGCTGGACCCAATATCGCCTATCAATCATTCTTCCTCAACCCAATCTGAAAGAGACACCAGACTCTTTCGGGTGTCTCGATCTCTACCAGGTTTCTATCTCCAGGCGAACTTCCTACATTGGGCTTGTGCTAGCAGCGCCATACTGGCTCAACCCCCTTTGGTACGTTCTCCCTAGTCCTCTTGTAGTCTCTCTTAGACCATGGTTCCTCGTCATAGCACGCCCATCTTTCCTGTTCAAACAAAAAAAAGTAGTTCCGCCTAAATCTAATAGTGCCCTTCGTTTCCCCAGATATCAAAAAATTGAGATCTGCTGCTTGGTACCTTTGCTGCGCTTTCGATCCGTGGGTGCCCTCCCGATAGTCGGCACAGATGTTCAAAAGGCGTTCAGTTCATGGTTCCCTTTCCAAGCACGTCTCCATCTCCGGTCCTTTCCATTTCAAGAGAATGTCATTGTCCAACGGGGGAGGGAGTGCTGCTGGCTCCTCCGATGGGCCTGGCGCTGTCGATAGCGTCATATCACATCCCCACCACCACCATAGACTCTCTCATATAGATAGCAATGATGCCGGGGCGGTCGGCGAACCTCTCGTTCAGGACATTCGTCAGGTTGAAGAGGATCCAGAGCCGCTTCCCTCCCACATAGAACCTCCTCAGACACCCCCGAGTAAGATACAAGACTTCGATCTGCTGGAAAGTGCTCTTCCAATCGACTCTCCTCCGGCCACCGAGGACACCGCTCCACCTCCTCCAGACTTCACTCGTCGTGGAATCCATATTCCCACCAGGACCAGGTAAGGGTTGCCTGCTGTGCACTTCACTAGCTGTCCAAAGCACTGACATAAAGGTCCAGCTCCAGCGGGAAGACCCCCTCAAGAACACGCCGATTCTTCCGCTCATCGTCAAGTGGTCAATCCTCCACTATGGCTACCCCATCGAAGCTCTACAGCCGACCTACGAGCTCTGCCGACTCCGTCATTTCGTATGAGAGCTCTGCGTCCTCAGTCGCGACCCAGAACCTGGTGCCGCTCCAACAAAAGGGTGCCGCCGAGGAGTTCGAACGGCTCTCGCCCCTGCTCGAAGATGACCCAGCGTCCTTCGACCTCCTAGCATCCCACGACTTGGACGCAGGCAGAGGCGGTTTCTCGCTCGAAGCCCATTCAGAGCAACTGTTCTCCAAGGAGCATCTCCAAGCCATCTTCCAAGACACACCCTCTCTCCTCCGCTTCACAGCCTTCCTCAGCGCCGCACGTCCCGCGTCCGTCCCAGTCCTGATATACTACCTCGATGCCCTGAAAGCCATGAAGGCAATCAACTACGCCAACGCCGTGGCCGAAGCACTCGAACCCCTAGAAGGCCACGCATTCACCGAGAACTCCGCACGACCCACCGTCAACGCGATCCTAGAAGAGCGAGCACGACAAGCGTTCGACGTGCTCGTCCGCGAAGACCTCCCGGCCTTCATCACCAACATCCTCATCCAGGTCGTCAGCGTCAGCATCCGGAAACGCGTCACGGGGAACCTGCCTCCCTTGCTTCGAGAGGCGAGCGAGGGTCTTGCCGAGGTGTTTTGTCTTACTGACCCCTCGCGCGCGGATAACCCAATCATTTTTGCTTCGGAAGGTACGTTGAATGCAACACTGTTGATTCGAGTAGAGATCTAACACACAAGATAGAGTTCCACCGCACAACGCAGTATGGTGTGTCGTATGCTATCGGCAGGAATTGCAGATTCCTGCAGGGCCCGAAGACGAATCGCTACAGCACTGCGCGTCTGAGAGAAGCTGTCAAGGAGGGCAAAGAAGTTAACGAGTTGTTCCTAAACTAGTATGTTCTATTTTACAACATTTAATTTCGTAGTGGTAATGCTAACGAACAACCTAGCCGCCGCGACGGCTCCCCCTTCATGAATCTCCTCATGATGGCCCCGCTGCTCGACTCCCGGGGCATAATCCGCTACTTCATCGGCGCACAAGTCGACGTCAGCAACCTCGTGAAAGAATGCGCTGGGCTTGACGCCTTCCAACGCATGCTAGAGGTGCAAGAAGGCAATGCCCCCGCGGAAGAGCCGAAAGACGAATTCCAGGAGCTCAGCGAGATGTTCAACAACGCAGAGCTCGACACGGTGCGCAAGTTCGGCGGCAACATGCATCGCGAGCACGTCGACGACGAGCGGGACGACGTGAGCATGCGGAACAGACCACGACTCCTCATCAAGGATCCCAGCAACAGCGACACCGAGACCACCGTCGCGCCGTCGCCAAAGGCGGAGGGCAGGCTCTCGGGAGTCTACAAACATGTAAGCCACAACCCGTTTTCAATCCAAATCCCGAAATCCACCGTGCTAACCACGCCCACAGTACCTCCTCATCCGGCCCTACCCCTCCCTCCGCATCCTCTTCACCTCCCCCTCCCTCCGCGTCCCAGGAGTCCTGCAATCCCGCTTCCTCGACCGCATCGGCGGGTCCTCCCGCGTGCGCGACTCCGTCGCCGAGGCCCTCGCCGACGGCACCCGCGGCGTGACGGCCAAGATCCGCTGGCTGTCGACGGCGGCGCCGTCGCTCGCGGACCGCAGCGAGGAGGGCCGCCCGCGCTGGATCCACTGCACGCCGCTGCTTGGGCAGTCCGGCAGCGTCGGCGTCTGGATGGTCGTGCTGGTCGACGATGAGAAGGTGCCGGGGCCGGTCAGGAGGTTTAGGCAGGCGCCGCCGGTCGCGAGTGATGTTAGGAGGGGGTCGCCGTCGCCGGCTGGGGCGAGGAGGGCGGTGTATGATGGGGTGGAGGATGGCGAGGGGATGAGGTCGGGTGCGGTGAGGGGTGGAGGGGTGAATGGTCGTGCGGGTGGTGTGGGCGAGGCGAGGCATATGGCGCGTGGGAATAATGGGAGCGTGATGCATGACCAGAGGGCGTACCAGACGAGGACGGGGAGTCCGCATGCGAGTGCCGCCCCGAGCGTGAATTCTTTCGCTCTCTAAAGGATCGGGAGGTCTATCGGCAACGACGACATATCGCTGGAAGGCACATAATATCCACTGGAGTGGTGGCATACATCCTTCCCCGACGACACATCACGTTCACACCCGGCATTTCTCAAATAAACGAGCAAGAGGAGAGGAGAGGCATATGTGCAGCACGGTTTTCTAGATTTTTTCTTTCTTTTTTTTCTTATATTATTTTTGGCTATATACCCCCATTTTGGGCAAGGCAAGGCATGGCGGACAATCAATATTCTTTCTATTTCACTTTTCTCGTTCATACAGCTTCCATTTTCCATCATGTCGTTTGTGATTCATAGCGTGTGTTTTCCCTGTTTCGATCTTAGGATGTATATTCTGAGGTTTTTTGTATCTTCATGGTACATAATATAGACGTAGTCCACATGGACTGAAATGAATCATGTTCGATTGATGTTTCGTCGTAGATGTTGGTTGTGGTGCGTGATGTGTGACCGGATTAACTTGGTCTAAGATAACGATTCACCCTCTTCCCTGGAAACATCGTCTTCCTGATGTCGTCGTTCTGATAGCGTGCCGGGCGCTTCGTTGGCAAGCCTCCCGAAAGCTCTGCCCTTCTTCTCCTCCATTCTCCCTCCCTACATAATGCTCGCTCGTCAAATCTCTGAAGCCAGCCCTAAAATCCCCAAATATCATTAACTCACCCTCCCTTCATCCCCAGCTCGTGCACCACCCCGTCCCACTGGTCCCTCATAAATTAGCAAGCCGACAAAAATCGCCGCAGTCTCTCAACCCCCTCCCTCACCACACATCCTCCGGATTAACCCTATGGCTCTCCCCATCCTCCCTAACACACCCCCGATCCTTATCCCTACTACACGGCTTCCGCATATCCAGCGCATCCTCCCCGTCGTTGTAATAGTTCGCAACCGTCCTGTACACACTGTACCCCATCTTGCGGTACAATTCCTTCGCGATCTCGTTACTCGCCCGCACGAACAGGTCGACGAACCAGGCGCCGTTGGCGTCGGAGGCTTCCTCGAGGGACGTCGAGAGCCGCGTTGCGTGGCCGAGGCGTCGCGCGCGGGGGGACACGGTCAGCGCGGTTATGTGGCCGTGCCAGGGGAGGTAGTTTGGGTCTGGGCAGGTGGAGGGGTGGTAGGGTGTCGTGGGAGGTGGGAAGGGGGAGGATTCTAGTTTGCCTAGGACTTTGGGGTCTTTAGTTGGAGGTTTGGTGATTGGGAGAATGGGTAGGTAGGTAGGGAGACAGGGGAAGGTTGGTGGTTGAGCAGCGGGGAGAGAGGAATGCAGAGCGGATGGTGTGGATATGTGTGACTTACTGTAGCCTTCGATCTCTCCATCAGGGCCTTCGATTATGCGGCATAGTTCTGGCCATTTTGTGAGATATTCGAGGTAGAAGCTGATGTTGTATGTTTCTGTGAGGTAGTCGAGGTTCGTGGAGGTTATGCGCCAGAGATCGTCCGGACGCATGGGTCGCACTGTCGCCATCGTTGTCTTTTTCTCGAAAGAAATCTGGAGACCTGGGTGAATCAATTGCTCGTTTATGCAGCGAACTCGAGGTTGCGAATTGAAGTGTTGATGCAAATAATATTGTTAGCAACTTCGGAGGTCCGTTGCGGGGCAGATTGCTCGCCTATACTTGCCCCTCTCAAGTGTTCTTCCTTAGTATACCTATCACAGCCGAGCTGCTTCATTCCGCTACGCCATACCTTGGCGAACCTGACGGGCCTATTCATCCTCCGCAATTCGTCATTTTTGACTTGTCTGATTGGTGTGGAATGGCAATCGCCATGCCACCAGGAGCTTTTGCCATCAAGCACATCTGCTTCCTGCCTCAGTCGCGCACCTGCTCCTCTCTTCCTACAGGATAAAATTTGTAGAGCGCTTCAACCTCGGAATACAATGGACTAATCTGCGCCTGCCTGATCCATCTCCTTCAGAACGTAATCATTATCAACATATATTGACTCCATTGCCACACCTCAAAGAGCAATGCCGCTTCTCGACATCTTCAGGGCCGTCCGGGCGTACTCGAGAGATGAGCGCTTCACGTTGAGGGCCAACAATGAAAAATTGTACAAGCGACTCCTGGAGGTGTTCGCCCGAACCTGGGATCTCGGTTTCACGGTGCGTGATTCAGACTGAATGGTCACTTCACAGTAGCCAATGCCGCAGGACTAATCAACACTTCATAGGCATTCGGGGGACCCCCAGTACACTTTCAAATCATCCACCAAAGATTCGTCGAAGGGAAAGGTGGAAAGACAAAATGGATCGATGAACAAACTGTACGTCGCCTCTTCCGTCGCAATCGATCTGGATGAAGCTTATAATACAAGTATCAAGAACTATTTGCTGTCAGCCAGGCTCTTCCCGGACCTGCCAGCACAAAAATGGTCTTTGCAATCGCACACATGCATGCTGGTCTGATACCTGCCGTATTCGTATTCCTACTATGGAGTCTGCCAGCAGCGACTGCAATGTACGCCTTGTCGCTGGGAGTGCAGCGAATGCCAGATCAATTACCGCCGATCGTATATGCGTTGTTGACTGGTATGAACGCGAGTACCGTGGGCATCATTGCTCTAGCTGCTGTCCAGGTCAGTTGGATAGATGCAATACGTTCGATGACCACTAATGAAAGCGCAGTTGGCGAGCAGGGCGATTACAGATAACGCTACTCGGATTCTTGTGATCGCTGGTGCCTGTGCAGGATTGTGCTACAACGCGCTTTGGTATTTCCCGATGCTTATCGCAATTGGCGGTATTGTTGCTTTGGTATGGGATCTCTGGCTACAGAGGAAGATTGGCAAGATGAAGGCAAGCTGGAGAAGAAGGCAGCTCGCGAATAACTCGGCTCCTATTGATCAAGAAGCCACCACTGTTGAGGTCGTCGACTCTACTCCCCTCGGCGAAAGATCGAATGGACAGGATGGCGTCCAGCGGCGTACACCAGCTTCCAGCATGAGAGGACGTCCGCAGGCTGACCGCAATGATCTTGCAAGATCTGAATCCCAAGCTCCCTTGACGAATTTGAACCAGCAGACTCTACAGCAAGCAGAGACTGCACCTGACACCACAACACATGGAATATCGATTAAGATCGCCTCTTGTATCATTGCATTCTTCTTAAGTAAGTACCCAACGTCACTACTAGACTTTGAGAATGATTCTAACACAATTCAGTATCCTTCGTCATTGTCATGGTGCTCCGCGGTACTCTTCGCACACGCCCTTTGATATTCGATTTGTTCGCCAATATGTACCTTGCGGGGACGATCATCTTTGGAGGCGGCCCGGTCGTCATCCCTCTGTTACGAGAGTATGTCGTACAGCCTGGGTGGGTTTCACCGCGCGATTTCTTGATAGGACTCGCCATCATTCAGGCTCTCCCAGGCCCGAATTTCAACTTCAGTGTATACCTCGGAGCTCTTACGCTAGCACCGACGAAGACAGTAACCATTGTTGGTGCATTTCTTAGTTTTGTCGGTATATTCTCGCCGGGTCTATTAATCTTCTTAGGCGTCCAATCCATCTGGCGCATCCTTCGTACCAAGGCGTGGGCAGCCAGTCTATTGAGAGGTATCAACGCGACTGCGGTAGGCCTCGTCTTTACTGCCGTCTACAGGTTATGGGAAATAGGATATCTCACCCCCGAATCGACAAACGGCAAGAGTCTGGCTCTTGAGCCGTGGTGGGTGGTTGTCGCCGCTGTGACATATGCAGAAAATGCTTGGTTCGGTGTACCTCCGGCCTTGGCCATTATCATTGGAGCAGTTCTGGGTATCGGATGGTATGGCGCTGTGGGGAGGTGAGGTCCGAGGTATATTAGGCTGACTATGAGACGTATAATCTTACACAATTCCATATGCGCCAATGCCTGACGAGCGAATCCTTAAAGGCATTGCCAATTGCAGCAAGCGTGCCTTTGTGCGGGGTGTCCTCTGATTGGTTGAAACTGTCCAGGGGTGGTCCGCCCAGATGCGCTATACTATGTTCGTGCAATAAAGTGTAACTTGGCGATACGTTCTCGAGACTCAACTGTACGCGGCATTGCTCACCCATTCTTGGTGTTGTGCTCACTTGAGTGCTGCGGCCGGTTCTGTGCTCCTAAAGGATTCATTTCAAAGGTACGTTTGCAGCCTGATTTCTCTTACATCCATGGACTCGCTATTTCTCATGTCGTGTGCCTCTTCGTTGCCATCATCTCTCTCTACGGTGCATGCACTCTGATACAAGACTAATGGGCCGCAGAACCCAGACCCTCCGCCGCATCCGACGCCTCCTTCGATCTCCTGTCCTTGTCGTCCTCCTCGCTCTTTTATTCCTGGCCGATACGGTTCGAATAATTCATATAACTTCCTCTCAAACCGCAAGTCTACATACAAGATCTCCGCCAGCGAACACAAAGCGAATATATATAGCAAGCCAGCACTACAATAATGCAGGTCTTCTGAGGGACAGGTGGAATACTGCCCTGGTGGACTTAGTCCATGAACTGGGCCCAAAGAATGTCTTCGTTTCAATCTACGAGAGTGGAAGCTGGGATGATACAAAGGGTGCATTGAATGAGCTTGACAATGCCTTAAACGACTTCCAGGTTCCCCACCGGATCGACATGTCGAATACTACCCACAAGGACGAACTCGTCAAAGAACCCACTAGCGATGGATGGGTACGGTCGCCACATGGATCGCAAGAGCTGCGCCGCATCCCGTTCCTTGCGAATTTGCGCAATCGCGTGCTAGAGCCTCTTCGAACAATGTCTGAGGAGGGGCAGCATTTTGACTTGGTTCTCTTTTTGAACGATGTTATCTTTACCGTAGGTGACTTCAATATTTACCACGTGAATCTTTTGTACTAATGGTAACAGCCATCCGATGTTCTTACCCTATTGGACACGAACAATGGAAATTACGCTGCAGCATGTTCACTGGACTTTATCAAGCCTCCATATTACTATGACACGTTTGCGCTGAGGGACAGTGATGGCCATGAGACTGCAATGAGTACATGGCCATACTTTCGCTCCTCTACCTCTCGACGTGCGATGGAGCGGTTCCAGCCCGTACCGGTGACGTCCTGTTGGAACGGAATGGGTAAGGAGAAGACTCCGCCTAGGACTTACTGATCGTACTTGATCGAGGATCATGCTGACTATAGATTTCAGTTGCTATGCCAGTGGAACCTTTTCTTGCATCGCCCCCTCTTCGTTTCCGAGCGATACCCGATTCGCTTGCAGCGTCGCATTTGGAGGGATCGGAATGCTGTCTCATACACGCGGATAACCCCCTTTCCGTCACCAAGGGCCTTTATCTCAATCCGAATGTCAAGGTCGGCTACACCATAGCAGCATACGAAGCCATCAACGCCCCCGAAGCGTCTTTGTCATCTATCGGCATCTTGGAAGCTAAATGGAAGAACCGGATTTTGCGTTGGACGACAACCCCCCTTCTCAAGGAATGGATCGTGCGGGGAAGAGTCAAACGCTGGGAGGCAGGTACGGAAGGGAAAGAGCGAGGACTGATTTGCTTGATCAATGAAATGCAGGTTCTTATGGAGAAGGGGTGGAAGCACGTGTGAAATGGGTTGCCAAACATTGAAACCGTTCACAGATGACCCGCGAACGTCAACGTTCCGCCCATCTAACAGAGTTGTCGAGCATAGGAAGAGGCTATCTGGTTGTGCAGCGAATGCCTGCTTCTGCACTGGAGTTCCACGCGGCACTTTGATTGGTAATCCTTAAGAGTGCTTCGGAAAGTCTCTCTTCTCTATAGAAGACCCAGCACAAGAGAATTCCATGCTACCAGGCCAGGATTATTGCCAGCTGAACCATCTACATCATTGTTGCGCTTGCTCCAGTAGTTCAGCTGCGCTTTGGATGCAATACGGGTGCATGACCGATAAGGACGTAGCTTTGCCCAACCAGGTAGATTTTGGTCTCTGACCAGAGAAGAACGATATCCACTTTGTACATTTATATGCAAGACATATTCAGTAATCTAAATAGGAACTTTATCCGCCACTCGCAACCAAAAGTCGCACCTACGCTCCAGAAGCCTGATGTTTCCTCTCGCCGGACCACTCTTTCGCACCACAAATTGTTCCTTCTTTTTAAGACTTGGTACTCCAACGACTGTCTCGTTGGTAATCTTGTGTGCATTAGGGTCGCCGGTCTGTGCGAAGCTGCCCATTGCCCCTGCAAGGCTCTCGTAGATCAGCGGATCCGACTTCTGGATTGGATTGATTGTGTTCCACTGGGACAGTCAGCTCAGATCTCTTGTTGCTAAACAAGCGAACTCACGTATACGGTATCAGAAGCATGCTTCGCAGGGTCGATCGTGTACTCCATCAACCAACCCTTGCGTGCGGTGTTTGCAAGCCAATAAGCTGGGCACGCCAGAATGAGGTCCCTGTATATCAGCCCCGCCCGTTCATAGGTCGTGTTCCACTTGATCTCCTCGGCGACGCCGCTCTCTGGATATAACTCCTTTACCCTATTCAATTCGCCTTTGCCAAACTGAGGCAGGAAGCCTTCAAGCCAACGATCAAAGCTAGCGACTGAGGAGTTGAACCCCCCTGATCCAGCAGCATTTGCGAAACCAGGCGGTATGAAGTTCTCGCCCTCGTGCAGATTGTAACTGCTCAGCACCGCGCCGGCATTCAATCTCCCACTCTTCACCACGCTCGCTAAACCCTCTGTCAAGAAGCTGTCGTCAATGAACGGGCCCCAAGTAAACGTGCTCGTCGTATACTGCTGACTCGTCGAAATCCCCAAGCTCACATCCCTCAGCTTCTGCACATCCACACCCTTCAAACACGCAATCTCATCCTCCTTCCCATCGCACCCCACGCCCTTCACGACCAACTCATACAACCGCTCCGCCTCCTCCGAATCATACCTATACGTCTTCGGCCAAAACGGTGAGCTCGCCATCGCTTTCTTAAATAAACCCCTCCCGCGATTCCCCTCCGCAATCGTCTGCGCTACCACGGATCCTCCCCCAGCCGACTGCCCCCAAATCGTGACATCCCCCTTATCCCCGCCAAAGCCCCCAATATTCTCCCGAATCCACTCTAACGCCGCCCGCTGGTCCAGCAACCCGTTATTCAGGTCTGCCTCTGGGTGCTTCGCGACCTTCTCGCCGGGCAGGAACCCGAAGACATTGGTGCGGTAGTTGGAGTACACGACGACGTAGTCGTTGGCGAGACTGGCGTTCAGCACGGGGAATCCGGACGGCGGGATCGTGAACGTCGCGCTGCCCTGGATGAAGCCGCCGCCGTAGAAGGTCAGGAGGACGGGGCGGAGGGGCTGCGAGGCGGTCCAGGGCCGCGAGTACACGCCGAGGTAGAGGCAGTCTTCGGAGCCGTTGACGGTGCGCTGCGGACACATGTCGAAGGGGGCGTCCGTGTCGTACGTGCCATTGATTTGAAGAGGGGGTTGCGGCGCGCGGAAGCGATTGCGGCCGGAGGGAGGTGCTGCGAAGGGGATCTTGCGGAAGTAGGTTAGGTTGTAGGGTTGGGAGTAGGCGCCGGCGAAGGTGCCATAGTTGAGGTGGACGGTTGGGGGGGTTGCTGCGATGGAGGTTTGGATGAGTGATATGAGTGGGAGCAGCCAAGTCGATAGCGGAGCCATCTTGTGTGGTATGAACACCGTGATGGTGAACGGGAATTGAATGTCGTTGTATCCATTGAGGGCATTGGGTGGTGCTTTCTTATGAGTTGTTTCTTTCTCCAGGTTTGGAAGCGACCGAGATCGCCGGTATGCATCTTTAGCCTCATCTCCGCAATTTGGGGTCCGGGGTCTAGTCCTTTGCAAGGAAGGGAAACCGCGATGACGGAATATTTACAGCGCGGGTTCGCGCAAAAGGGTCCCATGGCTCGGTGTAGGTAGGGCCGAGTCAACGGACGGATTGAAAACTTCATGACTCAATGATTTTGCTATGTAATGTAATAATTAGTCTCTTAGGACTGGGCAAATACTGGAGATGGAAGTGAAATAGATTAATCGTTTCTGTGATTGTAATAGGGAGATTGCCTCCATGCCAGTGTGTTATCCTCTGCAGGCATCTTTCTAGTCAAGATATCATCATCCGCCACTGTCAGTGTCACGGTGAAAGCTAATTGGGACACTCTTCCTCTTTCACAATTCAGTCGTAGGTCTTAATGCTTTAAATCATTCATACTCATAAATATTCCATAACACATTTCCCGGCCATTTCAATCCCGACCTCATGCCTCCTTATCATCGAGATCCCTACTCAAAGCATCAGCAACTGATACCGCATCCTCAAAACCATCAACACCGCCTCTCCTCTCCACCAGCCCAGCCAACCCCTCATAAACCTGCGCAATCTCCCTAAAAACCTTCGCCTGCTGCTGCCACCCACCATCCTCCGCAAAGCAATCACCAATCTGATTCATCTCTTCAACCCACCGATATGCTTTGGGCGCGCAGCCAACTACGCTCTTATCTACTCGCTGGGCCGCCGCAGGATTGTACTCCTTTAGGTAGTCATGAAGAGCCGGGAGCACGCCCAGCGCGTTCGCCGTCGTGAACGACTGCAGCATCAGCGCCGTGAGGCCCTTCGAAATGGCCGCGAAGCAACATTTCACCCCGGACGCGGACCCGATCTTCGGACCGAGGTGCCGCGAGTTGAGCACTTCGGCGAGATGGGAACCAGACTTCTCGGCGGTGTAGAGGGGGTGAGGTCCGGATAGGGGAATCCCGGGACGAATCCAAGTTGATGATGAGGATGAGGATGAGGACGGCGATGGCGGAGCGCCGATTACGCCGCCGTCGATGAAGCGGATGCCAGGTGCCTTCTGCGCGAACTGGTCGGCAATTGAGGTTGCGGTTGAAGGGGAGATTGCATTTAAGTCGAGGTAGTACAAAGGTTGGGTAGTGGTTGGTTTATTGGTGGTTTCATACGCGAAGAGGATTCGTCGTGCGGTTTCCACAGCATCCCGGGGCGGGACTATGGATAGGATGTAATCGCTTTGCTGCACGAGCTCCGTGTCGCTTTGGACGAGGCCTAATTGTGCATCATGTGCACGAGCCTGGGTCGCGGAGCTTCGATCGGAGACGTTGGTGATGACATGGTAATTGTGAGCGACGAGTAGTTTGGCTACTCCAAGTCCCATTTGCCCTATTGATAGAACGCCGACGGTCGCTAAAGGAGACGACATCACGCAAGAAATGAATGTTAGGTAGCTTGAACACTCGTTGCTTGGTAAATGTTTATAAATTGAGAGGGGATGTTGGAGATATCTGATTGAGATTAATGATAAGAACTCCGCAATCCTTCGCTTCGTACACGTTCGATCGTATTTGTAAGCGTTGGGGTATGGTCAACATCGTCACGCGATATGGCGTCAGATCCGCGTGAACATAAAACAAGCTCTGGTACTAGGAATCCGACGTTTCTCAGTTCGAATTTCAGAAGTATAGTAGATTGTCCACTAGATGGGTTCATAGGGGATGAGGGTTAAAAATAGTTTCAGTTGCCAATCCAATCAGAGATGGGAGAAACTCTCAGAGTATGCCAAACGAATTCCGCTCAAAAGTTGCTTGTATTTCTCTCTTCAAATGAAATACTTTCCATTTTGAAGGCTCTGCAAGATCATAATATATGTAGATGCAAGTATCCTGAAAAAGGACTCCACCCAAATTCTCTGTTCCCAAATAGGAATATCGCTCGTCATTCGGTAATAGGACGCCGCCTCGCGATATACCGAGCAAACGGGTTGCCTCATCACATTTATGTTTTCTATTCTTGTCGCATTGCAATTTAGGGTCGTGTGGGAACTAGACCTTCATTAATCTATTCGGCATACCCTGAGCGCGACCATAGCAGCCCAGGCGTCCTATACTTGCCATGTTGCAACACGCCGCTCACTGGCATTGTAACGTCGCAATGGATTTTCCATGGATCACCTGAAGTTCGCTGAGAGGAAACATATAAGAATCAAACAACGCCCGGGCAGCAGTTCTACAACTGCGACGAACATATCTCCATCAAAACGCACTTCTCAATTTCCAATGCCTCAATATCGAGCCTTCAATGGGAAGGTTTCGTGCAAGGTTGCGTATATTGCCGGAAATATACTCACCCTCTTGGCAACACAGCGTGGCTAGATGAATCCAAATGCAGACTCAAGTTCCGACCAGACAGGAACCGTACAAGACTCATATAAGAGCGCGCAGAATTTCTCAATCACTGCAAGTCATTCTTTTTTCGGGGAGAATAGGTTTGTGTATTGTTGATTATCATTAAGTCAGAAAAGAAACATCCCAAGGAAAAACCAATAAAGAAAACCCGCCGCACACGATGCATCTCCCTACCTCACTCTACGCACTATGCATCCTAGCACTGATCCCTCAGGCCCGTGCAGACTGCAGAGATTACGAGCAACCGACCAAGTACGTAAACGGAACCCTCACCTGCAGCGATAGCCGCACGCCCACGTCTGTCGCTGCGTTCCAGGGACATCTACACCATTCGTGCAGGATGGCGTGTGAGAAGCCGCTTCCGTACGACACTGGCGAAAAGTACGACGCGCTGGTCGTCACGGCGACAGGGCATCAGAACAGGACACTCGATATGGGCGAGTGCTTCGGCGTGGTGGAGAAGATTGCGAATGAGTGTTGGATTCGGATTCCGGAGTTACAGTTCATCGTGTGGGTGCCATCTCATTGTGTTCTCTGTCTTGACTGCCAGCAGATTTGGATCGATCTCATCGCAATCTTTCCCTAGACGGACACCGCCTCCCAAATTTAAAAAAGAAAAGAAAAAGAAAAAGCAATGCTGATGTCGTTGAATATAGCGCCAGAGGTGGTACATTCATTACAGACGGGGGTATCAAATATGACGTATTTGGAAATCGTCAATAACGAGAAGTCTGTAGAGCTGATGTCTAATGCTTGGGGAAGTCGTGCTCCATTGGATCGTGGGATTATTCGACATGATGCTGAGCTGCGGCGGCATTTCTCTGCATTTCTCTTGTTTTGCTTCGTGTGACAGGAGGTGTCAAGGCGTAAGGAGCTGGGTTCGGAGCTTCGACGGGGGCGATTGGCGTATGCGGGACGGCATGCTGTGGATTGCTGAGTGGGATTCCTGGGAATAAATCCACAAGCATCTCTGCTGCAGAAGCACGGTGATCCGGGTCGAACATTGCCATTCTCTGGATCCGTGATAGCTCCCCACCGGGAGAAGCTACAAGTCGAACTAAACCTTGCACAACCGTTGCAGGTTGGCTCTGATAATAATTTTGATTCTGACGAAATCCCTGTGTATCCAATGTCCACATCATTGTCACAAAGAGTGACCAAACATCTAATTTGGTGGTGTTACTCCCGCCCTGAAACAGCTCGGGGGGCATAAAAATGTAGGTACCCGCGACCGATGCGGGATCGGCAATACTTTTGGCGAACCCGAAGTCTCCCAGTTGGAAGCGGAACCCGGATTGGTCGTTTCGATCAGTGACATACAGAATATTCTCTGGCTTTACGTCTCGATGAACGATTCTATTCGATGCGATGCAATCGAGCGCTTGCAGCATTTGCGGAAGGACGGAGTCCGCAATAATACCAGGTTTATGGTCTCCACGCTCGATTAAAGATTGTAAGTTCCCTTCCTTCAGGGACATAAAGATGGCTACCCCTGTCCCTTGAACTTGCGCCCAAATGTACTCAACGATGTGAGACTAGTGGAGATATCAGTGTTAAGTCATCTAGAAGATTGAGGAAGTTTGGCTTACATGTTTTGTCTTACGGAGTATTTCGACTTCACGCTCCAACATCTTTTCCCATTTGGCTTGCTGCTGTTCTCCTGTGGGTCGTTTTATCGTCTTGACGGCCATGGCCTCTCCCGAGTCTACATCGATAGCTTTATGAACTGTGCCAAAAGACCCTGATCCAAGCTTATGTACCCTAAGACATCTTATTGGTGCCGATCTTCCAGGTGGCGTCGCGGGCCTTGTCGTAGCCAGGCGTGGGTTCTCCACTACATCGTAACCTTGCGCATTGTACTTTCTGATCGCCTCCGCCGTCTCTGCAGGAGTACGGTGCCATTCCAATTCGAATTGAAGGAGGTCATTCCATGTACCCCCCATTCCAATTACTGTATTGAAATCCTTTTGTACAAGGACCTTCCGCTGGGCGCGTCCATACTGGAACGGGGCGGCATCATCACCATCGGAGGCATGGCATTGAGTAGTGCCTCCGGACGATCTGTCGTGGAGCATAATGACGCCGGTGTCCACAACAATCTCAAACGAGCATTGGGTTCGTGAGAAATGGGCTCCGTCCAAGTAAATATCGGCGTGTTGGTGTCGCCCGAGTTCGGCAAGGGTGGAACTTGAATTTCTGCGTAGGTGAAAGCCTACATCAAGAGCAGGTATACCATCGCACAACGAAACATTGTGGGAGTTGTTGGGATGATCGATGATACGTCTGGCTAGTTCATTGCCGTTATACGGACGAAGGGAGAACAAAGCATGTTCATGCGGGTAAGGACGAGGCATAATTGAGCGAAGATAGGAGCGAGGATGATGAATGGATGGATGAAAGATGTACGAAAGTGAGCGAGGATGATGGATGGATGAAAGATGATACGAAAGTGAATGATGATGATGATGGATGGATGGATGAAAGAAGACGACATTCAAGTTGGGAGGGAAGGCCTTAAATGGATTTCGGAGTAGAATGGTCTCACTCCATGACCATCAAGCTTAGACAGGAGAAACTGAAGAGCTTGGTGGCTTGTTTGAACATGTCCTACATTGGTCTGTGAATCGCCATGAAAAGATGCACAGTCGGCGGCTTGAATCGACTGTGTGGCCGCCCGCGCCGCCGTAGCTAAATGCATGTCTCACGACACATCCTACAGCTCATAGGGGGTGGGGCTGGCCACCTGCTAGCTTCCAGTACCTTCTATCCATGTAAACATTCAAGCATAATTCAGGTATGGAGTAAATTGGACTACTTATGCAATTATTCTAGCTGGTTCACGATTCAAGGACCGCACAAAGAAACTTACACAAGAAAGGTTGAACGTTGACTGTAAATACATCAACCTTTGTCCCAAATTGGTCATCCAGGAGTACTTGTAACAAAGTAACAGTAGTTCGAAAGGCAAGCTTCTCTTTGTAGGGCTACACTTTGTCCTGTCATACAACTCGTGCAAATACACATATCTCCACACTTGCGAACAACTCCTTTGAATCGCGTCTCTATCGACAGTTCGCTTTATTCTCCTGCTGGTTATAACTGAGTCCATTTCCCTCAGTCGTCTCCGTACATCAGATCCCCACCTTTTCCACTCAACTAAAACAAACAATTAACAATACTCATGTCTCCTTTGAAAGCAGAATGGACACCGGGTCCAAATACATCCCCGCCCCCCTCGCCGTTGACAGGTCCAATTTAGGGGCAACGTCGCCAACAGCTGAGAAAAGAGTGTGAGGCCTCAAAACCACTAGAGCAGTTCCAATACGAGCTAAAGGAAGAACGTAGACGGACTCCGTATACACCTCCGCGGGGCAGCCAGTCAGAGATGGGCAGCCAGTCAGAGATCTGGGAAACTGTTAAAAAGCGCTGGGTCGAAGAAGGCATATGGAATGAAAAGTGGGATCATAACACTGAGTGGAGGTGGAAGCACGAAGAATGCTTTTTTGATGGGAAATTTCTCAGACCACTGGGTTTGTTCGGCCTACAGACAGAAGCGACCACGTCGATCGAAGAGAGAAGCGACGACGACGAACGACCACTTGAAGAGCGGATGGCCTCATAGGAACGTGAACGCGAGAACTCCCGCCCATACTTTCGGTTCATTTATCAGGTATCAAAAGAACGGAAGCGAATCCAACAAGAGTTAGATATAACTGCCAGAGGTTTCAAAGTGGCAGACATTAATACAGTAGCGTATGAGAGAGTTAAGAGAAGTTGGAAGGAACGAGGGATCTGGTTCGAAAGGTGGGGTATTTTACCAGGCATGGAATGGAAACATCGATTCTTTACGGAGGACATGCTTCGCGATATGACCGATAATCCTATTCCATCCATCATCCCGCCCGTACAACCTTCTGATACTCCTTCTCCAAACTTGGAATTTGCTGTCGCCAATTTCCAGGAGTACAGAACCGCCGTAAATGTAGGAAAATTTCGTCCTTAGTGTCCTACATGATCTTTCACGTCGCTCTCTTGCCCAGCGTGTGCGGTGAGGAACGAGCATAGACATTTACAGCCATGCACACACCTTTCCTGCCAAATCATCATTCGCGATGACGACCTATTCCCAGTTGGTGGCAGATGTGGCAACGAATGGTCGTTCAGGTGGCGCCTGTCAGCTCTTTTCGCAGAGTCATGTTCTTTTTGGCGTTTTAATGCAACATTGTTCCATCAATTGTATGAAAGTTCGTATCCTTATAGACTTATAGATTTATACCAAAAGGCTCAACGCCAACAGTACCTAGGATCAATTTAGCCTTTTCCACCATTCGAGGTACATGACATCGCCCTCAGCAATATTACTCATACAATAGATAATAAAACCCGATTAGTGGTCTAAACCACACCGCAGTCCGGCAACGCACTCAAATCTGAAGCGTAAAAAGTGGTGACTAGACGTGACATACAAGCGTAGAGGAAGAGCTCGACAACCCGTTCACAGCCAGGATAGGGGTTAAACATTACGCTTCATGTTTGCTTTATAGCAACGCACGCGGCAAAGTCATAACTTCATCACTGTATCATGTAATCATAACTAAACGATGATGAGGCTATCGAGACGATCTTGATGCGCCGTGTTCCCGCAGCAGCGTCTCAATGTCTGTGTGGCTTCCAGCTGAAGCCGCCCGCAGTGCGCCCTTATCACGCAGCAGCATCACAATGTCGTTGTAGCCTTTGGCTAAAGCTGCCTGCAGTGCGTTGCCGTAGAATCCACCCTGCGCGTTAACGTCGGCGCCCTTGTCGAGTAGTAGCATTGCGATGTCTTTGTCGCCGTTAGCTGAAGCCGCCTGCAGTGCGTTGCCGTA